ACAAATCTGTGGTAGCCTCTCAGAGAAGGGATGGGATCTGAATCCTGGCGGTGCATGGGAACAAGCAGGCACGTGTAACGGCGGCAGCATCACGCCGTCTCAAGCCACGCTCGCTGATTATATTTGTCGAATCCATTCAAGCCACGGTGGGGGCCGGGCTGTACGTGACGAAACTCACATCCAATCGGGCCGCATATAATGGTCCCAGTCTCTCCTGTGGCAGGATCCCCGTGCGCGCGCTCTGTGAGCACATGTACGCCTCCCCACGAACTTTAACGTACTGCATTGTAGGTAGAACACTAGACGGGGGCTTGCTTCTTTTGTGCTGCCAATCAAGAAGGTCAGACCTCCCTTCAGGTGGCCCATTTTTTTCCTCAGGCCGCGTCGCACACCAGAGACGCGCGTTGTCTGGCGTGATTCTTGCAGCAGGCCGCAAAGGCTATCTGCCAGCTGAGAACCGTTGCTTGCTGTGAAGGGTTTGGCTGGTTAGACAAGGTGGTCGCCTCGGCCCCAAACCCCACGATAGCGCGGGCCGGATATGTGTCTTGTGGGAGGTTTCTCAGAGACGGACGCAAACCTAACTCCATGTCGTGTGTGTATGCAGGCAGTCAGCACGACCAGGGAGGTTAGATTTAGACCTATCTTCGCGAGAGGGTCCGGCTGAGCTCATAGCGACCAAAGAGTGGGCGATTCGTTGGTTGTCTATAGCCAACACGAAAACCGACGAGGCGAAGTCAAAGACTTCAGAGCTACACAGCTTACCTTAAACACTACAGAAAATGCATGCCAGAAGAGTCACCCTATCATCATTAGCGAAGTTGAGCCGTCAGACTATTTTGAGTGTTCCGAGATTACAGCGTAAATGATAGCATGTCAAGATGATGATGCACATTCACCGTTGGTAATGCAACGGATGGGCCGTGGCTCGTGACCTTTCAAGGTATCACATACCACTGAACACGACGACAGCACAGCAGTCCAGCAGGGTGCAGGTACATCCAGAGCTTGATCTTCCATATACTTCGGGCCTGCGTGCCTTGCAAGCTGCGGCGAGACGGCGGAATGACGTAGAGCCGTCCTCTAGGTGGGGGCTTCCCCGGTTCTGGGCACTTAGGCCACCATCCTGCGTTGATTCATTGTACGGCCAAGTATTCCGAGTATATTGTGCGGCTTCACCTCGGGTCACACGGGCTCGTGCGCTGAGTGGATGCTGGCGAGTCAAGATATCTCGACTCATCCATCAATCGCATCTGAAGAAGCCTCAGCGAGATCTGCGCCAAGCTCACAGGGGAGAGGGAGACTGAGGTAGAAGATTAAGGACCTGGGGTGCACCGGCAGCTGAGCTGCAGGCAACGCGGTAATACCGTCGTGGGCTTGCATCCCTCGAGGTCCAATTTCGGGTAATCTACTTCTGCATCTCGGAGATTTGTGCTTTGGTACACTCGCAGAGGAAGCCACCAATTTGTTGGCAGCAGCTCAACGCAACCAAGGGCTTCCAAAGGCACGGAAGGCGGCAAGGCCCGGCACTAGATCCTACAAGATCTTGATTTGGCGGTGTCGGCTCGTAAAGAGGTGTTTGAGAAAGAGTGAGCCCAAAAAGAACTTTGCTACACTCCGGGGTCATCGTAAGGCTGAAATGAATCCATCTCACCCAAATCCCGTAGGGTAGCGTTCGGCAGTGGCATTCGCGCGACGGTTGCTTGGGCCAATGGCGACACGTTAAGCGTCCACGGGTGGGGTGAAAAGGATCAACAAGATCGTGAAGATGAGTATTGGGCCCGAGGACGATTCACCCGTGGGATCCAGCAGCCAGCAGGGGGCGAGGGGGTGGGGATTGAAATGTGGGGGCAGAGACGCTCCTGAAATCAAGCACGCTGACCAGTGAGGCCGTCCGAACGTGCCGCGAATCAGTTGCGGTCATTGCAAGTGTGGCTGGGAAAGGAGGCTGCGACGCGGCACGCCCTTTCGTAAGAAGAACCAAGTCGTACTGGAGACCTCTGGGAGTGATTCATCTCGAAGCGCCATTGAGAGGAGGGGGGGTTCCTCAAGGCCTGGGCAAGTCGGATCCGTAGTTCTAGAAGGGCCATCGGTTAGGGTTTCTATCTGTCACCTGTGGCCTCCACCACTGTATACTGTCTTCCCTCCTGCCCAGCTCCCATGGCTGGCTCTGGTACACTGAGCTGAATGATGATGAACGCTGTCGAACGATGACTGATGTATATGAAGCATGGGCTGGAGGCGAGGCTTGCCGCCCGCGTCCACCCTCTGGCCAATGCGTGATGAGGGCCCAGAGCAAGTCGTCTGTCGAGATGAAGAAACAAACTGGCCTGTCCGCTTCACGGTGTCAAGATTCTCCAGGGATGTCCAAAGTCTTGCTTGGATCATGATGATCGCGGGGCAACAACGACAGTGCGCAGTCTTGTTGGTCACGTTTCGTCCCATCTTATTTAATTATCGATCTCGAAAGCCGCGTCGCCTCAAGCCGAGCTTCGTTCGTGCTGCCAACTCATGAATCATCCCAATCATCCAAACCTAGATCCATGGTCATTGCTCAGGGGATCTCAGGGGGGCGGGCGCTTCTTGAGGGATATACTTATTATGCCACAGCACATCATCGCACCGCACAGCAGGGAAGAGACACACCGCGCGGCTGCCCAACAAAGTACAACGGCAATTGTTCAGGGGAGGGGGATGGGAGAGGTCTTGGGTCCCATCTTTCGTCTCCCCCAGCATCGACGCTCAAAGGAGTAACGGGCCGCGACGGTACCGTAGATGTCAGACTGTGGGTTGAAGCACGCAACCCAGACTATGATGAAACGGCGAGGATGGAGGAGCTAAACCAGTCGAGGAAGGCTTCCAGTGCAAGCGAAAGAAAAAGGCGGGGCCCCTAGCTGGGCACTGGGGGCCATCGGCCAAGGTGCAACTGCCACAGTTATCATGATGACAGTGAATAGCAGTGACGACCAGCCATGAAGCTCTGCGCTAGAATAAGCCCTTGCCGTGGGTGCCTGGCACCTCTGGCCACTATCCCTCATCTAATCTCTGGGCTGAACGGAGGAGGCCCACCCCTGCGATCCACAAGCTAACGGTGGGTAACACGCTACGTATGGTACTGCATAGTATTTGGTAGTCGGCGGATCGTCCCACCCCACTTCCCTTCCCTCCCTCCCAAATTACTATGGCGCTATCATGTTCAACGACATCACATCACATAGACTCACCATACTCTGGCCCTTGGCAGGCCCAGGATGTCAGACTGCCACCATACACCCTCCACGCTCCACAGCGTCTCGTCAGGCTCCCATGCAAGGCTGTGTTCATGTCCAAGAGTCACTTCTTCGGCGAGGCTATCCTGACCCTGACCACATAGCCGCATGGGTGCAGAGTCTCTCTTGTCCAACACAAGCACCGAGTCTACGTCTACGTGTATGGGGGTTTGAATTATGAGGCGACAGGGCCCATCTTTTCGAGCAGCTTTCGACCAGGTCTCCTGGAAGTCTCCGACGAGATGTCACCCTCCTTCTCGCCTGGCTTAGGCTCAGCCCAGCATGATTGCTTGGGCACTGCTTCTCGACCGAGCTTGAGCAGGCTCAGGGCTCCGCGGATGATTGTCGACCAGCTCGATTTCGTCTTCGCGTGAAGCAAGGTTTGGGAGGAAGAAAGCACAGTCCCCTTCACCCTCCATGGTCCAAGGCGGACAAGTCCATCTTATCTTCTCACCTGCCAAGCGCTTGTGTCTGAGTGTGGGATGGCGTTGTGGCACATCCTTTTCTGCCACCCCCTCCCCTGCGGCTAGCTTGTTTATGCATGTCAAGACTTTTTTATTTTATTTGGTGATACATCACATCAGCTTGCGGACCCTTCGGAACGTCTCGACGGCTGCGCTGTCGCCCTACTATTTCGGAACTCAACACCACCCCCCCTTTTTTTGCGACATGCAGGAAGACATGTCTTCCTGTCCTTCCTACCTTGCATTGCATGACTGTGCCTGCAGAGAGCTCGAGGCGAGCGTCGAGACTGCTTCCGCTGCTGTCTTGGTAAGATCTCCCCCCGGTCCAAATTCGATCTGCTCTGGGGCCATGTTACCTGCTTCTTCAAGCTTCCAAATCTTGGTTACCGTTTGCTTGACAGTGGGGTGTCCGTGCGAGGTCAGCCATGGAGCAAGGAAAGTACGATATACTTCCAACACGGCTGGCAAAAGCGACGGAAACACCTCATGACAGACTCGCTGCCGAGAAAACACGGACCAGCCGTGACAGGGGCATGTTTCTTTCACACGAGGTCATTGAGGACCTGAAGCCTCCCTCCAGCTCTCGCCAAGCACTTGCAAATGTACTTTGAGTAGTGGCGAGGCCAGGGTGGGAGTGAAGAAGGAGGGTGGGAGGGGCGAGGGGGGCAGGCCCTCAAGGCGCATTCTCAGCCGGCATTCAGTGCATATCCGTACTTGCATCACAACGATACTACGACATGTCGGCGGGGTACTGAGATCTGCCTCAGCCATGGTCACCCTCAAGAGGTTGTCTTCCTCATGCCCCCCTGCACGCCTACTACAAGGATGCCGGGGGTAAGGGCTTCAACATGTCGACCCCTGGCTATCTCTCAGCTCCCGCGGTTCCTACCCTTGCAAGTACACTGGCACTCGTCCTGCTGACCCAGTCTTTTTTTTTTTTTTTTTTTTTTTTTTTTTCCTTCTTTTTTCCCACCCCTGGTGGCTGCTCCAGCGAGGTTTCGCAACAGAATTCCTGGTGGACAATGCAGCGCACCCCACAAGATCCACCCTGTTTGTGTGTGCATAGTACCCAGTACCGGAGTGGACGCAGCAGTATGCTTCTGACACATGCTCATCTCCTTCCCGAGAGCCCACCCTGGCTAATATGCGGACTGGAACGACAGTACTACTCACACCCCTCCTTCCGGACTGTGAACTTCCTTCATTGGTCCAAGCCATGGGGAGTCTCGAAGACGGTCATGCTTTCGTCCGTGCAGTCCAACCCAGGATCCTATTGTTCTATGGACCACCGATGGATTCGCACGAAATTCTGGCAGTCGAAACGGTTCACAGTCAGATACTGCACCCAGCGTTTAGAGGTAGTCAGTCAGTCCTGTACCCTTTTGCCTTTACCCTTCCGCCAGCTTCTCTCCTACCACTGACCAGCATCTCTCCTGCCGCCTCCCCCTCGCTCTTGCTCTGAAGGTGGATGTATGAGGTCCAGAGCAATTCTGAATCTACAGACTCAACTGCTGACTTGTTCTCGAGGAGAAAGCAACTATTGCTCTTCCTCGCCCTCTGGCCCGAGCATAGGATCTATTCAACAAACTATCGATCTACATACCAGCAGACCCTTGGCCATCTTTCTCAGCACGTCCGCAACGACCTCCCCCTTTTCAAGGGTCCCGCCCAGAGGAGCTCACTGTCTTGTTGGTTCCGGCCTGCCATCTTTGCGGGCATTAGCCATTCAGCCGAGCAATATTGGACCTAGGCGCCCTCTTTGCCCAGACCTGTCGACCTTGACCTGGCCCCAAAACCGGTACCGGCTCTGCTAGAGAGAGTGCACCTTTACAGCCGAGAATAATACTACCACTCTGCTTCCTCCATCCAATTTGACGTGCTGGCCTCCGCGAAGATTGCCGAACCAGGATAAATTCTCTGGCCCAGGTACCTGGTACTTTCTCCACGGTAGCTTGGTGCTCCTTTCCCATTGGCGTTGCGGCTATCCGTGCAGGCCTTGATCATTTTTCCGCTGGGTCTGGTCTGAAAGTAACACACCCTTTTGGTTCCACTTTGTCTTATACTAAAAGGGTCCTCTCTCCCATAGGGACCAACCTTGTTTGCAAGTACGGCTATTTCTAGCAGTCTATGCAGACTGGGGGCTCGTCACTTCCAAACAGACCTTGTTGAGAATAATCAAACCCCCGCTGGCTCCATCGCTTCGCCGCCCCTCGACCTATATACGTACGCTTCGTGGTCCAGTCTCTGCTACCCAAGATTGATATCCCAGCTGACATACATTTCAACCCACTTCTGGTCCGAGATCAGATACTGCAGAGCCATCTCGACAGAACCATCTCCACGCTTGGCACCAACGCAACACTTACTGCTGGACATTATACACACCTGACCTGCCCGACCCAGCTCGAGTCTCGTTACGCTGGAGCAGTACGAGCAGGATACTCGTCTGATGTTGTGTTCTGCTGCTTGGACCTGATCTTCCTCTCCCCGTCAAATCGCCTTGTGGATCTTTGCTTTCGCCACGCCGTTGAACTTCGCAAGCGCAAGCTTGGTCTTCTGAATAGTTCGACCGACGCATAGTCTCTTGAGGAGTCACTCGGCACAGAAACGCGGTCGGACGATCCAGGAGAGTCGCTATCTGGTACCTGTGGCTAAAGCCTTCCGGTACATCCTAGGAGTCGATTTCTAAGCCTTCTCTCATCTTGACTTGCCGGACGAGGAGGTCATCAAAGTGCCGATACGCCTAAGGGACAGGCTCGACTCCTCTCTCTTATCGATTTTGACGTTCGTTTCTCTAACGAGTATTTGTCCCGTCGACCTGGCTTCATAAGCCCTTCAACCCACTTCTCCTAGGAGAGGCCAAATTGTCAACAAGAGTATCGACTACCGACGCTCTTTCCAAATGCTTGTTTCCAGGAAACACGACCCTAAGCAGAACCACTGGTCTATGAGCAAGTTCGAGGCTCTCTGCCACAGCCAGACCTCCAATCCACGCATGTCGCACCACTACGACGCGCCGGTGTCAACGCAGTCCGACTGGCAGGGCCAACAGTACTCTTACCTTCCACCCGGAGACAATCCTATCTATATTCAGTCCTACAACAATGGGCAGGCACATAACAACAATGCCGCCTTACACGCGCGGCCTCGCAGTGCGGCTGACTCCGGTGGCATGGACATAGACATCAAGTCGGAGGCAGGTACCTTGAGCCCCGCGCTCAGCCAGCGTCGAAGTGAAGACTCGCTGGGCCTACGTGCGCACAAGCAGCCTTCGCCAATCCCGGAGCAGGAAGAGACCCAGGAGGGACCACACGCACCAAATACGACAGAGTCTGTGGCTGAGGGATCTGTAGCCTCGGTTGCTACCTCCGCCATGTCACGGGGATCCAATCTTCTGCGCTCAGCCTCTTCGACTGGCCAGAGCTCAGAGCGGCCTGCCAGTCAGACACGCGATGACCCAGTCTGTAAGCAAGAGGAGGATGACGAATTAATTGACGATGATGACATGGACGAGGTGGACGTGACGCACGAGATGACGCCTGCTGAGAGAACAGCAGCAAGGAGGAAAATGAAGCGCTTCAGGTATGACAAAGCACGGGCAGATGACATTTTCTGGGGGGGTTGAGAGTGGGATGATATGTGCTAACGGGTGCCAGGCTCACTCATCAGCAGACACGATTCCTCATGAGCGAGTTTGCGAAACAACCACACCCAGACGCAGCGCACAGGGAGCGCTTGTCGAGGGAAATTCCTGGACTCAGTCCTCGACAAGTACAAGTCTGGTTCCAAAATAGGTACGGTACAGGCCTCCTCCCAGAGGACAATTTGCGGCTGCTGACCAGTAATGCATGCAGGCGAGCAAAGATCAAGCGCTTGACAGTAGACGACCGAGAGCGCATGATCAAGATGAGAGCTGTGCCAGACGATTTCGATAACATCCAAGCGCTGCATTCTCCTTACGGTGCCGTTCACGGCCTCAGTACACCCATGGGATCTCCTGTTAACTATGGACCCGGCTCCTACGGCGAACAACTCTTGAGAACAACGCTCGTAGTAGATGTCAGGCGAGCAGAAGGCGGGGACAGCGTACCATCTTCGGGACTCAGCCCGGCTTTCGGTGGTATCGCATTCCCCACATCAGCTTCCATGAGCAACCCTGATCTCATGTCACCAATGTCTCATGAATCTAGCGATCGCTATGACTACTCTGGCCATCTGACACCCTTGAGTGCCGGCCCGAGAACATCCAATCCCTTTACGCGGCAGTCCAGTCTCGACACAGGCTTGGGGATCTCCAGTCATCACTCCCAGCAACCAGTCCGACCTCTGCAGCCTCTGCAACTTCGAGAGACTCTGAACAGGTCCAGATCCGACACTCTCCAGTCTCCGCTACGGTCTAGCATGTCATGGAAAGGAGACTCGATCGATTACACTGCCTATCACGGCGGTGGCGGCAGCCCACAGCCATTGAGCGGACGGCAGGCGTCTGTCTACCAGCCGACCGAGCCGACTTCGATGGGAGCTTACGAGCCCAGCAACTATGCCGGTAAGTCTATGTGTGCAAATTGTCTCTGGCTACTTATTGAACAAGCACTAAATGAGGACCTAGGCTCGACTGTGTCGTCCCCTACCCATATGGGCTATCCTAATTTCTCGTCCAATTCTTTCCTGAACTCGCAACAGAACCGATCTCGCCTACGCGCCGCTTCAGCCACACTACCCCTTGGGCTGGACCTGAGTTCCCAGCGCCCCTTCTCTGGCGCTCAGCCTCTCCGGTCAGCGACGTCGCCCACCCACCGACATGTTTCGGCCACTTCTGCGCCGTACACAACCAGCTTCCCCACTGCTCCTCTGACCGCGCCAAGCGACTTTAACCTCCCGAGAACTCCTAGCTTTCCGGCGAGGCAGCCAGAGTACTCGTTGCCGCAAATGAGTGCGCCTATCGCACCATCAAATGACTTTTCACAGGCCTTCCAGGCGAGCATGACCTCGAGTGCCAGAACGCCAATGAGAGACTCGTTCATGTCGGCTGTCAAGAACAAAGACGAATATGGAGTTCCCAGAGGAGATTTCAAGAAGAAGGCGGGCATTACTGTTACTGTCACGCAGCCATGAAGAACTCTGATGGAAGAGGAGGGGTGTTCTTTTTTTTGGGGGGGGGGGGGGTTGAGCCCACGTTTGACACGATCCATACGTTGGGGCCAAGTCATCTGGGGTCATCTGCAGAGCTGTGAACTCTTGCATATTCACACTTTCAGTGATGGGATCCTCTATACGATTTCAGCAGGCATCCGTCGAGATGACATTGTCAGATCAGTGTACTGGGTCCACAGCGACTGGCATAACGCATCACCACGAACGACAACGTAATTGGGCTATGGAGGCCGGGTTTGAGGATCCAGGGGGGTCGGGGGTCAGTAATCGGTACCCAGCAGGACTTGGATGTGTGGAGCGCCAAGACGAAGACAACAAGGCAACGCACACGAACCAAAGCATTACTTCGCTCTATTCTTCCTATTTCATGCCCGTTTTGGCATGACCCGCTATCGACGGCTAAATTGCCATGGCGTATATTTCCTCGCGTGGTCGGGGTGCAAGGACCTATGGGGTGGCTGGCCGGGCTGGCAGCCCTGGAACAAGAGCAATAGACGTGCGACCACCTCGCAGGCTGGTCTGCTCGAAGAAGATCGGCGTCTACTTTTGTTTCCCATCTCTGCTGGAGGACAATTCTCTGTTGTTCAAGGACAGTCCTTTTGTTATTTCTCCCAGATGGGGCAACCTTGCCCAATGTGGTTTATTATCTCTCCTTCCGGCCGGCCGGCTGGCCGGCCTACCCCTTCCTCTCACTCTTTCTTTTTATACGATTCAGTTTCTTTTGTGCGTCTGATCCCCTTTGTCATCATCCACTTACGGGCTCGATGTTTTGCTTACGGTCTGAAATTGATATCTATGGTCTGGCGGGGCCGGGGTTCAGGGAGTGAGGAGACATAGCTGGATTTGTCTGTGTGCATTCTCTTTTTGGTAGGGAGACATCTGCTCGCCTATCAGTTGGAAAATTTGAAAATATTAAGAAGAAGAATACCACATTGTCGCAGCGCTTTCAAACTCTGCTCAATGTCACGGTCTACTTTAGTGATATAGGATAAAAACAATAATATCACTCTTCGAATCACAGCTGTGAGTGAGCATCTAGCTCATCTATGTAACTGATCACCCTATTTTTGAAATTTGAGAGCAGCTTCACTGCCCCCTCGGCTCCGAGATTTGTTGATTGCACACTTTTCACTTATATGGATGACCCCAAAGCTCCTTGTGTGTGTCCCATGACATAGCTCCCCAAACAGCTGACATACTGTCGAAGTTCATACCAAAGAGAAAGGAGACGAAGAAAAAAGGAGTGGCGACTGCTTCCATTCTCCGGGCCCCTCCCCCCTCCATCTTCCCCCAAACCTCCTCCCCTGCCCTCCCTTTTACCGCCACAGTCCCGGCTGTCCAACCGGGTCTTTTCAAATAACGTTGCAAATAAGATATTAAAGTTGCATGCAGGAACTTTTCAAGAAATGATGAGGCAACCTAACATCCCTCCTCTTAAACCCCCCCCCCCCACAAATAGAAATCACCAAAGCGTGCCTGTTCCGCCCCTGCTGCAGAAAGTCTATCACGAATAGACTTGACACGATCCTGAAGTTGCCGCCTCCATGCAGGAAATCCGGTGCCGAGCCTCAAAAGGGGAGGGAGGGTCCCAAAGGTTGAGCTGCGCATGAGCCAGATCTTCACGCTGGGGGCCCGCGGGCCTTACTTTTAGGAGGCGGTCGTTGGGCTAGGCTAGACAAGCTGAGGGGGGCTGGAGATATTGTGTCTCTTGATGATACATGGTCCGTACAGGAGGGTTTCTTGAGCTCTACCTTTGGTGATGATGATGGTGATAGTGGTGCTGTCTGTCTGTCTGTGGACTATGGTGACCCTGCCTCGTGGTTGGGCTTCGTCACTGAATTCTTATTTTTTGGGGGTGGGGATATCGGGGCCCTTGCTAGTCGTTAGAAAGCTGTTTACGAGGTGCAATGCGCCGATTGTGGCCCTGGCTACCTGGCTTCTACATACGAAGGCCTACGCGCGTACCGCGTCAGATCTGCCGAGGGAAGAGGAAGGGAGAAGAAGGAAGGAAAAGTTTGGTTGGCCCCACCCGGAATGCATGCCAGGGTCGCGGCATAACGGCTGAAAGGATGGACAGGATCCATGCAGGCAGGTCAGGTAGGGAATCTGTCTCTACATCATTAAGCATATCTCTGTGGATCGTACACGCTAATCGTAGGCATGATCAGGTCTAGGAGGGAGGAGACTACATGGTTATGCGGACCGGTTGGCAGGTTGATGGGTCCGACATCACAGGGGGGGAAAAAGGGGGGGGAGGGGGGTGTTCCATTCTCTGATGAGGAAATACTTACAGTAAGTATCAAGTACACAGCCATGAGAAAAGTGGAATGAACCTATACTAGACATTAGTGGTCTTACAAGGTAAGCCCAGCCGGGGCAAACACTGACCGAAATGGCGGCCCGTGTGTGACTTAACAAAGTGGTCAAGTACTTCACAGGTAACGAATGAGACGCCCGGCTGCCCTTCGAACCACGGTACTATGTTGAAATCTCAAGCACAGATGAAGTTCAGTCGCTAGGAGTCAGGCCTCAAGGAACCTGGGGAGCCTCTCATCGGTGTAACTTCGGAGGGCTTGAAGAAGGAGGAAGACGAGAGGAGCCACACGTTCGACTACAACCCAGGCCAGGTACGTATTGCCTCATGTGTATACCATGGTAGGCTGGCAAGGACCGGCCCTTGGCCCCCACCAAGGCTACTGTACATGACAGGCTCATGTAGTGTATGGAGGATAGCCTGAATCAGGCATGTATCAATATATTGTTGTAGTAGTGAGTGTGTGACCAGTAGTGAGCGAACTAGCCCAGTAGCCAGCCGGCCTCCTTCTGAGCGGCATGTTCCCTCCATCAAAGAGGGATCATCATGTACTACTACCTGGTGGCATCCAACCCCGGCACAAGTGTCCGCCGGGTGACATTTCAAGAGCACACAAGTGATGACCTCGTCACATCGCGTTCCGCCAAATCCAGCAAGGCTTCTGTCAGCAAGTCCACTAGAGCACACCCCTGACCTTCATGAACAGGAGGGGCTTGTCCTTCTTCTTCATCTGTCTATCTGGCCTGTCTTGTCCAAAAGATTGTCAAGCAAGAGAACAAGAGACAGCGCTGTGGTGGACATGCTATGCGGTGCAGCAGAAAATCATCAGTCTGAGAGCACAAACCTGTGGATTCTTGCTGGCTCGAGCTCTGTGTCCTGGTAGTACAGGCACTGCATCGTACGTCCTTTGGCGTTGTGGAAGGTATGACGAAGGAGCTTGTAAAGTGGTACTCTCGTCACCTTTGCTAAAGCGCCGCCCCACCTGACACGAGAGGGAGAGCTTCATTCCCATGGACCTTCTTTCAGTACAGGGCGCTTCAACAAGGCAGCCAGGTACTTTACTATCTTGATGTTCACGCAAGCAATCCCCTTTGAAAGGCTGATCTTGCGAAGGTGTCAAGGCGGTGTAACGCTGTGCGCGCCCAATGCTTGTTGCAACGGTTGTGATCTCCGAGTGGATACCACGATGGGACAGTAGCAACACGGGATGTTGCCGTGATGTACAAGGTAAACCTGTACCTCTCTGACCCATGTACCCCGGTCCCATCATTACTACAGTTGGTCAGTCAGGTGGTAGTCATTAGCAGTGCTAAGTAGGAGAGAGGGAGGGAGAGTCTCAGGAGGTCCAAAATGCACTCAAACCAGACAAAATCAATAGCTTGAATCACCTAAGAGGGAGAGAAACATGCAGAAGCCCCCAAGCAAGCCGGAGCTGAGAAGTCAAAGATCCGAACATGGCGCCTTGGCGCGGAGGAGCAGATTGCGTTTTGCGAAGATCCACTATGCACTCTCGGGGTATAGAACAAGACATAGATGTGATGAGGGAGCGTCTTACATGGTCCACCCAGCCGGAGACGTGGGGTGCGCGATCCGAGAGAGACGGAGAGAAGAAAGATGGGTCTGTGCATCTGAAGAAGAAGAAGAAGAAGAAGAAGAAGAAGAAGAAGAAGAGAGAGTGTGGGAGAGAGAGAGAGAGAGAGAGAGAGAGAGAGAGAGAGAGAGAGGAAGAAAGAACCCAAAGAGAAAGGGGCAGAGACAATTGTCGACGTGGGTTGAGGCGGCAGTTCTCCGACGATATTTGATTTAGCCGGGAGGTTAAGCCAAGCATGGAATGTCCCTACAGAGGTATCGTTACTCACCCGTTATGCAGATTTATCCAGAGGGTCAGGCGGATCATGATGTTTGAGCACTAGAATCTGAAAGGAAGGGGAAAATGTGACGGTTTTCCTTGTGGAATAGAAGTGAGGTATTGAAGAGGAAATTCATCACATAGGTTGCTGAAGGTCTTTCCATGTTGATATTTCAGACACAAACACTGCTACAATCGTGATGTAAAAGTTCACTTTTTACTATTGAGGATAATTAGAAATTTTGGCAAATGTTGTGGTATTTTCTACAAGTAAATATGCTTAAAAATGGTATATAAGTCTGAGGCTGAAGGTGTGATTAGAATATATTGTAAATATCTACATAATGATAAAAGACTTTAAATGCTTGGGGATATAAATGTTGAGGTTACTTGGTCAAATGATTATTCTGCATTCTACACAATATTGTGCAACTAATCAGCTCTCAGCTGGTTTGTTTTGTTGATAAAAAGGCTCGACACTATGCTACTCTTACTTGCTAAAATGCAAAGTAGTAGCAGATTAGTCAACACTACTGCACATCAGTTGTGAATATCAGAGGCAACAATTACCAGAGTGGTTTATATCAACAACTCAAGTGCATGACTGTTATTGAAGGTAGGGTGATTATGACCCAGCATGTTGTCCAACCTAAGAACAATCCCGATATATGAAAAAGTAGGTTGGAACCTACTCCCCCTAAAAGGCACTCAGATGCTCCAAATACTTCTCCCGTTGATCAACATGGGAAATTCGGGCTACATCAAGTAGTAGAGTCCTTTGCAAACCAGTCCAACGCAACTTGGACATCAGGCGGCGGCTACGGCCTGGCAAGGCTCAAATGTCTCTTATAAAGCATCTCGACCGCAGGGATGGGGAGCTGCGGGAGTAATATGAAAGGGTGACAATTAGACATTGACGTATGGCGATGAACCAGGAATATGATAATAATCCTGTTTTAAGCAAGTGTATTAGCAGTACTGTTGGGTGATATTGGAAACTCTGACAAGCTGCATTTTCCTGCATCAAGGAAGGGCCCACAACCTCTCTTTTGCACCATCATCCGCCAGTTTCTAAGCTCATACCAATTCTGACCGCCTGCGGTTTTCCGTTGCTTGGACAACTTACATGGTTGCTAGTCCGGTGTGACAAACGTATCGACGGGCAGACGCGACGGTTTTCAAAGCTCCAGGAACGGAACGACGCTGGGGATGACTCGAGATACAAAATTCTACATGCTTAAGAACAGAGGACCTGACCATGTAGAAAGGCAACTAGTGATACTGGGTTGGAATGGAATGGCCCTGCTCCTTGAGACCTTGAACATCCGCTGCCACCATCCATCTTCTGAATATACGTGGCAGAGGTTTAGGTTATATATGTGGTATTGGAGCATGTCACAACGAAGTGTTCCTCCGTCTCGTAAACTCCCTCGCCAACCCAAGGCCTCTATTTCATTCCCAAACATGTCCATGACAAGTGTCACCACCATGAGAGGGTGTCCAACTACCCCCAGAGTATCACTCAGGCAACCAGAATACGCCGTGTTCTCCATAATTATCAATCCTGTGTTTTACCCATGTGCCGACGACTGATACCCGACCTTTTGACCTCAGACGAGGCACTGTCGTCCTCGTCCCTGACGACCGCGCTGTTGCGCCTCCTCGGACCAGAAGCCGACAACCTTACGCTTTTGTTCTGGCCCAGCTCCGCCAGCTCATGCGCCGCCATGTCCTGATGCTGCTGCTGCTGCTGGCCACCACTACCACTCCCAGAAGAAGAAGCCTGACCCTCTACCAAGCCGTCGGACCATCCAGACGGTGGTGACCCGTCTCCCTCGGCGTCCACCACCACCACCTCATCCCCCTCCTCGTCCTCCTCCCCACTGCCGTAGCTCCCACCAACACTCTCCATCGTGAAGGGGCTCGCGGTCGGGGCGTCAAGAACACTCAGCTCGAGCGGTGTAAACAGCCGCGGGAGGAGCAGTGCACGTACAGGAATGAGGGCGAGAATGAAGCACGGGAACCCGACGGCGGCGACGGTCTGCGTGATGGCGAAGGTGGCGCCGAACCCGACCAGCTCGATGGCAACGAAGAGCCAGATGGCGGCACGGCGCTCGATCCTGTGGAGGGCGTGCGCCTTGTCCGTCAGGGCCCTGTCACGAACGAGGAAGAGGATCTTGGCGGTGATGCCGTTGCCCTCGAGGGCCTGGTAGCCCATGATGAAGAAGAGCCCCGCCAGGACGCCCTGTGGGATGAGATGCAGGACGACGAGGAGGGGGCCCGTCATGGTGCCGAGGGTGAGCAGGCCCTGAGCGAGGTTGGACACGCGCTGCTCGACGACATGGGTGCGCTTCAACTCCCAGTGGCCCTTGTTGTCGCCGCCCTCGTCCGTGTCGTGGACCACCTTGGTCACGCAGAGGGACTCGGTGTGAAAAGGCGCCTGCGGGATGAGGCCGTTGGGGAAGGGGAGACCGAGGATGCCGGCTACGCCCGTGGTCAAGCCTAGCAGGAAGAGGTCCCAGTGAAACCCGGCTGGTTTTTTGAGTGGGAACTCGGTGCCCTGGGCGATGAGAGAGGAGACTGTATTGAGGTGTGCGAGTGCGAGTGTCGTATTGTTAGTCATCGTTTCGGTTACACGAGAGTAGATTAACAGAAGGAGGAGGAGGAGGAGGAGGAGGAGGAGGAGAAGAAGTGTTCCCTACCATTATGGTCAAACCAGAACAGGATGGTCAGCAGCAGGGCAAACGGTATGGCCAGGAAGACATCCGAGACCCTAACGTCCCAAAAGTTGACCAGCCAGCCTCGATCCGCGGTCGGGAAGAAAGCCGTGCTGGTCGGCAGGTACTCGAGGCTGACCCCCTTCATCCTCCCGATATGTACAAAGCCCGAGAAGAAGACGACAGTCAACGGCGTGCCGTAGTCCTTGATAAACACCCTCACGTAGTGGTGGAAGAGCGTGCTGTTCCCCAGCTCGCCGCAGAAATAGGCAATGGCAAAGACCAGGATGGCCACCATGGTGCTCAGGTAAAAGGGCTCCATGTCGCCCTGCAGCACCAGGATCTGGACACCCTTCTGGAGGTAGATACAGGCCACGTAGAAGCCAAAGATGTCGCAGGGAAAGCGAGTCACGTAGCGCAGCCAGTTGCACGAGTTGGTGACGGCCAGGAGCCAGTGCATGACCAGAGCCCACAGCCCGATCCAGGTCATGAAGCCCAGGTAGTTGACGCCGGTCGGCGACATGATATCGTAGACGGTATAGTTGAAGACGGTGATGGGGCCAGTCACGCCGACTATGACGAGCGGCTGGCAGGCGAGGAACGAGAAGACGACGGAGCCCAGCACGGAGGCGAGGAGAACCTCATTGACACCATAGTTGGAATGCGTGCGTGTGAACATGTCCAGAGAGAAGGCCAATGCCGGGAGGATACTGGTGATTTCGATGTGGTCAGCATGATTTGTATGTCCCAATGAACGACGACGATGAAATATCACATGAGCGAAAACAATTGCTCTCCCCCTCCCCTCTCTTCTACCTTCTTCTTTTCTTTCCAGGGAGAGACATAAAAGTATTTCAAATATGGTGAGCAAAAGAAGAAGAAAGAAATCAGTTCGATTCATACTTTGCAAAATACATATACACCGTGGCGGGCACCACACGATAGTCCCAAGCATCCTTCCAATCACTCGGATAGTAAGGCGCACGACGGTGGATATCATTGACCATGCCCTGGAAGAGACGAATCTTCCACCACTTGGGACTCCGCGCTGATGACGACGACCCATCTGCAGCAGCATGTTGATGAGGATGAGACTGCGCAGCTGAGGCCCGGGAGAACAGCAGCCGCTTCTTGAGCCCATTGGCCATGGTGACCAAGTTGGGGCGGGACCGGGCAGACGCCGATTCCGAGTGTAGACTGTTGGGGAGAGGCAGAGAATCCGCCTGGGCAGCAGTAGCGTCAGAGACACTGTGAACCATGATCGGGCGGCGGTAGAGGAGGAGATGAGAAGAAATGAACGGCAACAAAGTTAGTAGCTAGTCCAAAAAGCCTCGTTTACTTCTTCATCGAGACGGACATTGGCATCATCACTTGTGCCAGTGTCGACGCATGCATTCGTGAAGGTCGAAGGTAAAGTGGGACCACAGATGAGGACAACGCCTGGCTTTACACGATGTTGGTGATCCTCAAGATGATGATTAAGTTGAAGGTTGTTTTCTTTTCAAGATGCTGCGTGTGGAAGAATGGAAACCATAAAATGAAAATGACGTTTACAACAGCAAAGTCTGGCGGCAAGAACCCAATTCTCGATAGGGGCCGCACCCGTTTTAAGCTTGTTTGTAATATTCAGGTTAGCTAGCCTGCCAAGCGATGGGTCCTCCGTCTTTCTAATAAGTCTTCTCAATGATAAAATGATAGTGATAGAAAAGAGCGAGAGAGAGAGAGACATTCCCGTGTCTCTTGGCCAGGGCGCCTTGACCGCATTTTGATCCCACTGCCGACATGAATAGCCGCCGCCGGCCCCGGGCAACAATTAGTGCCGTTACGGTACTAAATGCCACCTATTTACTGCCTATTCCCGGACATCACTAAAAGAAAGAGTCAGTCTTTACCTACTTCTTTACACGCTATTACGGCCAGTAGAGCACGAAGACAGGATTGTGACATGGTGAAAGCGAGGATTGGTTTTGTACAACGAAGAGAGTCGACTATGTGCCTCTCCTCCCCGCTCAGCTGGCTTCTTCTTCTTCTTTCCTCTCTCTTGGGCCATGAGCTGTTCTGCTCTGGTCGGTGTCGAACCCCCCCCCCCCTTTCCTTTCTATGTCTGCATTTCATGCATTCCATCCCAATCGCCAGATCACCGGTCCCACCCAGTGCGCCCCGAAATCTTTTGATAATTTATTTTTTATACAATATTATCCCTCCCCGTCGATCTTGTGTGGTCTTCTCTTCCCCTCCTTTTGGGGCCCATAGTGCCAGAAGTGCATACGCCAGTTGGTGGTTGTTGAGTAGAGTAGAGTGTTCAAATATTTTCAATACCAACCCGTCCTCTCCATTCCATCTCCTTTGTCACCTCTCACCTATTCCCCTTGAAAGCCGGCGCGCCGGCTGGAGGGTCATCGATGATACTACCTTCATTCGGCGGCGGTGGAGGTGCGCTCTTGGATCCGTCAAAGTACTTGGTGAACTCCTCCTTATCGGCAAAAGGTCTCGGGCCCAGCAGCCGCACCATGTCGTCGCGCGTCAGCATCTCCTTCCTCAACAACTCCTCCGCCACGATGCCGACCTCCTTCTTCTTCTCGGTCAGCAGGTCCTTGCACTGCTTGTACGCGACGTCCACAATGCGGCGGACCTCGGCGTCGATCTTCTGTGCCGTGTCCTCCGCGAAGGGCTTGTTGAACTGGTTCTTGTCCTGGTCAAAGTGGATCGGTCCCAGCTTCTCCGACATGCCCCATCGTGTCACCATGTTGGTTGCCGTAGCTGTGACCTTGTGGAAGTCATCGCTCGCGCCGGTCGTCACCGTCGGGAAGTGCAGTTCCTCGGAGATGCGCCCGCCCAGGGTCATGGCCATGCGGTCCATGAGCTGTTTCGTGGTCATGAGGTACGCGTCGCCCACCGGCAGGTACTGTGCGTAGCCGAGCGCGCCCTTGCCACGAGGGATGATCGAAACCTTGAGGAGAGGGTCGGCAAACTCAAAGTACCAGCCGCAGATGGCGTGACCCGCTTCGTGGTACGCTACTGTCCTCCTCTCCTCGGGGTTCAGCACCAGTGACTTTCGCTCCAGACCGCCAATAACCCGCTCTATCGCCTGCTCGAAGTGAACCATGGTTACGGTTTCGGCATTTGCCCGTGCAGCTGTAGAATACTTGTCAGTTATGCGTGTATGAACAGTGGACGAGATTACGAGACATACCGACGAGTGCGGCTTCGTTGACGGCATTGGCAATATCCGCACCAGAGAAGCCGGGTGTCAGAGCAGCGAGGCGCCCGCACAGATACTCCATATCCTCCTTGGTGACGATCTTGGCCAAGTGGACCTTGAAGATATCCGCACGGCCTTGCATGGTCGGCCTGTCGATATGGATCTGTCTGTCGAAGCGGCCAGGCCTCATTAATGCCTGGTCGAGCACGTCTGGCCTATTGGTACCCGCAAGCACCACGATCTGCTCCTGGGTGTTAAAGCCGTCCATCTCCGTAAGGATCTGGTTCAGCGTCGCCTCACGCTCCTCGTTTCCGCCAAAGTTCCGGTTTCCATCGGATCGGGACCGGCCAATGGCATCAATCTCGTCAATGAAGACGATGCAGGGCGCGTTCTTCCTGGCCTGCGCAAAGAGATCGCGTACTCTCGATGCTCCGACACCCACAAACATCTCGACGAATTCGGAGCCGCTGACACTGAAGAACGGCACGCCCGACTCACCGGCCGTCGCCTTTGCGAGCAGCGTCTTACCAGTGCCGGGAGGGCCAGACAAGATGGCACCACGCGGGATCTTGGCGCCGAGTCTCTGGAAGCGCTCGGGCTGCTTCAGGAACGCGACAAACTCCATGATCTCGACCTTGGCTTCGTCCATGCCCGCGATGTCGGCAAACTTGACCTTGACTGCGCTCTCGTGGTTGTACATCTTGGCCTTACTCTTGCCAAACCCGAACATACCGCCTCCGGCACCGCCGCCGCCAGGCCCACGCCGAGAAGCGTAGTAGATGAGACCGACGAGCAGCAGAGTCGGACCAAATGCCATGATGAGGTTGCCGAGCTGACTCTCGCCAGCGTACGTGACCGGGATCCTCTCTGTCGAAGGGATGCCGAGCTCCTCCTGCGCCTGATCCAGATGCCTCTCAAAGGTCTCCACGGAGCCGATCGAAACGTAAAAGTGGAAGCCCGGGTTCGCGGCCACGCTGTCAGGGTACATGGTCCGGGTGGCTTCCTGGTTCAGGTCAACCCGCACCTTGCGGCCCATAACCACCAACTTCTCGACCAGCCCCTTGTCCAAGTAGTTCCTCCTCAGCTCTTGCCAGCTGATGTCGCGCGTCTCGCTCGGGAAGACCATGCTCCAAAGGGGATAAAAGAGTGCAGCTGCCAGAATCCAGCCCAGCAGATCGCTCGTGTCCAGAACCCTTGGGTCCTTGTCCTGCTTGCCTTTCTGGTCCTTCTTCCTGCTCCCATCCTCCTTGGAGCCTTGCTGGCCAGCCTCATTTCCTTCCTCGTGAGACGTGTTTTCCTGCTCTCTGCCGACCCTCGGCTCGCTCGAGTCAAACATATCTGTCGCCGCTGTCTTGGCTTGCCTCTCCGCCAGCTTATGTGCTATCCTGATCGCCTTCATCGAGTCACCGATTGTCAGTCCGACGCTGGCCTGTTTCCGCATCAATTCCTGTAGCTCTTGTGGGGCGCCCGTCGTCTTGATGTGGCGGATGATATCAGAGAGGGTCTCGCGCTGCCGCACCGGCACAAGCGTGCGCATCTTGTCGAGCGTCTCGAGCTCCTCCTCGGACAGGAAAACCCATCCCTCGGGCAGCTTGGGCGGCTCATTATGGTTGCTCTGCTTCTTGTCCACCTCCTCTTTCGACGGGGGGTCCTCGTGCGTGGACTTCACCTCGCCGGTCGCGCTGTGGGGCTTTTTGTCGCCTTCTTTCGACTCATCCTTGGACTTCTCTGGTGGCGTAGGGTCTGTCGAGTAGAAACGCCGGCGCGGGAGGAGGTAGGCTGATGACGATGACGCAGGTGATATTCTTGGTATTCTTGCGCCGCGTGCACTTATTCTCGAGGTGGCGGAGAGGGAAGAGATTGCGATACGCGCAACCCGCCGCGCAGACGGTCTTAATATTGACGACATTACGCTGCGTGACCTGTATGACGGGGTGTGTGTGTGTGTTGTGTGTAGAACGGGGAGAGGGTCAGGTCAGGTTGCTGATGGTGGCGGAGGAAAGATGCCTGACTCGAGGAAAGCGCCCCGCGAGAGAAGAGGAACGTGGTCGGACAATACCCGCACTATCGCATACAGAGAGATCCACTGCAAGGGAATGGACTGTGAGTTGATCAAGAGAGAGAAAGAGAGGACGTTTCGAAACTGGGCGAGAGTGGACTCTGATGTCCCCGTGCCCATTTGATTCTGGCGTTGCGGCTCTTCCGGAGGTGGTTCGAGCAGCTTTCGCAAGGCGAGCTCGCCTGCAGAAGTCACTTTTCCAGCTAGTGAGTCCGAGCATCATAGACGGATCATGACTAAGCCGGAGGCACAGGTCCCTCTAATCCCGGCACTACTAAACACTTCACTGGTCTGTCCTAATTTTCATATGCTGCATTCCATAACCTCAATCGTTTTGGCTTCGGTACAGAGTATGAAAAGGCGAGAAGTAATCAAATTCAAAGAGAATGTGGCACAGTCAATGATTTGTATATGCACATATGTAGATAATTATTACTCTTTATTTTGTCTCAAGAAAACAGCTTCCAGCATGTGAAGTTGACAGCCGAGTACGGCTGCTGAGTGCGACCTCGTGCTTTTATTCCCATGCCGCCAAACCAAGCCAACCATACAAGAAGTGAGAGAGGAAGCCTACTTTCTCCCTTACATTCTGATGCGAACCAAGAGAACCGCTCAAACGCCGCATTAGAGTACCTACTTATCTCTCTCACCTGCTTCCATCAAAATTACCATTTTCAACACTCGGGTACGCGCCGCCACTCATCTCCGCCCAGTCCCAGTCGAAACTCATAGGCAACGAGTATAAGTCCTGCGGTATGAGCGGTTGTTGGAAGCCCTGGTTTGGAGCTGGCGGAGACTGCAGCGGCTGTGGTGGTAGGTTGTCAAGCTGTCCGAATCCAGTCAAATCTGCGAATGATGTGAATTCCATCGGCTCGCCAGCGCCGAAGTCGGTGCTCCATCCAGGAGGAGCGCTGCCTGGCGAGGGGCTGAGGCTGTTGGCGGTTAGCGGGCTGAAGTCCGCTCCTTCGCCGCGATTTGGAGGAGATAAGTGTTCCAGATTCTGGCGAGGCGTTGTTGTGTTCACCGCCATCGGACGGGGTGTTTGCGAAGATGTGGACGGAACAGGAGACCTGCCAGCTGTAGCCGTCGGCCGCGCGTTCGAGCTGCTTGACTTGCTGGCCTGTGATTGTTCTGCATTCTTCCGCTTCCGACGACCAGCGTTGTCCTTCTCTGCCTTCTCGATCATGACCTTGCTGATGCGCTCAAACTCTGAGCAGATTCCGAGCATTCGGTGCACACCTCCGGTCTCGACTTCCTGTCCTAATGCGGACAAAAAGGTGACTACCATGCCTAGCAATCTGGTATCGGACCGCGCTCGGGGATCGAGGGGATTTTGTAATATGTTACCAAACAAGGTCACAAGCGCAGAGACAGGGAAATAGAGCACCATCCTACTCATGTTAGTGCTTTTCTGTGGAGGGGGTAAAAGCATCTGCAGGGCGTGGGCCAGACTTACCAGACAACTGACGAGTCGCCTTCGGGTATATACTTGAGCAACGATATGGTTGCCCTGGCGGCGGAGGTACACAGGGCCGCTGAGTTGAAGACTCTAGGGTTTAGAGGCTTTGCGTTCAGCCCCTGGATGGCAAAGTTAGACAGCCGGCTGGTCCAGTATCCGCGGTGGATAGACATCCGGTGTATCGTCGTCAGGCAGTTGTAGTATGTGAAATGCAGCATGACAACGTGCAAGATCAAGGGCGTATGGGATGCTTGTATCTCGTTCTCGGGCCGGTACTCGATAGGCATCCGGTCCTTCCAATCCTCAAGCTCTTGATCCAGTTCGCCGATGGTCTGCAGAAGTTCTCCGTCTGTCTGCTTGGTGGCTTTCGTCGCGTACAACTTTTTGTAGACTTTACTCTCGATCAGGGCCAACTCGCACATGACGCGGAACAGATTCATCTTCCCCTTGCCATCGGCCAGAGGAATGTTGCCGATGTTGTCTTCGGGATCAGGATCCGGAAGGTCGACGTTCATATCGTCGTCATCTTGTGCGAATGGTCGACCCGATCGAAGGCAGAGGTCCTTGTCCAACATGTAGCCAATCCAGAAGACCCTTTTCCTCTGCTCAATCTCAATCGGGTTGAGATTGAAGCCCGTCCCCCGCTTGTGCAGTCCGATGTTGTGTGAGAGACGGATAGCAGTGCCGACAAGTAATGTTGACGGCTGTGGATTGGGTGTGCCCTGCATGAACAGTGCCATCCCCAACAGAGCTTGGACGCTCAGCAGGTCAGTATTGCGCATGGACAACTCGGAAAAGACGGCCATGGCGTTCTTCATATAGCCCCAGGCCTTCTCGTCCTCCTCTGCCGGTACCAAGTTGCTCATTACCCGTAGCCGGTGCGCGATCGCGAACGCAACGTTCAAGCTAGCCCACCATCCAGAGCCAGCATAGGGATCCTTTGAGTACTGCCTCTCCACCAGGTGCATGAAAGTGGGGCGGTGAAACAGCGGGAACATGCAGTTGAAATTATCGAAATAATCGTTGAGAAGCGACATGGCCTCGTGCTTCGGAGGGAGCGGAAGGAAGACGGGTCGCTGGAACAGATCAGCAAACACCTCTGGCTTCCAGTTGTTCCACTTGTGGTCATCCATGGAGACATGAGAGATCATCTGCTGAAAAGATTTGTCGCCCGTCTTTTCGTTCACCCACTGGATACCTTTGGGCGAGAAGATGGAGAAGCCCGACGAAGAGCCTACCAGCTGGTCAGCAATCATCGAGTGTCCGGAGCCAGCGGCGCAACCTACCTATATATCGAGTCTCGCCGGAAGTGTTGGTGACAAGTGAGCACATCATCTCGGACAGGGCTTCTACCTCTTCTTCATCCTCCTCTTTCTTCTGAAGGTCCACGGATGCGCGCTTCTCTTCCTTGAGAGGCTCAGGGGAGGTGATGGAGCTCTGGGGCGTCGATGCACCGCCTTCATGACCCGAGGCAGCCTGCGACGGGGAGGTGGGGTTTGACTGGGCAGCCTGTGAGGCTTGCCTTGACTCCTGCTTCTTCTCGGCGAGCTTCTTTTCCAACGTGCCCAAGTCGGTTGCACCATCGTCCTCACCAAGTAGGCCTGATAGGCATGGTCAGTGCGCCATTCGTACGAGGCCGAGAGCACCGGCAGTGGACACCGGATGACGCGGACGAAGGCCACGAAAGACGAGAGAGAGAGAGGAGAAAAGAGGAAGCCATACCTGAGAGTCGCAAGAGGCTCTCCATGCGAACAAGGCGGTTCTCGAGACCTTCGATGTATTTTGCGCTGCACAGGATTATGAGCTTGCTGTCTGTCATGCTGCCACCTCGGTCGAGGGCGTACAGGCCGCCCTCTGGCTGGAGACGAGAACTCACCCCTTGGGCGGATTTCTCTTCTTCTCGACCTGCGTGAAGACGCATTCCGTCTTGTAATTGATACAATGCGTGCATGCTGGCATCTTCCCGTCACACTTGATCTTCTTCTTTCTGCACATGTCGCAAGCCTGCGTGACAAGGGAAATTGAAATTATTCGTCAGCGGCCATGGGCTTTGTCCGAGGGTACTGGGGTTACCAGGTCACTCACCCGTGCAATCCTCCTCCTCTTGGCCTCGTTGGCATCGTCGAGCAGGGCATTTGGGTCGCCAAACATCTGGGCCGTGAGCTCTGGGGGCAGGTGCTGCATTGGCATGCTATGGTAGCTTTCTGGACCGAAAATCTGAGGTGGCTGGTTCATGAGCGGCGGCGGTGGTGGCTGAGCCATGGCCGGCATCTGGAAGCCAGCGATGTGGTGGTCCATGGTGGGCAGAACAGAGAGACACGGCAGAGTAGAGCAGTGCAGAGCAGGAAAATGATTTCCAATCCTTCCAGGCTCGGTCCCCTGGCGAGGTACAGGCCTTATAGATGCACTCTGAGGCAATCGTCGGTGATCGGAATCGCGTTCGAGGTTAAAGAGGTCTTGAAGCTGTCGTATGCGCCCGCCTGCGGTAGCAAGGGCCGGTGTCGCGGTAAGGTGGCGGGTTGGAAAGTGGTTGTCGTGGTTGTGAGTTGGGACGGGTCGGGTCTGGTCTATGATGGTGACGTTGGATTGGATTTAGGTGTAAGTGCTGCTTCAGTGGTGGGCAAGAGGCGCAGATGGAACCGGCAGGACAGTGGCTAGTGGGTACTTGTTGCAGATTCAAGGCCCCAGCATCACCCACGCGGGAGAGAAGAAACGCCAAGCACCCCCCCCAGTTAGGAAACCACCACTACCAACTATGCGGCAGCAGATGCACGCAGTGATAGTGAGGGCAAGGGCGAGGGCGAGGGCGAGGGAGGGGTAAGGTACCTGTATGGGTAGCGCTGATCAGGGGAGGCGAGCCTGGACTGAATGATGAAGAGACTTGTGCCACCAGCGGGCTGGTACCATAGTACTTGTTCTTGTCTCGTCGTGTTCTAGTCAACGTGCTGCCATGCTGCCAACTTCCCCTTCCCTGGCAGATGGTACTTATTCCCACACCTTTCCCCCCCACCAACCTCGTGAGGCCTTGCTCTTCCAGGCATGGCGGCCGTCTCAAATCGCTAAGGCCCCTTGGCTGACTCGGACTTAAAGCTGGCAGATGGGTCCGTAAACCCGCCACAACGTTCCTGCGGCGTGAACGAATACTTCCAGGCCCTCCCCCTTCAAAGACCTTCTGGAAGAGCGAAATGTTCAATATCATCAGGTGGTGTAGTGTCAAGACACTGATGTCTAATCTGCCATAATTCCAAGATGGTCGGAGGAATGAGAAATGGGAACGAGACGTGGGATTTAGAGGACGAGTGTGAAGAGAGGAATGCGGGGTTAAGTCATGGCCAAGTCCTCCTACGCCTTTTACTGAGGTTGTTTAAAGTACATCACAGTACAAGCTCCGTTAAGTGAGACCTTAGAGAGGCAACTTTGACTTGGCAAGAGAAGGCTAGAGTTGCGGATCTCCTCTTCTACCCGCAGCGATCTATTCATCACCAGCTTGCCAACGCTATTAATGCTCGGTATAGTGTCACCCTCCCCTCCCCCTCGGAAAAAGAAGTGGTGCACGTCCCGCACTTTCTCAAAAAGTTTCCAGCTTGCTCATATGCAATCTAGTTAGTGAAAGGTAGGCCAAGCATATCAGACATCAACCTCGGGACAGATTGAGATGAAAATACTCTACCACTAATCACAACATTCGTCAAACCCTGAATCCAATGGGTAAACATGCTGAGAATCCGGGAGTCGACTTCTATCCCTCGCACTCTCTGCTTGGCTCATGACTTCTCATTCTAGCACCACTCAATCAAAACAACTAAGTAAATCACGCCATGGGCTCCAGAGCGTCAGACCCACCAAACGCCAGCGCCATCATGTGAAAGGCCTTCGAGGATCACACAAAACTGGCAGTGCCTGGCACAACGGAGGCAGCCTAACCGCCCAAACACCCCATTCATGCAATGAAACATTCGCCGCATAGAGCGTTCCGGCCAATTCTCGGGGCAGATTTGGTTAGAGAAGGGAAGGAGAGAGAAAGCAGACATTTGACTATTTACCTTGTACAGCAGAGTCCATTGATCTGTGGCTGCCGATTCGGCCCAAGACGATTGTCCGCCGGTGGACGAATTCGTTTCATGAGCATTTCCCATAGACACTTGAAGAAATGTAAGCTATAACCGCCCTCCCTGAGTGGAGATCGAGTGGCTATAATTTTTCCATGTACCCTTACACAGTGACGGTCCTTGTCCACTGGGAGGTGCAGCCGACGATACTACTGCTTTCCTGATGTCGCCGCCCGCTGGTTCGCCGTGTCACCGACGAATGCCAGGGTCGATGACAAATTAACCTTTTATGGCCGCCGTCCAGAACTTCGTCTGCGAACTAACAGCTCCAGCTGGTCCGGGGCTGAAGCTGCAGTGCATGAGTGGTTCGGCACGCTGTCCCGTTGCAATCTCGGGCTCAGATTCAGAAGGCCCCCCTCCGCCTGTTACTGAGCGGGCATAATGCAGCCACAATTTATTCTCTCTCTCTCTCCCCCCCCCCCCCTCTCTCTCTTTTAAAATAAAATTGAAATAGAGTTCACATGCTGTAAATCACCCAGGAAGGGTGTCAACACCTGACTCTCTCGCCAAGCTACTATTTGCTCGCCAACCGCTAATTTCTTGGGGGCCGTGTTCCGGCCGTCCAGATTGTCAAAAATCAAGTGGGTTTCAATGCATTAGGTCTTGCAGATTGTTACTGTGCCTGCATGACTGAATCGGGGAGGCAGTGCATCGTGACAGATGTCGTATGACGGGGGGAAGAGGAGCCAGTCCTCCGTCTCTCCGGTTTGAAGGGACCAGCCGGGGCCGTCATGCCTGGAGCATGTGGCATCAGGGGTCTGTCTGTAGGTCTACGCCTCATCCTTCCAATGCGTACCATGCTCTCTGTCTGATGTTGAGAAAGATAGAGAAGAAGACAAAGAAGAAGAAAAAATACAAAAATGGGAGAAGGAGAAGGGCAAGGGGATGGGATAAAGAAGAAAAAGGAGAAAAATACTTCAACCTCCTCAAAAAGGTCGATACTATGGTGAACCTCAAGCAGGCTAGCCAGCCTTCATCACGATGCACTCCTTGAACCAAAATCAAATAGTGTGAAAACTTGCGCCGACTACACCACCACCATCGTCACAACGAATCCAGGATGCTGTCAGCAGCGTCTAGCTCGTATTCGCGAGAAGAGACCAACACTGCCCCCCCATCCTTGAAGTCGCGACGCACGAGCTCGCATATTTTGTTTCAACCCCAACCATGACTACCAACCAACCAACCCAGTCACCTGGAATCCATCCAAAAAAGCTTGATCTAACGACACAGACGAACTGTATAACCAGTACTACCGTAGGTAAGGTCATGAATTTTTCTAACGGCCCACAAACAGAATCATTATTTGTCACTGGACCACCAGTGCCCCTCTTTCACTTGACGTCTGTGCAAGCGCCCGAATGCCCGCACCACCCTCCCCTCCCCCCAGGCTAAGAACCGTTTCACGTCTGTCTCAAGAGCCTCAACTCAACGTCTACGCCAAGTGCGCACGCACTTTATTGGCTAGGGGGCACAGTCTTGCGCAGCCTCATTCTCCTCAAATGTCCGTTCGCGAGGGTCCATCATGGAGGCATCAGAGCTGGATGTGAGCGAGCTCTTGGTTTTGCCAAGGGTTCTTCATACATTATCCTGCCCAACGCCTCATGAAGAATCATCCCTGGCACCCCTCATCCTCCTAACGCCAAACTCATGATCTCGTGATCATTATGCGCATCTCTCTTACAAATCATCGGGTGTAGCCATTCTGACCTTGTGCTCGGCACGTCTCTGGAGCTCCCGCTGAATGAGGTCGAGCCATGCCTCAAGATCTGATACCGTACGGACCCGCGCATTTTCACAAGTCAATACGCCAACTTTGCGCTCCTCCTCCTTGTGCTCCTGCTTCCGCTTCTTGCAAGTTCTTTGCAGCTCGAGATCTGTCTCTGTCAACCACGATTCCTCAAATTGACTTGCTCATACTTGTTTGTCCTTACCCTTGCGACTTGAACAGCTGCTACCGCGGCCAGAGTAGTAACAGTTGAGACAAGCCCCCTTGAGGCGCTCATTCTCAACCACAATACACTCATAAGCGGACCTCGGGACTGATGGGCAGTACAGTTGATGCAGGATGTCTTGTTCTTTTTCTCGGCGTACAGGTAGAGTGTGATCGCGTAAACGCGTGATACGCGGTTAAGATCGAAGCTGGCAGGCTTGGGCTCTCCCTTCTCGTAAATTACTTTGGGTTTCCACAGCCTGATAACAGTCAGCATTATTAGTAGCCTTAGTTAGATCTCATTGTTTTTTGTTTTTTTTCTTCCCTGAAAACCTGGTGCGTAACTACTGTACCTGAGTCTAGGAGCAGGCGCGCAGGTGGTTGACAAGCCACGCAGTCTCTTGCACCTCGTCCACGCAGCTGTCCCATTCCTCGAGGGCAAGGGGGAGAGGTTTACCCTCGAAGAGGAACTTGTTCTGTGGCTGGGGAGGCATGATGCCGATAATGACGAGTACTTGAAGCCAGAAAGAGTACGGGTAGCTGGTAATGGACCCAACTCGATCAAGCGCGTTCGAGAAGTTGAAGATGGGAAGAGGGTTGAAAAGGAAATAGAGGTGGACATGACGTTAAGTTAAGTTCAACGAAAATTCGAGTCTTGATACGTCGTATCACTAAAAGTAACTTGTGACTATCGTACCGCCAATATCGCGGGAGACACTCGCATTTGCATCCAGCAAGATGTATCAATGAGGCTATTTTTTCTCCCTTCCTCCTTTTTTTCCTAGGTCAGGCTCTGGTGTTGGTGATGAATCACTGTGAAGAGGCATGTCATTGTCAGTTTCTCAGCAATGCCTAGGGGAGGGCTCGGGAGTGTCTGCTTCATCCCCACCCCCCTCCCAGCAGGCCCGGCAGGAGGCTTCTCGGAACAGTCATCGACGCACTCGAGCATCCTCTAGAAGACCACTTGGGCTGGGATGAAGAATCAACAGAAGATCCTCCTATAGAAGCCGTGGAAATTTCCTATATTGCCTTCTTTCATGGGAAAACGTTAGAGCTTGTCCTGGCTCGGTGCTTGGCCGTTATGTGTGTATATTGAGTGATGAGTATCATTTAGTTCACCCCGTATAATTTTTCCTTCTTCTCTTTCTGCACACCCATTCTTGATTCCTTCCTCCCCAAACAACCATTTGTCAGGTTTCCGACCGTGCCTTGGATGGTGTGGAGTGGTCTTTCGTCGTCGTCAAGATTCGGTCGATGTTGAAGCAGGCAATCGGGCTGGCAAGACACTTTCCTCAGAGCAGTGCTCAACCCAAGCATGGAAGCCTCAACACGTGTAGGTAAAGGGGATATCTACAGTGTGTAAAGGATGTCGAAAGGGTCACACCCAGACAGGGCGGAACCAAGGCCCAAGGCCATACCCTCAAACCCTTCACGCGCGGCTACCATTCAGAACAGCCCCTCCAGCAGATATGACCTGTTGAGAGCCTGCTGCACCCACGCGCTGCCCTGAGCGCGCCTGCCACCTGGTCACGTATTTACCGGACCCCAACAGGCGATGGGACCAAGTCTACGACTTCGTCCAAGCCATGACCTGCTGTGCACGCGGGGCCGCAACGCAACCTCCGTCGCCGCCGCCCCCAACATGCAACACTGAGGCCTCGAGCGGCTGTCCAGGCACTCGCCCAAGCCCTCAAGCCAGCTCACTGGGGCCAGCTGAGGGAGGTGAAGAATTGGAGAGACCCGATTGCCACCTTGCGTACCATCCCGTGGTCCTTGTTATCGGCCGAGTGGTGCCGGAGGGTGGGAAGGAGGTAATATTGGGGCCTACGCCTTGGAAAGAAAGGAGCCTACCTAGGAAACGACAGGCGAGGCAATCTCCCGCATCCTGTAGGCAGGAATGGAGACATGATGCCATCACTCTCAAACGTCGTACGGGCGGCTACTTTGATCCTCTTCAACGTCGTAGGCCAAGGAGTATGGTGAGCAGTGCTCCAACTGCACCAAAACCATACAAAGCTGTGACTCAAGCGTAGGAAAAGGAAAGGAGACAAAGAGAGGGGGGGGGGGAGGGGAGGGAGAAAGGAAAAAGGGGGGAAAGAGGAGGACGAGGACCTGGATGTACGACGTCGTACATTATCTTCTTATTAAAAATATCATCCTCGGCTCGCGACAAACGCCCTGGCCAGATGGCTTGTGCGTACACCTTGACTTCATCGTAAGGAGTGTGGACTTCGTGTGGAGCAAAGTGTTCTTTGTCATCTCGCGTATTGAGGGGAGGGAAGAGGAGGGGGGGAAACGAACTCCTGAGCAGTCCAATCCTCACCCCCAGGGCATCTTTGGTGGGGACCTATTGAGGGAGGCTGCGAGCACACTTGAGGTGTCAGGGATGAGGCTGATTACAACAAACACAAAGAACAAGAACCCGAAGGCAAGAGGCCATTAGCAGGAAGTTTCCATGCAGGAAAAGCAAGGGTAGAGGTCGGTCCCTCACCGGACCCTGCTCACCAGGAAATGTGATTCGCCGCTATTGTGTAAAGATTATGTACACAGACTCACACGAGGGTGAGTCTGCCATTTGCTCTTACAAAGCCCCATCGTTGTTTTCCCCCCTACCCTCAAATCAATGACCTGGCCGAGGCACAGACCAGGCTGCAAATCCTGACCTTCAAATCTCTCTTCCTCCTTTTTCTCTCTCTGCTCCATACAGTGTCCGATCGTCGTAAGTGCCCCCTAGAAATGGTATCCAAGATGATGAAAGCAAAAGAACGCCAACGCTAGAGAGCGCCCTCGGACACACATCAAGCTGCGCCTCGCCCCAATAATAAAAGAAGAAAAAAAGAAGAAGAAAGACTAGGTTTCAAAACATTAGAAAATATGGTGTGGTGTATATGTTCTGGTCATGTACAGGACACAAGGAAACAAGAATGGCAGTCAAGGTGTTGTGAGGTGTCGTCAAGAGATGGAATAAACGCTGGGGCTGAAGCACCAGCATCAAGAAACATGCTCGGTGAATCTGCCCGAACCGCGAGAGTCGCGTGATGCCGCGCCGTCGCGGGAGTAGTCCTGAGGAGCAAGTGTCCTGCCCACGGCATCGCGAGAGAAGCCTTCGCTGTGAAGGGTCTGGCCAAGCGCGTCCGGAGAAGGGAACGTCGAGCTGCGAGGTAAGGTGGGCGAGTCGATACTGCTCGGAGTCTGGCTGGTGACGGGGGTCCTCCGTGGGCCTGGATGCATGGTCATGATACCAGATTCAGGTCGCATCGGAGAGCCAAGAGTCAGCGGGGTATGGTTCGGGTCGAAGACGGCCATCGAGTCGCGGTAGACTGACGCCGACACGTCGCTGCCCTGACTGTTCCTATCATTGCGGGGGTCCGTATACCCATCACCGCCGTACTGGAGCACAGGAGGCAGCTTTCTTCCAGACACCCGGACGAAGCCTCGCTCGGCCATTTCCGGACCGGATCCGGCTCGTTCCCGAGAAGTGCGCCTGCCTGCCAAGGCCGCGATAGACGCACCAACTGAGTGCTGCTGCTGGGCTGGCCGCTGCTGCATAGTGCCATATGCGCCGCTACCGTCATCGTTTCCGGGTGTAGGAGCGGGACCTATGGCCCTTGCGGCCGCGGCAGCCCCATCGTCTTCACCCGACAGCTTGAGGTGACACCAGCCGGATTTCTTCATACGCAAGATCATGAAAGCCAATCCGACCAGCAGCGCAATGCCCGCTATGCCACCAAAAATCCCTCCTACGACCTCGCTGGTCTGTGTGGGCACGCCGCTGCTGCTGGAAGACCCCGAGGACGCCGATGTGGAGGTGGAAGAGGAGGTGCCCGCGGAAGCAGTAGAAGCGCCCGACCCGTCGCCTCCGCCCAGACTATACGTGGCAGAAGCTGATTCGGCCGCGGACGACCATCCTGTGGATGACGAGTCTGAAAGGCTACTCCATGCTGAAGAGGAGCTCGAGGCGTGGGCCGAGGTTGAGCTGATTGTCGAGCTTGCAAATGTGGTCGAGGCGAGGTAGGAGGATGGCGAGGACGATGCAGACCCCAGCGAGCTGGGAACTGTGGAGCTCGAGGTTGTGTTCAACGAAGAAATTGGTGTCGATAGTGATGGTGATGATGACAGAAGAGAGGAGGAGGAAGCGAACGAAGTAAGAGATGCTAGAGGAAGGTCAGCTCTATGAATATTCACCCCGGTGGGATCAGTTCGTGGGCCGACTCACAAGTTGTCGAGTTAGAAGTGGAGCTGAGGGTAGAGAAGGATGACGACGACAGCGGCGACGACGATGATGATATGTGCGTTAAGGACAATGCTGCTGGTATCGATGTGGTCGCCGCAGAGGAGGACAGGCCGGTCTCAGAAGAAGAAGACCCCGTCACTGTCTCAGACGACGAGGTCGCCGTCGCAGAGTCGGCATCAGAGGAGGTAGTAGCAGCGGCCTTGTTGGCAACATCAAGCGTGCTGATAGTCGAGCCCGTCTCGGCATCTACCAGTTGGGTCTGTGAGTCCCCAGCCAGGGTCTGTGCCGAGAGAGTCGCACCGGCGCCATTGATGATTTGGACGACGCTGACGGTCTGCACGACCTCGGTGATGGTGGTATCCCGGGAATCCAGGACTGCTGCTGCTGCTGCGGCGGCGGTGTCGGCCCTGCGATTGTGGAACTCCTCATGAGAATGAGCGTGGGCGTCGCTGTGAGCCTTGCGGTTGTGTAAGTGTGAGTGACGGTGGACGTGGTCAGTCTTACGGGCCTGAAAGAGTGAAGACCCGTATAATAAGTTAGTCATCGCGCTGGGCGGTTAAGAAGCCACGGTGCCTCCTCTAGCAGACAGACAAGGGGTGTAGAGTCTGTGCGGGCCGGCAGCGAGTGGACCTCTGGATCCCCTCTCCAAGAGGGGGAGTCGGGGGGAAAAAAGAGAGAAATGAGCGTGTAGGACGAGGGATTGGATGCTGGCGCTGCGCGGGGCAGGTAGATCAGCATGGGTTTCCCGTATCGGTAGGGTCGAGAGAAGGTCCGCGGTTCCGACTAGGGGTGGATTGGACCAGACGACGGAGGCAACGCTATCGATGCAAGGCGCAGCAGCGCACGGCTACCACTATGAAAGGAGCGACTGTGAAGCCTGACAGCAGTGGCGGCAGCACGGCAGCGGAGCGAGCCTGAAAACGCTTATCGAAAGCTTGTTGGATGGATATACTGAAAAGAGCGATTGGTTGGTGCCAGGACCATTGCCCAGCGTGTGCTTGTGCTCGGGCGGTGCGACTGCGATTGGTTGGCGCAGGCCTGTGTGTGTTTGGGAAAAAGGACTGGACGGAGTCGGCAGCAATATGAGATGGTCGATGAAACGAGAGACGTGATATCACAATCGGTAGTGATGTCGACGTCGACCTATCTCCTCTGGTACTGGACTCGCAAGGTTGTTGGGGTGGTGATCAAGGCCGCGGACCCGCCTAGCTCATTGTTGTCGTTCGTTCGTTCGGTTTTGTTCAAGAGGAACCTGTTGTCTTAACTCCAACCTGCGTGGCAGCGCTCTGAGAATCGTAATCGAAATCGGGAACCGGAGGGTCTTCTTGCTGTTTCTCGGCCTTGTCTTTATTTGAAATCTCTTGTATTGTCTCTCTTCCTCTTCTTTCTCAGCTCTCGCAACCGCTCCTCATGGTCGATCCAAGTGATGAGGTCAACCACGCGTGGGAACGTGCCTCACGATCACTCTTGATGGGAAGGGTGGTGAAGTGGAAGGGAAGGGGAAAGGAAGGGGGGGGGAGGAAAGAGGAGAAGAAAGACGGGATAAGGTAGGTAGGATAAGGAAGAGAGAGGAAGAAAGAAAGAGGGTTACGAAGTAGAGTTAAAATTGGATAGGAAGCACCCGACATCAAAGTACAAGGCGGTCGCTAGAGCCGACATTGGGCGATGGGGGCATATGGAACGGTTTAGTGGATCAAGGTCGCCAGCCCGCTGTGGGTGTTGTCGTGTGGGCGGGTTGTGGGAAGGAGGTTGGGGGGGGGTTGGAAGGCAGAACATGAGCAAGCAAGCATAGGATCCTTCCTTTCCTCAGCAGGTCCAGCGTCTATGCCCTCACCAGCATCGTTCTGCGAAGCAGTTGCAGGTGCAGTGAAATGCAATTCAGAAGGAAATGAGGGTGTCGTGCGTAGTATCGACTCCGCAAAGTACGTCTTCATCTCATTTCGCTACTTTCCCAAAGTGGACGCCCACGCACCAACCCCACTGCTCGTCCCATCCTGATTGGCGGAGTAGGCCCCTGTACGGCTCGTGGATGGCCCCGCTGGTGCATCTATCCTTGTTGGCTCATGCCCCCCCTTCTGTGACAGTCCTGGCATGTACCCGTAGCCACATTACCGGAGTGTGGTGATGGCGTGCTGGGCCGGGGGTGTCCCCTGCCATACTACGTGCCATAGCACATTCATTGTACTATGGTAGGGTCACCTCAGGCCATTCAAGACCACCGGCCGCTCGCCTGACCGACCGACCAACCAACCAAACCAGCTGCACCTCTTTCTTTTTTGGAGGGGGCAGTCCCCTGGATCAGGCCCTGGCCCCCATCGATCGTTTCTCTGATCGTGGCCAGGATCAACCCGGGGGCCCCAGACAACCTTGAAGACTATCACACGACGCGAGTGGTCACCTTTTTTGAGATGACGCCAATTTTGTAAGATGATAAAGTCTCTCATTAGGAGGCTGGAAAGCCAGTTATGACGAGTTCTGAAGCCTCCCACTGATCAGCACTCTTGCACTCTCTATTGTCATTAGTAGTCGAGAAGCACGACAACCCCTTTCACCATTTATTACTTGTGCCTGGGACTGGGTTGAGCCCATTGTACTACTACTATACTACTAGCATCCTACCATAGTATGCACCACGGTTTGTGCCGCTCACGGTCGGTGGGGTACGTACCCTGGTACTATGGTAGTACATCAGATCTATGCTGCAGATGGCGCGGCGCCAGAGAGCAGGACAGGCCAATCCTGGTGTAGCAGACTTCTCGTATTCACTGCGGTTTGAGGCCCGCCACGGGTCCTCCTCTAGCCCCAGTGTAGGCCCCTGTGTTGTGTGTGCCTCCTCTTTGGCCGTTCCAGGTGACCGGACCAACTCTCAACTACTGGTTGCTAGGATTTGGGATCGTGCAGCTCGTTGCTGCGCGTAAGCGAACTCTGGTCCCCTTCCCCTACTGGTCCTATTGAAGAAGGTGCCCTGTCTCCTGGGCCTCGTCGTTGCCCACCGTCGTCCACTCAGTCCAGCCAGCGGCAGCGGCAGCGGCAGCGGCGCGGCAGCAACAGGCCCTCATCTCGGTCGCACAAAGGAAAGTAAGAAAAAGGATTGAGCTGTCTGAACCATGGACAATTTGTCGGGCATTACTGGCCACAAGGCTCTAGGAATGCTGCCGTCGTCGTTGCCCGCCCCCCGCCCCCCGCCCCCCGAGAAGTCAATCACGTGTGGTGGCATCCGCGGTTTGTGTGATATATTGTACCATAGTAGTATGTCGAGCATCGGAGCTTCGGACTGTTTGGGGTCCTTCGTGTCGTGTGTAGTATCAGGGGATCCAGACACGAATCCAAATGGTTGGCACACCAGATCCCAATCAAGACGTCGTTTTTGTTTCAAGCGTACAGAAATATCCACACCCTGGCACCGTTCTGACATGGGCCAGTTGTATCGGGATTCGGCAAGGTCTGAATAACTGTTTGTTTGGTCTTGACTTTTGATTCCATTCTTTCCGTTCTTTAAGTCACCATGGATCAAAAGTCCTTTTCGCAAGGATTGACCATCAGAAGGGGACTTGTGAATTGTCAGTACACAGTAGAATTTTGGTTTCCTCTTTTTTTTGTTTCCTTTTTTTTTTTTTTTTCTCAACCCAGAAAGCTATAGCACCCATTTCGGGATCAACTACTTGGTACGGTAAAGTCTGTCTGTCATCCACAGTAGATCTCATTACATGACCCCTGCTAATGCGTTCATTCATTCCTTCACGGCCACCACGGTCGGATCCTAGATTGTCTGCGGTTTCGCACCAAGTATCATCACCAGACTTGATCATGACCAGTATCATGTAGCCCTCAATCTTCACCATTCTTTACATTCAAAAGGACCATCCATACATATAATGCACAGGCCCTTCCCCCATGTCCTTCCCCTATCTTTTCCCTGTAGATATGTGAAGTCAAGTAAAGCAAACTGTGCCAATAAGCAAAGGCTTTACCATGTATTTAATAGTTTATTCATCGATCGACCTGACGGTAATCAGCGCCGTGGAGCTGGGGTGGTACTAATAATGTCCATCCCAACTCCAGTGATGGATCCCAGGAGGGTGGGTCGTCTAATGCAGGAACAGCACCCAACCTCACCAATGGCGAGTGCGAGTTGATGACCCACTACAAAGAGGAGGCGCTACCAAGTCCTACCAAAGAGAAAACAGGGAGGGGGGGAAGAAAAAAAAAAGAGTGGCCAGACCGCATGGCACAATAGCAAACGAACACAGGCTCCTGCAGCACCCTGCGGGGCTCGGCAGCGCCTGGCAACTGGCACCTGGCACACAACTGGGCAGGACCTTGGCGGGCAGCTTCACTGCTGAGAGCAGTAGCAGCAACCTTTCGACCAAACAACCCCACCCTCCAATCTACTCGTCGCCAAGCATATGCTCTTCACTTAGGACCCCAAAGGCCATGTGAACTGGTTTACTAGCAATTGCTGGGCCAGACGTTAATCTCTCTGCCCAAGACCCTTACCACAACATTTCTTCTTTGGTTCTCGCGCGGGCCACTCTTTGAGACAACACCACTCACTACGGTGTGACGTCATGGGCCAGCCTCCAGGTGCTGCTGATCCTCCTTCCCACCTTCCTCCTCCTCCTCCAGGCCCGCCACCGTCCTCGCCGCCGCCGCCATGGTCTCCTCCGCTTGTCTCACCCGATCCGGACGGCCAGACGTGGCAGTCTCCCGGCCCCGGTGGCTCCGGTTCCCTTTACCCGCAGTACGCCTGGCACACCGGAACAGACCCGCGGTCGTCCAGCACACACTCGCTAGTGCCCTCATTCCACGGCGATGACGACCGGAGGACCTTACTGGTCGTCTATATCCATGGGTTCATGGGCGACAACACTTCGTTCCAGTCCTTCCCGGCCCACGTCCACGCCTACCTGAAGGCGATGCTGGCAGGCTCCCATGTCATCCACACCAAGATCTACCCACGCTACAAGACCTACAAGGCCATCGATATCGCCAGGGATAACTTCAGCAGGTGGCTTGAGCCTCACGAGTCCGAGACCACTGATGTCGTTCTTGTCGGCCACTCCATGGGGGGCCTGCTGGCTGCTGATGTGGCTCTGATGGTAGGAGAGGCCCTGCATCCAGACGAGACTTGAATCGGGATCAGCTGCTAAGAATATATACAAATACACGCAGCCCTCACTAAATCCCGTGTACGGGCACCCATTAAAGCACCGGATCTTGGGGACTGTCTCCTTGGATGCGCCACTGCTGGGCCTGCACCCTGGCATCATCAAGTCTGGCATAGCAAGCCTCTTCCGCAAGGCCCCAGACCCCCCAGGAAAAGGCCAGGACCCTGCAGAAGGCTTGGCTTCCCAGAACGCATCGGGTTCCATGAGCACGCTGAGCTTCTCGACGGATGGTGCGAGCTCGTCAGGGATGATCTCGACAACGCCCCTGACAGCCACCTCCTCTGACTCAACAAGGCCGGATCCAACCTACAATCCACCTTTCTTCAACGACGTGCAATTTGTCGACAGAGGCTGGTGGAGGAACGTGGCACACTTTGCAAAAAAGCACTACTCAGAAGGACTCTTCTCCTCCACGTACCAACACCTGCTTTCCCACCTCGAGTTCGGTGCCTGCCTCGCCGACTACTCGGCGCTCAACAGCAGGTACAACAGGCTCCGCCAGCTCGAGGACGTTGATGAATTGAACTCGGGAGGCCAAGGAGCGCAGAGGAAGGCGAGGGTCCGTTTCATTAACTATTACACCGTGTCGACTGGCATACCCAAGAAGCCACTACCGACGCCAAAACGCGCCCAAACACACCTGCGGCCAGAACTGCCTGAATTTCAGCAGTCAACCCATAATAGCTCTGGAGCATCCACACCGCGGATCTCTATCGAGGACTATAGCGATGGGGAGAGGCCGCAGACGATGCAGCTCTTGGATCCCGTGCCGGAGCCTGACAGCGAACCTGAGCAGGCTACAGAAGCGACTGGGCCAGCGCCAACGGAAGATGACAGCAAGGGGAAGACAATTGGTTTCCTAGGCGAAGGGAAAGACACGGCCAACGGTGACCTGGGCCATGAGGGTGGCGGAAATGGAACAGCCTCAGCCTTGGCGGTATCACAGACCGAGGAAGCCTTCGCTGCCGACGACCCGAATAACGATCTACCAGCGATACCAGCTCTACCCGAGCCACCAGAGGTTCCTGACTTGGAGCGGTACACAGACAAGGACGCTAGAAAACAAGCAGAAAAGGAGTACAAGCGGTTGCAGAAGACGTACAACACAGCCCTCAAGGATCGCGAGAAGGCCCTGAAGGAGAGGCAGAAACTGGTTGAGAAGCGACGCAAGAAGGCCCAGAAAGATGCTGAGAAGCGACACAAGGAAGAAGAAAAGCGCCGCAAGGAAGAGGCAAAGCGGCTCGCCAAAGAACAGGAAGGGCAGGATGAGGCCGGGCAGGTCGCCAGCCAGGCACAGGCACAGGCACTGCAGAGGCAGCTTACCGAGCTGGCGTTGCGCGATGAGCTGCCGGGCGACGGCGGCGGCAGCAGTAGTAGCCCCCCTTCCCTGTCACCCCAGACCACCCGCGACTCCCTCTCCTCTCCACCCCCGTACAGGACGAGGGCAGCGGCGGGGTCCCAGGCTACCCCCACGGGCGGGAAGGGACAAGGGAAGCTCCACAAATTCTGCATGGTCCCTCCAAAGACCAAGAGCGGCGTCCGGGACTCGTGCTGGGTCCAGGTGTACATGGAGGGCGTGGACGAGGTCGGTGCACACTGCGGGCTGTTCTTTCCGGGACCGCACTACGAAAAGCTCGTGGGCGACGTCGGGTCGAGAATTGTCGGCTGGGTGCATGATGATATGTCTTTGAGGGCTATACGAGCTCTAGACTGACCGTCCCACCTGGATGGGACTTGAAAATTTTCCGCCAATGTACAAACGAGGCGAAATTTTTTTTCCTTGCTTTTTTTCTTGTCGTTGTTCTCTTATGAGCATGAATGATAGGTACACATGAAGATGAGCCAAAGCCGAAGAGGGGGGGGGGGGGGCGCATTTGTCTTTCGATTCTCTTTTCTTCTCCTTATGATGTAGATTCTCTAGACCAGAGCGACAGGCGCGTTACTGAAGAATAGGACACGGAGAGAGAAGTACATCTGCTGCGTAGATACCCATAAACGTGACAAATCAACATCCAGTCAATCAAGGAATCACGAGCGGCGCAGTCATGCTCCCATGGCTTTTTTCACACAATGTGGTTTGCATTCAATCTATGCCTAGGGGGGAAGAGAGAATTCTATCTCGGTTCGGCCGGGTCCTCTTCCTCCTCTACCCCTTCGGAAAACCATCAAAGCAACTGTGCAGATAATCACTAAGAGCACGTCAAGAACCAGAAGAACCAGTTCCAATTTCCTCCCATACGCCAATCAGTCTGGCAACCAAGCAAGGCGGGGGAGAGGGAGGGAGAGAAAAAAGCACATAGGCACCAGCCAAACGTGAGGCAGCAAGAGTCCTTTTGTCTTCTGCAAGGCTCACGCCACTCGCACGGCACACACTAAGCACTGTGAATACTCGTGACGTGAGAAGGATGGAAGAGGGGGGTAAAAAAGAAAATCACCGATGCGTGCCTGCCACGCCTGCCACGCCTGCCACACCCTCATGCCCAAGTCCATACATATATAGCCCATCTCATGGAGACCCTCGGCAGCCAATGAACCCATATGGCAAAAAAATAAAAGCAGATTGCCGCAAAGTAAAGGAAAACAAACCAACTCCTGAACGCCATGCTTTTCGTTTTAGAAATTCAGAATGCAGTAGGGAGGTCAACAAAGTTCTTATCCTTCGCGCAACCATGCCTTTAAGCAGTGGTGCCAAACTCGTGGGGACCCTCCCAGTCATTATTACCGTCAAACCGCGCTGCTTAACTTGCACGCACGACCCATAAGACAACCCTCTCTATCAATGTCTTTCTTTCGTCCTCGTTATACGTGTGATGTACCACATGGGGGCTCATCGACACTCTGTTATCCCTCTGGCAAAGTACTAAAGGTACGCGAGTTAATTCTCTCCCATCAGCGTGTGAAATCGCGAGGAAGAGAGGCAACGGGTCAGTCGGTCGCTCCGAGCTGTTGTGTGCAGCGTAAGGGCCATTCCATTGTCAAAACCCCCCTTCGTTCCGTAACGGTCATCGAGTGATGTAGTCTTTGCATGCTTGCTTGCCTGCTTGCTTGGCTGGTCAGTCGTGAGACTCGGTCGGCCGGCTTCTTGGCGCAATCGAATGCTTCGTCCATGGTTCAAGCCAACGCAGGAGAACCTGCGAGCCCCTTTCGGGTGTATCGGCTTGTGATACGACTTGGACGACAGCCGATCAGCTGCCGTCGTCGACTCGAAGTCGGTCGTTCAGGCACCCAACATGCCAGGGCCGGCGTGGCCAAACATCTGGCGGGGTGTACCAACGCGGGACGGAGCAGTCTGTAGCGTGTCAGCACATCATGTGACGATACAAGAATGTAGGCGGAGGTTGAGGCTCTAAGCACCTTCTTTTTCCGCTTGGTGCCCTCCCCTTCACCGGTCGAGTAGCCCGTATCAGCGCCCGTCTCATCGTCCTGGAAGCCATCGCCGTAGCCCTCAAAGCTATTGTCACCATAGCTTCTCTTCTTGCCGGCCCTGCGCGGCCGAGCAGCGTCCTGGACCCCGGGTGTCTGGCCCTTGAGCCGAGGAGCAGTGCCACCGCTGGCAGGGTGCAAGGGAGTGCCAGGCGCAGTCACCTTTGGGGTGCCCCTAGCGCCGCGGTCCCCTGCGAAGTCAGCCAGGACCGATGAGTCCCACTTGTCCTTGGCTATAGGACCTCGGATCATGGTGGTGGCCTTGGGTAGAGCCCGTTGCACTTCGGGCTTTAGGCCATTTTCAATCTCCTGCGCCTTCTCGAACAGCACATGCCACTCCTCGGGAGGGCAGTCAATCAAGCTCAGGAACCCATCACGGTCGTTGGGCTCCTTCTTCACGGCGTCAAAGTGTCCTGTTAGCCCGAGCTTCTTAATCTGGCCCTTGTAGGTCTTGCGCATAGCATTCTTTGTTCCATCGGGCAGGACCCGAGCGACCTCTCCCGCAATGCCGGTCAGGCCATACACTTCGAAGAGATCCTCCGAGAGGATTGGCTGCCTCGGCGTCCAAGTCCTCTGGAGAAGCAGATACTTCTCGCCGACATCCTCGTGGATCGCCTGCATGCTGGGCATGCCGTCATCGATGTGCACCCTCTTCTCGCGATCCTGCTCGCCCGTGTCACCCTGCTCCCGCTTGCGCTTCTGGGGAGAATCTTCACCCATGATGACGTCGTGGTTAGATTCGGAGGGAAGGCCGCTGCCATTTACGCTGTGGGCGGGGGTGGGCAGCGCGGTCGTGAAGGATGACATGGTGCTCTGGACACTCGAGGCAGGGTCCACAGTGCTGGGAGAAAGTTGTGACGGGCTCTGCGGCGTCTGAGGATGAAGTGATGACATGTTGTCTCGCAGAAGCAGTCCCCGTCGACCGTCGGGTCAAGGATGGCTGGCGTTCGAACGGGCCCGCTGGTGATGGACGTTTCCTCCTCGCGGTGGAAATATCGCGTGGTGAGAGCCTCGGCAATGAGCAAGGGCAGGCCGGCGTGCGACAGAGACAGCGCGACGAGACAGCCGGTGAGGCTGCTGCCGTAGGTGTGTCACTCTAGACTCGAGGGGGAGCGACGGTGCGATGGAGAATGATTGTGCTGGCGAGGCGGCTGCCGGTGGTGACGAGGAGCGTTGTAAGATTGAAAGGGTGGGTATGGAGCCTGTGACGAGTCGCGCTTTCTAGCGGCGTCGGTCGCTGGGCTGGCTCGAGTTGTCCGACATGCACCACAAAAATCCGTGAAGGGTCGAAAAGGCGATGTCGCGATTCGATTTCTCGTGGTCTTGACCGTGTGCGCAGCGGCGTGTGCGTGTGGTCGGATGGGTCGCTCGACTGCGTGTGGGATGTTGTCAAGGGGAAGGAAAGGCGGCAAGGGAAGTTGGGTTGATGGGTGGAGAATTCAAGGCAGGTCGGGAGTCCAGTCCAGCCCAGTCCGGTCTGGCAGTGCACGGACCTCTTCAGCCTCTCCCACGCCCTCTGCTGGATGAGTAAGTGGTTTGTACCAAAGTACCCGCTGCTCACGTAAGGAAGGTCAGCAGCACAACAAGTAGTACTTGGTAAAGCACTGCTGTTGCCCCTGCTTGCTTCTGCCAGTACTGTCAACCTATTTGTATCCTTTTTTTTTTTTTTTTTTGTAGTGAGACTTTGTTTCCTCAATATTGTTCCAAGTCGACATCCATCAAATAAGAAGTAAAGAAGTAGGCACTGAAAGAAGGTTGAGAGGGAAGTGACGATGAAAATGAAATATAAAGAAGGGAGATAGAGAGATAGAGGGACATAGGAAGAGAGATTTCGAGCAGAGCCCCCTACCTTGTCCGTTGGAAACTGGGATCAGCCACATTCTCAACGCCAGCCAAAATATCCATTATAGAACAAAGCACAAGCAAGATTCACAAAGAGGACCTGGAGTCAATCGTCTCAGAAAATACCACACCTACCCCAAAAGATATGAATGCCATTATAGTGAGCAACGGAAGGGAAGAAACGGGGATAGAAATACTTAAGCTGTGGTCACAGGTACACACACAGAGAGGGTAAGAGATGTTTGTTGTTGTAGGAGGAGGGGGAGGGAAAATGGTAGCTGAAAACTTGTGGGCAGCAACACCTTTTATATTTGGAAAGGGACTTTATGTAGAGGCTTACTTTATCCAGCATACTTCTCTAGAACTAGAAAATAATTAAGAGCGAAGAGGAGGAATGATGATCAGAATATGACCCCAGCTTCACACCTAGACTTATGTCAAGTTACGAGTTGATTTTTAGCCTACCACTAAATTGCCTAGCTTTAGCAGCTATTTCTATTAACCATGTTGAAGTTGGCTTTGGATCATGACAACATCAGAATCCCGAGTGCTTCTCTGTTTTCTCAGGGGCCATGACAGGTGGAAAGTTTGGATATCGAAATGGCCATATGGTCTCCCAGGGAGACTTCAGATCACATATTAAGTAAGTAGACAAGCTGACATGTCATCCTTTTGTGACGAGCCTTGTGGCTCTTGTAGGATCCCCTCGTCCCATTGGGCATAACACAACTGAAAACTCCTGCCCCTAGATTTCAAGAATACTGTGTACATTTCTCGTCCAATACCCCCATCGCTCTGTGAGACATATTTACATATATATCAGCTGTATCACTCCTAGGGGCCTGTTGATAGTCATCTGCAGATTCATTACATCAACCTTGACACAGTCGTGGCCCGACGCGATGAACAGGCCTCAAATACAAGATCGTCTGTGTTTGCCCTGCGGCAGCTATCCGCTTCGACTGTATGCGCGCCTCGACTCTGGGCCAACTGAAACGATGGGTATTCGGAGAGCATGATCACTAGTCAGACGTTGAGAACCAATTGGATGAACCGCAATTGCTTGGACCTCGAACACACTTCCTGGGCCACCCGTGGGTGGACTCTGCAGAGCGCGTGATATCCCGAAGCACACTCATCTTCACCCCCTCCAAGGTCTTCTGGAGCTGTCGCGCAGCCTCCTGGAGCGAGGGCATATCCCTGGAATCCCAGCTTGCCACAGATCATATCTTCAGCATGCGGTCTAACACCGCTCTATCTTGAGGCAATTGTTGGGCGCGAGGCCATAGGCGGTTCTGACTATATATAAGATACCAACTCACTGGTTAGGGCGACGCGTACGGGCGTCTTGCGGCATCATGTAGGAGTCTAGGAGCGTCACTGGAACGGTGCTGCTCTGGGGCATCCCGGTGACGCAATTCGAGATGGGTATGTGCTGGCTGCGGCGCTGGGATATTGAGGGCCAGGCTAGGCTGTCTCGGCGTGCCGAGCTCACTACACTGCCTATGACCTCGCATGGCGTAAATGTCCACTTTCCTAGCTGGTCATGGCTCAGTTGGAAGGGCCACATGATGTTGCGCATCACGGACGATTATACTGAGACCGGGTGAGTCTTTTGATGAGAAATGGCCTCCAGTATCCCCATGAGATATTGTGGTTCGTTCTGCGAAATCCACCCTTGCGTATTGTGAGGATCAACCGGATTCTGAGCGATACCGCCGAGGTGTAGATGCCCAAGCTTCCCCAAATCGCCACGCAAGCCCTTCCCTGGTGACCGTCGACATGGTTTGTTCACGATACGCCGATCTGACCGAAGAGCACTGCGCCAGACGCCAGACGACCAGCTCCCTTTCTTTCGGACCGAGGTGGCCCGCTTCTCCATCTCAGGTCCTGTATCTCAGAATGAGACTTACACCCTGTCAAACAAATGGTGATAATGTGAACTCAGTAACGAAGCAGGTCAGGCCTGGGAAAGACGGTTTGCTGCGTCCTTGGTGACCCTGCCGACGAAACCTGTGCCTGGGTCGAGAAACAGATAGATTTCGACTTTATTCTCATCGCAGCCAGTTCTGCACCCGTCCTGCAGATTATCTGGGACGGGTGCATCGCGAATCGAATCAGCAGCGCCGTCGTCACTGAGGTTGCTTGGAGGGAGGCCAATCCAGGGAGGCGTTCCATTGCAATGAAGTAGTGAATGAAGTAGACATAATGTCCTCTGTAGATATTTGGCAAGGACGAATCATACCTTTCTCTTTCTTTCGCTCGAATAGGGTTAGGGTCGCGGTATCACTAGGGCTAATGTATACCCTTGTATCCTACTACTGCATCAAACCAGGAAGACCCCAAACTTTCCTTCCTCCTTGCTCCTTGCTCCTCCTCACATATCAATCAAAGACTGGCAGATTCCCGACTGGGTGACTCTCTCGACTGAAGGCAGGCAGCAGATAAGAGGATTTCCTCTGCAGCTTGCAATTGACCTCGTCAAAGCGTTCCAGCACCGTGACTGTGTGGAAAGACGACTCGTCAAGTACCAACAGCAGTGTCTCAACGCAGACGGACGGTCGACGGTTGGCCCACTCACCTATGAATCTCGACATGGAGGACTCTACTGTGACCTACGAGGAGCTCAATGACCTGAGCGCTGAGTTCGATGATGCGGAGACGGAGCTGAGTACGTGTTCCCCTCCTAGTATTCTCGTCTGGTCCAGCATCAAATGCACATTGCAACCCAGCTTATTTGCTCATTCCCGGTTGCAGTCCGCCAAGATGTTCTGGTTAAGGCGCCTCTGTACGAGAAGCGCCACAAACTGGTCGCCCAGATCCCCAACTTTTGGCCGCTGGTCTTCGAGCAGGCAGCGCCAGACATCGACGAGTTCATCCAGCCCTCGGACTCGTCTCTGCTACTCACCTCGCTGGCGTCTCTGTCCGTGTCCCGCTTTGAGATGGACAATGGTGGACAGGGCGACCCCAGGAGCCTGTGTTTCCGGTTCGAGTTCAACGAGAATGAGCACTTCGAAGACACAATGCTGGAGAAGAAGTTCTGGCAGAGAAGGTCCAAGTCTGGCTGGTCAGGCCTCGTCAGCGAGCCGGTCGAGATCCGCTGGAAAAAGGGCAAAGACCTGACAGGTGGCCTGCTGGGCACGGTGAAGAAGGTTTGGGACGCACGCCAGACAAAGGCCAAGAATGGTCACCCCAACAATCCCCAAGAGCTGACGCCGGATGAGAGGGCGCTCAAGAAGAAGATCGAAAACACAGGTCTCGGTGGAATGAGCTTTTTTGCGTGGTTCGGTTACGTTGGTCGTAATGTGTCAGCGGCAGAGAGCCAGGAGGCTGCCGAGAAGGCACTCAGAGAGCGACTTGCCCGACAAGCAGGCAGTGGGACGGCCAAGAGTAATGTCACCGACGATGGGAACAGTGACGATGATGACGATGACACTGATGAGGAAGACGAGCTGGAGATCTTCCCAGAGGGAGAAAATCTGGCCATTGCCCTATCTGAGGATCTTTGGCCCAATGCCATCAAGTACTTCACCCAGGCACAGGAGCAGGACGAGGTCAGCGATGATGATTTCGAGTCTGATGCAGGGGACGACAAGGATGCTGAGGAAGAAGAGGCCTACTCAGACCAGGAGCCACCACCAGCCAAGAGGCTCAAGACTTGAGAAACGCATCTGAACAGAGGGGGGAATTTTTCTCCAACATTGTCACATTCGTCGAGAGGGACGAGGGCTCTCTTTGAGTGGCAACATGCTTATTATGGTCACAGGCCTCTCACAGCTGGCCAGAGCTTTCACCGTCTCCGTCGACACAGAAAAATGTATGGTCGATTAACGAAACCTTGCCAAGCAACAAATCTGAAATGGTCACAGATAATTGAGCTAGGCCCTAAAATAAAAGGAGTCTGTTTTTGGGAGATCAATCTGAAGTGGATGATTTGCACAATGTGGACGGTTTATCAGTCAGCGGATCATTCGGCACTTTTGGGATAACATCAAACCTCATCAGCCAGTTGGGATGAAGCCAATGTGGAATGTTTAAACACCATGACAGCATTTTTTCTATCTTAGCAAGCCAATTGGTGCATGAGGGTGGAGTGTGAGTCGCGGGTTGTGAGAGCCGAGTTTGGGGGCTTGCCCAGCTCATCTGGGCAGGACACATGCAGTGTGTGTTGCCGCCACCACCACCGCCACCACCAACCAATCAACAACAACTTACCCTGGAGCAGCGGCACTTAAGCTTAAGCAGATCAATCCTGCGGCTCAAGATAATACCCTGGTCAGCAGCAAGTTCCACCACACTGAACAGCTGCCCCCAGAGGAAACAACCTCAGCTTCACCAGTGGAAACCAGTTCGAGACGTGAACCCCTTGTGAAGCAACGTTCATTCATAAGGAACATTGATCTGAGGATCTGCACTCAATTATAGTATAGTAAGAGAAGCTCCAGGAAAGCTGGGCAGGGGATTGATTCGATATGTAGGGCCCCGCCTAAAGAGCGTCTGCTATGATAGTTCCCGCAGGGCTTGGACAGGGGTTGGTGCTCATCTTGAGACTCGGTGGCTCACAACCTCGAACTCCAAAGGTTTCACCAAAAAACTCCGTCGTTCCTGAACACAGCCTCGTGGTACCTCGACCATCCGCGCTGATCTCCTACAGTAGCCGCCAGGGTTGAGAGTAAGGATGTTGGCGAGCTTTGGTACGCTGTACATTGATTTTCTCCATGGTCTTGCGCTTTGAACTATGTTGTTTTTGTCATTGCTGAGATCTAGTGACGCAGGTCTGTCTTCTCTTCATCCTTCAGACCACTGTCGACGTTCTGGTCTATTCGTCCCTACATTTGTTGTCGTTCGACTTTCATTCTTTCATTCTGTATTCCTCTCATTGTTGTTGGCTCCTGGTTGAGTATTCTTTTCTTCTCACTCTTTTCTTATTTTCTCTTATTTCTTGATCTATCGACCTGCAGAGACCGGATTCTCCAGTCGCTGCGCATCATCATCCCCTTGATCCGGACATCAAGGTTTCTCTTTGGTGCTTCGATCGAGATGCAGTAATCTGTCTCTTTCATTCTTAGAACGGACTTGGAGCTGTGTTTTGATTATTCTCGACGACTTCACCTACGTATAGGTTACGATCACACCCATACAAGAAACTCCCTCATAATGTTCAGAATGAAGGGCATAATAAAATTTGCGGGCCTCCTGAGCCTGTTCTGCCGGAGTTCGGTTGCCGTCAGTCTTGATGTTCAAGATGACCGTATGTTTATCCCCGCTATTTCACACATTCACGATCATGGCTAACATGGTATTTTATATAGAATCCATCAAAGATGCCGCAAGTACGGTAGCGTTTGGGTTGATGAAATACTACACTGGTAACAACACTGGAGATGTTCCAGGCAACCTACCGTGAGTGCCCATGCATGCCGGCCCAGCTGATACTCGCACCCGCCATCATTCCCATTTGACTCTACACGAACTAACCAAAGTGAAAACCCATCATATCAGAGACCCCTACTTCTGGTGGGAAGCAGGTGCCATGTTTGGCACCCTGGTCGACTACTGGTTCCTCACCAAGGACGAGACCTACCTCAATGTCACGTCGCAGGCACTGCTCCACCAGGTGGGCGACAACAATGACTTCATGCCGACCAACCAGACGCGGACCGAAGGCAACGACGACCAGGGCTTTTGGGCGTTGGCGGCCATGTCAGCAGCAGAGAACAATTTCCCCAACCCGCCGGCGGATCAACCGCAATGGCTGGCCCTTGCGCAGGCCGTCTTCAATGAGTACACGATGCGCTGGGACACGCAGAACTGTAACGGCGGGATGCGGTGGCAGATCTTCACGTTCAACAACGGGTACACCTACAAGAACTCCATCTCCAACGGGTGTTTTTTCAACATTGCGGCCAGGCTGGCCCGATTCACGGGCAACCAGACGTACGCGGACTGGGCCAAGACGGTGTTTGAGTGGGAGCAGTCGGTGGGCTTCATCACGGACAAGTACCAGATCCGGGACGGCGCAGGGATCGACCAGAACTGCACGGAGATGGACACAATCCAGTGGAGCTACAACGCAGGCATCTACCTGAACGGGGCGGCCGTCATGTACAACATCACGACCGGGGCGGAGCAGGAGACGTGGAAGGGCCGGGTCGACGGCATCTGGAAAGAGACCAAGACGACCTTCTTCAACAACTCGGTCATGACGGAGCAGGCCTGTGAGAACAACAACATGTGCGACACGGACCAGCAGAGCTTCAAGGGCTACCTGGCGCGCTGGATGGCGGCTACGACGCAGGTCGCGCCCTACACCTTCGACACCATGCTGCCGCTGCTCCAGAGCACCGCGTCGGGCGCCGCCAAGGCCTGCACGGGCTCGCCTGCGTCGGGGTTCAGCGGACAGGCCGGCACGGCGTGCGGCTTCAAGTGGACCACGGGCGGGTTCGATGGGTCTGTCGGCGTGGGCCAGCAGATGAACGCCCTGTCGGCCATCATGTACACACTGGTGACGAAGCCGGCGGCCGACTCGGACGACTCGACGGCGCCCCTGACGTCGGCGACGGGTGGGACGTCGCAGGGTAATCCTGACGCGGGAACCATGAGCGATATGACCATGGTTGTGTTTGCGCCCATCGAGACCAAGGACAGGGTCGCTGCTGGATTCCTGACGACTGCTATCGTGCTGGGTGCGCTCAGCGGAGTGGTCTTTGTGGTTAGTGAGAAGGGACCTGGGGGGATTGTGAGCAAGGTGAGCAAGGTGTGAGATATATGTATACATACATGCATAACTTGCGTGCTCTTCACTCCATTATGAGTCGAGTATGACAATTATGTAAGTAACCTCATGATGGTTTATTGGGAAAGGTTGCAGGAGGTTATGGCTCAACTCAACCTCCACAGTGGTGCGCCCACATGGCACAGGCCGGCACCTGCTGGCAGTCCAAGGGCAAGACCCGTAATGACTGTGATGAAATCAATGAGGGAGGATGGGCTTTTTGGAGGGGTGACCTCTTTGATGTTGAGCATCTGAATCGGCTGTGTATGGTATATGAGTGAGAGCCACAAGGTGGACATACTACAGTATACACACACACACATGAGCCTGTATCTCGCAGGATAGACATAGAGAACAAGAAATGAACAAGACAAAAAAAAAAAAAAGGTACAATAATTTAGCAACTCAAAAGACGGAAAAATTGTCCTCGTATCTCCACCACACCACAACCAATATTTTCCCCATAGGCACAGTGTAAGACTCACTCGATCGAAAAAAAAAACCTCGAGACTCGAGCACAATTGAAAAAGGGGCCCTCTTCTTTCCATTCTGTCTGCTGAGGATTCGGTTGCTGCCGTGTCACCCCATCATTTCAATGAACCATCCCCGCATCTCCTGCGTCATCCCACCCTCTCACCCCACGGGCGGCGATCTAGACTACTCTACCCAGTCGTTCGTTCGCTTGTGAATTCCCCACTCCAACTAAGAGACCAACTCCCCAGCGTGATGCGCCGTGGCGACTTGCCCACTTGGGTTCCATGAGGGGGGAAATAAGCCAAGCAGACCACCATTGGATTTACCCTTTTGGAAAATTTTTTTTTTAATTCTTGTTTAATATTTTCTCGAGGTTCAACGACATCCTCTGACGCTAGTACGTTGCCCCTCAATTCTTCCGTCCCGGAATTTTCAACGCTGCCTCTCCGTCCGTCCGCGCTGGGCCTATTTGTTTAGTGGTTGCCTCATGGACCCCTCACCTGTAGTATTTGCTCACGATCGTTTAGAAAAGAGAGGGTCTTCTTATACCAGTCACCTCTTAAGTTTTATATTGTGAGCCAGGATTGAAATATTATTCACCGATTTGCAAGCACTCAGAAAGAGATTAAAGAAAAATAATAAGGGAAGAGAAAAGAAGAGAGAAAGAAAGAAAAGAGAAGTACAGAAAAGATCAATTCACTAGCCTTTCAACCATGTCATACAAACACTTTATCAACGACCCAACCCACCTCGTCAACACAGCCCTACAGTCCATTACCCTCACCAACCCCTCTGTCGCCCTCGACGCCACCAACAAGGTCATCTACAGGCGCCCTTCCCCCAGCAGCAGCAATGATGGAAAACCCACAGTGAGCATCGTCTCGGGCGGTGGCTCCGGCCACGAGCCCTCCTTCGCTGGCATGGTGGGCCAGGGTCTTCTCTCGGCCGCCGTCGCAGGCACCATCTTCGCCTCCCCCTCGGCCGAGCAGATCCGCGCCGCCATCACGAGCCGCGTCGACCACGAGGCCGGCGTGCTGGTCACCGTCATGAACTACACGGGCGACGTGCTCAACTTTGGCGTCGCCGTCGAGAAGGCCCGCGCCGCCGGCGCCAGGGTCGAGATGGTCGTCGTGGGCGACGATGTCGGCGTTGGCCGCGCCAAGGCCGGCAAGGTGGGCCGCCGGGGCATCGCCGGCACCGTGCTGGTCCACAAGATCAGCGGTGCGCTCGCCGCCCAGGGGTACGGCCTGGACGACGTCGCGAGGGTCGCCAGGCTGGTCGCCGCCAACCTTGTCAGCGTCGGCGCCAGCCTCGAGCACGTCCACGTGCCTGGGCGGGTGGTGTCCAAGAAGGACGAGCAGGGCGCGCTGGCGGACGACGAGGTGGAGCTGGGCATGGGCATCCACAACGAGGCCGGCTCGGGCAGGGAGCGGGCAGAGCTGCCGGGCCTGGTGGGCAAGATGCTGCGGCAGCTGCTGGACCAGGAGGACAAAGACAGGGCCTTCCTCAACGTGAACTCGAACGAGGTCGTGCTGCTCATCAACAACCTCGGCGGCCTGAGCGTCCTCGAGCTCGGCGGCATCCTGACCGAGGTGGTCCAGCAGCTCGACAAGGACTACGGCGTCAAGCCTGTCCGTATCCTCTGCGGCACCTACATGACCAGCTTGAACGGGGCCGGGTTCAGCATCTCCCTGCTCAACGTCGTCAACACCGACATTGGTGGGCCCAGCATGATACAGCTGCTGGACTACCCGTGCGAGGCCACCGGCTGGGCCGCTCCCATCTCCAAGGAGACATGGGAGGAGAAGAACACTGCCACCCGTGAAGGCACCGCATCCGCCGAACAAAAGGTAGACGCTAGTGGGCTGGAGTACGATGCCGCCGCAGCCACGAAGGCGCTCAAGGTTGGCCTTGAGCATGTCGTCGCCGCGGAGCCCGATGTCACACGGTTTGATTCCGTCGTGGGAGATGGGGACTGTGGTATTGGGCTCAAGAGAGGCGCACAAGGTACGTTGTGAAATGATGTTCTTTTTAAGAAAATAAAAAAGGGTCACACCTTTGGCTAACCCTCAAGACAGCCGTTCTCGACCACCTCGCCAAGGAGCACCTTAAAGGTGATGCGGTCATTGATGTCGCTAGCATCGCGACCATAATTGAGATGGCAATGGATGGCACATCCGGTGCCCTCTACGCCATCTTCCTCAACGCACTCGTCCACGCCCTCAGCACCCTCGCACCCGGCCAGGCCACCAACAAGACCTGGGCTGCGGCGCTCAAGAAGAGCTGTGACGCCCTGTCCAAATATACGCCCGCCAGACCTGGCGACCGCACACTCGTCGACGCGCTGTATCCGTTCGTCGACATCCTGGGCGAGACGGGCGATGTGAAGCAGGCGGCTGAGGCATCCAAGGCTGCTGCCGAGGGCACCAAGGGCATGGCGGCCAGTCTGGGCCGGACGGTGTATGTCGGTGGGGAGGGGTTCCAGCAGGTGCCTGATCCGGGTGCGTGGGGTCTGGCATGTTTCTTCCTGGGTGTCGCAGGCTTGGAGTCGCCTAAGCCGTCCGAGGAGGGCTGGGAGACTGTCTGATTCAGTTGAAGAATGATCGATAGAGACACGAAGGATAAGGAATGCCTGTGAATTTATATCAGTGTAATATGGCGAGTGGTAACATCGTAATGAACGTGATGATGTTTGAACAAGAGGGGAAACGGCAGATTGATCGTGGTGCTAGATTGCAAGCCCCAGAGGAAATCGATTCTCATTTCTTTTTCTTTCTTCAACGCCTATGTCCGCATGTGAATGACCCTGGTCCCTATTGATGAAAGCAAAACAAAAAAAACACACCCTGATGACTGGCACGGTCCCCTCGTCTGGGTATCATGAAATCGTAAGTGCCTCCTTCAACTTAAGAGCACCAGGATGACAGAGTCCCCCCGCAGCAACCTGTAGATTAAGAGAAAAGAAAAGGTCAGCATCCTGCTTCTTTTAATCAGAGTCGTACACGCGAGGAGAACCACACTGGAAGCAACATACATCTTGCTGATGAACCTGTCCTTGTTGATCGGCCGTCCCTTCTTGCCGCTCGCCAGTTTGGGTGTCTCTGTCCACATCTCCTTCACATTCTCCAAGACCATGTTGCAATGCCTGTCAAATGCCTTTACACGCGCCAGAAGCTTCCTGTTGTTTCGGATGGAGATCAGGACTTGGGTGTGGCTGCGGACGGCCGTCTGGAGGATCGAGAGAGGTCCCGCGGAGAACTCATCTGTTTATTCTCGTGTCAGTCACCGCGATATCTAGTTGTAAATTATTATTGAGGTGGGCAGCGCTATAGTATGAACGTACGTTCTTCGAGCTGGGAGATCTCGTACTCTCTGTGATGCAGGTTAGTCAGATATCCTGTGTGGTCGACGCGACGGTCAAGGTCGACCGGGCAAGAGAAACGCACGTGAGTTCATTGCGCGGCTTCGTAAGCAGCTCCCTGTATTGTTCAATTAGCGTGTGCGATCCATGATGCAGATGGAAATCTCATTACTGACTGGATCTTTGGATCGGCCATCTTGTCTGGTGTGCTGGGGTGTGGACGATGTTGACAATGCGCTGGTTGACGAGACAGCTTTCTTCACGCGCAGATGTCACCCTGCCATTTGCGCCTGAAAACTGGATAGCTACAGCTCTGCTCTGATTGGCTGTGAGCGGCTAGAGGCGGGTCCCACTGCTCCCGGCAGCGGCCCCATCTGCAGGGCCTTACTGCAGTCAGCCAGCAGCAGCGGTTCTTGTCGGCAAAATTGGAGAACTTCGAACACGACCTCGGAATTTCATGCCCACCTCGGTATTCTCCCACCCTTCTTGATCGTGCAGGATTGGCCCTGCTAGCTCTCTTTGACGACATAATATCTCTCGGGGGAGGTCAGATGCTCGATGCGCTTGTAGTGGACGTTCTAGTCGCATCGAAGCCCCGAATACTTGTGAAATAAATGTTTGCGCGGACGCTCTCGGCGCGCGCTGGCCTAGCAGCATCAGTGGCCTGTCGACGGCCCTGCACTCTTGCAAAGATGTCGCCACTCAGAGTGAAGATACAGGTGCCCGAGGACAGTGCGAGGTCATTGGTACGTTTCCGTGGCTGCTATGGCTCTTACTTTTCAAGGGATACTTACCGTTCTGTGTGTTCTAGTCCGCCCTCTCCTCTTCCGCAGCGATATGGAAACCGGTCGAAGGCGATGAGCCCGAAGATGTTGTTTTCAATAGCATATACGGTCTGCGCACCATCGAGCTCAATCGCCCAAAGAAGCTCAACTCTCTCAATGGGTCCATGATACGCAAGATAGCACCTCGTCTCATCGAATGGCAAGAATCCGACATGGCGAACGTGATCGTCATGAAGGGCGCAGGCAATGCGCTGTGCGCGGGAGGGGATGTCGCGGCGCTGGCCAAGGACAACCAGCACGGCAAGCAGGGGCAGAAGAGGTCCGACGCATACTTTGCCCTCGAGTACAAGCTGGACCACCTCATCGCGACCCTCACGAAACCCTACATAGCGTTCATGGACGGCTTCACGATGGGCGGCGGTGTCGGCCTGAGCATCCACGCGCCCTTCCGAATAGCAACCGAGAGGACGGTCTTTGCTATGCCTGAGACAACTATTGGCTTCTTCCCGGATGTCGGCGCGTCCTTCTTCCTGCCACGGCTGCCTGGGGCGGTGGGTACCTACCTGGCCCTGACGAGTGAGCGTCTGGAGGGCGTGAATGCTTTCTACGCCGGTATTGCCACCCACTATCTGCACTCCACTACGCTGCCGATGCTGGAGGGGCGGCTGGCGGAGCTGAGGTTCAGGGATTTCGACCCCCTCGAGAAGCGCCTGCACCTGATCAACGACGCTATCGAGGAGTACACCACCGGGCTGCCGCACGATCAGCCGATCCTGCTCGGCGGCGAACTGAGGAAGGCCATCGACCGGTGCTTCTCCAGGGCGACAGTCGATGAGATCATCCAGGCACTCAAAGAGGAGCCCGAGGGTCCGACCAAGCAGTGGGCGGACCAAACCCTCGCCACGTTGCACGCGCGATCACCTACCTCTGTCCATGTAGCACTGAAGCAGATGCAGAGGAGCCGGGAGCAGAAGTGGTCCATTGCAGACACATTTAAGCGGGAGCACCAGATCGCGGCCAAATTCATGCGACATCCTGATTTTGTCGAGGGCGTGAGCGCCCAGCTCATCCGCAAGGATAGGAAACCAGTGTGGCAGCCAGCCAGCCTTGAGGACATCCGCGAGGAGGACAAGATCGCGGAGCCCTTCTTTGAGATCACACCACAGGTTGCCCCTCTGCAACTCCTGACCAGGGAAGATTATCCCGAGTACCCCTGGAGGCGGTTCGGTCTGCCCACGGAGGACGAGGTCAAGCAGGTGGTGAAATCGAAGAATTACACGGCGAATCAGGTGTGCAACGCATTTGCCGCCCAGAGGAATGGCAAGCAGGGTATCAGGGAGGTTGTTGCTGAGATCGTGGCGAGGAACACAAGAACCAAGGAGAAATCGTATCACGAGGGCGCGGTAGAATGGGTAGACCCACCTAACCAGGAGGCGCCAAAGGAGGTGAACCCTCCTGAGAAGGTTGATGCTCCTGAGACATCATAAAAAACAGTATGTATAAAATTGATGGTATGATGTGAACTCCCAAGTCATTATTATGTGTTGTGTTCTTTTGTCAAAGCCAAAAAGTGGATGGTTTTGGTGAGATTGTGGCTGCAGAGGAGCCTTGTTATTATTGTTTTTTGAAGATGACTTCTGTCCACGCGTTGTGGTGCACATCAGTGTATGGCATTCTCCTGCGGGGAAAACAGCAGTTACGGGGGCGGTGGGCGGTGGTAGACTAAAGACAAACACCAAAAGAAAAGTGCGGTTGGTATGCGGTGAGCCTGGTGCTGTCTGAAAGTGTGGGCGAGGGGCTTGAGTCATTTGTGCAAAGAGCGACGGTAATAATCGGAGGTATAAATAGAAGCCTTGTCCCCCGACATCACCCAGATCTTGTCTCCAAAACTCGTCTTTCTTTGATGTGCATTTCGCAGGTCTAATGGCTGCCTTTTGAGCGCTCGGAGTTGTCCAATATCTTGCAGCTAAAGTCCGGCTGCCCGTTTTTTGGTGGTGGCTGAACTCTGGCACGTCATTAAGATACGGATCTCCTTTCCTCCCCCAAACGCCCCAGCTGCCAGGGTGCGCATGGGCCTAGCCCTTGGTGCCCCTCCAACTACTACCTACTGCCACGTACCGCTGCCGCTGCCGCTGCTCGTACCACATGCCTGCCAGGCCCTACTGTGCGACCTTGCCAGGTTCTACCCCATAATTTTAGCGTCAACCCAGGCCCGTCGCGTTGCAGCTACCCCTGTTAGCCAGACATCCAGGTCCCTAACTTAAGAGTACACCAGGCGAGGCTCAGTAGTCGCGTTCTGGTTATTTCGTATCGCAACTGCGTTTCCCTCCCCCCTTCAACCTTCTTTAACCCCCGGCAGCAGTGCCGTCTTCTCTTCTATTCTTTTCTTGCCCCTGAGAATCTCGACTTTTGCACCTTCTGGGATCACAGAAAAAGAAAAGAAGAAAAAAAAAGGGGGCATCTTTGAATTGTTGACCATCCAATTGGCCCCGTTTTGTGGTGCCACTCCAGACAGTGGGAAAGCTACAAGTGCTTGGTGAGGGTCCACAGTCGCGTCTGTACGCGACTAGATCCCATCGCAAAAACGTGAACCTGGACCACGACTTTTAATTGTTCTTTCTATCTTCCAAGGTTCACTAACACACATACACGTCTGTACCTCAGGGGTGGTTCTGTTATCTTTGATTTCCATCATCTCTCTCTTGTCTCTTTCTTACTGCCTGCGAACTCCCCACGTCGACAGCCCAACATACCCCATCACCATCGCCGCCTGGGGAAACCACAACATTCATCCTCATGCATATTGAGGTCATTCCATGTCGTTCTCCAGTATGACGGGCCCTCAGGGTGGCGCCTGGGCAGGTTATCCTCCTCAGGGACATGCTTCATTGCCGCCATCACAGCCCTCACAGGCAGAGGACTCAGGCTTACAGGCGCGGCATATGGGACGTAAGCACATAAAATCTGCCCTGTCATGTTGTTCACAATCTCAGGACTCACGTTCTTTTGTTCTACAGTCAAGGTCCAGTACACCTTCGAGAAAGACCAGCAGAACTGCCTGGCCAAATGGCCCCATGTTTTGCAGATCCAAACCATCCCGATCGACGAGAGAAACGCCATCGGTCTCGTCGACCTCCAGGTGTGCCTTCAGGCCGTTGCCTCGTGCAGTCCTGAAATCATCAATCGGCCCGACAAAGACTACGCAGTCTACGCCCTGGACTATTCCGAAGACGATGTGCCACTCGTGGGGCAGGGAATGCTCTCGTGGGCCCTGGACCAGCCTGCGCAGAACGCCGAGCAGAAATTGGTCACCGGAAAGGTGGTCAAGAACATGCTCGCGGCCCTGAGAGGCGGCCCGCCAGAGACCTTGGAGGTCAAGCTCAAGCTCAGTCCTGTACCGCGGCTACAGCGACCACAAACCGCTCACAGCTCTGACGTGCAACGAGGCTACGGAAGCAATGCTCCTACTCCGACACCGCCCGACAGCAACAGCGAGTGGTCGTCCTTCATCCAGTCGAATCCCAATCTCGGCCGTCCACCAAACGGGCCATCGATGCCAAGTCCTAGTCTTGCACCAGTCAGATACGGATCGCCCATCCAGGCACTCAGCCCAGCACCAGACGTTCGACCTGACATGTATGCGAACCACTACGGTGCTCCTACGCCACCCACCATGCACGCGATGCCGGTGCAGCCCATGCCGATGTCTTTCTTCCCACCAGTCCCTTCGTCTCAGGGCCCAGCTCCCGATGACGGCACCGTGCTCTCGAGAGCCGATGAGCCTGGGCAACCTGCTCGTCCGAAGTCAGCAAAGCGTGCCTCGTCAAAGCCACCGAAGAAGAGGAAGACGACGGCATCAGGAAAGGTCATTGGCAGGCCTCGCAAGCATGATAGACCCGAGGCAGGCAACACGTCTGCCATCGAGGATGCTACGGATGCCGAGGAGGCGCCTGTCGAGGGCCCAAAGAAAAAGAGAGCCAAGACCACCAAGGCCGACTATCCAAACAAGGCACCACTGAGCTCGGCTCCTGGCTCCTTACGGGTCGCTGCCAGCACCTCTGGGTCTCTGCGCACCATGAGACCTGCTGCCGCCGGTGGCAGTGGGGTTGGATCAAGTCATCTGCAGGAAGTTCCTAGAGCACCGACGCCTGTGCCCGAACAGCAGTCACGCCCGCGAAGCAGGCCACCAGGTCAGGCGCAGCCAAGGAGGTCTTCTATGGCGGAGTTTGAGGGATCCTCATCAAGAGTTCTTGTTTCTGAGACCGGCATACCTGGACCACACAACCAGGATGCTCGCTCGCCTGACTCAACCGCACAATCGCCATTTCAAGCCTACACGCCCGAAGAGAGCCCAGCGGATTTTGGCTCTTCTCCTCCAGTTCCCAGGTCTATTCGGTCCAGCCCCCCCCTCTCTAGTCCGGTCTTACCCCCGATGCCGATGCCGCAGCCCGATTCCGGATTTATGAGTGGAGGTTTCGATGAGATGGTTGACGATTACGATTTGCAGCTGCCAGTATCTGTTCCTGGCCAAATGCCACAGCCAAACATCCCGAGACGGTCGAAGCCAACATCGAAATCGAAGTCGTCGAAGCGAAAGCCAGCCGTTCCTCCACCTTCTCACGGCATTCATCGGCCAATGTCTAGCGGTCTCCCAGAGCCCCCGCATGTCGCACCCCCGAGAGGTCTCTCCCAGGGCCTGCCCATGCCGGGCGGTCCAGGGCTTGCGGAACAGGGAGCCAATGGTCCCGCACAGCCAAAGCAAATGATCATTCAACATGAACATCCCGGCCCTTCGGAGCTGCTGCCCAAGCAGAGCATTTACAACCCCTCTGCTTCGGCCAAGGCGCAGATAAAAAAATCACAAGCAGCATCCGGTATGACGAAGGCAGCCGCACGTCAGTTGAAGAGAGCGAACACTGAGCCCACCCTTCAACGACAGAATACGCCAGGAGTACCAGTGGGCCCACCACCAATGCCTCAGCCACCCGTTGAGCCGGAACATATCGAGCCTCCAGCGGCGCGATCAATATCTCCAAACGAGCCTACAAGCAAACCAGTCGATGAACCTCGAATGCCTACGCCACCTTCTGTAGAGCCTACGCAAGATTCCCAGGATCATCTTTTGCGACTGTTGAGCGAGCCGCTCCACTTCCCTCAGGATGTCGAACCAGAGCCAGCGAACACGCCAAATGTGGGCGAACCGACTGCCAGCACGACCCAGATTGCTGATTCGGAGATCGTGGCTCCTGGCCCTATCCCAACTGCTCCGGCTAGTGACCCCGGAATTGTTGCGCCAACTGTATCGCCATCTACTGCATCGCCAGAAGATACCGCACAGCCCAGCAAGAACATGTCAAGGAAACAATCGATCAAAGATAAATTGGAGAAGGCTGTCAAGATGGGTCAGATGCCGACGTTCTGTTCCAATTGCGGGTCAATAAGCACGCCGACGTGGCGCAAGATCTGGACGCAGGACCTAGATGGCAGTCCTGAAATCCCGGAATACTCTGAAAAGCCTGGTCGCATAACAGCAATTGTCATTTTACAACGGAACGAGAACCAGACGCCAACAAGGTATCGGGTCGTCAAAAAGGCTCTTGGGCCAGCCGAAGACAAGTCTCAATGGGTTGAAGATATTCTCTGCAATCGTGAGTACTGCCACTCTTATTTCCGTGGCTGACCAGGAGGCACTGGCTAACCGGACACACAGCATGTGGTCTTTGGCTGTCCAAATACCAGACTCAGCGCCCTGAAGCACAATGGGAGAAGGACTACTCTCAGATTGGAAAGTCACGCAAGAAGAGGAACTCGAAGACTTCTCGGCCCAAAAAGGCGAAGGGACAGGGTGCTACTTCGTCGAACTTGCCCTCAGAGGCGTATTTTACTACTGATCCAGTGGGGCCGGACGACCAAGGAATGACCCCGCTCACAGAGGGGGATGAGGTGGTGCTGCTCCGGGGTCCAACTACAGAGCCACCCAGCCGCGAACGTGGCGCGCGGTCACAAACAGCAGAAACAGGTGGCCTGGGTGGCTGTCCCGATCCTCGAGGGTCGACACACTCACGAGCCAGTGGTTCGGCTCAAAGTCCCATCGCTGTCGAAGACGACACCCTGGGAAAGACGAAGAGGCTGCTCTTTCCGTCCCCAAAGAAGGACGGACAACCCAAGGTGCTTGGCGAAGTCGCAGTCAACATTGTGCGGACATCAGCTGGTCTAGACGGGGGGTCCAAGAACGCTCTCACCGGAAAGGAAAACTCGGTCATGGCCGCCGACATGGACAATGAAATGAACCTCCTCTCGACGCCCAAAGTCGGCGTCGATGACACGAAAAACAAGAACAACCTAGCGGATTTGTTCAGCACATCCTCCCAGCCTTCTACACCCCAACGCAAGGAGAGACTTGCGGGAGTTTTCAAGACTCCGACCCGGCCGACACCCAGTCACCGCCCCATAACAAGGAGCGTTTCGAAGTCGATACGGACAGCACGGTCTACTGCAAGGTCGCCCGGCAATGCTTTCCCTCGCCTTCAAGGGACACCGACGAAAACCCCCCGCTCGAGCGCCCGACTGCGCAACGGGAGTGTCCATTATCAACACCCTCACGCCCACTTCGCCGCTGACGATAGCATGATGATGCACACAGACTTTGGGACTCCCTTTAGCTCTACTATCAACCAGCTCCTGTCCGAAGCGAACGACTTCACCGCTGGCTCGTCAGCTCATGGCCTGTATGAGCTGCCAAATATGGGCAGCGACAACGGCCTGGCTGGTCATTTCGAGGGGTTGGATTTCGGGCACTTCCTGACTACGGATGCGGTAATGCCCAGCAGTCCGCCCGTGCTTCGCAGGAATGGCGAAGCGGAGATATTTGACTCGGCTGAAATGGATTTTACCGACTGGGAGGCCTTTGGAGATGTTAATATAGATGGGATCGGCGATGGCGATGATGTACAGACCAACTAGGACTTCGGTCTGCACTCGTTCTTGCCGTAGGACCTCGAGTTAGGTGCAGCAGCCGGAGATAATGGCTCATTGGACTGCACCAACCTTTGTCTTGCGTTGACGCACCACTTTGTTTACGTCGGCGTGGCATGATGTATGGTTATGATCCTCGAACGGGGGAGGTGTGTGTGCAAGGCAGAGAGAAGCCTTTTGGTTTGGCGTATCAAGGACAAGGAATGCTTGGATGGGATGGATGGATTGATGGAAAGGCGCGGCATGCGGATACGGCATATACCACTTTGGCCGAAGACCTTGTTTATTTGTTTTGATGTTTTAAAACCAAGTTATGACAGCCTATTGCTCTTTAAAATTAAGATATCGATTGTGCAAAGAGAAACGACCTCATTAAATATCGCTTGTTTGACGCGTTTTGCGCCCACTGCTGATGGCCCATCTGAGCGAGGTCGATCTGTCTACAGACAAGCCTTTGTGAAAAATGGGTTTAGATCTCATTATTGAGTGCTACATAGTCCGAGAAAGCCCACCCCGTCTACATTGGTTCACGATCCAAGTATTCATCATTATCATCTCGAAGAGAGAATTTGCAAAGGTTTGACCGGGGAATGAAACAATGCTTTTCGTGAGATCTACTACGCAGCATCAAGTGGGGAACTTTTCCGTTCGTCTAAATAGTCTCGCACAAGGCACCACCTGCCAGCGCCGTCCATGCTCAGCAGCGCATATCTCTTTCCATTTTTCTGCCTCATGATGCCACGAAACATGGCACTGATGAGGCATGGTGAGAATTCGAGATTGCTACCGCCTCCAAGACGATCTCCTCGCTGCTTCATAACGGAATCCCTGACAACATCTCGAGCCCCACCTTTGCAATGACGTGGTGTTCTTGGTGATTGTAGTGGTGGCGGGCTTGCTCTGGGTGGCCCAGAAGTGCCCAACGCGCCGATGCCGATAGTGTTGAGCAGCATGTACGTAGGGTATGCCGAGACCTCATGACCATGCCTCACGAGTTCCTCTGAGCACTCTGAGCCGGCCGGTGGCTCTGGCCCATGCTGCTGCTGCTGCTGCTCTCTCGCAGCAAAGGGCCACGGAGGCAAGGAGATGCCGAGCTTGCGCATCTCCTCTGCAAGGCCGCCGCCATGGTCATCAAAACTGTCTCCGTCACCAGAACCTCCCTCCTCACGGCGTTGCGATCGGTCAATGTGGCGCTGGGAGACAAAATCAGACGGCCACACCGTCGAGACGAAGCGCACACTCCCTCTGCTCCTGGCACTCCGGCCGCCGAGTCAGTTGACCGCCACGTTGTCGAAGAGGTGCTTATAGCGCTGCGAGACCTCGACCAGCTGCTGACAGAGTGCGAAATCTAAGAAAAGGAAAAGGAGGGAACTCGGCTGGTCAGTGACCATTCATCTTCGGAAAGATGTAGGAACTCTTGAGGGATGTACAGGGCAGGGATCATTCACATACCAACCCCGTTTCCCAAGTCCATGGCACTCAACACTCGGACGGAGAGATCAGGATTGACCTTGCCGATGATCTGAGCTGCCGAGCCTGGCGAGAGGTGGGCTTCCTAAAGGGATTTGATCTGTGTCAGCCTCGCGGGCTCTTGTCATCCTCATCTTGTCCAGCGCGTGGTTCACATGGCTGCATAGAGCTTGTGTAGCTAGGTATGTATGACTGGGCCAGGTGGAAGAAGCCACGGAGCTATCGATCGTGCCGTGCCGTTGGACAAAAGCACAAAGGATAGTATTTGCGTGTACTTACACGATTCAGATGCGCAGTAATGTTGCCGTCCGCGTCAATGAGGGCCACCTCCCCGCGCAGCTGGACAACCTTGCCGACAATAGTCACGTTGCGGCCGACGTAGCTGTCGAGGTACGGTGCCGTGGCGCGCGGGGTCGGTTGTGAGTCCATGGCTGCTGCTGCGTGGTATGTGTGACGATTTTGGTTCTAAAAGGGTTCGGGGTTTGAGAGTTTGACAACAGAGTTTGCCAACCGCTGAGTTAAAAGAGACGAGGCTTAGAAACAGCAGACGAGGCCGAGGTGGGGCAATGGAACGAGATGAGGGTTGGAGCAGTGAGCGAGGCGGAAGGCTGTCGAAGCTGCCTAGGCGCGCCTACCTCGCTGTGTTTACTTGTGCAGGTGGGGCTCTTCTGGGCCTAAGAAAGCTAATCACACTCAGGCCTGTCCCTCGAATAGGGCAATTGAAGAATGACCCAACCATACATGATCCAAGACTTGATTGATGACAATATACTACAATTTTTGGCCAAATGTCCCTTGTTTTGTGACATGATATTCTGCAGATATCTATCAAGAACTGGGAGAGCTGGAGACACACCACTGCCAACATCTCAGCCCGCCTACGTGCCACCACGATTCCTCGCGATGTTCTTGGTGTACTTCCAAAGGTGCCTGTACTTGGGGCCCTGTCTCTTCGCCTCCCAACCGCGTGCCTTCTTTGGCGACTTGAGACTGTGCACGCGCTGTCTCCTGAAGACAATGTCGGCACCAGGGATACCGTGTCTTTGCATGACCGCCTTAGTGCCCTCGTCCCAGATCGTGCGGAACATATTAAAACCGTACGGCCGCACATTCTGCTCCGATTTGAACGACCGCAGTGAGAACCCATCACGGTTGTTGGAGTATTCCTCGCGCAGCTTTGCCACGTCCAGCTCCGCGCCCTCGTGCTGCTCCAGGATCCATACTGATAGTCGGTGGTAGGGCGCACCCTCCTGGCTGAATGGTGGGAGCCAGGGCACGGCGAGCTTGTCTTGGTCTTTGCTGACGCGAATGAGGGAGATGTTTTTGGTGAGGCAGTCGACTGGGATATTGGCTGCCATAAAGTGTAGACGGCGGCCAAAGGAGTCGGTCTCTGCGTCCGGGACGTCACTGTCCATCACCACAACGGACACGAGTCGCTGCTTGGAGTCGAAAACCTGAACACGTACGTTGGGCGGGGCTTCGGACACTAGCGAGTCGACAATTTCACCCGGCCGAATACGGTAGCCGTGGAAGGAGAGTTGGACGTCCATCTTCGGATCGAACTTTGGCAAAACGTCAGGGGTGATGTGGAATTGCTGCACACGCTGGACCAAGATCTTGTAGGCCATATCGCGCCACCTCTGTTCGTTTAAATAGCGATAGATTGGTTTGCTCATGTCGGCTGCTCCTCTGGCATTAGTTATTTGTAGGTGAGCATGCAGGTATGTTCTGGGTATGACTTACCAACCCCGTCTTCCCACTTCCTCTTCACAGCGGGGTCATTGATGTCGGCCTGGATCTTCAGAGCCTCCACATGCCTTTGCAACGAGTCCAACCTCTTGTTCTTGAACGTCTCCCCGCCCCTGTAGACCTTCACCGGCGTGGCTTCTATTGTCTTGGCCCTAAGATGAGCCCTCTTGATCTCCTCGAGCTTTTCGGCACGGTCCTTGGCCAAGATCTTCCGTGCCTCCTGGAAACAGTGGTACGGTAGCTGCTCGAAGGGAATATTCGGCGTCTGGCGGACCGCAGCTCTCCTTCGTCTCGACCCTATGGGCTCTATGCCCTTCCTCTGTAGCTTTTTCTCCGCCCACGGTAAGGTTGTAGTATTGGGGTCGAGCAATTGCGCAGTCAGCTCGCGCCGTGCGGCTCTCTCAGCCTCCGTAGAGGTGGAAATATCTGGTGTACTATTGGAATGAGCGAGATCCTGGGTCGCCTGTGCAGTAGCAACAGCACTTTCGTTCGGTGAGGATGTCGTTGTTTCGCCGTCTGGGCGACTCGCCGAGTTTGAGAACAAGCGTGCCGCCGCCGTAGAAATAGACGGCCCAGCTATTTGTGCTGAACTTCGTGGTCGCAGGCACAGCGCAATTGGCCGCGCTGCCTGTTGACACCTCGACATCTTGGTCGTCGGGGTGGGTGCTTGTCGAGGTGCTGGCGCATGCACGTCAAATTTCGGGCGGGCACGCGATGCGAAGTCGAAGCTCTAGAAAAATTTCGGGACGCCGTAGCGTGCAGCAAAAGCTGCCCGTGCCGTAGCTGGTCCGTGCACGCGTTGTCATCGATCTTTTCGAGCTACTGGAAGGCGACTTGCAACAACATCACTTCACCTTCGTCAAAGAGGAATCCGCCACAGCTGGTCAATTATTTGAATCACAAGTTGTCGCGATGGCTGGGAAGGGGCTTCGGAGTCTCACTGAGGCCATGCAAGGCCTAGGTCTTTCTTCACAATCATGCAGATCCACGATGCTGGTACGGCGCATTTTTCTATTTGACCCAAGATGATGGCTTCTTCCCTTCCTCTATGAGGGAAGAGGAAAACACGAATTGGACTGACAGAAATTGGAAACAGAGGAGATTATCCCCCATCGCATCACGCACAATGGCGACTACGACAGCGCCGCCCAGCCTCACCATGCCCTCCACCGATCACAACTCCGCCACATCTGCCGCATCAGGCTTTCTCCCTTTCGAACCGCTCACCACCGTACCTGTCACCATCCACAGCTTCCCCAGCCTTGAGCCGCGCTCCCTCGAGGCATACTCTACAAAGCACCTCTATCTGCCCCTACGGCGGGATATATTGCACCTGGCAGTCACGTACGAAGGCGACAACACCCGCCAGGGCTCAGCAAACTCCAAGACCCGGTACGAGGTGCACGGCTCGCACCGCAAGCTCTACCGACAGAAGGGCACCGGTCGCGCCCGCGTGGGTACCAAGCAATCTCCGCTGCGCCGGGGCGGTGGCAAGACGTTTGGTCCCAAGCCGCGCGACTTCGGCACGGACATGAACCGCAAGGTGTACGACCTCGCCTGGCGCACGGCGCTGTCGTACCGCTACCGCCGGGGGGAGTTGATTATCACCGAGGACGGGATGGAGCTGCCGCTGCCCGAAGACTTCCTGGCGCTCGCGCAGGCAGGCCGTCTAGGCCGCGAGCTCGAGGACGGCTTCGTGTTGCGGTACCTGAGCCAGATGATGGAGGGCCTGCGGTGGGGCAAGCAGTACGGGCGGACGACCTTTGTTACGACTGATTACCGGCCGAATCTGTCTACGAGCCTCGACGTGGCCAAGGCGCACGGCCGCGTGATACATCTGAGCGACAAGGAGGACCCGCTGGATGTGAAGAACCTGTTGGAGACGGGGCGGATCGTCATGGAGAGGAGTGCCCTGCGGGAGGTGATCAACAGGCACCGGAGCGACCTGGTGAGCAGGATTGCTATTAATGGTGTGCGGGACCAAGGACCACAGATTGGAGAGATATTGCTAAAGTAAAGGCTACGGCCGACGGATGCAGGCGGCCATGTTGAGCAATTCCTAGCAGACATGTGGGCGAAGTCAATATGCTATCTGTATCTGAAGCCTATGCGAAGCACGTATGAGTATAGCCTAATGCAAAACAATGCACTCCGTTGCAAAATGCACGGCGTAGGACAAGTTTCTATCGCGCACTGAGTTCATTTTGGGAGACTGGCAAAGAGCCATCAAAGTGCCATTCTAGAGTCTCCTGTTCATTTCTGTTTTTTTATTGTTTCATGTATTTTTTTCTTCCTTTTTCTTTGATTTTTGTTTTCCCATAAAGAGCGAGGGGGAGGGGGTGGCTGGGAATTTGGTATTGGGGTCCAATTCTTGACTGGAGAAACCCTTTCTTTCCTTGAGGCACCCCCTTCCGCGAGGTTGTCGAGTATAATGGTTCCGAGGCTAATGTTATAATCTTCCTCTCAACCGTGCGGAAATCCTACCAACAAAGATGCTTGCTCAGGTATGTATTTGTCCGAGGTAGACACTGCCCCAAGGTACACTTAGAATAGTGGGTGGGCATGGCCTGCCGCTCTAACTCAGATTTGCATGGCACCTTGTCAGGTTCAAGTTTGGCGTGTTCCTCCCGTCTCACCTCTCATGCAACTTTCTGGGTAAAAAAGTCCCGATGGCTCGAATAGATGTAGCAAGGAAAATGAATGGCCATTCCGCATCAAACCATCCGGCAAGCAACCCGAGAATGCACCCCAAAAAAAGGCGTGTCTCTCTGACTGTGTTTTCGTGAGAAGAGGAGAGCGTGGACGCGAACGCTGGGCCCGAGTTGAGGTCGACTGATGAAGTATCAACAATATGACCTGACCGCACTGTTGCCTCTTCAGCCACCTTTTTTCCCTCTATTTTTTTCTTTTCTTTCTTTTCTTTCCTCCCCCCCCCCCGTGTCAATCCTCACTTGGTCATATGTTTTATTTATACTACGTCAGCTTGCATAAGGAACATCACGCCCTTTGACCAGGTATTGCCCAGCAGGTGTTGCACAAGAGATGAAGTATTGATCTGTCACATCAACATTCGACCCAAACTCTGTGACAGCACGCTCCAACAATCCTACGTAACAAACTCAACCTGAAATTGAGGAGGCACGGTGTTCTATGTGCAGCCAACCTTGCGAGAATGGTTGGGAACATATCTAGCTCGGTTGGGCCTCCCCAAAAGGACCGACAACCAAACTTTAGGTAGCATCGACCTGCAGTGGTCCAGAACAGAGATGGCACTTGCAATCATTTGACGCTCAGGTGGGGGGAATTGGTTGCGTTCTCTTGGGGGCTTGCGAGGATACGAACCGACTTGTCGTTTTTGACAAGAAGCTGGGGGAGAAAAAACTTGAGAAAAAGCTCTCGTGATGAGGCAGGGCAGTGAAGGGCCATCAGTCATCGCCCACCTGGAAGGATGGGGGCGTTCAGCAGAGGCGCACGCGCATTCAATAGTTTGACGCAAATATACTATGCAGCATTACAGCAGCACAGTGGCAAGCGGGACTCGCCTAGGTACTGATTTAGTAACGCAGCGACTGTCCAGCTCAAGCGTCAACCCTAACCCATCCAGAAGGCTCAAGTGTGTGTAAGTACAGTGCAGTACGTACTATGGTGGTAACTTCCAAACAGTGCAACCACCAACTTCCTCCCCACTGAAGCAAGTATAAATCTTGGATACAGGCAGTCAGTCACCCCTCAAGATAGAGATTGCTTAATATTTGACGCCCTTCACTTCTTCATTCTTCTTCATCTTCAATTCGTGACAAAATTTCATCCCAACGCTTCTGACGAGAATTGACCTGATTCGAATTGTTCACACTCATCTGTCTCTTTACCGGCCCCAAATACGGTGACTGGCACACCCTTCCCCGTTCTTCCCGAATTAGAATCAATGGTCGGCCCATTGGAGTGGCCCCGTGGTCCCAATGGCTTCGAAGGAAGACCCCATTTTAAGTTCCATCGGCTCAAATAAGCGCGATACCCCCAGTCATAACGTTGTTGTTGAACCTGGTCGTAAGCGCCGTCTTGCATGCACCGCGGCACAGCCTTTCACACTCGCAGCTGCAGGTAGCAGTACCCACTCTTAGACGTCTTCGCACAGGGGACTGAATGCTTCTCTTCCGCGCTCGCGAGAAGGTTTCTCCCTCCTTCGCTCCAGAGTACTGGTCACAGCTGGATGGTCGAAACCAAGGTCCCAAATGGCGGGGACTCATCCCGCGGCAGTCCAGTCGATCGACACTGGTGGTGCCCTGTCCCCTCCCTCCCCTCCTGGGACGCGGAGCTGATGGAAGGGCCTCGATCTCGATCCTGCAAGGGCCTCGTCCTGTCCAGTCTGTTGGCCGCCATGGAATCCTCTTCTTTCGAATGGGATTACCACAGCGCGGGCTTCGGGCTTCGGACCGTCAGATTTCAAGGCCCTGAGCGGATGCGACATGACAACGTCCCCCCCCCCCTCCCCCTCCTCTCCTTGCCCAAGAGGTATGTTGACCAAAAGGGCGAGCTCTCTCGTCAAATAGTGGCTTCGCTAAAGGGCCGCCTAGCCTGATGTGAGTTCTGTAAGGCTGCATGGCCCCCTCCAGACTGGCTTTCCTACCTGTTTATCTCCTCACTCTCTCGCTCTCTTTCTTTCTCTTTCTTGTCTTGGTTTTCTTTTTTGTGTTTACTTACTCCCTTTTTCATGTCTCACCTGCCGTTTGTTCGCTTTAAACGCTCGCTCGCTCGCTCGTGCTGATCATCATCCGTGGCCACGGCTGATCGACGTCTGCTTGCTTGCTTGCATGTGTCCCAACCAGACAATGTAGCCTCAATGCATCCACGGAGTTATTTTCCTGTTCTTCTGCTCTTCATTGTCATATCTCTCTCTCCTTTGGTACTTGGCACCACGGAAAATAGAGGCTCTGCCCTGAGCGCGACGGACGTGAAAGAAGACCACCTCCAGGGCGATACCACATCTTCTCGACAGCGCTACAGCTCCGGCTGGCTCGTTAGACATTCGCGTCGCACATCCTCAGAGACGTGCCCGACCAACTATTTCCAGTGTGGCAACGGTCTGCCGAGCGATTTTTGCTGCCCAACAGGCGACTCTTGCAATGCCTTGGCTGACAACACAACCGTGCTCTGCTGTCCCGATGGCCAGGACTGCTCCTCGATTGAGCCCATCACCTGCAGCCTCTCCGGCCTCAACGCCACGGCCTTTCCTGCCACGTCAGTTCACACCACAAACCTGACGGGGGAGCTGCCGACATGCGGAGAGCGGTGTTGCCCATTCGGCTATACCTGCAATGGAGACTCGACGTGTGATCAGACAAAGAGCACCACGCTGGAAATAGCCACGTCTACCGCCTCACTTCCTAGCACGATAACCGTCGCCACAGCGACTGGGACCGCTACTGGCCTGGTTATGGCCACAGAGACTACACAAGCCACCCCAACGTCTACATCAAGCTCCTCCTCCTCATCAAACGCCTCGGAAGAAAAAAAACGAACCATTGAGATTGCAGCCGGCTCGGCAGCTGGCGGTCTTTTATGTATTGGAGGACTTATCGCCTTTGCACTGCTGATGAGGAGGCGGGCAGCACGCACCGCAAGCACCTCAGAATCCACCCGGGAACTTGGCGTCCAGAGCAGGTCGACCAGGGCGACCGTTCCCTACCAGAGCAGCAGGTCAACGGGGACCCTGCCTCCCTACTACCAGAGCAGGTCACCTGGGACATTTCCTGCCCACAACATCTCACCCCCCGAACCCTCTCCTCCACCGCCTCCATTGCCTCCCAAGGAATATTACCAACCACCCAAGAGAAAACGAACGTCATTGCTCAGCTGGGTGCCATCGGTTATAAATCGCACACCAGTTGAGTTACCAGCGACACCCATCAGTCAGTGGGGTCGAATCCAGCGCCCTGAAGAAGTTTATAGACCGTATGCCAGCGAGCAGCGGGGAAACATCCACGAGCTGGAGGCGGATGCGAGATGGTTGCCTCGTGAGGAATCACAATGAACCCACATTCTTTACTCACCAATACCAAATCATTTATTGTTCATTTTGATTTGACTGTCAGACACGTGTTCTTGATCATCTTTGTGTGTGTGTGTGTACATATGTCCGAGAGGGAGACTGTCGCCTGTGATGCCTGCACTTTTGTCTCACATTTACTTTGTCCACTTGGGGATCTCGGCAGGTCTGCGGCCTTGGGCCCTTTCTTCAGAAGAACCTCTCCTGATACAGCCTGGCTTTGAGAGTGGTCGCGGTGAAGGCTCTTCCATTCAAATCAAGCAAAATGACCTCTCCTCCTAGATCAACACATCGGCCGCCAGTGTTGTGTTTTTAGGATCTCAATTTTTTTTCAATGACGGTCCAGTGTCAACATCAGCGAATCATCATTGCTCATGTTCGGACGTGGGCTTTTGGGACTCGTGGGCGCGGTGTTCTTCGAGATGAGCGAACGACCCTTCTCTGGACCTTACAAGTTCGTTTACGACACGGCACACTTTATCCTCCCCTTCACCCTTGCCGTCTTCAACGCCGTCCTCGGCGGCGTCCTACTAAGCACATGGGGCAGGCTTTCGAAGGCGGTGCTCGTGGGCTTCTGCGTCACGGCGGGGGTGATCCTTGGTCTTTTCTTGCTCTGCCACTTCGCCCTCTACCTAGTCCGGACAAGAAAAGTAAGGACGGCAGAGGCGAAGGAAGAAGAAGGAGGAGATGGAAATGAGAGCGGCGGCTCAGTCGCATCATGGGTACGCAGAGGGCCGCAATCACCCTCCAAAGGCCCTGTGAGGGTGGAGAGCCCGAGTATTTGTGCGGATTGTCGGACGAAGCTGGTGAGGCAGGGCGTGGCGCCTCCGCAGGCTGGTTGTGAAGGGATCCGACGAGAGGCAAGTCATTATTTTTCTTTTTCTGCACATTCCTTCAGAAACACTTCCCTCTCGGTCACGATTAAGACTAAACCGATGACAAATTTAGTCTGCAGAATTACATCTTCCACGCCGACCCGACCCAGGGTCAGAAAATCATCACGAAGCCGCCCCGGCAAGGCACCACGAACGGAGGGACGAAGTGAGGTTGTCGGCTGTACCAAATCATCCCTCGCTGGTCCCGGCGCCTCTGAACATCTCGCGTGTGTCGAGGGAACCTCCAGATGGCCCATCGCCCTTTCAACCTGCAACCATTCGCGTTCAGCACAAAGCGGCCTTGAGATCGCCAGATCTTCGCATACACATCCCACCTCAAGTCGAGCAGATTCAGATTCCTGCCGCTGCGGGGAGCATGAACCTCTCATCCAGGCAAAATGACGTGCGATCTGGACACGATGTACGGCACAAGGCGTCCACAGAAGGACAAGTACTTCTGCAACGACCTCAACAGGCAGCGTCGTCAGGCAGCCTTCACATGCCAAGAAGGAGACCACGCGGTCCACGACCTCAGCATCCCTCTGTGCCCTCTAGCAGAGAAAACTTGCAGAGATCCTCCGCGGCTCGACAGCAGCGGCCTGGAGCGGCTGAATTCGCAACGTCGGGAACAGACCAGGACACCATCTCGCGGCAGTACAACGATATAGAGCGGACCCTGCAGGATGTCATACCCAGGCCCGAGACTACGCGAGGGCATATGGTGCTCATCGAGGAGCCAGGTCTAATCGATCTCATCAGCCGCGGTATTCTCAAGTGGGATGGCTCACCACCCATTGCGGGGGAATGCTCAGTACAGGGTTGCGGTAATGGTTTATCCATGTCCTTGTCCTCCTCCTCGTCTCTCTACCATGGCAACGACAACATGCGCATCTGCAACAACTCGCACAAGAAGAAGACCGCCGAGCTGCGACAGTCGCATGATTCGGTGCAGAGGGGCAAGAGCCAACGGGTCCAGATCATTGGTGGTCGGGGGCTCTTGGCGGAGCTCTCCAGGGACAGCGGGTACTACACGGCGTCCTCTGGGCCGCAGTCGGCGGAGCCGCGGGACTCCTCGTCCTCCTGCTCAGGCGGCGTAAGACAGGATGCGTGGGAGATGGATGTGCTCTACAAGCGTCCGAGATTCCCTTTCCTGGGGGAAAGAAGCTCTTGTACCTCTTGGGCGGAATCACTGCGGAGCCACTTGGATGCGCCAGGCGACCGAGTCCATGAGAGGAGACTCCGTCGGCGGAGTTCGGCGCCGGGCTTGCGCGATCATCTCAGGAGCTCGTGGGATGATGTCCTCGACGGCCATGATGATACGAGCCGCCATTCATGGTTGGATGAGACGCAGGCTAGGAGGATCTGAGTCAGGGCCGGAAAGATGGCAGAAGCCATAGTGATGGGCCAGGAGGAGCATGAGCGATCGAAGATGAGGCGGGCAGTATTCTTGCCTTTCTTGAGTCGCCTTGGAAAAGTTGTTTATGTGTCTGAAGAGGCTGGTGTTTTGTTCTTTTCAGGGCGGCTTTCAGTACTGATCAGCTGGAGGCGCGCAGTTCGTGAAGCGGCCAAAGGCTGAATACTCTGCGTCAGACTGTAGCATGTAGAAAGCCTGCAGTCTCTCCGAGAAAGCAAAAGATGTTTATGATTCCGTATGGTATCAGATCCCCCAAACGCCTGTTCATGAACAATTTCGATGCCGATTTGATTTTTTTCCCACCTTTCTTCTTCGCTTCTCCCCCTTTCAGATCATCTCACAAGATCTCGTCCTCGTCTTGCGGCGGCGGTGCTGGCGCTGGCACGGAGACGCCTACGCTATTCGCGTCCACAGCAGTGGCCGGCTCTCCAGCCTCCTGCATCGCAACATCCATCTCATCAACCTTGTTGTCGTCCTCGTCCTCGTCCTCGCCGCCATCATCCGCCAATCCAGCAAACTTATTCACGCCTGCTGCTGCCGCCGCCGCCGCCTCCTTCTCCTTCGCCGAAGCGTTAATTTCGTCCCACGTCTTCTTGCGCCCGTCAATGTTTCGTGCCGAATCCTTACTCCTGGAGACCTTGACCGCTGTCCTGTCCAGGATCTCCTCAGCGCGCTCGAGGCCGCGCTCGTGACGCCTTCTCGCGCGAGAGCTCAGGACGGCCTTGCGCCCGCGCTTGGCCTTCTTGTTCACGCCGGCGTTCTGGTAGAGGCCCAGCACGGAGGGGCGCTGGTTAAGGGACTCAGAGGGTGGCTGGACGTCCTTGAGGGACTTGTCCGTGTTGATGGAGGGGGAAGTAGCGCGGCGGGCGGCGCGAGAGTGGAGGGAGGGGGCTGTTTGTTAGGTTCATGAGACTCGAGGTTAGTGATGAAATTTGTGAGTTGGAGGAGGGAAGATGGGGGATCATGGGATGGGAAAGGGGGTAAGATGATTCTTAAAAGGAGATGCTCACCTTTGCCGCCCTTCTTGGTGTTTGTTTTTGCCATTTCGTCAGTTTGTATGGGTTTGTATTGTTTTGGGATGGTTTGATAGGAACAGCAAGAATTACTATGAGAAGAGCAGCGATGGAAATCTTGCTTGTCATTGCTATCGCGATAAGAAATTTTAGTGGGGCACGGGCTCTGGTCTCCTCCTGGAGCACCACTGAGAAACCCCCAACAAGCGCAGCGCTGAACAAAGAGGGATGGGTTCTACCCTTGTTCTCACTTTACCCTTTCCTTTGGGCTGATTGATGAAACGAATGCATTGAAGTTATGTTATCATTTCATCTCTCTTTACTCTAATTGAAAATACATGTATAGATATGTGTATCTGACGTCTAAAACAATGTCTACTTCCCCTAGCTGCTCCTCAGTTGCAGGACAACCAGAGCTCGGCTTTGCCCCTGCTCAGGGTGTGGACTGGGACCAGTACCTCGCCTACCGCCCCACCTACCCAGAGTCGTTCTTCTCTCTCATCCACAACTATCACGGCCGCAAATCCGAGGCCGCCTGGACCACAGCCCACGACGTCGGCGCCGGCTGTGGAGTCGTCTCTAGCAGGCTGGCCTCTCGTTTCGAGCACGTCATCGTCTCAGACCCAAACGACGGGTACACCGCCCTCGCCAGGAGGCTTCTTCTCGCCGAGAACTCTCCTCTGCCAGAGCGGAACTTCACCTTCCTCCAGGAGCGCGCCGAGCAGAGCAGCGTGGAAGACGGGGCGGCCGATCTCATTTCCGCGTGCCAGATGATGCATTTTGTGGACACGGGCGAGGCGGTGCGGGAATTTGGCAGGCAGATCAGGTCGGGCGGCACCCTCGTGGTGAGCTTCTACGCCGTCCCGCGCATCCTAGGGAACGAGCCCGCCGAGCGGGCGTGGGAGGCCATCTGGCGCGAGTTCGCGAGGAGAGCGACGGGCCCTCTCTTTGATCGTGCGTATAGGCTCTCCAATGCGGCCTATGAGCCTCTTGCACTGCCGGAAGGTGAGTGGAGGGATGTCAAGAGGGTGTATATGAATTCCCCTGGGAGCACGCGCCAGTGGATGCTGAGTGGCGATGACCGCATCGGTGAGGACAGAGTTGGAGAGGGAGAGGAGAGAGTGTGGATTGAGCATGATGACAGCTGGGCTGCTTTTCATGACATTGCGTGGCTTCGGGCTCACCTCGCGACACTGGTACCGCGCATTCCGGAATCTGAGCTGCAGCAGCTCTGGGATGAGCTCGAGTTGGCCCTCGACGGGCAGAAAGTCAGGCTCGAATTTCCGGTCGTGGTTATCCTGGCGACAAAAACTTAAAGGGACTAGACTCAGACACCCCCCCGAGTTAGATATTAAATCATTATCATCGTTTTGCCTTACTTACAAGTATCTTTTACGGTCACAGAGCTCTCCCTCCCTCCCTCTCTCTCTCGCGCATGAGCCAAAGCTTCAAGTCCAGACCAATCACTTGCGATGTTAGAGATGGTCGGACAGGCCAGTATTATTGACGAGGGGCCGCATTTCAACTAATACGTTAGCATCAAGTATTCTTGACTTGAACATGGTAATATGTTGAACCTAGAAGTTTTAGCCTGTATCAATTTGAGAACAATCCTCTTCCCTCACGGTTTATGTTGTGTATTGTACATGCATTTATATATCTTACATGGTATAAGCAGACCCAGGATCGTTGGTTCCCGGGGTCCACAGGTGGGGCAAAACAGTGTAAGATGGTTGGGCCGAATCTATTGAAGTGACAAGGGTTGGCCAGGCTCCAAGCTATGGCATCTTGGGAATATATGTCAATGTGTATGACCCCCAGTCTATTGCACAGAGCTTCTAATTGAAAGACATTGTTGCAAGACTCCAGGTCTGTCCTGCTCAGTATTTCGGTGACATGCCTTCAATGGCCAGAGGCTGACTAACTGCCACTTCACAGAGGAACAATTCTGATCCTATCTAAATTCGAAGCAAGCAGACTGAAGGGGGGGGGCTGCCAAAACTGGGGTGCAAAACCTGAAGAAAGGAGCGTATGAGAAGAAAAAGCAAAAAGCAAAATGTAACACTTATAGCTACGATTGGTTTCGATCCAACGTCCTCCGGGTTATGAGCCCGGCGCTCTTCCCCTGAGCTACGTAGCTGCTGTTGTATGAAATATATGTAAGTTTTCTTTGACTCATATTCTCTCTCTCGGGACAGAATTTTCACTTTGTGTGTGCAGAGTGGATCCCCCAAATCATCAGAAGACTAATTACTGGAAACTTATCGCCACAATGCTCAGAAAAAAGGGTCTACTGGTGAAGTTGCACATGAAAGCAACTCCTTCTGCCAGTAAAAGACCTGTGCGTGTGTTGACACCCAGAGAGGGGGGGGGAGGTTGACAAAAATTATGTATCATCGGATCTTGCTTCGAATCCGCACCAGTTTCGGAGGATTACAAGTCAGTACGTTCTCAATACATGTAGGACCATGTGCAACGATACACAGGAAAACTGGGTTGCAAATAATGATCGCACCACGGAATCAATAATGCATTAGGCAAATAAGGAGATCTGGGCAATCCCGTTTATGAATAATAAGGATGTGCGGAAGGTCCAGCTGCGAACGACCAAGGAAATTTAAGAAGCCGAGCACCACAGAGTTAATGAAAGCGACAAGTATCATACGAGAATATTCTGCATCAAGAATATAAACGATCACGACCAATTCCGACGCATATTGTCAGCTGCTATCCCTTCAGAGACTCAGGTCAATTCGGACTCAGCTTCCCATAGGAGATCAGGATGTTTTTCTCGGACCGTATGGTACAACGTCTTCCAAAGTGTCAATGTTTGGAGAGCGACAGAACGGGTGAGTAACGGATTACGCAGGTATAATTCAGTGCCCTTAACTGTATATCAATTTTTTGTTACTTTCCTTGTTTTTGATCACTGTTGAAATTTGGCTCAGAAATGTCTACTGTGTGTCTGTAACCAAGCCTGGCAATGTCGCAATGATGCGGTGATGCATTAAGGACCAAAACCTGTCTCTGCAGACCCCTGAACTGCGACCAAGGCCCATACGCTCGGTACTGTACCAGCATGCTTTCGGCTGCTGCGCCCGAGTTTGTCCTTTAACCCACTCGTCGGCCCCTAAAACAGTGGGCTCTTTTCAGAGACAAACAGTTCCAGATCATGCTCAAAGCTCGATGTAAAGTTTTCCCTTTTGTTCCTTTTTTTCCCTCCTTCCTTTTCTTTTCTTTGCGTTTCGGGGGCAAGAGAATGAAGGGTACAAATCGGGCCTTTTCACTCAGGTTACAAATGTGCAAGGCCTTTTCTATAAGGGATGGTTCAACCTGTTCTTTTGCTACTCATGTAACCGCTGACTGGTCTATTGTTCTTGCTGGCGAATTGCTTCGCCGTGCAGATGTTACTTGCGTACGGCACATGCATTGATATGCCCTCCATGATCATGTCATCGGTGGCGGCTCACATGCATAGTGGAGAGCATTGCGCCTTAAATTTGACGATATAAACACAAGGAAGCGGGGACAAACTTTTATGAGGGGGCAGAGTTATTCACTGAGATTTCCGTCTTTGCTTTTGCCGGCGCATTGATGCACCGGGTACCGTGTCGAAAGAGGTAAATGAAAACGATGATACAATACGGTATACAGAGCTATTTCATTATTCAAATTGAGCCAACCTCTCATAATAATAAATTCAACTGTATTATATACTGTGGTTGTTGTGGGGTAGAAGGTGTAGCGATGCAATGGGTACTTGTCTATGATGTTGGAATGCACAGATGCATTTGAGATCCAATAAGTGGTGCGACAATCTTTGATTTCTAAGCCCACGGATTAGTAACCTGAAAGCCCCTCGACCTTGGGATGCACTTCTGTACTATAGTATAAGACACTACACGCACCTGGCAACTCGAGAGTCCTGACTCGAAACAATGACAGCAAGACTCAATAAAATTGCAACGCATCTCAAAATGGCCAGCCAATCTGATATTCATCTATGTCAGACCGCCCGTCACCCGTAATTTGGTTCATCCATACCTCAGCTGCTGATTTCTTTGCAGACACCTTCGGGACGCCAAACGGCATTAAGGTCTCTATCCTCCTTGAGGAGCTCGGGTTGTCCTACCAGGTCAGAACGTCCGTCGCATCACCAGCCTCAGTAACTTTCATTGACTCTGAAATAGACCACATCCATCGATATCACGAAGAATGTGCAGAAAGTCAGGCAGCTATTCCCTCGAATCCACCATACCGATGGCTCATTGACTAAATGATCATTAGGAGGACTGGTTTCTCGATATCAACCCCAATGGCAGGGTAAGAAAGACCTCGGATTCTAGCTGAGAGTGGTGCCGCCAGAAATACGGCTGAATACCGATGATTTAGATTCCGGCCTTGACCGACAAGTTCACAGATGGCTCCACCATCCGACTGTTCGAGTCGGGATCGATCATGCAGTATCTCGTAGACAAGTACGACACGGAGCACAAGGTGTCGTATCCTCGTGACACCAAAGAATACTATGAGGTGAACAACTGGGTAAGACTGACTGATCTTCTACTTCAACCTCTGGCAGTTTCCACTGGGGTGATGCTGACCAGCATCTGCAGCTGTTCTGGCAGATGGGAGGTCTAGGACCCATGCAAGGGCAATCCAACCACTTCACCCGATATGCACCTGAGAAGATCCCCTATGGAATTTCTCGTTACCAGAACGAGACCCGCCGTCTCTGTAAGCAATTTGCGCTGTTTGTTCTGCAGTGGACCTGTCTCGAATATGAACGTCTTTATTGGCTTCGCAGTAGAATTCTAACGCCGGGCAGATCGTGTCATGGACGTTGCGCTCGCCAAGTCCAAGTCCGGATTCCTCGTGGGTGACAGGGTGACGATTGCTGATATGAGCTGCTGGGGATGGGTTGCCTCGGCTAGTAAGTTATAAACCCACCCCCTACCCTGACTATTCTAATCGCAGCTCAATGTCGGAGCTAATAATTCCACTACACAGAGTGGGCTGGCGTGGACATCGATGAGTTTCCCAACCTGAAGGCCTGGCTGTACAAGCTGCTCGAGCGCCCTGCCTTCGAGAAGGGTCGTCACGTCCCAACACCGCACACGGCTTTTGAGAAAGCCAAGCTGAGCGAAGAGGAGTTGGATAGGCAGGCGGCCAGTGCCCGGAATTGGGTGCAGGCCGGCATGAAGGAGGATAGCAAGAAATGAGAGGCATCTAGCGACGGTACTGTTTCTTGAGGGTCGAGAGATTGCCAGAGCTGTAGTTCTCATGGTTATTGTGCGAGGCCTGTGAGTCACTGGCCATGCTAGTGCCAGGCAACCTCGACCTAGATAGCCTCAGCCAGCTGGCTGCTTTCCCCTTCGTCTTTCCTCCCTCTGCCTTCTTTCTGTAGCGCATCAATGCACTCATCTCCATAGTTGTAGTGCTCAAATATCACGAACCCGCCCCCTTCCCCCCAAACAAAGACATATGAGATCCAGCCAGAGACCAATCGACATCATGAGCACATAGAAGGGTCAAGATGAATTAATATCACGTATCCACTCCGGGTTACCACAAAGCCGAAAGTGATCACGCAATGTCCGTACCACTGAGCTTCCAAGTTGGAATCTTGACGACCTTGATATGCTACCAGGAGTTCAAACTTGGAAGTGTGCTGGGGACGGGCAGGATAAAGGGATACTGAAATATTATTTCAAAATCTCCAAATACATGGAATTATTTTGAACTGATAAGCTTGTGTATGAATGCTCATGGATTCTCTTTGGTTTGCAACAGCTCAAAATAGGGTGGGTGAGTGGAGGGTCTGCCAAGAGTCAGTACTGTTGTGGCACGTGTCTGCTAGAAGAGTACGCGGCCACCAGCCTGGGGTGGCTTAGTCATTCCCGGGGGCTGATCGCCTCCTTTGACCCAGCTGTTTCGATTGCTGGGGCTCGCCAAAAATCTCCAACCTTGCATCCTCAAACCACAACCTCACACCACTGTCCATCAACCACAGCTGCACAGCTCTGCAGGGCGCATCAAGATGTCGTGGAGAAATCAAGGGATCACTGGATCCAACAACATTCCCCTGGGGAAGTCTCGCAGATTTGGTGGCGATGGAGACTTCAAGGACGAGGATGACCACGTCAGGTCTGCGCCATCTGTGGATGGCCCTGATCGCGACCTGAAGCGCGGTCGCAGCCCTGAGCCCAGTGAGTATTGCAGCATACCACCACTTGACGCCGATAACTTTTGAATACTAAACAGCGCCATCTAGGAACCGATGCAGATGGTCCTCGCCGCCGCAAGAAGCGCAACAGATGGGGCGAAGCCTCCGAGAACAAGGCTGCCGGGCTCATGGGCCTTCCCACTGCGATTGTCGCAAACATGACCAGCGAGCAGCTTGAGGCGTACACGCTGCATCTCCGAATCGAGGAGATCAGCCAGAAACTCAAGATTGACGATGTTGTCCCTGCTGATGGCGACAGGTAAGCACTCGTTCCAACTACCTCGCCATAACCCCACTTGTCCAGACCATCACTGACAAGACCTCCCTCGAACAGATCGCCCTCGCCTGCTCCCATGTACGACAACCATGGTCGGCGTGTCAACACCCGAGAGTACCGATACCGAAAGCGCCTGGAGGACGAGCGACACAAATTGATAGAGAAGGCCATGAAGACCATTCCTAACTACCACCCACCCCAGGACTACAGACGACCCACCAAGACCCAGGAGAAGGTCTACGTGCCGGTCAATGACTATCCGGAGATTAACTTCAGTATGATTGCTAACCCTCTAACCTTTCTAACCATATCACAATCCCCCGCAGTTTGGCGAGTTCTCAGACCTCGCGCAATAGCAGCATTGTTCCGCAGGCTCGCGTCACTGATCGGACCGTGCTCCCAAATTCTGTTCTTCTGATGACGATACTAACACTTAGCTCTTCCCTGTTTTAAGTCGGCTTACTCATCGGTCCTCGTGGAAATACTCTGAAGAAAATGGAGACCGAATCGGGCGCAAAGATTGCCATCCGTGGCAAGGGCTCTGTCAAGGAGGGCAAGGGTCGCTCTGATGCAGCTCACGCTAGTAACCAGGAAGAGGATCTGCATTGCTTGATCATGGCCGACACCGAAGAAAAGGTCAACAAGGCCAAGAAGCTGATTCACAACGTGATCGAGACCGTGAGTGCCTCCCCTCCCCCTTTGATACTTCCAGTCGGATATCAACCGGCTGACGCTGTGAACAGGCTGCTTCCATCCCTGAAGGCCAGAACGAGTTGAAGCGTAACCAGCTTCGTGAGTTGGCTGCTCTCAACGGAACCCTTCGTGACGACGAGAATCAGGCATGCCAGAATTGCGGTCAGATCGGACACCGCAAGTACGACTGTCCCGAGAAGCAGAACTACACCGCCAGCATCATCTGTCGTGTGTGCGGTAATGCAGGCCACATGGCCCGTGACTGTCCTGACAGACAACGTGGCCAGAACTGGCGGAACGATGGACCTGGTGGTCGACCGCCGGCGGGACGCATCGGTGGGGGAGAGGCCGACGCTGATTACGAGGTATGTCTTCTCCAACGCGGAAGCCCAGATGGTCTGATATAAAATGATGAAGACTGACAATGTTCCCAGCAATTCATGGCAGAGCTTGGAGGCGGCACGGCGCCTGCACGCATCGAGGCCGGGCCTGGGTCGCACTCTAATGGAGATGCCAAGCCGTGGCAGCGAGGCCCCACAGGAGGTCCTGCCCCCTGGCGTAACCGCAACCAAGATCGCGATCACCATGATGGTGGTGACCGTGGCGACCGCGGTGATCGTGGTGATCGTGGCGACCGTGGTGACCGCGGTAGTGGGCCTAGCGGCGGTCCTGCACCCTGGGCTCGTGACCGCCGCGAGCGGAATCACGACAACCACGGTGGTGACAGCAGCTATTACGGTGGCCATCACAATAATCACCACAACAACAATAACAACAGCCAAGGTTATGGAGGCCCTGCTGCTCCTGGCGCGGCACCCTGGCATCAGGCTCCTGCGGCTCCCCCCGGTGCTCAGCCTTACGGGGGCTACCCGGGCGGATATCCAGGATTCTCGTCGATGGGTGCCCCTCCTGGGCTCGGAGCGCCCCCTGCGCCTCCTTCTGACAACCTGACTGCTCTGATCCAGCAGTTCTCTGGAGGTGCTTCGGCGCCCCCTCCTCCCCCGCCGCCCTCGGACAGCGCGCCTCCACCACCTCCTGGTGATCAGCCGCCACCACCTCCCCCTCCGGGTGCCTAATATGAGCGCGGCATTCTACTGCGATCAAATCTCAGAGAACTGACACAGGGCACCGGATTCTACGGACTTTGATATTTTTACTACTCACCCAGTTCGAGTCAACTTACCGACAGGAAGGACGATACGGGATCTCTCAGCGGAGCATAAACCAAGACGACAACGGCAGACTGACAGTTTGACGGCTGAGAGAACTTACTACTGACTGTAAGATAGGTAGCTTCTACTAATAGAGAATTAAAAAAAAAAAAAAAAAAAAAGGTCGACACGTTGATTTTTCTTGATATGGTTGCGGTCCGTCAAGGCAAATTGTGACTCGGATTTGTCCTGTTTAGACACTCCTATCCATATAGACAAAATGTTGCAAGGCCTTTGGAAACTGTCTTTTAATGCAGGTTACATGATTTTTTTGTTTTTATGTGAAGCAGATATGTATATTGCCAGAAGAACTCGGGCCCACTAAACTTGCTTCAGGCTCCTCACTAACACACCCTAGGCGTGCTAAGGTATGCGGGAGGCGCGGGGCAGCTTCAGGTTGAGGCGATGACGCCAGCCATCTCGTCATGTGTCGAGACTTCCACCGACCTTCGGGTCTGACAAGGCCAAGAAATGAGAAAGAAAAAAAATTAAATTGAACGAATGTTTCTTTTACACGCTTGTGCAATAGCACGTACGAACACTGATTATTCCTTGTGTTTCGACCAGCCAAACCATCCATCGACTCGCGATTTTCTCTTAACCCCTCCCGACCTCGCTTGTCGCACCTAGATCCCTGCATTTCAGGGCATCATCGTTATTCGGCACGCGAAGGCCCGCCTCGATACATCATCCAACCACCTAAATAAGTGCTGTCGACAATTTTGTGCACTGCCGCCCGCCCACGACGTCCTCATGTATCACTATCGCTGACACTGTGGAGGAACCTTGAATCGGCGTAGACCTGTGTCAGGTCTGTGATCGCTACTGGACTGGAGTCGGGCGCTGCTCCCTCCTTCACAACGCGTTGTGTGTGCAGCTCATTAAACATCCCCCCAACCCTCCCTGCAGGTCTCTCCATAGTCCAGGATGAATCCATTCGCTTTCAGACCTTTTCAGGTCACAATATTCACCACGATTGTGTATCTGGCCCTCCTCATATCTCTGGTCATCGTCAATGAAGCTGTCCCATCTCCACCCTCAAGCTCAACGCCCTACACGGGCATCAACCTCACCGAAGCCTGGCTTGATCTGTCCACTCTCACCCAGGGCTATCACCCTTACAACAGCCACAAGAATGATGAGGTGCGGACCTGGCTCTTACTGCGCATCCAGCAGATCCTCGAGGAGAATGAAGCCGATTGGGTGACTGAAACCACCGTTGGAAAATACCCGTAAGACCCCCCCCCCCCGCCTAGACGGATTGTTTTTTCTTTCTTTTTTCTTTCTCTTTTTCTGGAAACTTCATGCTGAGGCTGTATGCTAGGTCGAACTACTCATCTCTAAGCTTGCGATCACTGAGACCAGAGGAAGAGCAGCCTGGTCACGGTGTCACCGTCTTCAACGATCTCATGTCAAATGTGACCATGTCTTTCAGTGGTCAGCCCGGGTCACCAGTATCTAGTGTCGCCGCGTACTTTGAGGGGACCAATGTGCTTGTCTATATTCGTGGTACCGAGGACGAGGAGGGAGAGTGGTGGAAGAAGAGGAACAACCGCCAGAAGCTGCCAATCGGTGGTGGTGGCGTTCTGGTGAACGCACACTACGACTCGTGAGAAAGTCCTTCCACATTTCAATCTGAACTGCTCTGACAACCGGATAGGGTCTCAACTGGGTTCGGCGCGACTGACGATGGTGTTGGCGTCATCACTGTGCTTCAGCTCATCAAGTACTTCACGACTGCTGGGAACCAGCCGAAACACGGAATTGTAGCCTTGCTCAACAACGGCGAAGAAGATTTCCTCTATGGGGCTCGAGCTTTCGGCAACAGTCCGCTAATGCCTTTTGTCCACACATTCCTCAACCTTGAAGGCGCGGGTGCAGGCGGTCGCGCGATACTGTTCCGTAGTACCGACCAGCAAGTTATGAGCGCCTATTCCAAGGCTCCTCACCCCTTCAGCTCTGTCATAGCCTCCGACGCCTTTAGCTTGGGTGCCATCAAGAGCCAGACTGACTTTGTCGTCTTCCATGACATCTATGGGCAAAGGGGCCTCGACCTATCCTTTTTCCAACCCCGGGCCAGGTATCACACGCAAGACGATGATCGCAAGCACACAAGTCCCGCCAGCCTCTGGCACATGCTGTCGTCATCTGTCGTCACCATGCGTGATCTCACAAGCAGAACCTTTGTCGGCGACAGAGCAGATGGCGACACGACCAAGGTGCCCAATGGCAAAGGCAGCGGCGGCGTCTGGTTTGACCTCTTTGGGAGCAGTCTCGTCTTGTTCAACCTTAGAGGCATGTTCGCGTGGTCGCTGACACTGCTCATCGCAACGCCTCTTATCCTGATGCTGCTCACGTACCTGGCCCAAAAGAAGGGCAAATACTACTTCTTCTCGAGCAATGTCAGCATCTATGAGCACCCTGGCCCGAACCCGGGTGACTACGAGCGCGTCAGGACTGGTGGTCTGAAAGGGATCATCCGCTTCCCGCTTGCTCTTATCGTGTCTGGAGCGTTGGTCTTTGGCGGGGCATTTCTGCTGCGGAAGGTGAATCCATTTATTGTGCACAGCAGCAAGTATACAGTGTAAGTTGTGGCCCGGGCCCTTGTGTCCCCTGCCGTGTTACTTCCATGCTGACTTGGATGCAGCTGGGCAATGTCGATATCGCTGGCCTATTTTTCCTTCTGGTGCATCATGCGGGGCGCAGACGTTACGAGGCCGAGTGCTTTGCACCGAGGCTACGCCAACATCTGGCTCTTCACGATCGGATGGGCACTTCTGGTCGCAGTCACCGTCTTGGAGGACCGGTTTTCGATTGCCTCTGGATACTACGTCGTCTTCCTCCAATCGGCACTATTTTTGACCACTCTCATATCTGTCGCAGAACTGTTTGCCTTGCCTGACAAGAAGACCTGGGGTCAGGAGTACCGAGCCGACCACGAGGGGCAGGTTGAAGACGAGCACAATATTAGTGCGGACTCCATCATCGCTCCAAGCCCAGGTGAAGTGGACGGGCCCGACTCCGACGAAGCTGCGGATGACGAGGCAGAGAGGGAATCTGCGCCCAGTGCGACGACTCCTCTTCTCGGGAGACCTAGTCGTGGAGAGGGCGAGAGCCGGACGACATTTGCCACGAGATATAGACGCTCTATCTCCGCGCTGGCAGATGTGACGACAAATCAACGAGAATCTGGGAAGGACTCGGGTGCTTTTGGCGACGAGCAACCCTGGTCCAAGTCTCTCCCTACTTGGACATGGTTTCTCCAGTTCTTGATCCTGGGGCCCTTCCTGATCATCCTCGCGGCGCAGACCGGACTGATGCTGACAGACGCTACAAACCAGACCGCTGCTGACGGCTCAAACGCCCTGACCCCATATCTGTCTGTTTCGCTCTTCAGCATGCTGCTCATTCTGCCTCTGATGCCTTTCATGCATCGTATTACGCATCACATTCCCCTGCTTCTTCTCTGCGTCTTCATCTTAACGTTGCTATACAACCTCACCGCTGAGCCCTTCTCGTCAACAAACAGATACAAGGCTTTCTGGCAGCAGACGGTCAACCTGGACACGGGGATGTCCACTATCAAATTTGGCGGTATAGAGGAGCATCTGCGCCGCATCATCGCGGAACTCCCCTCTGCGGCAGGAAAGACAATTGAATGCCATGCTTCGACGACAAGAGTCGGCATAACTGATTGCGATTACGACGGAACGGATATCCCGCCTAATGTTGCCAACAATGTCGTGGATGGTATCCCACCACAGAAGGGCTATGGCGATCTGGTGTCTCTCCAACTGGCGCGAGGCGACGAGCCTGGCCACGCAAAGCTGACACTTGACGCGAAAAATACCAAGTCTTGCTACCTCAAATTCGCGAAGCCAATTAAGAGATTCACTGTTGCAGGTGGCCTCGACTGGGATGACCGGTTTGGCCGGATGCCGAACTCCGGGCTCAATCACATCCTGCTGTGGAGGCGGGACTGGGACAAGGTGTGGGAGGTTGATATCGAGTGGGATTCCGAAGCTTCCACTCTCATCTCGGCTGGGGATGAGAAGCAAGCCGGTGGGGTGAGCACAGCATCCCAAGTTGACGAGCTGAAGGTCAGAAGTGCGGAAGGCCTAGATGGGAATGTCACCTGCATTTGGAGCGACATCAATACGCCGGGCACGATTCCTGCCCTGGATGAGGCTATCAAGTTTGCACCTGCGTGGGCTGTCATCACCAAATTTGCGGCTGGTCTGGTCGAAGGTACTAAGACCTTCAAGGTCTAAGCAGCCACCACAACAGGCACGCCCTGCCGCTCGGTTCACGCAATCGGATGATGAGTTGACGAGTACATGTGTTGTGAATGACGGCAGTGCAGATGCTCCTATCCTACGATGTGATACAGGTTGTACAACACGAGTGAGCCCTGTGGTACCTGGTGTGCTATCTTCTGGCTTGAGACTGGGTTTTGCGTTTTGGTTGAGGGGTGCCCGGGGTGGAAGGGGGGGGGCCTCTGCAGTCATAGGGGGCACTTGTCTTTTTCTTTCTCCCCTACAACATCAGCTGACAAGTTGCATCATTAGTGTTGAATCGATTCATGGCTTTAATTTTCTGGTAGCGTTCTCGCTGGCTTGGCCACCAGGCTGAGGTCATTGCAGTGAAGCGCAACACCTGGTTGTACCCAATCTGTAGCCATCGACGTCGTACGGACAGACAAAGCGGCTAGCTGCCTCGCATTCTCCGTAAATGCGCAGTTTACAATGCTGTGTTAGTTACGATTCTCTTCTTGAAAAGTTTTGTTTCTGACCTGTTGTTCCACACACGGGCGGAGGCTGGTGACGTGTTATGAAGCAGAACGGAGGTCGTAATCCGGCCGTCCTAGCAGTCCTAGGTTTGTCTCAGGGGTTTGATTATATGTACAATTTGACGCGCTCGTCTCACTACGCCTCTTTCTTCTTTTTTGTCTCTTTTCTTTTCCTTTTCTTTTCTCGAATAAGGGGAACCAGCCTAGAGCTATGTTAATCGAACACGGAAAGCGTCTTCATCTGCCTTCCCATTGGGCGGATAATTGTGCCTCATGCTTGTTGAGACGTACAGAAGGATAACCTGCTAATGTGTGGCGTGTCTTGGTGAACCAGAAAGAAGAAGAAAAAGGAGGGGTGCGAAAAGAAAGAAAAAGAAAAAGTTAGTTCCCTGCCCCCCCCCCCCGGGAAATGCGCAAAACTGTCACCGTCACAATCGATTAATTAATTAATCTTCCACCGACAGATTTCCTTCTTGGGGCAGTTACTGGGCGCGCGAACACCTGTCGAGCTACTTTGTACCTTTCCCACCCCGTCCCACCGCTCTGCCTCATGTATGCATGGCATATGGCTAATATAAACAATTAGCCGTCATACATCTGGTGTTTTTTTCCCCAACCCCGGATAGTCCATCCCCGTAGTGATTTGCCCTCCCCCCCTTTTTTTTTCTTTCTACACAGTACTTGCCCAAGAACACTGAATAAGAAGAGAAAGGAGGGCCCTTTAGTATTGAGAAGGAATAATGAGAATGGGTGAAATGTGACTAGCGACCTCGGAAAATTTTGGAATGTTCTACCGCCGAATGCGACGGTGGGTGACGCGAATGGGATGTTTGGTGGAGTTTCAGGTCCCACGGGCTGGCACTCCTTAGGGAAGCGTGCATTCGATTATATTGCAGCCGGATATATACAGATCGAATTACAAGGCCACACCCATCCCCCCCCCCCCTCATCTTCCCCTTAAACCTGCGGCGTTGGGGGCGCTCTTATTGCTATATAGTCACTTTCAACCCACGTTGTTCCAGTATTATTTTGTTGCATTCCCTTCGCCCCTTCTTTGCTATCACAAGGCAAAGAAAAGCAAATGTCTTTGTCTTGAGCTCCAAGTTCACCATTTGCGTGTTTTCGGCTCCCGAGATCTGCGGAGCCCGGCACGGCGCATCCGCTCGCCAAACGCCCCTGGCTGCCGTGCTGCAAAACTGACAGCTCGGCCGAAATTTGCCGTTTCCAAGCGCACCGAAGAGGAAGGTGACCCTCCTTGGTATCTACCGACCGAGGGTTTGTATAACCAAAGGTGTTTCCCATCCTGGGGGGTAGGCGCCAACTTCTTCCTTTCCTCACTCATAGCAAGACGGGAAAACCTTCCGTCATTGCTGAAAAGCTGTTTCCGCGTAGGAAGCACGGCTGACCTACAACAACGTCGTCGCGTTTGTTGAGAACGCCAAGAGACTTCTCATCCATACTGTCGACCGTAACCTCTTGAGCGCTCTTAATCCTTCCTTTCTTACTCGCCCACCCTGTTACCGCCCCACACACAAAGAAAAGACAAGATGCGCTCCATTCTTCTCCTCGCCTCATTCTCAGCGGCGGCACTCGCCGTTACCTCGACGGAAGCCAACTCCGCGACATGTGTGACCAGCTCAGCATCCAGCACCGACACGGCCACATGGACGATCGACTACGCCTTGGTGGACGCGCCCGTGACAGGCACAGGGTATGACATCGAGCCGAGCTTCGTGGCAGCTTATGGCTTCAACAACACGATGGTAAAAGCGTGCCCCCCCCCCCCCTTTTCTTTTTCTTCTTCTTTTTGTTCTTTTTCTTCCCCTCCATAATAGGTCTCTTTCTTTCCTGGACGTCCTCTCATATCCTGCGGGCGACCTTGCGGTGAACCTTTGACTGACCCCCGGGCCTCGTCTTACCAGCAATTATCCATAACGCACGACTCCAACGCCACGGACTACGCCTCCTTCAAATGCCAGTTTGCATGCAATGGTAATCAGGGCTGTGTTGCGTTCTTTGGGCGCTTCGTCAATGTGAATACCGACGAGGAGAATTATGAATGTTTGAGCTTCAAGACGCTGTGAGTGACATCGAAATCTGAGAAGCTGAATGAATAATTGGCCCAAGAGTTCTTTCTGAATGCTGACCCACTCCTGCTCATAAATCCAGGCTGGATGAGTCGTCCTTCACCACGAGCACGTCGAACATGGCTGTTGGCGGGTTCAACAAACTCTGCAGCTAATCAAGCTTGGACCGTAGGTTACGAGTCGACTGTTGGGTGTTGTTTCGACTCGTCCAGAGGAGCAGATATTGACGTATGTCGGATGTGAATATAATCTTGTCGGAGCGCGGCGCTGTACATAGCCTTCCCTGGAGCATCCATACTTCTTCCTTGTCTTTCGGTTCTTCTTGGCAGCAGATGCCACCTTGTTGTATTGAAAATTAACGCACATAAGAATTGTTCCCGAAAACGGAATTACTCGCATCCTTGCCTCAGGCCTCGAATCAAGAAAGTCGATATGATCTGTGCGGAGAGATGAAGTTAAATTTTCCGGGGTATCTCTGAAGTATTTACCTGTTCCCTGTGATCATATATTGCATTGTCCATCCAAATTCTTTGCGCCGGACTCCGAGGTTGTACGAGAAACGAGGTTTGTGGCCAACAGGGACGAGGAACGATCGCTGTTTCGAACGTGCTCATGACCACCTCTTTTTCTTTCATCCTGTCATGTCCACGTCCCCGCTATCAGCAGCGCCGTCAGCGCCGCCAGCAGCACCTGACGCGTGGGTAATGTTCTCGAGGTGCTGCCGCGTCTTGGTCCACAGCTCTGCCTCCATCTCCCTGTCGACTTTGGTGCTCCGACTGTTCAACCAGCCGACGTCTAGATCGCCCACCATACCCAGCCCGTTAGGCTCAAGCGACTGCCTGGCGCCGCCCTCCTCATCCTTGGGCTTGGCCTTATCAAGCGTAAGGATGCCGGCCTCCTCGAGCCCGAAGATCTGGCGCTTCATCCGCACGTCGACAGCATGAAGAGTAGTGAGGAACTTGTCCATGTTCTCTTGAAAGGCCTGGGTCTGGTCTTGGGCTGTGGGGGGTGATTGGTCTGGCTCGGTGGATCGTTGTTTGCCGAGGGACTGGATTGCTTTCCCAGTGAGCTCAAGGAGGGATGCGATATCCTATTTGGGTTGGGAAGAATGAGTAAAGAGATGTGATCGAGACGGTATTGGGGGGGGGGTTCGAAACTCACCCTGTCGATCTCGGCGAGCTGCACCATGCGCTCTGCGCGCGTAAAAGGAGCGTGGACGTTCACAGGAGGCGCTTCTTCTGGGGTTGAGACTTCCATTTTGGTAGTGTATCAATAGATATGTTGTCGGCAAGAACGATTTGCGGCGGGCGTATGGTGTTTATTGGATTGGCTCTGCGCACCGCGGAAATGTAGAAGAACCGATCCGTAGGCGATGCTCAAAGGCGCGGAACTTGAGCTCCGTCGAAAAGCTGGGTTGGGGAAGCTGCTGTACCAAGCAGGGTTAGGCTCCCCCCGCACACGAACAAGGCATGACAGCCCAGTGCTGCTGGGGTGGGTGGACCCCTATGGCTTAGGGCGGTTCCAGAAGCCTGGCGTGCCTGGGTTCTCGGGTTTTGGGGGGTGGCACTCACTACCAGAACAGCGGGGAGGGCAGGCGACGATCAATGATTTCGGCCGATAGATGTGACGCAAGGATGACATGCTCTGTTGATCATGACGAAGCCCTCAACGTGTTGGGATAGTTCGCTGCAAGTGATCCTGCATGGACGGGACTAAGATTTACACGGACCGGCCATCCCCAATGGACAACCAGTATCGAGGTTTCTGTATTTTTCGATAGTCCCAAGAAAAAATTGGCATTATGGATCTCAGGACGAATCACACGATGTGGAGAGACGACCGAATGGTTTGAGTGTTAGCACCGTCAGGTGGTGGTGGACATCGAGTGGCCTGTCCCCAGCCCAATGCCAAGACAAATTGGGAGGAGAGAATAGCGATTGTTCATCTCATCGAGATTCTGAGAGTTTGGGGGCAAAGAAGGGCAGCCTCGCGAGCCGTATGGCCTCGGATGATCTGTGTTGAGGGAAAATTCCGGGCCTCATCAGCTTGGGATAGGCAGATGACACCAACGGCGTCCCGAGTCACGATGTCTTGGTTATTCAGCCCGCAACCCGCCGCTTACGAAATCCTCGCTGCTTCTGGAACATGCGGGCCATTGTCCCAGTACTATGGCATTACCATTATTCACACTCAGCAGACGAAAGACGGATCCTGCATGGCACAAGTAGGCTGGCGCAATCCGGTGCCAAATGTCACACCATTCTGCCGCCGCTAGAATTGGCGAAATCGTATCTTTTCAGGATCAGCGGGTGACGCGAAATGGAGTTGGCCTATAGTACAGTGGTGGACTGCGGTAGGAAGAGGTGATCGGCGGCAGATAGGTCGATCTATGCAGCCTCAAGCGCATTCTGAAGTGAGATGGTTGCAGGAGGAGGGGAAAGGAGGAACGGTGCAGTTGGTGGAGTGGTTGGCTTCTGCACGATCTGCCCTGCGATCAAGTGAGGTGCAGCTCTCAGTAAGCGATATTGTAGTTGTGGTTGGTGGGAGCTGAGGCCAACCCGCCCTGCCGCCTTATAACTAAATGGGGTCTGATCAGAAGACAGGGACGTCATATTATAATTATTCTCTTTTTTTTTGTCTCCTACTGCTGGTAGTACACCGTAGACCAGCAGCTGCTCAACTTTACCTGGCGACTGGGGCTCTCGATCATGACCAGTAAGGTATGGAAAGACTCAACTGGTCAGAACCCTTCATTGTTCGCCTTGCCCGGTCTCAATCAAATCCTTGAGGAGAGGTAAGTGGCAAGTCGGTGTTTATTTTTGTCACATATCCTGCTTGGTGTCTTATCAGGGGGCTTCAGAGAGTTTCACTAGCGCGGGGAAGGCCTGGAGGCTGGACCTTTCTTCCTCCTACGGCCACAACCCCGCCAGTGGCTTGTAGTGGAGTGGCACAGTGGGCACACCTAGCAGCCTTTGCACATTAGGCCGCTTCTCGTCAGAGGCGTTCGGTTGGAACAGTGGGCCGATGCCACCCTTCGCTACAACCTACGCGCCCTACGTAGCCCATGAAGATCACTTCCCGCCTACCACCGCCTGCATCTATGGTGACTTTTTAAGCAGCTGCTAAAATTTATCCACATCCCCGAACCCATGCCCAGGGACCTGGTAGCGCGGTCCTCGAAGTAGATCACTCCAGTGCCTCCCCAACACTTGCGACCACTGTCAAACTCTCCAGCGTCCATCCCTACAACACCTCGATCCTGTCAATCTTCAAACCAAGCCCCAAGACCGAACTATTTCTCATTTTCCTCTTCTTTTGCCCCCTCATTCCTTTCACTGCCGCTGCTGCACGTACCTTACCAATCCGATCCAGAGATATGCTGCGAATGCTTCTAGGAAGATAACCTCGAGCCGATGGGCTTCTGGTCACCTTCAACATCTTGTCTTCTCGACCCTGCGCCCCGCGACGCACCCTGAGACACCACCGCCAGGGGTACTCTCTTGCGGTGCCCACGAACACAACTCGACGCCACAATGAAGGCCAGCATACCCAAGCGGTTACTCACCCTACGTGATAGGGATAGGGATAAGGAGAAGAATGGCTCCCACGGTCGGAGCAAGTCCTCCGAGGGACACAAGGTCAGCACAAAGAAAGACAGAAGGAGAAATTACCTAAACGATCTCGGACTCGAGTGCCAAATAGCTGGAGAGGAAGAAGAAAAACAAAAAAGTATATACGCTGACTCCTCTGCTTCGCTTCCCCGACCACAGTCTACCGAGTCGTCTTTCCTATCTGTCTTCAAGAGCGGCTTGAGCACCACGACCAACGGAGACGTTGACAAGGAGAAAGAAAGCGCCAAGGTCAGCATTTCTCGGAGATCTCGACCCCAGGAAGAGCCAACTAGAAGAGCCAAAACTGAACGTGTAGCTGGGTACAGATTGACGAGATCGACAAACGCCTTGCTGAGATGGACATACATGATATCTCTAAAGAGCACCTGCGCTTTGCTCTCAGAAGCAAATACGCCGCCGGCGACACCGAAAAAGCCATCGAAATGTTGCTCCTCCACCAGAGGTCCATGTCTGGCACCATCTTGCCCTACGACCCCAAGATTCACATGGTCGGGGCCGAGAACAGGGGGAACGTCACATGCTATCTCGATGCTCTGCTCTTTGCCATGTTCGCGAAGCTGGAGGCTTTTGAGTGCATGCTAAAGAACGACTTATCCGACGAGCCACAGCGAAATCTGGCTTCTTTAATCCGCCTCTGGGTGAACATGTTGAGGAGCGGGAAGCTTATACACACGGACTTTGTACGGAAAAGCCTTTAACGGTGTCCCAGAAAGGAATTCATGCGCTGACGGCTCCACAGACACAATTGATACAAGACGCTTTGGCTGCTTGTGGCTGGAAAGACGCTCAATTGCTCGAACAGCAGGACACCTCTGAGGCCTTCGCATTCATTACCGAGACGCTGCAACTGCCATTACTGACGCTGCAGGTGGACTTGTTCCATCAGGGCAAGGGGGACAAAGGTGAGTCACAGAATCCATTACTCGAGACCGAGACTTGACGAGCCTGACTGGAAGTTGCAGACGACCACAAGGTTGTATACGAGCGTCTCCTCAACCTGGCGGTTCCAGTCGACCCAGAAGGCAAGGGTGTCAAGCTTGAGGACTGCCTGGAGGACTATTTTAACACAAGGGTGGACGTCTCCCGCGTCGGTGTCGAGGAGAAGCTTGACAGACCGATTCTTACACCTCAAAGTACCATTCGACTCGTCAAAATGGATCCGGGGGAGGAGGCAGAGATCGTGGATCAAGTTGACGGGGAACCTTTACAACGACGCTGGACCGTTGTCGAACCGACAGAACCTGCGGACGGGCCCTCAACCTCAGACCCAGAGCGTCCTGCTGTCCGCCATAGGTCAACGAGCATCATCCAGCGTATTGTCTTGGACGCCGATGGAAAAGCAACCGAATCAGACGCCGCGAGCCTGCTACAGAAGGCAAAGCGGAAAGGCTCTACAGTTGTGAAAGCAGTCACCATCCCTGCTTGGCAATTCTTCCGGCTGATACGTAAGTTTGCAGCACCACCAGGAGCTTTGGCAACAAAACTGACATTGTCACTCAGCTTGGCACGCCGTTCCGAACACCGAGCCAAAGACTGATGGAGAAATTCTGATGCATTTCAATCAACGACCAGTAGTGGGAATCTGTTTAAAAAGGTACCTGGTGACGGAGGATGGGCGCGCCAAGCGGCAGAACACATTCATCGACATTCCCGACAGCTTGAGACTACCACGGTTCATGGTTGCAGACGACGCGAAGGTCGAAGAGGACACCTCACTCAGCACGGAGTACAAATTGGTCCTGCAGTCCGTAGTCTGTCACAGGGGCGACTCAGTGCACTCTGGGCACTACATCAGCTTCGCACGAGTCAACCCTAAGCTTCTCACCGACAACAGGCGCCACGACAACGATCCGCCACCAGATTACGAGGACGCTCAGTGGGTCAAGTTCGACGATCTCGCTCTCGAGAACCGGGTCTCCAACGTGGACGATATCAAAGCATCTCTGAAGAATGAGATGCCGTACCTTCTCTTCTACCAAATCGTGCCTATGGTAGACGTTACGAACATATCGGTCACGGGTTCTGAGACTGAGCCTCCGTCCTACGACGACTCGACCCTCAACGCGGCCGTCAGTAACGCAAGCGACAGCGAACGACCAGGGCTATCAAGAGCAGCTAGTGGCTATTTTGACATGTCCACCCTGAGCTCGACAGGCCCCAGCATTCGCTTCTCCTCGGAGCTGGAAAGACCACCACGGTTGAGTCTCAGCGTCGAGGATGATGTCGCACAGGCTCCTGCGCTTCTCAGTCCGAATGCATCCCGGCGTGGAAGTGTTGCCGTGTCCGAACCCATTCTGGGGAATCTTGCGATCACGCCCGAGACTGGCTCATCCCCAGTAGTCACGCCGATCGAGGAGACCACGGCTCAACGACTCTCGAGGGCGGCGGCGAAATTCACCAAATCTGGCACACGCAGCAGGCCCACGAGTCAGGCGGGAGAGAGCCGTATCAGCATCACCATGTCGCGGCTAAGCCTGAAGAGTAAGAGTAAGGAACCTCTGCGCGAGGCATGGGAGAGTGTTGAAGGCGACGAAGAGACCCCAGTGGCTGTTGTCGTACCAGAGCGACTATCGATCGATGGTGAAGAAAAGAAGGACAAGGAGCACCATCACCACCACCACCTCCACGGAAAGAAGAAGCGAGCCAAATCCAAGAGTCGTAGCGGCGACAAAGACACTGAAAAGGTCAAGAGGAAAGGCGAGGTGCCAGATCGGGAATGCATCGTCATGTGAGCACTATCGCCGAGGGGAAAGATGAAGAAGTCAACAGAGCAATCGCAAGGCGTTCAGGCTACAGCATACAAGTGTATTTTGGAGTGTTACAATTACATTCGGAGGGGGCTTCCTTTGGTTTTTACATTTCGCCTTTTGGAGCGGTCAGCCAAGAGAAAAGACGGTGGCATTCAGCGACTCATTCATTGGGATTTAGGAATATATCCTACACCCAGAAGAAAATGAAGAAGAAATGTTGGGGTACAAGACGCACATTTGCATATGATACCAGCGAAAAAGAGTGGAAAGGAGGCACGGCGGACCGAGGGCAAGGCCAGTGTCATCTGAGAAAGTCAGGAACACATCAATACACATACCTAAGAGCTTGTATACCAGTGATGGGATACAATACAATATTACTAGTGCATCCTGGCTTTGCAACCAAAAATATTTGACGGCTGACCCCGGGTTGATGCCGTCCGAATAGTTATTGGCTATGTCTCAGTCGACAACGCAAGCCAGGGTACGATAGGGTACGAAAGACGACAATGTCGAGTTAGTTCTATGAGATGGCATCTTGAGAAGGCCGAGATATCTACAGCCACACATCGTCAGCAACAGGTTCTGCCGTCTCTTCCTCATAGGCGGTGGGTTCCAGGGGGTGCGGGCTCTTAGGGCGCCCCACCTGGATACTCCCCCAGCATCCCAGATCCCTTGCCTGTTGGGGGTGTCCTAAATAGAGAATCAGCCTGACCTCAATGGCTGACGCAGCGGAACAAGGACTTGGACTCTTACCCGAACTCCGAACGTGGGTGGGGCCTCTAGCTTACACCGTCCTTCGGCAGTGTTAGCATGTACCTGGACACTCTAACACTGTGATGCCACAAAACGGAGACGGACCAACTTGAGCGCCAGCGATCTGCGCTATAACCTGCTTTTGAGGTCATCAGCCATGCGCCAAATAAAATTACGAAAATAAATACAACAAGAAAAATGTGCACGGCTATCAATCCGTGTGGGGTAAGAAGGTTTAGAATAAAGACATACAGGTAGTACGAAGTAGCTATTGCATGGGGAAAATGCGTATGTAGGTAGAACGGGAACGAACGCGAATACGAAGGCTGGTGAAAAGAATATTGTCTGTACTGTGTGGTACCTGGGCAAGCTGCAGCTGTCGAAGGTTCTCGGCGAATTCGATATTGCTCAACCCTTGTTTCCCGTCTTTTAACTGGATCCGGGCGCGAGATGTGTCGAAGAAAAATCTTGAGGGCGCATGAAGGGTAACGCATGGAGGGGTTTCTGGGATTCTCATCGTGTAATACGGAAGCCTACAATGTTTTGTCTAACCGGCATCATGGTAATATGTCTTGTCTTCTTGGCCGTTCTTCTTCTGTCTTACAGGTTTGACTCCGAAAGATTTTAGACTTGGATGTTCATAACTGTTGATCAATCCATCCGTAGTGAGGTACAGTAAATGGATAGTACACTGGAAAGTACTGCAGTTTAGGGTACAGGGCTTGGCATCTAACGGGAGGAGGGGGGGCCCCCTTGTGATTCAAACTTTGTTACGACATAGGCCAGCAAACGGTTTCCCTTTTCCTTCCTCACATGCATCTCCACTTGTTGCACCGAGACGTCTCCTCCCCCTCCCTCCTCAGTCCCAACATTCAACCCCATAACACCTCAGCACCCAGCCACCGCTACTCCCACCTCCTGCTGAAGCCTTCCCTCACCAACTTTCAGGATCGAGACATTTCGAACTCCACCAGCGGCGTCGGGAACCGCCATCTAGGGTCGAGCTGCGGATTTCCCCAAAGACTCCGGATCTCGTGGGCTGATGAATCCAGACGCGGGATAGGGCAGCACCCCAGTTTGAAGACAGCGGAAGAAGAGAAGGGAGAAGAATATAAAAAAAGATAAACTTGAACCATAATAAAACCAAAAAAAGATGGACGCCCCTCAGGCAGGGGTTCAAGCATCGAGGTCGGCGGCGACGACTGAATCTCCTATATCCATATCCGCACCCACACCCACAGCGTCGACAGCGGCAGCGACCACCCCAGGCGTGCAGCCTACAGGCGCCCCGAGAAAGCCACAGCGTATCCTCGCCTGCGTCCTCTGCCAACATCGCAAGATCAAGTGTGACAGGAGTTTCCCATGCGCCAATTGTCTCAAGGTTGGTGTGGCCCCGTCCACCCTGGCGTGTGTGAGAGAATTAGAGAGAGGAAGAGGGAGGATGAAGTGAAGCAAGATGGAGTTGATGCGGACCGGAGCTGATGATGGCTGGCCCGTTTACAGGCAAACGTGACATGCACGCCGAGCACGCCGGCACCTGCCCGGAAACGCCGGAGACCAAATCAGGACCTCCAGGAGCGCTTGGCCAGGTGTGAGGAGTTGTTGAAGGAGTACGCAACCGCAAAGCCGCCCTCTCCGCCCCCGGCGAAGCCTCCCTCTCCCAAGCCCGACTGCATACCGGAACTGGAAGATCCCATTCCAAAATGGAAGCCCGCCGGCAAGCTCATAGAGGAGGACGGCGGCGTCCGTTTCATGGATTCGTACCTGCTGACGACTGTCTACGATGAAGTACGCCATAAGCCCGTTCCCATTTGTCTGTTTCCCCCTCCCCTTCCATACTCATACTGAATGATGTCGGCCTGCAGTTGAAATCAATGCGGAAGATCGTCGACGAAGAGATCTCATGCGACGAATCTACCCCCCTTCCCATGGACGAAGTCTCCAACTCTCCCGATGACAACTCGGATCTTCTCTTCGGCGCGGCGGAGCTGCCCTCTGCCAGTCCTAAAGAACTCGCCCCGAGCCCTAGTCATATAGTTCGTCTGTGGCAGATCTTTCTCGACCGATGCAACCCCTTGACCAAGATCATCCACGTTCCGACAGTGCAGCCCCACCTGTTGGAGGCAACAGGGACATCGCCACGGCTACCCAAGAACGTGGAGGCCCTTCTCTTCTCTATATATACTCTGGCCACCGTCTCGATGAGCAAGGAGGAATGTCAAGAAATTCTCGGAATTTCACGAGATAAGGCGCTGGCGAATTTCAGCCAGGGCGTCCGTTTGACTCTAACGCGTATGGGCTTCCTCAAGACCCACGATCTCTTGACGCTTCAGGCCCTAGTCATTTATCTGGTGAGTTTAAACCTTGAAGAATACCTCTGCTGTGGCCAAGAGCCATACTGGCCCGTGACTAATCACTTCCAGATCTCATTGCAAGGACGATACAATCGTCATGCGTCGTGGATCTTGAATGGCGTAGTCATTCGTGTTGCCCAGAAGATGGGACTGCACCGTGATGGTGAGCTGCTAGGCCTCAAGCCCTTCGAGACGGAGATGAGGAGACGGCTCTGGTGGCAGATCATCATGGTCGATGCCAAGTATGCCATGATGTCGGGGCTTAGCCATACGCTTCTGCCCCGCGGCTGGGACACCAAGGAGCCCAAGAACATCAGCGACGATGATCTCTTACCTTCTGCCACGGAGCCGATCGAGGACAAGGAAGGGCCGACGGACATGATCCTCGTCATTACCATCTTCAGAATTGCCAAGTATCTCATACATTTGCCGGGCATTGAGACGATACTGCTGATCAACGAGTTGGAGGCCACGAGGGGGATCACCACGCCCAACAAGGCCAAGGTTGCCGAGTACAGGGCGGTCGTCCTCAAGCTCCACGAGCAGCTGGACGAGATGTACAGCAGGTTCTCTTCACCAACGGCCGGACCCCTCCACGATCTTGCTCGTCACCTCAAGGAGCACCTCATGGGCAAGCTCGCGGCGCTTGCCAAACCGCCGGCAGAATCCTCTGACTGGGGCACCGAGGTCTTTGATCACACGAGCAACGCGTTCAAGCTTGCCGTCGACACGACGAGCTCCGCCATCCAGCAGTACAAGATAGCAAGCTACCCGGGCTGGGACTGGTTCTCGCGGCTGCACTTCCAGCTTGATATATTTGCGTACCTCGTGGGCCAGCTCTCGTATCGCACGACGGGGCGGCTTGTGGACAAGGCATGGCAGGCCGTGGAGGATGTCTACGAATTCCACCCAGAATTCTACGAGGTGTCTCAAAAACTGTACTACCAGCTGGCGCACTTCATCTTCAAGGCGTGGCGCAAGCGAGAAGAGGCCCTCCGCGTGAGGCTGGGCCAGTCCCCCGAGACGCCTCGATGCGTACAAAAGCTGCGCACGCTGATGCCCGGCTCCGACGACGCGAGCACCAAGAGCGACTCTGGGAGGACACCCAGCAGTGATATGTTTGGCTTTATTGCCAACAACGCCGCTGCAGGGGTCGGGCATGGGGTCCCTATGGACCTCAGCGCGGTCGAAATTCCACCGTTTGACGCCTACATGGGCAACTATTTTGATTTTAACGGGACGCTAGACTTTGACATCTGGGGCAACCCGCCGGGTATGGTCGAGAATGTCCAAAATACATCACAGGTGGACCAGAACCTGCAGCTGCAGGATATGTCCCCATACGGCGTAATGGGACCAGGAACATGGAAATAATGCGACAACGTGAATTTTTGAAGGCTCGCCCCGGGCGGGCTTATGGGACTGTCGCCACCATGGCTTCGTGTCTTTTGGGTGACCACTCCCCATGGCGGGTGTACAACAATAGCAACTACGACAAAACAGGTCGGAACTAGGAATTGAGGGTTTCAGGTTCTATACAGGTCAAGGTGTTCTGGCAGGAGGTTGGGGCTTTCTTACTATCAAATATAGGGGCACGGTCACGACTCGCGAGGACAGCAACGGAAGAGGAGGCGGACGCACGATTGCGTAGGTATGACGGTTAATGAAACACGCCACAACTCTCTCATTCTCTCACTCGGTTGCAACTCGACAAGTTTCGAGGACTAGGCTCGTATCTGTCTAATACATGACATGTGCGTCTGTCTGACAATGCAGGCCCGTCCTGAGTGATTCCTAGATTCGTATAAGATTACAGATCGACCAGGTGTCACGCGGTGTGGACTCGGGTAAGATGTTGAGTCACCATGATTGAGCAATCTTGGTAACCTAGATACACCACGGCGGCGGTAGTATTAGTCCGCACTCTTCCACCAGCCAGTCAGCCCGACAAGTATCTCTCCATCCCAAAGTCTCCTTGTCGCAAACGGCCAATTTTCTGTGCGCAGTAAGTGCCCATGGTGGCATTGTCGAGCAAAGCCAATCCTTTCCTTTTTCTTTTTTTCTTTCCTTCTTTCCCTCCTTCCTTCTTTCCCCCTCCCCTTCTTTCCTTCTCTCCTTCCTTCTTTCCCTCCCTCCTTCTTTCCCCCTCCCCTTCTTTCCCTCTCTCCTTCTTTCTCTCCTTCTTTTATTTATTCTGTTTTCTCCTCTTTTATTATAATCGCTCTCAGCTGTGCAGTGCATTGCAGTATGTTATGGAAGGATGCCCTTCTCTATCTCTGGTAGTAGCTGAAAAAAGATCATAGCTATCTAATATATTCACTAAGATAAGGGAGAAGCAAAGCTTAGTGAAAGTTCAGATGATTTCCCTGAGAATTCGCCAGGAATTCACCAAGGAACTGCCCACGGACTAATTCACAGGGGAACTCTCCATAAATCCCCACAGGCACAGCCGAAGGCAATTCCCATGATGCGTCCACGAGGATCTTCAGTCATCCTCCAACCCGTTCCCTGGGCGTGTTCCGGGTCAACCACCAGAGTTCCTCGTGGGAGTGCACCCCATGAATCTATAGGGTACCGCAGGTGCATCAATTGCCAGCCCGACATGGCTTTTGTCCGCAAAGGAAATATTGAGCACAAGTCTACTACATTCTTAAACATCTTCGGAGCTCACCTCAATGTACAATACTTGAACATCCGCATCCATGAGCAGAACCACTGAACGAAAATCATCTAAAGTATCAAAAATTATCAGCTCATTTTAGATGATTTTCGTTTAAGAGATCACTGCTCATGGATGCGGAGGATTAATACTCGGCTTTGAGTAGTGCTCCTCATTGCATCTCCTATTGGTCACAATACAAGGAGACTCAGCCATGCATATCAAAGTCAGGAAGAAGTGACCTACCCAGGCAGACGCAGTGAGAGTACCACCAGAGTATTACCGGATCCTACAATCATGAGAATCAAGACCATTTACAAAGAAATATCTCTCGTGATATTTTCAAAATGCCCATTCTTGAGGATATTTCTGTCAATGTGCGAGTCACTTGCAGCAGTACTCGTCTACAAGCCAGCAACAAATCCGAGGAACCTGTCTGCAGCCCTGCAGCTATCAAGCTGTCATCCCTCAAGAGGACTCGTAACATGGTAAGAAGATCTCGAGGACTACGAAGATGATATCGAGGACGATGATGAAGATGTCTATGACGAGTACGACGAGTATGAAGACGACGAGTATGAAGACGACGAGGATTACGAGGACTACCAACAGCTTCTGCACGACCTTGCGGACAAGTTTGGTAGCAACATGGTTGACGAAGATGAAGAGATCGGGTGCGAATTTCCCGACATGGACAACAAGGAAATGCCCAGCGATCTAGCAACTTCGTTCTTAGACCATGACCAAGTGGGAGAGGGTAAAGACGCCTACGTGACCAATTTAGAGCAAGCTGCTCGATATACCGATATCTTCGCAGAGGCACTCGAAGGGCTTCAAGATGCCTGGTCAATCCGGTCACCGAAGGCCTCCTCCACACTCTTATCCAGGACACGCTCCCGTATCTTGCTGTGTTCATCGGCAGTAAGGAGGAATGCCTTGATGATTCCATGGGTCTTGACAAAGGCGTGGATGGCAACCAGCCGCTTTTTGCACTTCCACAGCTAGACGGGGGCCCAGGTGGTGGTCACGGTGCTTGTTCAGCCACTTCTCAAAAGTCTCCACGGGGCCGGGTCCAGATTTTTGTAAGCAAGTCACAAAGTCAAGGCTGCCACGTTTTCGGGCCCGAGATGTAAAATGAGAGGCAAAGGACGAGTGGGTCGGGGAGTCTCGACCATTTTCTAGCAAGGGAAGAAAAGAAAAAGGTCTTTTCCTCATCGGACAATTCCCCTGAAAAGACCGCTTCGGGTATTGGAATGCCCGAACTAAAAGAGCTCTTGTATGGTATTTTCGGAGCGCACTTGGTTACGTCCGAACCCCGGCCCAGAACGAAGGGCTGCAAACAAACACCTACACAAAAGGTATTCAGGCACAAGAGGCTAATGATCGGACTCGGGCCCGGCGAGATCCTCCTCCACCGCCCCAAAACCTCTCCCAAAAAGGACAACAATAACATATTGTGTATTGTGTTGGCGGAGACTTATTATTCATCCTTGTTGCGATATGTAAGCCACGGAAAAATGAGCCATGTTGCGCATAGCAGAATGTTGCGCACAGCATGATATTCGGCCATGGACGATTTGCAAAAGCTTTTCACTGCAAACAGGTAGCTTCGCACATCGTATTCAGCCTAGCAGGATGGTTAGGAAAAATGACGGAAAAAAAGGAGAAAAAAAAAGGGGGGGGGGGGCGAAGGGAAAAAAGAAAGGGAAAAAAACAAACAAAAAAACCCCCCTCCAAAAAAACAGGGGGGAGGGCCACTCATGGGCTGAATGGGCTTTAAGGAGTAGCTGAGGCTGACACGCTCATTACTGTATTCATTTGGCTAGTAGTGTATACACAGCAAATCGCGGACCATGTTGGCTTGTCCGAGGCCGAGCTTATCCGTCCGAATAACTAACTTACGCCATCTTCCGCCATGTGTCAGCTATGGATAGTCTAAAGTCCGGGTGTTAGATTGTTGAAGAGTTTATATATCATCGTCGTCGTTGTCGTCATTGTCCGCCTCCAATTTACTTCTTTCATTCCTGCCTTCCCTAAGTAGACCTTTTGTCACCCAACATCTCCAAGTTTTGTAAACATACTTAGCAGTGGATCCATCACGCATTGCCCCTGCACCTACACAAAGACAGAAAAGGAAACAGAACCACATACAGTGTAACTACACACCATCACCTTAACGACATGTCGTTCCTGAAACGGGCAAAGAAGCCCGATCAGACGGCCAATCCGCCTCTTGACGGCTCTCAGGAGACTGCTCCCTTTCCTGAGGCACAACCCACCGCCACCAATGTATCTCAAGAACAGAACCGGATCGAGCTGGCGCGCACTCGCACAGAGGATATCGTGTATCCTCACGGCCCGAAGCTTGCCCTTATTATGATATCGACCTTTACGAGCATGTTCCTGGTTGCTCTGGTATGTAGTACCGGCTCTCCTTCGTCTTGGCATCATACTGACCAATCAATCCCCAACCATTAGGATCGTCTTATTATCGCAACGGCCATTCCCAAGATCACCGACGAGTTTCACAGTGAGACGGACATCGGCTGGTATGGCTCGGCCTACATGTTGACCAACTGCGCCTTTCAGCTCTCATTTGGCAAGCTGTACACCTTCTACTCGGTCAAGACCTGCTTCCTCTCCGCCATCGCCCTCTTCGAGATCGGCTCCGCCATATGCGGCGCTGCTCCCAGCTCCACCGCCTTTATCGTGGGTCGTGCCATCGCCGGCGTGGGCAGCGCGGGTATCATGAGCGGTACTATTACCGTTATTGTTTACGCCCTTCCCCTGCACAGGCGACCCATCTTCCAGGGCCTCTTCGGTGCCGTGTTCGGTCTCGCCTCCGTCATTGGTCCCCTGCTGGGCGGTGCCTTCACCACCGATGTCTCGTGGCGCTGGTGCTTCTACATCAATCTGCCCTTTGGCGGCGTCGCCATGGCTTTCATCTTCCTCCTACTCAAGATTCCTGACCGCGACGCCCAGGCCCTCCCGACAAGGCAGAAGCTCAGCCAGCTCGATTTCCTCGGCATCTTCTTCCTCCTGCCCGGTGTCGTCTGCCTGCTGCTCGCCCTGCAGTGGGGCGGCACCACCTACGCCTGGCACAACGGCCGCATCATCGCACTGCTCGTGCTGGCCGGCGTGCTACTGATCGGCTTCGTCGCCGTGCAGATCCTCCGCCCCGAGACCGCCACCATCCCGCCAAGGATCTTTTGCCAGAGGAGCATCATCGCCGGCTTCTGGGTCACGTTCTGCATCGGCGCGTCCATGATGATCGTCGTCTACTACCTGCCTATCTGGTTCCAAGCTATCGAAGGCATCTCTGCCGTCAACTCGGGCATCCGCCTCCTGCCCCTCGTGCTGAGCATGGTCCTCGCCAGCATCAGCTCGGGCTTCCTGGTCGCCCGCATCGGCTACTACACCCCGTTTCTCCTCGTCGGCATCTGCATAATGTCCGTGGGCTCCGGCCTGCTCACCACCCTGCAGGTCGACACCTCCGAGGGCAAGTGGATTGGCTTCCAGATCGTCTACGGCTTCGGCATGGGCTCGTCCTTCCAGGCTCCCAACCTGGCAGCCCAGACCGTCCTGCCTACGCGCGATGTCCCCGTCGGCACCTCGCTGATCCTCTTCAGCCAGCTGCTGGGCGGTGCCATCTTTACCTCCGTCGGCAGCAACGTCCTCGACAACGAGCTGCTCAAGAACCTGGCCGGAATCCCGGGCGTCAACCCGGCGCTGGTCCTCTCCGCCGGCGCCACCGAATTTGTCAACGTCATCCCCGCCTCCGCCAAGGCCGCCGTGCTGAAAGCGTACAACTCGAGCTTGCGCGTCGCTTTTGTCGTCGCCGTGGCCATGTCGTGCCTGACCATCATTGGCGCACTGGCGCTCGAGTGGAAGAGCACCAAGAGCAAGCAGCCTGGGCGCAACAAGGCGGAGGCCGCTGAGAAGGGCGAGATCACTGGTGCCGCCGACGCGACAGAGAGCGGTAAGGAGGACACGGCCGATGAGGAGGGTAACGCTGCTGCTGCTACGGCGGTCACTGATTCGCGTCACTCGCGGACAAGCAGTGATGCGAATGTCGAAAAGGTTGGTGTATAAATAGAAGAAGGGAAGGAAAATGGATGGATGGTTGATTTGTTGAACTGTTTTTGACGACTGTGATACCCACAAAGGAGGAACGAGCGGTGCCATTTAATCTGTCTTTACATTGGATGAGGGTGAGCCAAAACGGAGGGGATACAAAAGAACCCACCTAAGGGAGAGAGGCTTATAACACATAATGTAACACGCATGTTCATCGGCGTATCGGGGTGGAAAACATGGATTCATAGATCCCATACACAGGTCTTTTTTGCTATTATTTAGAAACATAGAATACATCTCCATGCTCCAGACAAAGTCACAACTCAGAATATTCAAACACCTAATAAATCTTGCGATACCGCAGCGGCTACTGTGGAAGTTTGCTCTGTGCATGAAGTCACAAGAATTGCTATATGCAATTACTGGAAGACAGCAAAATCTCTCAAGAAGGTCATAGCCGGTTTCTCCATGTTGTGAACTCAATGCAACATAAGCTAAGCTAATAATGATATAGAAACACACAACAACGAGAGTGTATGCTATTTCTTGAAATGATTTCTCATTAGACATAGCTATACAGGAAAAAAGTTAATAAATAAGGAAAAAGCCGAAGAAATAAGTAAAAAATGAATGTAAAGATAACTCATAAAAACAATTAGCTCTTGTTCATTAAGATCAGAGCTCTGATTGGTTCAGATTTCGCTCGATTAGGAAAGTAGTTTTTAGTACATTTTTTGTGCGAGGGCCAGTGACTCACGGCCCCTCCAGCCAGCCAACAGCCAGACCTGTTGATAGCCTCAGATAGCTGGCCTCGTGGCGTTTGTCTTCCTTTCTTTTTCTTCTTCAGCGCTCAGCAATGCAATCTTTTTGCCCTCACACAGGTTATGAAGCCCTTTTGCCCTTCTTTTCGAGTATCTCACGATAGAACCTCGACCTCTGGTTACGGCAAACCTCGAATTCGACCTCGAATCGCCCTCAACGCGGTTGAATTCACTCAAAACAACAGAGAGGACCCTCAAGCTGGTCCTTTCGACCCTCAAGCTCTTCAGGTCACCTAAGCCGTCCTGATCCCCATAACAGATGGACTCTGCTAACGAGAACATCGCAAGCCAGTCCGTCAACAAGGACATACAAGCTATTCCAAGCATTGAGGAGGCGGCCACGGTCCCTCTTCCATCATCACCAAGACCACCAACAACGATGGCATTCAAGATGGACGGAACAAGGGTGATGTCCATCCAGCACAGCGTCCCAGCGCTTCTGGGAGAAGAGAACCTTGAAGATTGGAGTATCATGGTCGAGTCGACCCTCCTCTCGCACGAATATCTTCACTATATCCTTGAATCAGTTCCTGAGCCAGACAGGGCAACTGATCCTGAAGGCTTCTCTGCCTGGACTCGCCAGCGAGCCCAAGTGGTTACGATGCTTCAAAGCACACTGCAAAAGGTGCGAAGCACACTTACCAACGCAGGCCTCAACCCTCGTGAACGAGACCCATACACCATCTACCAGGCTGTGATGCGTACTCTGCCCAAGCATTCAGAGGATCACGTTGATCAAATAGCAGTCCGTTTTGCGGCTTGCCAGGTCGCTGATTACGCGTCTCTCGCAGCTTTTCGCGATGACCTTCAGTATATGCGTCGTCGCCTCAAGGAGCTTCACTACGAGCCTCCTGACAACTTCATGATTGCTCTGGTCCTCAAGAAGATTGAGAACGTGCTATCCACGATGCACGCCTTTGCTACCAGGGACCACAAGGTCGGCAAGTTAACCTGGGACACGCTGATGGCGGAGATCAACTCAGCTATTACGACAGGCACGGGCGCGAAGGCTTTTGCAGCCTTGAAGAAAGCGTCGTCGACACAGACATCCTCAAGTGCTACCCAAGGGGGTGGCAGGCAGTGGCCAAAAGAGGATTCCCTTCCCAGCAAAGGCGTTGTCAGCGCCCTGAAGGTTCCCAAGTCATGCCTTGAACAACTCTCATACTGTTGCCAGTGCAAAAAGTTCCTTCTGATGTCCTGGAAGCACTGCTCATCCTGCGATAGGTGTCACGGAGTGGGACTGAGGACTTGCAAAAACCACCAAGAAAACAGGTCTGGCTGTTGGCTGGCTGGAGGGGCCGTGCACGGCCCTGGGCCAGTGACTCACTGGCCCTCGCACATTTTTCAATCAAAATACACAGCTCCAAGTTAAGAGAGACGAGAGGAGGGAAGGAAAGAGGGAAGGAAAGAGGGAAGGAAGGAGAGGAGGAAGATCTATGAGCTCTGCTTCCAACTTAAAATGGTCTAAGCTGCTTGTTCATTGCTAGTCTCTAGAAACTTTTGCAGCTGCTACTGCTGCTACTATCATCTTCTCCTCAGCCTGACAATACTTATACCTCATCCCCAATTCCCTTCTCGATCTCTCAAGCTCACACACGCGCACCCGCCTTGCTACGCTGACCTTCACCATCGCTCGTCTCAACTGATGAACCCTGGGCTTGAGGGTTGCAGTGGTCGCCATCTTGTGTGTGTGTCTATATGTGTGTGTATGTAAGAGAGAGAGAGAGAGAGAGAGAGAGAGAGAGAAAGAGTTTCTGGGTGAACATGGAAGATTTCTCCGAGTCTTGATGAACGAGTGAGGTGAGATATCTATTCCTTCCATGTACAAACCCGTCATTTCATGTGCTACATGTTACGAAGAAAGAAGCCAGCTAGGTTTGTGTGATGAATGAGTCTTACACCGGTGAGTTAGCTGAGTTGTAAGGGTGGAACCAAATTATTTCATATCCTGATTGCGCTACTTCTTATTATCATTATACATACCGTGGAGCCTCCGTAAGCAAACTTATTTTGGTTGCGAGAGCTATTTATTACTATCAGAGACTCTGCATAGCTTTATCCTTCCTCCTCTCTTTCCTCCTCTCTTTCCTCCTCTCTTTCCTCCTCTCTTTCCTCCTCTCTTTCCTCCTCTCTTTCCTCCTCTCTTTCCTCCTCTCTTTCCTCCTCTCTTTCCTCCTCTCTTTCCTCCTCTCTTTCCTCCTCTCTTTCCTCCTCTCTTTCCTCCTCTCTTTCCTCTCCTTCCTCCTCTCCTTCCTGTTTGCACAAGTTAAATACTTGATAGATCGCAAAATTGATTGTTGTATCATACATGAACATCACTTTACAGCCGTGTAAATCAGACCGTTGGAAATCATACGAGTCGATTTGAGTGAAGCATAACTAATCTCATAGACTAGCCCTGAGGTCGTATTCGAGAACATGACATGTACTGCAGATACAGGGGCTTCCCCAGGGCCCGCAACCCCCCTTTCCCCTTAGATACTTACCTCAAATCGGTAACCAATACTTACAAGGGTGTCCCATCCCGCCCAGTTCCCTCCTGCTTTAAGTAACTCATCGTTACAGTACATACCATAATAAGCAACCCACCTATTCGCAACGTCAAATTGATTGTCAAATAGAAGAACAGGAAGACAAGTTAATGCCGAATTATTATGCAGAAGACGCCTAGACCCGGATCATCTCCGCCAGACTACCTACCTACTCGGCCCTCGGGATAAGCCGCTTCGTCGGTCCATAATTGATGTTTCTGGGGTGATCAGAGATCACTGTCACTGGTCACTCACTCACTCGTAAACTGCAGGGGATTTCAGTAAGCGGCCTTGTCCGCTGTACTCTATGGTCGATCCTCGGAAGACTTTGTATCTGTCATTTTCCGCACCAAATTTGCACTGTGAGACGGAGTGCCAAGACACCAGCAAATGGCCTTGTGTTTCTGGATTACATAGGCTCACAAATTTGTTGTCCAATGAGACGAAATAAGACAAGGAGGGGAGTATCACCAGAGACGTGTCAAAATGAGAAGTCATCGCATAGTTCTGTTGTGCACTTTCATAGGCTGTGAGCTGATATGCCTTCCAGTGCCCACGGCAGCAGAGTTCGTGCCTCCCCGCCACTGACATGCGCGTACTGTTTCTGAACAACCGCCATCCTTCTACCTGCTTTAGCAGAGCAAGCCTCTCTCCCGCGTCCTTGAAGAAGCCGCCAAATCATCCAGTAGTGAGCAGTAAAATTTTCGATTCCGTCCCCAATAATCCATCGCAATCTGATCTTCCAGCATGGCGGAGAAATAGGAGCAGCCAATTGCTCACTGCAACTCCAAAGAAAGACAAAACAGGCTTTTTAGGTATCGTACATGACCGCAAGGGGCAACGAGACCAACAGATCTGGGTATTTTGCAGGCCAACGCGTCCAACGAAATGGTCCAACAAATTGGGCGTTGCCCAAATCCAGAGAAAGGGCAAGGAAGAAAAACGAAAAGAAAAAAGAACAGGAAAAAAAAAAGAAGAAAAAAAAAAAAGAAAAGAGTAAAGAGAAGCATGGCAAAACCTCGTCAGGTGAGCCCCGAAGATGTTTGAGAATGTAATAGACTTAACCACTCGAAAATTGTGACCAGCCACAATCGCGGCGGGTTCCCATCCATTTACAGAGAAGTGCTCAGCACTCATCGTCATAATTGGCAAATTCCTGCGCGGTAGGCTCCGTAGTGTACGCACTAAAGAGGCCGGAAGAGTCGTGGTCTGAAGTCTGCGAGGCGTCCTTGCCATCAACGGCCATAGCCTGGGCATCAGGCTTCTTCGAGGGGAAAGAGGTACGAGCATCGGCAGGAGTCAAGATCCGAACCTCATCCTCATCATCACTAGTGATGGTCTGAGTGGGATCCAGGGCCGGAGTATCTTTGGGATAGGTGATGCCCATGGCACGCTCATGCGCAGCCATCTTCTCGTGGTTGATACGGATACCGCTCTTGGTAGGGGTCATCTCGATGGGAGGGAACTCGTTGTCAGAAGAGTCGTTGTCGTCGTCGTCATCGTCAGCGACGCTGGGGTTCAGAATGCCGGAGAACTTCACAGAGCTCCCCTTCTGCTTCTTGGTACTGGTCGACTTCCCGGTGGAGGGGGCGGCTCTCTTGCGAGAGCCACCAGTCCGTGGAGTCTTAGGGCCAGATGAAGAGGGCGTGGCCGGAGCAGTGCTGCCACTGGAACCCCTGGCCTGTTTCAAGTTCTCAGCATCCTTCTTGATGGCTCGGAACTGGAACTGGATCCCGTCGGGAGTCGAGTCTCCAAAGTACTTGTGAATCTCTGATGTTCATAGTTAAGCGTTAGCTTACCAGTTTGTGGTCGTAGTTGGCGGCGTCCTCGCCACGGCGGACCAAACCCTGGATTTCCTTCGCATTCTTCTTGATTGGGCGGAAGAAGTGCTCAACGCCGGACTCGCTCCAGTCCGAGCCAAAGTGTTTGGCCAATTCTGAACAAGTCAGAACCAGCCTTGACCAACTGAGTACAGGTATAGGTGTAGGGCGGGGTGAGTGCGGGTATGGTGTCTATGTTGGGCAAGAGGGAAGGGTTTGAGAGAGCGTGGTAGTAGGAGGCAAGATGGTGAGAGGAAGGTCAGAAGGAGCGGACACGATTGATATCAGGAAAGCCAGGAAAACAATCAAAGGCATCCAAGTTTTGACTTACCCTTGTAATTGAGCTTCAGCTCAGGGTGCGCCGCGATGACCGCGGTGAGAAGGCGAAGCTGGCCCTCGTAGGTGCGAAAGTTGGCAACCATGATGTCTGGAAGGGGAAGAGCAACCTTGATCAGCGGACGGACGCAGGATGGAGATGCCTGAGGAGTGACGAGCCTGTTGAGACGAGGATCAAGTTGTCGAAATATGGGTGTATGTGGCTGATGGCTCGTTGGACGAGTCTTCTGTTAAGTCTAAGGTTTGGGTTCAGTCTTCAGTGCATGAAGAAGGTCAGAAAAGGAAGATGTGGTGGTGGTGGTGAAAGTGAGGTGGGTCGGGGTGGGAGGAGATATTCCCAGGTGGTGGAGTCAGAGGAGGAACGCTTAGATGTGAGCGAGGTGAGAGGATGGAGAGTCGAGTGAGTAGTGCTTGCCTCGTGGTGTAGAAGAAACAGGAACAATATCTCCGATCATGTCAAATTAGAAAGCAGAGGAGGGGAGGGGAGGCAGATCGCGCGAGTGTTTGTTGTAGCGTGTCAGCAGGGTTGAAGAACTCACCTTGTGAGATGGGTTGTCCAGTCTGGCTGTTGTTTCTCAGACGATGAAACTGATGGTATGTAACAAAGATCGGCCCTAATTGCGAAAGGCTGAGGTAGTACAGAGCCACAAATTGTTGCGTTTTGGCTGGTAAAAGACGAGGTTGAAGAAAATGGAAAGATGCAGGTAGAGGATTCGTATGTACTCGAAGTATGTCTTGTTTGAAATCTCCAGCGCGGTCTGGCAGTAGAATGATGGGAGCTTGGCAATCTCGCAAGAAAGTAGCAGAAGCTCAAAGAGGGGAGATCTGGTCAGTCGATTTATCGAGACAATGTACGACGGTCAAAATGTAGACCTTAAGAGAGGAAAAATAAAAAGTGGTCCGAGGTCAAGGGACGAGAGAGGTTCATGGGGGGTTGCCAGGCAGGGTGAGGGAAGTGCTCGAGGTTGCAGGCCGACTTGTCGATAACTCCAGGGCTCTGAGTGGACTGGTGAAATAATGATAGGGCGGAACTTCCAGGGTTGGCACAACAACACCCAATGAAGCAGCAGACCCACCCTTAGAGGGCCGTTGAAATCCAGCAAAATTCAGAGACGCTCTGGCTGAACCAACCCAACTTTTTCAAAACTACAGAGACATCAGCTCGGTTCGCAATTGATGATGGTCCAGGTGGCTGGTTATCACGCAGTAACAGGCACTAACAGCCTGGGCGATCAAGGGGAGCCTGTTTATCTGCCAAAGCAATGACGAGTGGCTTGCAGAAGCAACGCAGCTAGCAGTCAAATTGATCAATTGATGGAGAGACGCACCCTCGTGGCAGATCCTACGTGAGGTGCGATCGATTTTACGACCAAAGCTGGCTTGATATACCAAACCAAGCTGGTATCTTCTAAGATCTATATTGTAAAACCATCCAGAAAAATCATGGCCACCAACCCTTCTTTACCTATTGCAGCGACTTCTCAAACGGTGTTCGGCGGCCGCTCACCATGGAACTTCCGTTTGTTGCCGGGAGGGGCAGGACTGTCTTTTTCTCCATGGGCAGCTCCATGGGCAGCGAGCCGTCTTCCTTTAGCTTGTGATCCCCGTTTCCGTACATCAGGTACTGGATCCCCAGAAAGCAGTCGCAGCCCGCCTGGAACATACCGCACAACTTGAAAGCCCAAGGGATCTCAGTTGTCGAGGTGAAAAACCAGAACATCTTCATGGCGTCTCCTGCCAGCCAGCTAGCCAGAACCGACACCCGGAACCCCTTGCAGGATCGTGAGCGGGCGTTGGCGAAGATCTGCGGCAGGGGCAACGTCGCCTCGACGGAAAGACCAATATAGCCCAACAGGACTGAGTATAAAGCGTAAATGCCGGTAAAGGGCGCGAGTATAAGCTCCAGCGCCGTGAGGACGATGAAGAGGTACAGCAAAAACTGCCAATACCTAGAGCGCGAGAACTAGGTCAGCATGACAGACACACAAATTCTTCCAGAGGGTTTCGATCAAGACATACGGCTTTGGTGACCTCCATTGCCAGAACTGGTATGGCCTCCTTCTTTCCCAGAGCCCTTCTTTTGCCGCGCCGGCGAACGGCAGAGCAGCGTCACCGCCTTTGGACGCAGGGCCCGGCCGGTGATCCAGCGCAATCTTGAGCAGCAGCACCTGCATAATCACCATGAGGAAGGATTGTATCAGGAGCGCGCCGTCGAATCGTGCACCAGGGTAGTAGAATATTCTGTCGACATCCAATTGTCAGTATAGGAAAGGCACGGGGGCGCGCGAATCGCCCGAGAATTCTTCTGGTCGTACCTGAAAAAAGATGCCACCAGCATAATGAGCGGTATGTCGAGGGAGAAGCCCGCGCTAGACTTGTTCCGGTGCATCGAGAGCGCCTGGTCACTGTATGACAGGATGGGCGACATGATCAGGAAGAGAGGGGCACAGTAGCCCGCGAAGGAGGTGAGCCATCGCATCGTGGGATTGCCGAATGGCGCTTCGTCGAGAAAAGGGGCAGCAGCAGCGCGCTCGCGACAGAGATCGGGACGAGAAGACGCTTCGAATAGAATCGGTAAGGAGCGGACGAAGGTCGACAGCGCGTTTATGGCAGTGGATGATGCCAGCTGGAAGTGACCAACGGTGAGAGGAGTGAGGCCAGAAGTTGAGAGAGGAATAATTTAAGAAGCGCGAAAGCTACTATTTGGCCTGTGTCCAAAAAAGAATGGTCCACTTTTAGCACACGACCAGCGGCAGTCTTGCATATAGGGCTCTGATCGTCAAAGGGGCCGGCCGCTGGCGCCAAGGTAGCGGTAGTACTCTTGTGTGTACGTACTATAGTAGTAGGGGCGGTGTCAAGCCCGCCGGGTCGTTCGTCAGCAACACGTTAACAGGGATCCTGCTGCGCTTGTTGTAATTTTTAGACGGGCCATACACATCGGCTGACCCATGTCAACTCTCCTCCTCCTCCGTCTTCCATAATACATCCGTCTCAACGGTGCTCTATTGATGTTTTTGAACCCCGCCCTCCTCAGACACGATGTAGCAAAACAAGACAAGCCCGTCGACATAGCTTGTTCCATGCCAGCACCGCGATCTTGACTATTTAAGTTTTGAGGGGCACCGGCCCAGTCGTTCTGGTCCCATGTTTGACGGTCCCGCCTGGACGAAACCGTCTCTCGTCAGCGACCCATCCGTGCATGATGAGACCAAACACACTCGTCGCGTCCTTCATCCGTTGCCCTGACGTCTTTGACAGCGAAGAACACCTATGCGACTTGCTGCATGCATGGGTTTTGATTGTCAGCCGTGACCAAGATCACCCATGTAGGCGTAGTTACAATAAATCTTTTGCCAGGAAATCACGTCAACGACTGGAACGGATATGCGAAAAGTCTAATAGGGGGTACCATTCATTTTTGCATAACAAAATTAGGAACTTCAATCATCTAGGGCTGAGCGTCCAACAATTGCCCTGACCTACACCTTCTGTGACAGGCCCCGACGTCCACATGAAGATCGTTGACTTTGTTGCTGAAGTCTTCAGGCACCAAATAATTGAAAACACTTTCCTCTCCTTGCCTCGTGTGACGCCCTCCACCCACTGTTCCTACATCATGAACGCCAGCTCTCGAAATGTAGTATGAAAAGGTTGTTCCTATGTCCTATCATCAAGTTCTAACAAAAGAAATAATTGTAGAAAGCTCCAGGGTTGACATGAACATGTCGTCAACGTAACAGCTCAAAAAGGATGGTAGAAATTCCGATTTCGAGCCCCAATCGCCACCACGGCAATAATGTGATCAGCACGTACTGTGTAACCGTAGCGACACAAAGTATGGCCGCTGTGAATCGGCAGGCGCTTCGGCAGAAATTGGAAGTATGGGCATAAAGGATGCCGCCAAAGTCAGAAATGCCATGGAAAGATGAAGTATCGGCCGATGTGAGTCACTCAAGATCCGCGAAAGAGGAATTGAAGGTCCTCTGGGCTCAAGGACTCCATTGCCGTATCATCAGAGTTGATGGTGGAATTGATCATGTTCGTCTTCTTCTCTTGCAGGAGAACCATGCGACTCTCGACTGAATCCTCAATGCAGAGGCGAGTGATGGTGCATGGGCGCGTCTGTCCAATGCGGTGGCATCGGTCCGCGGATTGCCACTCGGCCGCCGGGTTCCACCATCTGCAGTCGTCAAATTAGCACGCAGTCCATCATACTTGTGAGCATTCAGACTTACGGATCAACAATGAAAACATGTGACGCCTCGGTGAGGTTGAGCGCCACACCACCAGCCTTGAGAGACACCAAAAAGCACTCCACGTCCACGTTGGTCATAAAGTGGTTGATGGACGCCGCACGCTGAGCCGGAGTCATGGAGCCATCCAGCATCACGGTGGAGATTCCTGCGCGGCGCAGCCGCCACTCGATAAGCTGAAGCATGGTCGTGAATTGGGAAAAGATGATCGACTTGTGGGTAGCCTTGTCCGAGCGAAGCTTGTGGAGCTCGCGGACCAGCAGCTCGATCTTGGAGGAGGAAGTCCACTTCTCCATCTTGATTCGATTGATGATGCTTGACTTCCTAACAAGAGTCTCATCTTGCTCGATCTCAGGTTGCTCAAGATCAATGGACAGCGGAATGTGGCAACGGGGGCAGTCAGGCTGATCCTGAGAGTTGAGGTATGCCTTCGCACACGCGCGGCAGAAATCATGCTTACACCTAGACCGTATGGCTTCCTCGGCCGGCTCGTCACAGATGATGCACTGTAGAACGTTCTGACCCTCGGCTGCGTTCTTCTTCAGGATGAGATCAGGGTGGTCCGCGACCTGTCTCATTTGCATGATGAGACCAAAGATGTTGGCGTAGTTGTTGAGAAGAACACCCTGAGCGACGTATGTGTCGAAGTTTCGCCGACCGTTGGTCATGATACTGTTTGCAAAATCATTCTCTGCGGCGCCGAAGAACTGGCGATCCACAAAGATCTCCTTGACTGGCAGATCCATGGAATTGGTGTGATCCTTCTTGAGACGACGCAACATGATCCGGTCGGTCATCATACGGAGCTTCTGGAAAGCCTCCTTGCCAGGGCCAAAGTTACCATAGCGTTGAATAGGGTTCAAAAGCTCTGGAAGACATGTTAGTGCGCCAAGCAGATATTTACAGAGAAGTCAAGCTTACCTTGGTTGAATACACTGATATGTTGCATCGCGCTATGTTTGCAGCTCTTGCACACGTGCTCATCGTTCATGTCCCAGTTGATCGACTCGCAAGGACAGTGCTTGCAGAAGTACGAAGCGAAGGGGCGAATGTTGAGGAATCTGATCAGACTGAAGAACTCGCCGATGCGATTCTGGAGAGGTGTGCCGGTAAGACACCAGCGGTACTCAACCTTCAAGGCGAAGCAGGCCTTTGCTGTCATGGTCGTGCGTGTTTTGATACAATGAGCCTCATCCAGGATCACACGGTGGAAGTGGATGGAGTGAATCAACGACTTCTCCTTGTGCAGGCCGTCCTTTCTCCTGAAGCCTTTCTCCTGCTTCCTGTACAAGGACTCCAAGCTGTTGTACGACATCATGATGACATCGTATTTCTTCAACTCCTTGACTGACTTGGCTTTGGCCTTGGGATTAGTGCCGTGATAGACGAGGGTTTTTAGTGTCCCGTCGGTATAGCTGTCGATCTCGCTGACCCATTGCATCAGAGCGACCGGTGGGACCAGGACAAGCGTGGGTTGCTTGGCGGGATAGTCACTCATGATGAGGCTGACGGCCTGTATGGTTTTCCCAAGGCCCATCTCGTCGCCTAGAAGGCCGCCCTTCCACTTTGTCTGTTCCATTGCCTTCATCCAAGCAAGGCCCTCCAGTTGGAAGGGTTTGAGATGGCGAGAGATGGTCTTCGGCTGCTCAGCCTTACCAGCATTCAGGCGTTTCATCTTCTCGAGATCATCCCACATAGTCTTAAGAAGTGGATGATTCGTCTCTAACTTGCCTCGAACGGTATCTTGCCCCTTCTTGTTCTTGTAGGCAGAAAAGCCGCGACGAGAGGCTCCCCGAATCCTACTTGGCTGATCTGCTGCATCCTCGTCGTCCGACAGGAGAGAGGTGAGGTCGCTCAAATCATCGGTGTCTTCGTAGCCCTTGCTACTGGCTGCGTCCATAGCGGATTCATCTGTCTCGGGAATGACATCCTTCTTGGTCGTCCTTTTGACTTGGTGCTTACTCGGGACTATAGTATATTAGTGGATGATGTAGTGAAGCTTGGAAATCGTTTGATCACTTTGATGGATAGGAAAAGACCATGCGGGCCATCAACATACCAGGCACGTCGTCCTCGTCGTCCTCGTCAGAGAACGTGGTCGCAGGCATCTTGCCCTTGCCCTTGCCCTTGCCCTTAACCTTGCCGGTGGTTCTTTTCTGCTTCTTGGCCGGGGGCTCGTAATTGTCGAAGTCGGACTCAGTGAGAATATCGTCATCGGAATCAGGCACGACGGCTTTTGCTGTTGTGCGAGCACCCCGGGGCGGGAGGGCGCTGACAGCCTTTCCCTTGCCTTTAGAGTTGGCCACGACGGCATCGTCACTGTCCTCAACTGCATCGGAATCGAAAAGGCCCTGGCCACCATCAAGAGTCAAGGCCTCGGCAGCCTGTCGATCGAACTCCTCTTGCAGTTGTCTAGCCACCTTCTCGTCATAGCGGGTACCTTGGGCACTTGGAGAAGTGTCCAATAGCTCATCGTCACTATCAACGATTTCCATAAATCCACGCTTTCGGTCGGAGTCATTCCCCTTAAAGAAGTCTCTTGCTTTCTGCATGGCTTCAGAAGTGCCCTTGCGAGTCTTGATCATAGGGATAACGACCTCAATCGCTCCAGCACGAGTCGACTTCTCTGGGGCAGGCGTGGGCACATTGCTAGTGAGCGGGGTCGAGTAACCTGAGGCAGACTCTGAATAATTTGAGGTGGAGGCAGAGGAGTGTGAACCTCTGTTGACGGTGGTATCGGCAGCAGTCATTGCCTTGGCTGGACGACCGCGAGGGCGTTTGAGGGGCATCGGGGTGTTGATTGCGGCACTGGAAGAAGCGGAGGCAGCCTCAGCTAGCAATGCAAGTCAGTCTCATGGTGCTTGCATTTACTCCATGGCGACGCATCTTATCGCTTGAATCAATCTTACCCAAATTGCCAGCTCGGGCAGATTGAGAACTCCTAGTTCTCGCCATCTTGGCCGCTGGAAATTGAGGTTGCTCTGCAGACGATGGTACCCAACAAGAGGCAAGACCTGGGGATGGTGTACAGTGATGTCCTGAAGAGAAGGAACACGGGCTGAGAAGTGTCTGGCTGTCTGCTTGGCTAGGAGCAAGGGTGGTGACGGAAAGGGCAGAACAGCAGAAAGGCTCCCTTTAGCAGAGTAAAGTTTGAAGGAAAATCCAGCGGCTTTCACGCCTAGTAGGTGCGCCCTTTCAGTTGGAGTTTGGGGAGGTTGCCACCCAATGCCTCGCGTTCTAGCCTGGCGCGCTATCATGTGGAAAAGTGGGTCCCATTAAGGTAAGAGTCCCCATTGCCCAGCTCAGGCCGGGATAAAGTACCTCTACGCTAGCGGGGCAGCGTAAGCACTTAGACCCGCCTGGGATTAGTGATCCTCAGTACTGACCACCGTAAAGTGCTTGCATATATTGCAAACACGGGATAGCGCGTCCCCTACGCGCCTTCTCTCTCTCCCTCCTCTCTGTATCCCAGGAGGCTTAGTCTTGGACCAAAGTTGCATCTCGATTTTTCCCCTTGTCTATAACCGTTGTCACGCAACAATTCACCCCGCCTCTCAGTATCAAACGGCCCCAGCAGCGACTCACCTGACCTCACCTCACCTACGACAGAGGTTCAGCAAGACATTATCGTCTTCCACTCCTTGCATGATCAAGTCCACTTGTATTCTCGCGCCGAGTATTCATCCGCACTCGTCGCTCAGCCAGCGCCATCCTACCAGCCTTAACTACGAAGATGGCTCGCACTACGAGGGCTGGTCATCAGCGCACTCAGACTGCTCAACAGCAAGCCCCGAGCACTACACTTGCTGCTGCTGATAGTGCACAGGCTCCATTGACAACCGTAGCACCATCCAATAGTGCTCCGGGCGCTGCCATCCAAGTTGCTGCTGTACAAGTCACTACGGTGCAGACTGCCACCCCTCAAACAGTCGGTGCACAGAACAACCAGTCTGTACAGACCGCCACGCGCCGGGGTCGGACTATCAGAGGTCCCCAGTCTGCATTGACAGATTTCTTAGCCAGCCACAACATCGATGCCACGCAGATTCGTCTTGATTACGCACGTCGCAGAGATGAAGTTAATGCACAAGGCCAACAAGATAATGTTGATGCTGGTGAGGGCCCATCAAACTCCAATGCCAATGGTGCTGGTGGTGAAGATGGCGAAGGTGCAGATGAGCTGGCCCGCAAGCGCAAACTGGATCAGCAGAAGGCCATTGATAAGATCAAATCTTCTAAGCGTTTCCAAAAACGCAAGAAGCGTCTGGCGGACTCTGACGAAGAAGCTGATCTGCTCGAGGAGCTGATGAGGGCCAGTGCACCACAGCCTGGTCAGTTAGCAAACTGTACGTATTCACCAAAGATCTGATATCTCAGGACTTATCGCAATGACTGAACGGGAACACGCAACAGGCGAAATGTGTCAAGTCAGGTTTACGGTCACACCCTACACGCGCGAGACACCTTCTGGTGGTCTCCTGTGCACACCCTGCGGCAAGAAACTCGAGAAGGAGGAGGAGGGCCCAGCCAAGAAGAAGAAGAAGCCAGCTCCTGGTGGGCCGGTCGGCCGTCGCCGCAAGAACCAAAGCAACATGCTTGACGGCACCTATGTCATCGGCGCCAAGAGTCTCATGAGTCTCTGCATCGAGACTCTCGCGAAGAACATTGATCTAGCAGATGACCTAGGCGAGTTGCCGCCCCGTATGGTCGACAAAATTTCTCGCCTGCTCTCCAAGAAGCGGCTGATGGACCAAAATACCCTCAACCTCTTTATCCAACCAACAGCTCGTGAGGTTACTGTCTACGACGCCACCAAACTGAGCTCAGATGACATGATCCGGATATTTCAGGTCGTGCCCAATATGAGAAGTTTGAAACTAAAAAATGCCATTCAGTTTAAGGATGAGGTCCTGGAGTACGCTCTCTCACGGGACCAGCTCAAGCTCCAGGCACTGCACGTCCACGGCGCCAATCTCCTGAGCAATGATATGTGGAAGAGATACTTGACCACAAAGGGTCAGTCTCTACATACACTGCAGGTCTACTACACGGACAAGCATTTCGACGATGAATGTTTGGCTGTGCTCAAGGACGCGACTCCGTCGCTGAAACGGATCAAGGTCTACCATAACCAGGCGGTCAGCGGAGATGGGGTCCGAGAAGTGGGCCACCTCAAGAACTTGCAACACCTGAGCATCAACCTCCACAAGAACGTACACCCCGACATCTGGGTCGACGTACTCGGCAAAATTGGTGGCGGACTCAAGACCCTCTCCTTGCGCGTGGCACCGGAGCTTGACAATACAGTTCTCGATGCTATCCACACCAACTGTCGCACACTGTCGAAGCTGCGCATCACTGATAGTGAGGTTATGACCGATGCCGGCTTTACTCGTCTCTTCACCGGTTGGAACAACCCTGGCCTTATTTTCCTTGACCTACAAAAGTGTCGACAACTCGACTCCTCACATCCTCGCCAGAACCCGGATGGCATAGGTTTGTGTTCCGATGGTTTCAAAGCCCTCATGGCCCACTCTGGTCGTTCCCTGCGCAGCTTGAACATTCATGCGTGCCGACACATCTCAAGCCAGGCCTTTGAGGAAGTTTTCGACCCTAGAAATACATACCCCGCACTCCAGGAACTCGAGCTCAGCTTCTGTGAGGAGGTTACGGACTTTGTCGTCGGCAGTATTTTCCGCAGCTGTCCGAATTTGAAAGAGCTGAATGTTTTTGGTTGCATGAGGCTCAAGGATGTGCGTGTGCCCAGGGGCAAAATCCTTGTTGGCATGCCCAACGCCCTCGGCATGGTCATCGAGGGACAGGATTGAGCGGGCCGCTGCAGAAACGTGTGTATGAATTCATGGGCCAGTTAAAAGGATGTTGAGCAAAGGTGGGTTTGTGTCCCATGGTTGTCAACAGGGTCGCACATCATGTCTGCGCCTCGGCCCAGGTTGACGGTATAACTACGAAAGTTCACGGCGTATTTGGACGGTATCAAAATTTGGAGCAAGGGAGATGGCAATGTTTGGTTTTTTGTGTTGTGTGGGAGGTATAGCAGTGTAGCCCGAGCCAGAGCAGCTAGGTTTTCGATGTGCGATCAACTGTCTATACTCTCTCACGACGCCTGTTTGTTTGTTCTATTCAACGCCAAGTACAAAAGAAGCGATGCTATCTAACCTGAAAAACCTCCCGAAGGGTATGAGGCGCGCTGAGCTAGGCACACATCCACATATCCCGTGAGGAAACAGCTAACTACCTATCCAGCGACTCGATGTCCATAATAGCGACAGCAGTACCGCCTGTTCGGTCTCTCCCTCGCCTCCATATGCGAGCAGTAACTAGGAAAAATCCGTAGAGGCTGGGTTTCGAGTATCCTAAGCCTGGGCTGAGTGTTATAATGCCGGTGGGCGCTTGTTCGGACTGCCAGATGGCAGTTTTCTTTTTTCTTTCTTTCTTTCTTCCTTTTTTTCTTCCTTTTTTTCTTTTTTCTTCTTCCTCTTTTTCCCCCTTCTTTCTTCTTCTTCTTCCTTTTTTTTCCTTTCTCTTTCGGTTTTCCTCCTTTTCCTCTCCAAACCTCCACGCATCCCTTTCCTCTTCTTTCCTCTCGTCTCCTTTTCCTCTCCCCTCCTTTCTCGTCCTCTCCTTTCCTCTACTCTCTTCCACCCTCCTTCGCGCTTATCGCTCCCTCATCATCGCCGCCCTCATTATCGCCACCCTCGTTATCGCCACCCCCATTATCATTCTCCTTCTCTCCTTTCTCTTCTCAATATCCTTGTCCATCGCCTCTTCCTCACGGACCCTCGTCTCCTCCTTCCTCCTCATTATCGCTACCCTCGTTATCGCTCTCCTCGCTCCCTCTCCAGCAGATCTCCTCATCGGAGCCGGGGTCGGACTCCGAGGCTCCGCTATCACCTTCGGCTGCTGAGTCTCTCGCCGGCCTCCCGCGCCGAGCCTGGCTGATCACTACCGCGATCCCAGAAGGATAGCACTTCTCGAAGAACTTCGTGACCTCCGTGAAACGCCGGAACGCCTCCGGGGCCCGCATAAAGTCCTCCAGATAGCGCTAGCTCTCTCCCGGGATCTCGGGATACCAGCACGGCCGGTCGCTCACACCAGCACTTTGTCGTAAGGGGCATCTTTGAATAAGCAGGGGATTTAATACGAATGAGGCGATGTCATCTCTTCGGCGCAACGGTATGTATGTTCCGTCTTTCAGGAAGTATCGCAATCTCTCTTTGTCTCTTTTCTTTCTACATACCGCACTGCATCTGGTCACCCCACATCAGTCCATATCACCATCTTTTCCTTGCCGTGCCAACATCTCTGCCTCCCTGATCTCCGTCCTCTCATCGAGCAGCGACCCAGTCTCCTCGTCCGAGGCCCCCCCACTAGGTACTGCATCGTCGTCAGACTCGTCGTCGTCCTCTTCGTCGTCCTCACGGGGCCCATCTAGCTGGACCGCCCCACTTTTGGAGTCGGGCCGCCTCTTCTTCTCAAAGTCTTGCCTGTGGGCGTCCGCAAGTATCCCTCGGATACTCTTGTTCCCGACCGTTTCTGCGCGCCTCCGCCGCCTGATGTTGGGCGAGTCGCCGCCTGGCGTGCGACCTTCTTCCGCTGTATCCGAAGGCCCGCCAGGTGTCTGTGGAGGCTCGATATCCGTTGCGCGGCGGCTTGGTGTGCGCGCCACCGCGCCGCTCCAGCTGACTCTTGCCGCAGACGGGCTGCGCACGAGCTCGTCTGCAATCTCAGGCCGCTGGGCCTGCTTTCCACCCGAGTCCAAGCTGTCTCTGCCGCTCGTCAGATAATCGGCGGGGACATCCAGGTCATATGGCAGCGGTACATCGCGGGAGGCCCTGTACTGCTTGACATTGGCGCAGTGCTCGTTCTCCACTCTCAATAGGGTCCACATGCCGCGGCGGGTGACTTCGGAGAAGCCAATCAAGAAGGAGGCGGTGGACGAGTGTTGGGTATCGTGGGTGAAAATGACATAAAAGACCCAGTTGAAGCGGAGGATCGGGTCGAGTATCATAATGAGATAGTACGGCCAGCGAAACTTGAGAGCGGTGATGTCACGGAGGAAACGGTGTTGGGTGTGGGGCTGGAGGAGGGAGAAATCCATGAAGATGTCCCAAAATGCTGCCGAAAGACAGTGTGAGTTTTGCACGGCACATGGTCAGGAGGAAATGGTGTCCAGGCTTACCTGTGTAAAACCCATTGATGGTCGCGAAGACGACGAAGAGGGCCAAGTTTTTGTGCGAGTTTTGAATGCGGTAGACACTCAGAAAGACGCCTGCGAGAATGCTTGCCGTGTACTTTCCGCAATTGACAAGATGGGGAAATATGTTGCGTGTGTCTTTGTAACGCCGGATACATTGCAAGAATCGCCTTTCGTAGCTGTCAGCATCGAGAAATCCTATTTTGACGCCGCAGGCTACCTCACGTACCAAATAGGTGGAAGGCAGACAAAGAAGCCCAGCAGACGTGAGTGATTTGAGTTGCACTGCTGAGGGTTGTCCCATTCATTCGCGTACAGGCAAAAAAAGAGCTCGATATTCTGGAGTGGACTGTCAGATTGGAACGAGGGCCCTGGGAAGGTTGGCCTGATGACTTACACACATGGCGTATGTTAACGAGCAGTACATATCTCCCAGGAAGAAGTCGCGAAACTCGACGGGATACAAGCCTGCGAAGAATAGACGCCACTGCGAAATATCAGCATCATAACGCATACCAGTTAGCAGAGAGGAGTCAATCCCAAACACCTACATGAGAGTAGAGAAACCACTTCCGGCTCTTGTGAAATAGAACCGGAGCAGGCAGAAACAGGATCGCAAAGGTGACACATATCAAGATCACCGGATAGTAGAGATACATATCTGGTGACCCATATCTCGTGAAATTGAGCCACATGAACAGTCCCAGGAGGAACAAGAAGAAGCTCGGGAACTCGGCCAGCTGTCTCCAGTCCAGCTGGCTCCGTGCGTCAAACTCAAAGATGAAGGGGTAATTCACCCTGTTAGCGGTCCACAGCTTGCAGTCAAGACAGAACAAGCTAAACAGATACAACATGAGGAAGTATCCCCCGTAGATCTGCAACAGGTAGCTCGTCTGCGTCCTCACCTCCGGGTCTTTGTCGAACAGGAGCTCTGCACCATATACAAGTCCCTGTATGGCAAAAACGGCGCCAATGCCGATGAAGATGCCGTTCTGAAAGGCGCTGCCGGATTCATCTCTCTTTTTCTTGCTGAGGCTCCGCAGTTTACCAGCTGCAATCTTGTGGTTACCACGCTCAAAGTATCGGGCGTACAGGTCCTCGACGGCCTGTAGATGCCCGTCCAGGACGTCCGAGTTGACGAACCAGCTCTTATTGACCTTCTCCGTCATGTAACGGTACGGCGGCCGCGCGTGGACCGTCTTGTCGTATTTCTTGTTCAATTTCCTGAATGCAGTCCGGTTTAGAAATGCATAGGACTTGAGCAACTCGAGCCCGCGATAGAATTCCTGCAGGGCCAGCTTGAGCTTTCTCTTGGCCGTGCGGTAGGGCACCTCATCCTCGGGCGGCCGGCGAGAATAGTCGCGTCCGCCATCGTTGCCCTGTTTGACGTGTACAGGCGTCCCCATGTGTTGCATGGCCTCAGAGTTCGGACCGGGCCTGAATAGCTTCGCTCTCAGGGGGTTGAGCAGAGGGATATGCGCCCCGTTGGTCTGGTCGTCCTCCTTTGCGTGTTGCCCGTTGGTCTCGCCATTGCGCTTCCGGCGCTTAGCCTCTGCGATCTCTGACGTCCGCCTGTTACGCATCTCATGCAGCTGCTCGCGAAGCAGAGTCAGCCTCTTGCCGGCGCTGTCCTCCTTCTGCCGGTAGAAAGCCTCCACCTTGTCGAGCTCACTGTCGAGAAACTCGGCAAACTCGCGCTCCTTCTCCCTGACCTCGTCCAGTGCACGCAAGTCGAACTCACCCCTCGACTTTCGCCGTTCGGCTGAAGCACCCGTCAGGGTGAACATTCTGCGGAGTCGGGCGCGGGGGCTGTGTATATCGCTTGGTGCCAGGCTCGGGAACGTCGCTCCAGGAGGGAGGGCGAGGCTGTCAGGTCCCTGGTGGCGCCCATCGTGACTCTCCCGATGCGAATCCGCCATGGAGACAGTCCGCTGCAGGGGGTGGCGGCCCAGCGAGGCGGCGGAGCTGATGCGATTGTTGGACGGTCTTGCCCCCTGATTAATCATTGTGTTGTTGGAAGGCACCCTCATGGCCGGGCCGGGGAGCTCCAGCAGGCTTGCCCTGTGGGCGAGAAACGGGTCATCCTGAGGCTCGGCAGGCGTAGGGACGATGCTCCCATAATGCACGTCCGCGTCGGCCCCCTCCGTCAACCTCTGGCGCTCCCCGCGCTGCGGCACAGCGCCGAACCGTGAAGGAGACTGACCCATAGGGGCCGGGCTGGTCCGCAGTGGATCACCATCCTCGGCCACAGACTCTCCTCTCAGACCGCCATTGTTGCGGCTCGGTGGTGATGGCGTGCCGAAGGGTGATGTGCCAGGTCGTGGGTGGTCAGTCCTCCTGGTCAAGACCGAGGACGGTGTGCTATCAGCACGGCTGATAGCCCTTGAGATGGCCTTGATGTGCTTCTTGCCAGACTTGTAGTCCAGGTACTTGACCCGCCATTCTGCGACTGGGTTTTAGCCTCCTGTATATTTGGGTAGACAGCTGGCTGGGGAGGGGGAGGGGTCTTTCTCTTTACCTGGGACGAGATCTCTCTCGAGCTCCTTTGCGAATTTCATTGTGACGTCAGACGCACGAGATGAGGCCTGGGATTGAGTTTCGGCCTTGCATCAAAAGCATCTGGTCATCTTCGTCGCATTTCTCGTATTGCAGCTCAGATCAGATGCTGCAAGATGTGGCATGTGACCCAGATCGGATGTCGACTAAGTGTGGATGGCAGGGCCGTGTTTGTACATACAAAAAGGTAAACACAAGAGGATCTTCTGTCAGGATTACTATGGTATATTTGGTTGGTTGATTGGGGGGGGGGGCCTGTGGTTTTAATTAGATCGACCAATCAGCGCTGTCCCCCCTGCCACGCATCCCTTTTCACCATAAACGGCACTTGCAGTAAGTACAATCGCAGACTGTGGCCGAGGAAACTCTGCACCGCACAAACCCAATGATCAGAATAATCCCACTACCGTAGTAATCATAGTATGACAATACTATCTAAGGCCTACCAACCTCACTCAATCTTGTCATACCTTTTTTTTCGACTTTTTGCCCCCTTCCCTACGTGGCCGCTGAAAGACGTTTACAAGGAGTCCGTCCTTGTTCTTTGGCATCGCAGGGCTTCACAAGGAGCTCGAATTCTGGTGTTCCTTTAGCCTTGAACTTGTGCTATAGGATAGCGCCCGCCTAAGTATTACTTTCTTGAGCTTATTCTTTTCTGGATTTTCAATCTTAATTTTTTTTTGGGGGGGGGGGGTGAATTTATTTTAGTACTTTGGGCATGGTTTCGTGTGGGTTTGGAGCAATCCTATGGGCTGAGGTGATACCTTGCTGCGGGACGGGATTGGCATCATTTGAGGCTTAGATTTGCTCAACCAGGACCTGACAATCGCTCCTCCACTTGACGGTCAGCTGGCTGGAATGTTGGGAGAAGCGCTGCGGTAACGTTGCGCCTACACACTTGGGCAACAAAGACTGTCCCTCGCCTTTTCACCTAGGAGAGTCTCTGCATTTGGTCTGTCTCGGAGCAAGACAGTGACTAATCCAGTCCCTTGACTGGCTGACAGGCCGTGAGATGCACCGGCGTATTGGTGCCCATCCCCCTCTTATCCATTCACTTAATTTGGGCAGCGCATGTCTCATACCACCACAGCAAGGAAATCAGGGATTCTGCTCCATCGTAACAAGCCGCTCGCGCAGTGAAGACCTCGTGGAACACAACGAATCTTCTTCAACCTTCACCTTCAAGAATTCAACTCCGCTCCGTCCCCACGTGGAAACCTCTCTCCTGAGATGACGTTGACATCTCGCTCAACCCCCTGATTTAAGCCCCTCCGGCTTGTCCACCTTGTCCACGTAGCCGCCACCCCACGGGCCTCGGAATCGGAACCAGATTCTTCTGAAGCCCTGATCCAGGTCTTCTTTCTATTTTCTTTCCCTTTCCTTCCCTTTTCTTCCTTGCTTTCCACTTTTTCCCCCCCTTCTTCTTCCTCTCCTAGCGGGCCCTTGCCCTGGGAGCGGCTCCCCGAAACCTGGAAAAGAGAGCCTGCATGCGTATACTACTGTTCTCGGCCGACGAGCCGGCGTTGTTGGTGACTGGAAAGGGGGAGGGGGGAGAAATATTCAATTACTGTATGGAGTATTCCATCTCCACAGGGGCCGGCACCTACCGCGAGGGGGGTCGAGATCGAGATCTCAGAGCAGCATCGGGGTCCCGCTCACACACCTGTGAGGCTATTCAGGAAGTCGCGACTACGAAAGCAGGTCCCGGCGACAGGAGCAAGGAAATTGGCGTCCCTCTCTAGTGGGGAGGACCGAACTCACGATACTTTCCCTCCAGTCCAAAAGGTCAGTGCACAGTAGAGAAGGCGGGAAAAAAGAAGAAGGACAACAGGCCAAGCGATAAGACCATCGCAAAGCTAGCCAGGCCAGGGGGCCCCCGCGTCTCGTTTACATCTGGGAATGGCCTCATCCTTCCGTGATAGGAAGTCTCCCGGCCCTTGTTCTGGCTGTTACCCTTACCAAACGATTTTCTATTGAATTTGTTTCTTTTTTCCTTTCATTGACGGCAACCCTCGTCTCATCCGGAAAGATACCTCCGTTGTCAGGTCGTACTCGGAAGGCACGGGGCTCCACCAACAGAGTGCACTTGTTCACTTCCCCCTCCCCTGGCTTCGTGACATCGGCACCGGTGACGACCTGTTTCTGTAGAAATCCTCTCCTACATTTGATTTTGATTTTATCTTTACGCTACCGCGTCTGGGGCATCGTCGAGTCGTCACCACAACCACCGTGCTCTAGGGAGAGGAGGAAAGGGGGAAAGTCAAATGATGGGCACTGCTCGACGCAAGCACTGGGCAGCCAACAACATCTGAGTAGGACCTTTTGCTGATGAAGAAGCATGCAATGTGCCAATAATATCTCATCACCTCAACACGTCTCTTTGCTCTGTCTATCAAATAACATACTTCAAGTACTCCATTTCGTTGTGGGACAGTAAAATAGCGCGCCACGTCTTGGCGTGGTCTGCCGGTCAACGAGGCTAAGCAACAGCCATCCCGCGCCGCCCCCTCGCCAGAAGTTTCAAGAAGCACCCGCGCAGCCCCGTTACAATTTCGACCACTTGGAAGGCTGAGGCCATCAGGGTGCACGACTGGTCCACGATGGTGGAGAAACCGAACGACGCCCCTCCCAGTAGGCTAGGGAAGAAAGAAAGAATAGCACCAGCCAAGCTCTGGGCTACTGCACGTGGATAAACAGGGCTTATGCGTATCGTGCATACAATACATGGCCTAGAAGTACTGGTACTTCCTACCTGGTCGGGCTTTTGTCACTGGCCTTTCTAACCTCCTCTGTGTACTTAGTATATATGTGTCTGTATGACCAGCGTCCCTCTCTGACACATCCAAAAAAAAAAAAAAAAAAAAAGAGGGGGGGGGGGATAAAATATAATACAGTAAAATAAAAATTAACAGTACAAATAACTGCTAAACTGGGTGATCTTGCTACCTGATGGGAGTCTAGCCCTGTTCTCGGTTTCCCTTGCTTGCCCTCTCGGGCGTGCTCAGGAAGAGCTGCTGCATGTAAATTGCTGCACCGTTGCGGAGCCATAAACACGCAGATAGACAGGGGCCAGTCCTTGGTTCCCAAAAGAGAAGGCGAGGGGAGAGATGAAAGAGGGAAAAAGAAGTCCCTGCTGCAGCCCAGCACAGAACGGAGGAGATGAAGCAGGAGGAGGGGTAAGAAGAGGGGTTGGTTGGATCTGGGAGAATGGTTTGCATGTGTTTGTTGTTCTGGTTTGGTTCTAGATGCAGACAGCATCGCGCGTCGGATGTTACCAACCGAAGCAGGCAACACGCCATGCCATGCAGTGATACTGCAGTTCTCGCTGACCCTCTCTGCATGATGAGGCTTCTGTGATGGTGTGGTCGGGCTGGAAGGATGCTAAGATACTTTACTGGCTGGTCAGAAACGGTCACTTACTCGAGGGAAACCGTTTATGCAAGCAAAATTTTTTGGGAGCACACGCCTGCTGCAACGTAGCCTGACGCCACTGAGGCCATTCGCGCCTCCTCTCTCTAACCGGCTCTGCTTCATAAGTACATAGTATTCACATGCCTTGCAACCAGGCCTGGACCTGTACTGAGGGTGAGCAGATGTGGGGCGTGTGGACTGGCAAGATCCGGATTCCGGGCTATATCTTCACGGCGGTATCACAACGGCAAGTGGGATGCAAAACCAAGGTTTGTAAGGTTATAATATGCCCAGATATACCAACCTAGGTACCAACCTACCTTTGTGGAGGACTCGAAGAACCTGTTTGGCCCCCCCCCCCCTTACTCTTCTTCTTGGCTGTACCAAGATATCGGTGCGTTCCTTCTCAATACCACTGTGTGATTCTGAAATGACGATGTTGTAATGACGCGCGGAGCGTTCGGCCTTTTTTATGTGGTGCGATGCATTGCATTGCAGAGTAAGCAAACTCGTCACGCTGTAATGAGACAGAGAAGAAACAAGAAAGGAAGAACAAAGAGCTTCACACATCATGCATGCAAAACAACCCAGAACAGTCCCCTGCTCGATACTGCAGGAGGAAGGAGAAAAAGGTTACACCGCGGATCGACAACCGACATCGCCAGAATGCACAAAGTACAGTAGCTCCCTGCAAGCATGGCGAGAGGGTTTCCAAGGACCTAACCCTGGTATGATACATGGGACGGTCTCGCAGGTTTGATTACGTATTCCGACCCGCGGTTGGGTGAGGTGAGACATGCGGCCGTCTTTTTGTTTCGTTAACAGCTATCGAGGAGGCCGGGGAGAGGGGCAAGCTCGAGTGGTCAGACAGGCAAGATACGAAAAGAGAGGCGATGGTGATGATAGGCTTGCATAGTTGAAGATGGCTGGTGATTGATGATCTGACAAAGCCAGCGGGATGGATGGTATGTACACACAGTAGTGCCGCTGAATGCGGCATGGCGAGCTTCATCCCCCGCATTAGGGCACACTGTTATCCTACATGTCTATCCTTGAAACATGGAACTTCTGCCTATCCCCCTCGAGTCAATTGGCAGCCTCGTTCCAATCCCAGAGGAGAGTAGGCCTCATCGTCCCTTGCGCCCCCCCAACGCATAATGCCACACCGTCCTTGGCCAAATATGGTGCAAACCGATCTTGTTTCAAAGAGAGGCAATTGGACTCCCTCATCAAAATTTGACTCTCTTTAGCCCTAATTCAAAACAGGGTCGATGTCGGGGAACAGGTTGGCAAAAGGCCCTTTTCTTTCAGAATGAAAGCGATTTCAAACTGCTGCTTTTCTAGAGGCATATTCAGGGACGGCGATCAGATGAGCCTTTTACGTCAAGTGGGAAAACAGAAAGAGGAAGAAAAGAAACAAGAGGTATTGCAGAGCGACAACCGTGCCGATTAATCCACAACCGTGATCACAACCCTCGTCAGGATGGCAATTACCGAATGTCCCGAAAGGTCAATTCATTATTTACTACAACATGGTACGACACGCAACCGTCAAAGTTCATGGTTCGACGTGATGAACGGCAAACGGGTACCGGCGAGGAGGGGAGCAAATGCAGCCAGGGGGGTGGCGGAGGGGAATATCGAATCCGGCCCCACAACATGAATCCTTTGAGGACAAAGGATGCAGGAGCTCCCCGAAGCAAGTAGAGAAGACATATACGGCAACTCGTCTTCTTATTTTCAGTGACCGATGGGCCGTGTCTCTGGAATATGTCGGGGACTCTGTTTCCTGTTCTCGGGATTTGATGATGTTCCGGAAGCCAACCGCAAACACGCCATGCCAAGAAATGGGGCCGGAGGGAGAGGTTCTAAGACGTGGAGGCATTCCAAGCTGTGGTCGATAGTGTTGGTAAATTCTAGCACGGATAGGAGAAGAGTGACCTGAAGTTGTTCCAAAACTCCGCTTCCATGCTTTGCGGGACGAGATCTCGATCAGATGTTGATACCTGCCATTTCTGAAAGCGCCGAGGCCGGCACGGCTGGCCACCAGAAACAAGGTCGTCCGACTGATCAACAAGTGCCAATTCAAACAACAACACCATCAACAAGGCAGCGCTTGGTTGTGTACCGTCATGTTTGGCGGAGGGATGATACCTATTACATCAGACCTGGATTGGCTCCGATGATTGGCTGGGCTGGTGGGGAGAGACAAGGCTCTTCCTCGGTGGATCTCGTGGCGCTTGGATTGCGGGAGACTGGGTTTTTAGCATCATCAATCTGTCTGGCGCACACAAATCCCATCCCCCCGGATCGGGAACAACCCCTAACAAGATTGAGGGGCGGGGGACGAACAAAAAGGGAAGAAGAAAAAGAAAAAAGTACGTAGAGGAGAGATAGGATTTTTGTTAAAGCAAAAAGACAAGATAATAGCCAGCAGTGGTCCTCTGAAACGGGCCGGCCTTACTGAACGGCGACCAAGGAGGACAGATTCAATAACCAGAGTTAATTATACTTTTGTGTGTGTGGTAGTGTTCATGGATGGTAACAGTACTGAATAAAAACAGCGTCAGATTCCACTCACATGGGATTCTCTGAACACCTGCTTTGAGGGATGAAGTGATCCCTCCCAAATCTCACAGCGCTATGGATTGCATCTTCTCTCTATCTGTATGTGTGTGCGTGTGTCCCCTGCTGGCAACAGCCGACCATCGTCAAGGAATCAAGGAAGAGTGGGGAAAAGCAGGACAAGAACCAAAGTGTGGTGGTGAATCTGCAGTCTGTACTGCTGCTAGGTACCATTACATGGTATCTACCTGCTATGATGAGCAGAAATCCGTACTCGTACCCGTACCGCGGTACCTGTATCTGCACAGAAAGCCTGGGGCCCCCTGCAAGATGCAAGCACCACTACCCCACCGAGCTTGACAACGCTGATAGTACCTAAATTGTCAAGGCGCTAGCCAACTCGAGGAAGTAACCAGCGCGACAGAGCGCCCTCGCAGAAACATCCGCTTGCTCGCTTGGCAGCCAGCCTGCCAGTCAATGTCTTTCAAAAGCCTTGTCGTCCCTCCTCCTCCACCCGCCCGCGCCCGAGCCCACCTTGTAACCTGGATTCCGACCAGCTCTCCTCTCAACTCCAGTCCAGTTACTGCTCCTTCACGGACCACCACCCAGTCTCAGCTCCCAGCCTGGGACCGATTGGACACGTGCAAAGTTGATCGGACTCGGTTTGCCTGTTCCCTGAAAAGAGCCTGGTCGGCAAGCAGCAATAAAGTCCTCACATATTGGCAGCTCGACATCATCGAGCTCCCACCCCTGGAAGTAAGGAAAGAAAAGATTAAAAAACCCTGGACAAGCCCTGGACGCATCCTTACCCTCCCCGACCTTGGACACCTTGCCTAGACTTGCGCCACTTCTTGCTCACCGATTTAAGCGTCGACTTGTCCAGCGAGACCTGGCGTGCACGCTTAGTCTTGCGATCCCGACATCAAATTGCAAGACCGAGAGGGGAAAAGAACAGAACAGCAAGAAAGAAAACCGAAAGAGAAGAAAAACCAGGCAGGCCCTGCCAAGACTGCAACGTTGGACCGTCATCTCTTGCCCCCTCCAGCGCTAATCCATACGGCACCCAGGGCCTTGGTTCAGTGATGCTGCGGTAACTGATCGGCAGAGCAGCAGTCAGCATTTGTCTTTAAGCGCCGCCCAACCCTTTCCAGTCCAACGCATTGCAGACTTACTGCACTACCTACCATCTATTCTCAATCAAAAACCAAACATCGACCTTGCTCCTGTGCAGTACCTTATCTCTCGACCTGGTGACCAGCACGCATAAAACGGCCTTCTTCTTCAACGCTGTTCCCAGCATCGCGGCTCTTCCCGAACTACCCCATCTCCAACAACAACGGCCTTAGTCGCCAATTTCTTTGCAAAGGTGGTAGCGAAACGAACAGACAAAACTACCCACCACGCGGCCTCTTCGTCGCACAGTCCATGACTGGCGTGGTTTGAAGTCCGGAACGCACTTTTTGTCTCGTGCACCTTTGTTTTCCCACTCTTTCGTTGGAGCATCTACCACCTAGGGTCTCTAGCACCGCCTCAGTTCCTATCCGAGGAATACTGCGCCGAAGAAATTGCGCAGTACGACAACGCGTGCGTACCTCACCTCGCGCTCAGGGACAGAACGACTCCACTTCTCGCAACCTTGGTCCATCGACCGGTGTTTTCGGGCCTGCGTTTGTCATTTCTAGCCCGAGGGGCCGCCACGACGGCACTACCGTGATAGATCCTTATCCTTAGGGTCTGAGCCGCTTCGTCGCCCTTTTCCAAAAATCACTCACCACTCACAAATACCCGTCGCCCGTGCGATTTTGTCGGGCCTCTTGAGGATGCTCGAATCTCAGGCACCAAGGCGACGCCCACTTCCCGAGTCATCGATCCAGATCCCCTACTCACATTCCCGCACTCGTAGCACATCCTCTGGCGTCTTTCCAGTGCAGGTCCAACAGCCGCAACCACAGGCCATGTATCTTGGCCAGCCACAGCAGTATGGCCGCCAGCGCCGCACGCCTTCCGTGAATACATTCAGCTCCGTCTCGAGCGGGGGCGGTGCCGAAAGAGGCCCTCCCCCTCCTGCAGCGTATCGAAACTCTCCTCCCAGCATGGACCTGCGTCGCTCCACCTCCTCTCGGTCCAACGGCTCCGTACAGCCTCTCAGCTATGTCGCGCTCCTGCGAAAACAAAAGGCCACCGTCTGGTGCGACCGCGCACAGCCAGAGGACCCCTACATGCTCGCAAAACAAAAGCAGGCAAAGATGCGAGCCCTCCAGACAGTAGGGTCGGGAACTGGGTCCGGCACATCGGGCAGCAACCGGACATCCACTGGGCTCAGCAGTGCTGGCGGTAAGGTGGTGGGCAAGATCCGACACCATGGCAAACCCGCGGTGGTCGGGTACTCGCCAGACAGCAACTATGTCGGCGTGGGCGGCGTACCATTACGCCTTAGCGCGACGGAGGTGGAAGGCGAGGACTCTGACGACGACGATATGGCGAGCCAACGGCTGCATCACCGCAGAACGGGCAGCAGCGGACGGTCGAGCACGGCGGGCAGCATCGGACGGAGGGGTCTGAACTATCGAGCATCTACAGGCAGCGGCCTCCAGATGACAGGCGGTGGCTCCCAAAACAGCAGGAGGTGGACGGGCAGCGGTGGAGAGAACACGCCGGAGAGGAGAGGAAGCCTCGCCGACGCTGGGTCAGACAGGCGCCCACCAAGTGACACGGCGAGCGGAAGCAGCAGCATGGGCGAGCGCGCCGACGATGTGCCAGACTTGGACCCTGCCGCGGCACGTCTGGCTAGCAACAGCCTGATGAATGCTACCCTGACGAGGGAGAAGAGCGTCAAGAACCCGGACGAATTGCGCAGGAGAGGCAGTGTCGACGAGAGGACAATGACGCTTACATCCGGAAGGCTCTTCATCGCCAATCCGGATTAATCTAAATAAAACAACAAACCACAACCCACGATGGCCGACCCACGTTCGGCGCTCTATTCATCGGACTCATACGGCATCAACGCCACTGGTCTTCCGAGGAAGATATACCGCCAGTCGCTTTTTTCCTTGCTTGTATTTGTTACTACGCCGGCATAACAGGACGTCGCATATACGGAACGCTCATCCTGCACACACAAGCCTCCATCATCTATCTCCTACGTTCTTATTTCTTTCCTTGCGCACATTGCCGTCATTATCATACACAACATTGCATTGCTAGGCGTTTTGAGGAGGCAATATATCAGACTATATCAGTCGAGCTCTGGATCTGCTTTGTGATTTTTTTATTTTTTTTATTGCCCTTCTCCAATAAGAACGGCCGGTGCTGGCTTGTCTGGATGATTTGTCGTTTTCACAAGGATCTGCTATCAGCATAGATCCTCAGCAGTGTGGTCTTTGAGGCCACGAATAATATAACATCGTTCACCTATCTGGTGGCTACTTGTTAGCCTGTATGTTCTGTTTGCGTGTGTGCTACTGTCTGTTTCCTGAATCACAGCCCGTGAAGATGCCTAAACTGTGTGATCATATGCAAAAGACCATGGGCTGTCAAATAAACCCACTCTAGGGAGTGGCACTTTTAGAGGCTCATTCAGCACAGGGATTCAAAATCCCATTTCGAGTGTTTCGCAAATGGATATCAGGAGAAGTCGGGAACTTTGAAAGAGCCCCATTTGCAGTCGAAGATGGGAATCATACAAACCAAAAAGAGGCCGGTCTTGGGGGAAAAGACAGCACAATTTATTTGTTCTCCTGTTCTCTTCAATCTACTTCAATTACAATGCAGAATAATTAACACCGTGTCCCACCGCCCTTTGATATCAAATCAACAAAACCCCTTGACCGTCTTGAGTGAAATAAAGCCACTGTAGCAACACTAGCAGAAAGAAGGTACCTGGAGAAGGAGCGGTCTTGGCCCTGGAACTTAAGCAGGGTGGTCCGTGCCCTACGCGACCCTTCCACCAACGCGACTGCTACGCGTTCAATCAAGGGTCCCACTCACTTTCGATACTACTCCCTCTCTCTCCCCAAAACCACCAGGAAACCTGAACCTGGTTGAGCAGAGACGCAAGCATAGCTGTTCATGTGAAGCCTGGTGGTTCTGCATATCCTCAAGAGTTCTTAGGCTGGTCAATTGTTTCTTGTTACCAACCAAGCACTCCTCTCTTTACTGTCCTCGAACTGGAACTGGATCTGAACTCGACATTTCTGACTCTTCCACGACACAACAACACACCTGATCACGTTCTACATATCACTTCTCTCCCATATCTGCATCGCTCCTGGGCCAGGGGGCCACCACTACATCAATGCCATTAATGGTTATGTCACCAAATATTGCGGAGATGAACTCCCCGACCAGGAAGCGCAGCCATGAGGAATACTCTGGTGATATTTCTGATGTTCTCGTCAAGTCCGAGCCCCAGGTCCATATGAAGATGGAGCCTTCAGACATGGGTAGGTACAGCTTTGAATGAAGTAGATAGATAGTCCTGTCTGAAATCACAAAGCACTGGCAGCTGACCCATCTTAGAAGGCACGTCAATTCCATCACATCTGTCGAGACAATCCCCCCCAGTACAAAGTAGCCCAGCAGCTCTCACCGAAGCTGGCTCCAGCACTCCAGGTGGAGCCTCGACATCTCCCAACACTCCCACTCGACAGCCTCTTCTCCCTGTGGATCTGGCACCTCAGAACTCTGTTGACACAAGCCAACCGCCAACCTTCTCTCCCGCCAAGACCGCCTTGCCGTCAGCCCAGGGTCCTCCTGCCAAAAAGAAGAAACTGACACCCGGAGAAAAGCAGGCGAAGCAAGCAGAGGATGCTGCGAAGAAGGCAGAGAGAGACAAGAAGAAACAAGAAAGCGAGGCGCAGAAACAGGCCGAGAAGGAGAAGAGGCAGGCCGAGAGGGAGAAGAAGCATGCGGAGACAGAAGCCAGGAAGAAAGAGAGGGAGCAGAAACGACAGGATGCGGAGCAGAGGGAGCGTGAGAAGAAGGAGGAGGCCGAGCGCAAGGCACGTGCCCAAACTCGGATTGGTGCTTTTTTCAAAAAGGACTCCACGACACCCAAGAAGGCTCTATCGACAGTTGCCGACATACCGGTCAAAGCCAGAAGTCCGTCGCCGGCGGCTGCTCAGACGGAGTACGAGAAGCTCGCAATTCCCTTCTTTGTTCATAAAAATGTTGCACTAGCGAAGAACCCCTTCGCTGTGGATGACGAGACTCAGGAGACGACAGCTTCGATCATCACAGACTACCTCGCAGGCAAACGCTCCCCAGTGCAGACGAAACAGTTTGATCCAGTCAGCACGCTGCACCTTGTCGGCCCCCCCTTGCCACGAGGAAAACAGTTTCCCCGCGTTCGGGATATCATGTCCGATCAGGACGGTGGAACATCCAACCCCATCAACCTCATCGCGGAGCAGTCCAAGCTATCTACTCGATCATGCTTAAAAAGTGTCCCCATGAAGCAGTTCTCATTCCACGAGGACGTACGCCCGGGCTATTATGGTACGGTAACGAGTGTTCATTCTGTGGCAGCACTACGGAAGATGGCCCGCAGACCCACAACGAAGGATCTGCCTCTAAATTATGATTATGATTCCGAGGCAGAGTGGGTGCAAGGTGACGAGGAAGAAGATGCCGAAGGCATCGACGACATGACTGATGATGAAGATGAAGAGGACGACGACAAGTCCATGGATGGCTTCCTCGATGACTCGGAGGACGTCAGGCGTGGTCCGCTGCTAGTAAGCTCAATGGAGCCAGAGTCCAGCGGTATCTGCTACGAGGATCGCAACCGAAGGAACCCAAATCCCCAGATGTACAAATTCCGCATGGAGTTCATCATCCGTAAGTCTTGCCCAACAGCAGCCTTGTATGCGGATACTTTCTAATCGTATACATAGCCGACCTCGAGCACCACCATTCTATCGACCCTTTTTCCAACGCATACTGGCCTTCTGATACAAAGACCGTCACAACTACCAACCCAGGTCAGGTGGCCAAACCTAAGGCTGCAAAGGCTCAGACGATTGAAGTCACTTCTGACGGCATCATGCCTCCACCACCCGCACCGAAAGCATCCGCTGCTACCACAAGCAAATCGGCCCCTGCCGCAGCAGACCTCATACCCGCCGAGCTGCTGGATGAGTTCAAAGCTGTCATTCTTGAGTTCAAGTTCCTTCCAAAGACAGCCTTGATACCCACCTTGCTGCACAAGTTTGACAAGTGCAAGAAGGCACAGATTGCAGCCACTTTGGAGCACGTAGCTGAGAAGCCCAAGAAAAAGGGAGATTGGCAGCTCAAGCCAGATGTCTGAGCGTTGACTGCCAGTTGATATTGTGCACCTGCATGCATTTTGTTGTCGAGTCTTTGGGTTCACAAAGGACCCATTGGGGGAATCAATGATTCTGACGCCAAATTAAATTCTCGACGGCGGTCTCATCCGAGAGCGGTGTTATGGTAGCCTTGGCGTATTGGGAAGCTTTATTGGACGGGCAACGTACTGCCCCGTACTACGTTCAGCAGGGTATTGCGAAGAAGGTTCTCAGCCCAGCCTCGAGCCTCGACAGATCGTGAAGCATATGAAGTTGACGAGGAGTCATGGTGCAGGACATTTTTGTTACTGGTCTGCGTATCTTGGAATGGCCAGCATTCGCTATTGCGTTGAGGCAAGGCAGAGGAGTCACGGATTACACACATTCTTCTTGTTGGCATGTTGAGGAGTTATGCCGACGAACCGCATGGAAAGGCATGAAATTATTGCTCTTTTGCAAATATAGACCACCGTTGAGGACCATCACCAGCCTGTTCTGTTTCTCTTGTGAGCTTGTTCCGCCGATTAGTCTATTGATTGACTAGGTAACGTATTCTATTCTTGATCCGTAACTCCAATGAAACAACAGCAGCGGCTGGTTTTGCGTCCGCGCCCGTGTCGACAACGCCAGCCGAGTCCATCTCTATCCGAATATGATGCACCGTCATCACTCACATACGTGATGCGTCACAGAAACGAGAATAAAATATCATAATGATGCCAGGCAAGCACGTCAAACATGCATCGAATAAAGACAATAAGAAGAGAAAAAACTGCCATTATACGGCGACGGGTGTATGTGAGAAATTAAGAAAAACTGAAAACAAAAGTACGAGGTAACATTCCTGCCTGCCTCCCAACCCTTCTTCCTCTTCACTCTCGTCTCCCTTCCTCCCTGTGCATCCTCTTTTACTACCTTTAGTCAGTTTAAGTCGGCCCTTTTGACGAATCCGTGAAAGTTATCGTGGGCGTTACTCTTGGCTCGTTCGTGGTCGCGTTCTTTCGATACATACATAGATACACATATTTCCCAGCCCGGTCGCATTTCACGTTGCGCTAAATCTTCTTTGGTTTTTTTTTTTTTTTTTTTTTTTTTGTTATAGTTTTTTCTGCCTTCCCACAACCTCTTCCTTCTCCGTCTGTCCATCATTATGCCCGAAGAGTGGAACCGAAGGAGATATGATTTGCCCTGGTTTGGGGAGGGCCGGAAAGTCACTAGTCATCCATGGGCTTATCCTCCAACGTCACACCCCGGTGCTCGTCTGTAGCAGACTCGGCCAGCGGGGTCGGGTTGACGGGGATTCTGCGCCCCAGCGACGACCGCGCGGGGTTACGGCCGAGAGAGTTGCGCTTCTCAACGGACTCGGTGGACTTGATGGTCTCGGAGCGACTCCTGGTCGACGCGGGGGATTCGGTCGTCTCGCTGCCGTTGGCGAGCGACTCGGACGAAACACTCTGCGTAGGGGTGCCCGCCTCGCCTGGGACCTCGAGACTGGAGCGCTTGATGCCAAGCACAGGGCCCACGCTCTGTCTTGCCGCCGGAGCCTTCTCCGTAGGGCTGGTGACACCCGGCGCAGACACAGGGAACCGACCGACGCTCCTGTCCCTACGGTGAGAGCTGCCTGGCCCGCGTGGGCTGGGTGCTGGGGAGGTCACCCTGCTACGGCTGCCCCCCGCCTTCTCCAGCAGTAAGCGCTGGCGCTCTTCCTGGTATTGCCTGCGGTTACTCTCGTTGGTGCTGATGGAACGGGGCCGCTGGCTCTCCTTGGTCGATATCGAGGCTGAAAGGCCTTGTGTCGACATGCGCTTCAGCTCGCTAAAGATGGCAGTCTTGTGGGCGAACAAGTCGCGGATCAGGCGGTACGCGTGCTTCTCCTCCATGGTGAGGGAGGTTTCCACGCGTGGCCGCATGATGCAGGGCGCCAATGCAGTGGCAAGAGATGAGACGTACTCCTCATCGGCGCTCGTCAGCTCGATTAATCGTGTGAAATGGTTCATGCATGCGTCAAGAGTGGCAATGTTGGTGAGTCTCAGCTGGGACAGTGTCTGCTGTAGCACGCCAACGCGGTTCCCATCTTCAGAGGTCTCTGGTCCAGGGTTATTGTAAAGGTTTCTGATGATCTCGTACACGTGAGAAGACACCAAAGAATCTATTTATTCGTCAGTTATGACCGCACAGGTATGAAAGTGCAGTATATAGATATATAGATAGATGGATAGATAGATATGGGACTTACCAGGAAGTTCAAGGAGGTAAAGTTTCAGCAGGCTGGCAACAGTGGGTATATCGAATTCAGAAAAGACCTCGGTAGAGAATGGCTTGCCGTCGTTGACCTTGGCACGCAGAGCATGAGTCTGGGACAGAGGGACATCCACCAACCAGACGCCTCTTCTGGCATCATCGCCCTCAAGATCAGGGTAGTGGTTGTCGAGGTAGGTGAGGATGGTGGTGAGAATCATAGGTACGCGCTTCTTGTCCGCTCTGGCGCGCGCTTCGAGGTCAACGCCGAAAGTTTGTTCATCGACCTTGTTGTAGTAATTCTCGTAGATGGTCACCCTTGGAGCAAACCGGCCGGTGCGGTAGTTCTCCAGGAGATAGCGCAGATCACCCTGTGGTTGAATGGTTTCCTGGTACAGCATCATCTTGTCGACGGCAGACTGGATGATGGGCAGGACATTGCCAATGGCACCCGAGAAGTCGAGGATGACGGTCTTGATGGCCTTCAGCCGGTCGAGCTCACAGCGCTCCAGGAACTTGAGGTGCACCGAGATGGCCTCTTCCAGCTCGCATCTCGTCTCGTCCAGCTTCCTGACACCGGTCTTGTACTTGTCATCGGCTTCCCTCTGCTCCCTGCGCAGGCGGTCTGCCGGGGTCTCGTTGGGGTATGGGTTGTTGAGGGGGTTCCAGTTCGCGAGGTACTCGTTGAGCGTGCCCACGACGGGCGAGTCGGCATTATCCGGCCCGTTCGACGCCATCGAGAATGTCCTGCCAACCGCTGGCTTCTTCTCCGGAACACCGGACAGCTGGAACGCCTTGGGCCGCCATTGGTAGAACAATTTGGAGCTATTGGCGAACGTGTTGCCAACGTTTCCCACAAGCCTCAAGAAACCGGCCGAGACCAGGTCCTGTCCGATGCGCTCTGCATAGCTGACGCTGGTGGTGTCCATGTACTTTTGCAGGTACTCGACAATGTCCGCGCCGGCAGAAGTATTCATATACGTTCCCAGGATCGGCACCTTGGTATCCTGCAGCTTGATGTTGTTGAGCATGTGAGCCAGGCGCTTCTTCATCTCCTCTGCATCGAAATGCTCGTCGCCAATCTCAAACACCTCGTCCTCGTCGCTGACATCAGCCTCCTTGTTGTCCGACACCTTGATCTCGGGAATGTTGGGTTTGGGGCTGTCCTGCGGGTCCTGGAAGGCGAACTTGTTCTCCTCCTCGAGATCCTCGACCAGGCGGCACTTGTTGAAGTAGTTGCTCCTCAGCTTCTTGACCTGCTCGGCCTGTCTGTCGTGGGCCTTGATCCGGGTCTGCAGCTCGTCCTGGGAGTCTTGTATGCGCGTCTCGTGGGCCTCGCACCACCTCGAAAAGGGGTTCACGACCAGGTCTCGGATGTTCTGGGCGATCTTCTTGTGATTCTTTGCGCCGTCCACCATTTCGGTCCGCACGCCGTCGAATGCCTGCGCAGATAAGAAAAGGGGACCAGTCAGCTTGGGCTAGAGAGGCCTAATCGAGGCCAGAGGGGTGGTAAATTTAGGTTTGGAATGCGTACCTTGCGAACGCTGGCGCCATCGTCTCTGGCGAAACCGCCCTGGATCTTGTCGGCTGCGGGGGCGATCTCGGAAAGCTTCTGGCCATAAGCCTCCTCTGCCTCTGCGCGCATGCGGGCGATTGTCAAGACCTGCCGGTTCTCGATAACGCCCTGCTGCAGCTTGCTGAACAGAACCCCGAGGCCTATCGGCTGTCAGCAGGAGCATTCACAACTGGGATTCCTCGACTCGAGGCGCATCCTACCTGCGGCATAGTCGCCCGTCCAGAAACTATCTTGAAAGCTGGGCATGTTGGGCAGTGACGACAGATCTCTGCGTCAGAGCCTATTGTGTTGTGGGTGTGGGCGGATGTGACGACTGTGAGTGATCAGGACTGCGCGATGCGTAAAGACATATACGCCCTTGCTGCTCCTTTTTCTTTATTTTTTTTGGTGTTCCTTCTTCTGTCGCTGGAGGGGGCAGGGGTTTCGCACTTCGGGAAGGACTGTTGATGTTCGGGTAGTCGTGGGGGAAAACGTCTTGGATGACGGATTCTGTTCTCGATTTCGTCGGCCGAACCCGAGCAGGGCTAGGAGATTCCGAGGAGGCTGAGCAGCTGGGCGGTTGGTGGCCCCAAGTTGTGGTCGAGGGACCTGATGGATTATGGATCGTGGGTCCTTCGCCGATTTAAGGATCGAGAGCTGACGCCGGGCGGTGAATAAATAACGTCGAGACGCTTACTAGCGTACAGTCAGAGGGAGTCAGTCACGCTGTTGCGGGATACAGTATCGAGCAGCAGTTGGTTTGAAGTGAAAGGCGCAAAGATAGCCGCACGTATTAGACGACGAGGACGACGAAGAACCAGTCAGCACACGAAAGGGGGATCACAACTACTTCTGTGCTGTCAAGCTAGAAGCCAAGGAAAAGGAACCTTAAGACTTATCCACGTCAGTTTCGTGAAATTCGCCGTATAAACCTTGCAGCGAATCCCCAACGCGGTAGAAGGGATCCGCCAGGGCTGTCATCCAGTCGCTACCATTGGTGACAGCCGTCTAAAGTTCTGTTGGATCAGGGGGCCCATGAGGCAGCCCAGGCCCTGTCTAGGCTCCGTCCGGGTAACCCCTGGAACCCTTGAACCAGTGGACGGGACGACCTGAACAACGCCCTGAAATGAGGCACACGTCGCCCAATCTATGCCTGATACCATTTTCTTCGTACTATTGTATATATCTTGCACTCGGTGACGTCGATGTTGCATCTTGGCTGCATTTCTCTAATTTTATGGCTGGTTCCCCATCGGAGATGTCGATATGCCTCATGGCACTTCTCAATGGGCCATTCAACTCCTTTCTCGACAGCCAATCCACAAGAGGCTATGGCCCGAGATGGGTTTTTAAGGAAGAGGCAATCTCAATGCACAGTATACTTATAAGACATACTTACTACTACTAACATGTGACATGTCTTGTTCCCACTCAACTCTCTTAGTGTGCTGATACAGGCCCAGAAGCGAGGAATGGCGCAAAAGGACGATCAACTGTAATGGTAGTAGTAGCAACGGTTTCAACGGCAGACAGGGATGAGATGGGTTAAGCGACAAGCGCTGCCGGGTCAATTTACATGCTGACATGATCGATGCTGCTTATCAAGCATGCATGCATCAGCACGTAGCAACACACGACGACGTTCAGTCTTTTGATATTCTCCTACTCAGTATATGCCAGGGAGGACATGTTCTCATAGCGACGTTCTTATTTATTTAACACGCTCTCATCTGACATTCCTGACCATGTACCCAGGCGGCAAAGGTGAAAAAGGCCAGCCTTACGAGGTTGTCCCAAATGGACGAGATGATATTCGCCGGAAACCACGCTCACGACCTCATGTGTTTGCGTTGCTCGCTGTCGTCTCTCTCATCTTCATGTCTCATCATTGTTTTCGTGCCATGTCACACCTGCTCTCGCCCAGGCCTCTCACCATCGATGAACGAGTGAAGAATATCCTCTCCACTACACCGTTGATAGGTAAGCATCCAACTTGATTCAACACCTACAGTCTCTCTCCCTCTCTCTGTGTATGTGTCGACGATAGGTGCTAAGGCCATCCATCCTTAGACGGTCACAATGATATGCCCATCATGATTCGCTGGTTGTACAATAACCACATCAACAATGAGACCTTCCAAGTCCCCTTTGAGACTGGCAAGACCCCAGGACATGTTGATCTTACTCGTCTCCGCGAGGGCATGAACGGCGGGGCCTTCTGGAGTCTATTCTGGCTGTGTCCAGATAACATGACCAACTTTGACGACGAGATCTACGCCCCAATCGTTCAGGCTACCTACCAACAAATCGACCTCATGACCCGCCTGCAGGCGCTCTACCCGACCCAGTTCTCACCCAAGGTCAACTCCAGCACCGCCCTGGCCGCCTTCCAGCAGGGCCAGCTCATCTCGCCCTTTGGCATCGAGGGCCTGCACCAGATCGGGAACAGCGCCGCGAACCTCAGGCGGTTTTATGACATGGGCGTGCGCTATGCCACGCTGACCCACAACTGCCCCAATCGTTTTGCCGATGCCGCCATCTGGTCGAACCCGACGCGCAAGGCGCCTGACGGCGGGCTCTGGGGCGGCGTGAGCGATGAGGGCAAGGCGCTGGTGCACGAGATGAACCGCATCGGCATGATCGTCGACCTATCGCACACCAGCGTTGACACGCAGGTGCATGTGCTCGGCGGCGGCAGCGACGGCTGGGGCGGCAGCCTGGCCCCCATCATATACAGCCACAGCTCCGCGCACAGCGTCTGCCCACACCCGCGAAACGTCCACGACCACGTTCTCCAGCTGGTCAAGCAGCGGAACAGCATCGTGATGGTCAACTTCTCGCCCGACTTCGTCTCGTGCGTCGAGGCGGACAACGAGAACGGTCTCCCCGACTTTTATCCGCCCAACTCGACGCTGGAGCACGTTGTGCGGCACATCACGTACATAGGTGACCTGATTGGCTACGAGCATGTTGGTCTCGGTAGCGACTTCGATGGGATCCCGAGCACCCCTGAGGGGCTGGACGATGTCTCCAAGTATCCTGATCTCGTGGCGGAGCTGCTGCGGCAGGGCGTGAGCGATGATGATGCTGCCAAGGTTGTTGGTGGCAATCTGCTGCGCGTGTGGAAGGATATTGATGCCGTTGCTCTGGACCTGCAGTCCAAAGGTACGCCGGCCTTGGAAGATGATCTGGAGCCGTTGAAAGTCGCGTCTATGTCCTATTCTGAATTGATGGGGTCGTCCTAAGGACTGGCCGACGAGACCAGCTCCAGATCACGCCAAACACACCCCCCCCCTCCCTCCCAGAGAACCCTGAAGAACCCAGAGAGACCAGCTTCAGGCCTACTTATCAGCTCATCTTCTAAAACCAACGAATGTTAAGCTCATGTCCTCGCTTGGAAGCAGCTTTCTATCTGCGTCGGTCAAATACAGGTAGTTTATAGTAGAATTAAACCATACGGGATATACTTGTATACCGAGACTACTTGGGAACCGTATCCGCAATGTCAATGGAAAATAAAGGTGTGCTTCTTGATTTTAGATTTCCGTTTGAGATCAATGCCTGTCCATACTTGGACTTGCTGAATACTTTTTTCTATCAAGACCGTCTGGCCAGAGGCCCAGCATATCCGAGCTTTCGCAAGACCCATCTCTCTTTGACATGGCATCATATATATCTTTTTGAATACACCGCCAGTTCCTCCTAGACGCTCTGCCGTTCATCCCAAGTGGGATCCGAACGCTGAATGCGGATTCCCACCAATGTCGCAAACGAGGCCGACATCCAACGTGGCACAACCCGCTTCTATGTATCCTCTTTTATCACAGCATCCATAAGTGTGTTGTGTGTACGAAAATCACCACCGCCCAAACCTCTCCAATCTGTTCAACCTCGCCGACGTCGCGTTCTGGTTGCGCGCCCGCTGTCCGCGCACCGGCAGACCCATGACGTGTCTCTTGCCCCTGTACGAGCCCATATCCCTGAGCCGCTTGATGTTGTTCTGCACGACCTTGCGGGCGTCGTTCTCGATCGGCATTGTCGACAGCTCCGCCGTCAGCTGCATGATGGTTTTGGGGCTGAGCGCCTCCAGCCGTTGGCGCGGGAAGATGGAGTACTTGGCCATGATCCGGTCGGCGGACTGGGTGCCGAGGGCGAAGAAGGAGGTGAGGGCTTTCTATACATGTGTGGAACGACAATTGTCAGCCAGATTTTGTGCTGGTCAGACAAGGGGGGTCTTATAAAAGGGTGAACGGCAGGAGGAGGAGGTTGATGTACCTTGACGAGCTTTTTCTCGCCGAAGTTGACGCCGAAAATGAAGATCTGGGGAGAGTCAGCCTCGGGACCGGAATTGTCAAGCTGGAGTTGTAGTACATACCGCCATCTTGACAAAAAGTTTTGTCCTCCTCTCACCTCGACGAGGGAATCATTGGCGGCTGTTCAGTGTTCTGAGTGTTGGGTTTGCAGCAAGACGTTAATTCTGCCGCGTCGGCGCCGTCATTGTTTAGTCGCTATTGGGCTTTGTGATGAGTAAGCCCCTAACCCTGAGAAAGCACCTTGGCCCAGACAGTAACATTCACAGGCATATATCAGGTGCCTTTGGTTTTTATTCGATGTAGAATAAAAATTAAAATTTAAAAGACCTACCTATTATTAAGCATGCTAACAATGCCATATCGCGCAGTCTATAAATTCTTGGGCTTCTTAGAGAGAACAACCATGAACTCAAGGAAACTACGGGTGACACACCGTCGAAGAACTCAGGCAAAGGCTTCATCCTATTTTCAGTACTTGGGTAGCACTCACTGGCGAGGATGAAGTAGACACAGACACTCACTTCATATGCCGTATTTTCACGTGTCGCATATATGAATGCGAAGACCACGATGTTTCCTGCAGCGTGAGGGTAACCAGATAAGTTGAATGGTGACTAAGCAATCTTCTCTGGCTGCCCCGTAGTTTGACCAGGGCCCCCTGCCGCATCTGATTGCCTCAAACCTTCAGACATGATCCGACATGAAAGGGCAAGGGCAGATCAAGGGGCTGAGCTTTTTTCTTTTTCCTTTCTTATTCTTCTGTAGATTCTTTTTAAATGATATATCGTGAGAGCATCTTTAACGATCCGACCTCTAAACGTTTAAAGTCCTGGATTCCTCAGGGTCACTGGTTTGCTGTGGCCATCCGTCTTGAACCTCCTTCGATACCACAACCAAGCTCGCAATGTCCGAGGACCTAGCAGATGAGGTCGAGGTCATTAATTCGATCTACGGGGAAAACAGCCTCGCCCCAGCTGGCGAGGCCGCGGACATCTACATTCTCGCTCTGCCCGAGGAGACAGTCTCGTTACGTCTGCAGTTCCCGCCAGACTATCCAGCTGTGCCTCCCAGCGTACTCAGCACAAACAGCTCCGGAGGAAAGCGAGGGTTGGGCGCGCGGGACCTGCAGCTTTTCCGGGATGCACTTGGCAATGTCTACCAGCCCGGCCAGGTCTGCCTGTTTGATGCGATCGAGGAGCTCAGGCGGCTGCAGGAGGAGGCTGGCCTGACCGCGGAGGAGCCTTCATTTGACGACCAAGACGCAGGCGAGGAAGAGCGGCAAACGACGGCCAAGTCCGCCGCCGCTGCACAAGAACTTGGTCCCGAGCCGCCGTGGATCCTATCCGACCCCGTCACGGAGCTGAAGTCGACGTTCATAGCCCGCTGTGCCGCAGTCAGCTCGCCTGACCTCGCCGCCCAGTATGTGCAGCACCTGCTGGCGAGCGACAAGCGCGTTCGTGCAGCTACGCACAATATCACGGCATGGCGGATCAGGGGCCCCAATGGGACATCCTTCCAGGATTGCGACGACGACGGGGAGACGGCTGCAGGGGGACGCCTTCTTCACCTTATGCAGCTGATGGATCTCTGGGATACCATGGTGGTCGTAACTCGTTGGTACGGCGGGCAGAAGCTTGGGCCTCGACGGTTCGCGCTGATCAATGCGGCGGCGCGCGATGCCTTTGTCAAAGCAGGCCTAGTAGAGGATTCATCTACGGCCAAGAAGAAGAGCCATGGGAAATGACGACAGAAAAAGAAAAGGAGCAGGTTTCTCAAGTCCAGTGTTCAGAGTTTTGTATTTCTATCGACAAAAATTCGGCTGACTGCTCAAAATAACGCTATGATGGGATTGAATCGACGAAACAACACACATTTCCCACCCCAGTAAACTAGAAAACAAGAAGGGGGAAAATCGATAGAGAAAGTATGATCCAGCCAGATGAGAGTCATCTGTAAGGAAGGATGAAAATAGAAGGGAAAAAATTTCATCACCTGCCATCCCCAACGCCGGCTGATGACAATGAGAAGGATGTGTCGATGCAAATGCAGGCTGACGAAAGGAAAAGAAAAAGGAGAAAAAGAGCCCAAGAAGCGCTAGTCCAACCCGGTCTGATGCAAGTTACCCGTCCACACAGAAATCAACACAGAAAACGTATGAAAAAAAGTCCAGACAGCCATCCTGTCCGCTTCAAACAGCCTTTCAGCCGTGCTTGACTAACAATGGACTTAAGGTTTCCATAGCCTTGTCCGCGAGCTCACTCGACAAGATGACCGCACCCGTCTTGGCAGTGGACAGATACGACAGCTCGGCATTCTCCTCCATCTGCAACTCCTCTGCGAGCTTGCCTGCTACGCCAGCCACAATCCCCGTGGCTTCGAAGGGCAGGTCGACGAGATCCAGGAAGATAGGCACCAGATCGACCTCCGTGGGACCGATCAGTGAATCACCAAACTTGTCGAGCAAGGACTTATCGATGAGAAGTGAAGCCTCGTCCTCTTCTGTCATGGTCACTGACAGGAATCGAGGCTGGCTGACCAGCGCCGCGACAAGGCTTGTATAAAATTTGGTGTCGACCATATCCACCCAGGAGGCCTTGCGGTGGTTGCCATTCCCGCTGTGCGACCTTGACGGCCTTGAGTAGTCGTCGTCGCGCCATGCTTCTTTGCCGGAGCAGTGGATCAGAAGGAGACCGCGTTCGACATTGGGTACGACGTTGTGCTTCTTCAGCATCTTGAAAGTCCGCACTTTTGGGGCGTCCATGTCAGCAAAGGAGAAGGAAGAAAATACTCGACCAGACTTTAATTCCAAAAAAATTTGATTTTCTTGCTTACCTTGCAGCTCGGCGACATTCGACGGCGGTGGTGTGGAGGGCGGCTCGTCGCTCTCCTGGCTGAGACCCCGACTGTGCGATAATGCGCCAGGTGAGACGAAGGAGTCGTGACTATCCTCAGGGCACTCGAAGCCTCTCGATAGCAATGCATGCACCACGCTCTGGCGGTGTCTGCTGGGTACTATGATGAAGTCGGAGTAATAAGAGGTGATGAAGAAGATGGGGATGCCAGCAAGCGCAAGCGGCGAGGTTAGGTCGACCACCCGGGAGCCGGCGTCCATGCCAGGAGACGAGACCCGCAAGACACAATATGACTCCTTGGACATGGAAACTGTCTTTGCAACATCTTTCGGCAGCCGCTCTATGATGGGCTTGAAGATTTGTTTTGCCCAGGCGTCATGGCACACAACTGAGCACTCGATGGGCGTCACGCTGATGTTGAGGAAGCCATGCTTCTGGTCCAGGGTCAGACCGTCGAGGTGATCCTCAACCGAGGCAGCACCATGATCTATACTTGGAGGAAGGAGAATCCTCAGGATCGGCTGCAGAAATTGTGAATATAGACTGAGAGGGATGTGTATAAGACTGAGCGTCTCGTCCTATTATGGCGTTGGGTCAGTATGAGACTCGACTTGGCTTTTCACTCTCGATTGTCATGACTCTCTTTCCGTGTCGCAGACCACCCCAGAAGATAGCAAGTCTCTGTAGCCATGTTCAAGGTCGTTGCAAAAAGAGACTTGACTGACTGCCCTTCACTCCCACCACAACACCCCGGTGATCGGCGTTCCGTCATGTCCCGTATAGGAGAGGAGATAAGAGCGATTTGAAACCGACCCGGCAACTTGATGCCAGCAGAGGCTGAAGACAAGCAATCCAACCACAAAAGCTGTTCGAACTTACGAGAAATGTGATCTCAGCGTTCATGATTGAGTACCACTGAGTAGGAGGAAGTATGATGTATACAACCTCTTGCTGATCATTCTTCTTTAGCAAGCGGCACTTGAAAGGGACCCTTGCCAGGACCCCACAGGATGCTTGCAGGACCCTGTTATTATACAGTAATCCGCAGCGACACAAATAACTGTTTATTGGGCGCGGGTGGTCGAAGAAAGCCAATTGAAAGGAATCAACTGCAGCGTGGAAGGACGAATGCGCTCCTGGCTTTGTTCGACAATTTTTTCCCTTCTTCTTCTTCCCCCTTCCGAGAGAGAGATGGAGGACAGAACTCGCAGGCCGTTTTTTTATTTTTATTTTATCGAGGAGGACTTGTGACAACTGCTGGTGAGTAAAAGATAAAGATAAAGTCCGTGCTCGGGTCCTCCCACCTTATGAGTCGATTCCTGCCAGCGCCGATCGGACGGGACAAACGGTGGAGATTTCTTTTTAGATTGGCGAAGATAAATAGGCTGGAACAAGAGGAGGAACGGCGCGTGCCGCCAGTTTAAAGTTCCACAGCGTATAGTATGCGATGATACCAGTGATGGTGAAAAGAATGATATCCTTGCGAGGGCCTTTTGTTGGGTTTGCAAGCCAGTTCCGTATACGGCAATTCGAGATGTTGTAATGGAGGGACAAAGGCAGGGGGAGAGAGAGGGTCTTTCTTTTGGGTTCTTTTTGTAGTCCAGGGGTTCCGACTCGAAACGGAGAATGGGAACAAGCCTGCGGGGAGAGCCCTTCGACAATGGGCAACAAAAAGCCTATTCTATCAAGGCCCGGCAAAACCTTGGGCGGGTCGCGCGGGCGTCTGACGGTTGATCTAGGCTCGCCTAGTGCAGCTCTGTGACTTCGGTGTTTTCTGCGGAATAACTGCTGTGCTGCACAGAGGAAGGAGGCAAACTCGGACAGGCAGGCAGCCTTGGGACGGACTTGCCCAGTTTTTTTCCTTCCCAACGGCTCCAATTTTTCACGCGCTGCACTTTTCTTTCCTCGTCACGAAATCACGACAACAAGCAGGAGAAGGGATGACCTGCGAAGAAACGCAATCGAAGAATGTATGTGGGAAATGGTAGCAAGCAAGCAACAACACACAATATGCGGAGGCAAAACAAGGAGGAGGATACGACGTGGTTTTCTAAGTTTTGCTTTTTATATTGAACCCCTCGTTTTCTCTCCCAAATGGTGGTGGGCTGCCAGCATCACCGCCTGCAGCCCCCTTCCTTTCACTTACCCTGCATGAACATGCTCAGCCAAGCCTCAGTTAGCTAAGGAGAGGGAAAGAGGGAGAGAGGGAGAGAGAGGGAGAGATGCAACAATCCAGCAGCACACTGGGGCAGGCATGCAGTCCCCTCAGCAGCGAGCTAGAGATATTCGGGACATTCCTGCAGCAAAGCTGGCCATGCAGGGTGGCACCAACGTGGGGGGGTTTCCTGTCAGCTGCCCGCCATCACAGACATGCCTGGACGAACTTGGAAGGGTTCCAACAGAGCACCCATAGCAGCTCCAGCAGCACGCCCCCTGGGGGGTTTTTTCTTCTTTCTTTCTATAATGAAAGGCCATAATGCCTTAGCAACCAGAGCTGTGCATCTCCTCACAGCGGGCAGATCTTTGATGGGAGCAACGCTACAGCTCTTTCTTCCCGTGACACTGGGACACATGAAGTTTTCCTCGAGACAAGAGAGAACATTCTTGAGTGACAAATGTGAGAAGAAACTACATAACATTTTTTTTCCCGTCTCATCCAGACAGCTGGGAACGATTTGACGCAGCCACCAAAACACTCTCCTCCTCCTTCTTGGCGTCTTGCCATTCGTGGTCAAGCCGGAGACGCACCCCGCATTCCACCTTGTGGGCGTGCGCCGTCACACGTCTTTCGTGCAGCCAGCACGTCTTGTTTCTTGTCTCATCGTCATGGTGCTGCAGCACCCTCGTGGTCTGTGGTCTGTGGCTGACCACCCATGACGGAGCCATGTCAGGGCCGCAGGGCGGAACCGTTCTCATGTCACCAACCCACCACATAGGACTTCTTCTACACACCCCCCCTCCCTTCTTCCCCCACCCCAGTGATCCAGCCCTATCCATGGCGTTAAATGCCCTTAGGTCTTGCTGCACCGTCGAATCATTGCAGCACGATCCTCGGGCACCTCTGTTCCGGTACAAGAAACAAGAAGAAACTCGTCATGTTCATGCTGTACGACCGACGATCCCACCAGCCCCAAACGGCGAACTATTTTGGTGGCAGGCCGGAGCCGCTTTTGTGCAGAAGGTGGTGGTTGCAAGAGATAGTATCAACGTCCCACATCCACCAACCCCGGCATTGAAGACGCAAAAAGGGAGTCCCCACTCGGGACGAGCGCGACAATCACACTCCACGCAGCCGTTTCTTTTTGTACATTTATACATAGTACAATCCTGCTATCTTGTTTTCTTTCTTTCTTGTTTCTTTCTTTTCGTCCTGGTTCCACAATTTTGCGACCTTCTTATCATTGAAACCTGTCAGACGTGAGTGAGCCTTCGATTTATTCCATAGCAGTATTACAGTACCATGCAAATAGCGAGTGAATCCATCCCGATCGGGCGAGCCGGAGAGGTCGGATGTTTCTCGGCTTACCACATCGTCGGGACTGGATGATCCAATCCTTCGTTTGGGGCATGTCAATCAACTTGTCTCAAGGCAGAAAAAAAGGCACGATGGCTCCAGGAAGGCTACAGACTCGAGATGCTGCTGATCTCGACATCATCGTCTTGGTCAGCGTAGTGCTCACCTTGGCGTGATGGACCAGTCTTGCATCCGACCCAGATGACCCCGCGCCGTCATTCAGCACCGCTGACCTTGCCCTCCTGAGCCAAAAGCTCCAGAGCTCAGCTCAGCTCCACACAGCCACAGACGTTGTGTTGATTCAACATTGTTATATCTATTGGACGGTTACCGGCTCCTCTCTTTCTCTTCTCAGCCTGGATGGGAGAATAGTCTAGCTGGTCCGCCAATGCCTTTGACCAGCCGCGCTTGCCAGTTAACCTGACCACCCTCTCCTTCATCTGGTCCCATGCTCTGAAAACCGGAGAACGTCGGTCGAGTGATGAGTGTGAAGTAAGCAAGCATGCCCGTCACACCCTCTTTTCACAGATTCATGCAAAATCGGCGTGCCAGGGCCTGGATGGTCTTTGCTCCTGCCCGAGCATCCGCGCGGATCCCGTAGGCCCGGATTGAAGGATGAACAGCGAAAAAGAAAAAGAAAAGGCTGCATCAAACCCCTGAGATCTAGATTTGAATCCCGCGCCTTGCTGCATGCATGACATCAGATCCTGCTGCACTGCACGTCGGTGCCCCCCCCCCCCTCCCTCCTCTCCTCTCTATGGATGGGCAAGTAGCCAGCCGTTGTAAGTAGTGCAGCCAAGGGTTTGGACACGACGGGTCCTCTGCATCAAGTATCCCGAGACGTTCTATATTGCCGATGATAGCCATTCCTTCCACCCCGGTCCCATGCAATCGTTCGATTTTCGGACCCCGCATAAACTACCCCAGCGATAGAACTGGATCATTTATCAGGTTATAGGAGCCATGAACCAGAAATATCCAGAAGGAACCCCCACGTAATATGCTGCATCCATCGTTCGCTCGGTTGGGAACAAGACAGTTATTGAAGCAGCGCCTTTACGCGAGCGCTGGGGGATGTCGTCTGCCAACTAAGTGAGGATGCCACCTCATCAGCGTGTTGTGTGTGCGCATGCGCGCGCTCGCTACCTTTCAAGGCCATGCCATGCTGTTGCGTGCGTGCGTGCGTGCGTGCGTGCGTGTATGCGTGTATGCGATCTCAAAGCAGCTGGGGAAGAGGGGGGCCAAGCGATCAATCAGGCTTTGGCAGCGACATCCTTCCTCTTGATGCCGACCACAACCAAGTTCCTCGGGCTCTCCTTGTAGTCAAAGACTGACTCTACCCAGCAGTCCTGGACAACATCTGCGTGCTCCCTCAGGAAAAGCCAGCGGTCCGTGACGATCAGAGACTCGACCACGCACGCGCTGAACGCCATAAGGCTCCACACGGCGCTGAGCTCCCTCTTCCTGCCCTCGTACGCCCTGACGTACCCGCCAATCTCCTCGTCCGTGAGAGTACCCATTTTGTCCTGTATGACTTGGCTGTATTGAGTGTAATCACCGTGTGTAGTCAGCTTCTTGATTGCGCCCCGGACATAGGCATGGAAGGATTTGTAGCAGGTCTTGCCAAGAGAACCGATGATGACTGGATTGGTAGACATGTTGAAAGGGCTGTTCCTGTCGGTCTTGGTGCCGTTGTCCTCCTCCCCCTCCTTCTTGCCCTCCTGTGCGTCGGCGCCTTGCGGGTCCGGCTCGTGGTAGACCTTGGAAATGACGCCCTTGTCAAGGAACAGCTTCTGCAGCACGGCGCGGTAGAAGTGGCGCGTGAAGAAAGAGTCCGACTCCTTGTCGGTCCAGTTCTGGGGTGCTTGGCACGCCATCATCCGCGCCGTGATGTTGAACCGAATGCCCTGTCCGTCGTAGCTCGTGACCCGCTGGCTCATGGGAAAGCCCTGCGGGTCGTGCTTTTCTGACTCCCGTTTCACTCGCCCGTTGATGGCCTGGAGGCTGGGTCTCATGTACGGCAGCTTGTATGTCGGCGGGCCCAGCTTCTCTGTGAGCAGGTTATAGCAGCAGCCAACAATGGCCACGGCCTTGATGCTGGGGTTCAGGATCATAGACCGGATCCCAAAGTGCGAGAGGTTGCCACAGGAGTGAATCGAGATGGCCATCAGCGACAGCTCTTCCCGCTCGTCCTCTGGTATGTCTGCGTCGTGGATCTTGCGTAGGATCTCGGACAGGTCGCCCGTCTCCAGCCGGCCCGTGATGTACTTGATGATCCCCTTGCCCTCCTCAGGACGGTAGATGGTCTTCAGCTCGCTCCGCGGCCTGATGTCCACAGCCTGGATCTGCTCCTCGGTCGGCCTCTCGGCGTTCCTCCGCCTTGCCTTCTCGTCCATCTTCTCGACGGGCGTCTGGCTGTCGACCAGGCTCTGCCATACCTTCTTGTTCCGCATGACCTTCTCGGGCTCCGCGAGGCCGGCAAACACATCGAGCACCCGGGCCCCTTCCTGGTTGTTTTCCCGGCCCTCCACCGCGACGATATTCTTGCTGTACGGCGCGGAGGCCAGCGTCCGCCCAAGATAGTTCTGCCCGCTCCCAAAGTCGATAAAGTGCGTCATCTCGGTACCCGCGAGCTGCGCAATATCCGCGGACAGGCGATCCACATAGTCCGCAAAGTGTGTCACCTCGTGCACCTTTTTCACGTTCATCCCGACCGAAACCTGCCTCGGTAAGACGGGCAGCTTTGGCTTGACGGGCGTGAAGGCCCGAGAGAGCGAGAGCCTTCTCACGTCACGGATATATTGGCGGAGAGTCTCTGGCGGGTCTGGCCATCGACGGGCCGAGGGAGGGGCGTCCAGGTCGTCCCGCATGAGGAGGTCCAAAAGGTCCATGGGGTCGCATCTCATAAGAAATGACTGCCAGTCCTCTGGTAAAACCCACTGGAAGAGCCCGGGCTCGTTGGTGAAGAAGTCCAGGATGTGGACTCCTCCACATAGGATCTGGAAGGCATCGCTGGTCGAGGCGAAATGGAGCAGGGACTCGACATACTCGTCTGTTGTGCTGAACTCGTCAGAGATCGGCAGTGGTCTCTGCGGTGGCATCTTCTAGAGATGAAATTATGCCGGGGGGGATCTGTGGTATGAATGCCATGAAGGCCTTCTGAAGAATTTCGACTTGGGCCTCAAATTTGATAGCGGCATGTATAGGGTTACTGTTACTGCACTACCGCAGCGCACGGCTCAGGGTCTGGGGTTCTAGGGTCTAGGGTTCGAGGCTCCGGGGTTTCGCAGTTGCTGGACCACTTTGCTCTTCTCACCCTTCAAATCCTATTTCTCTTATTATATTTAGGCTTGAAGCTCTAGCTATAGCAGAATAGCTCATATAATCAAGTTTAACAGTATTAAAACTTATGACCAATCTCGGATCACGAAAACGCATGACATCCTGTTGATTATCTTGTCAAAATGCTGGTCTACAGGTTGGTCGCAGGTGTCGATTAATTACACCTGCTTGTACATATCAAGCATCAATGAACTTGGGTTGGCGAAACCAGAGGTCCTCGATAGAAGTTATTTCGAAACGTTGCTGTGATTCTAAAAAAAAAAAAAAAGGAACTGTCAGTGTTTCCCCTACAAGTTTGACTCGTTCCGCCTGGCTTGCTGTTCTTGAGCAGCACTGGCATCCATGGATCACGATATACTTCTTACTTGTATATAACACGGGCCCGTCACGTGATCCCCACTGTTCCTTCGGATACAAAGTCCTTGGTTGCTTTCTAAACGTTCGTTCATCTTCTTATTTTCCAGTTCCTCTGGCTATCTTGGTAAAGGAATGATCCGACTCAGATCCCCCGGAGGCTACGTGGGTCTGAAATGCGACATTGGACGGCTAACAAGGGTCAAACCCAGCGAGCCCTGCTTTACGGCCTTTGCAGAAGTGCCGGAAAACACCGCGCAGGAAATACCAACCCAAATGCCGTGTCCTCCGCTACTAATAGCAGTACCGCCGACGGCTACGAAGATTTCAAACGCACTAGAGAGCGAGAATGCCGCGATAGGTGGAGATAGAGGTGGAGTAAAAAAGAGTGTTGGGGAAAAAGAAGGAAATGAGGGTGGAAAAAGGTGTACATAGTATAGTCACAGAATTAGAAACGAAACGTGGAGGCGTTCGTGTGGCTGGATAATTATGCCCATCATTTCATTAGCTAGTTTCATACCCGATAACTCCATGCATAATTTAAAGCGGTTTTCAATGTGAGTCCATCCCATTGCCATGTCCTCGGTCTTCTGTCCCCGTCGTCGTCGTTGTCGTCGTCGTCATCATCATTAGGCTTTTTATGTCAAGAAGACCGAGTAGATATGTAGCCCTTTCCCACCACTTTTGATGTTGGACGGGAACGATCGCCCCTACCAGTGACCTCATGGAATTGTCCTCATACCGACCGCGCCTCTGATCCGAGCATTACCAGGCTTAGCTGCTGGAGGCGAGCTTCTCCGAAAAGGCGATATCTTGCATCGTGTAGTTGGTGAGCTTCTGGGCCAGCTCCGCATCGGTGATGTTGCTGCTGCCGTCACGACCAAACAGAGTATTGGGGGACCGCTTGCGCATGTCAATGCCGTTGCTCTCATCGCCACAGCCCATGTACTGGAAGTAGTATTCGTGCGCATCGGCGTCAAAGCCAGTCGTGCCGGCGTTGCAACTGGTGTTTGCGTTGCCTACGCAGACATCAATTCCGTCAATGGTGTAGTCGATGTTGGTGGCGGGACCGGCGGCGAGCCAGAACTCGGGGCTCGTGTGGTAGTAGCCAAGCACGATGGGTGGCAGGCGCGGCACGGGGTCATCGTAATGGGTAGCCCGGTATTCAGCGCCATCCTGGGCGGTCACAAACTCGGCCCATGCCAGGTTGCCGATGCGGGGGGAGCCGACAGTGTAGATATCACAAGGGTAGCTTTGAATAGTTCCGTCAGCACGGTACTATGTGGACGTCTCACATGAGTCCTTTTGTGTGTTGGTTTTACTCACCCGTCGATTCTGAACTGCACACCCGCGAGGGTGGCGACGGCGGCGCCCAGGGAGTGACCTGTGATGACGAGGGTATAGTCTGGGTACGTCTCGTACGCCGCCTCGACGTACCCGACGGCATAGGTCTGAATTTCCTTCCAGGATTCGTAGAATCCATCGTGGACATAGCAGCCAGTGCAATCCGAGTACGCAACCTCAATGAAGTCGAAGTCTGCAATCCAGTTGCGCAGGTCAGATGAGCCACGGAATGCGACCACAATTTCTTCGCGGGTGGGGTCGACGGCCACATAGCCTTCCAGGTCGAAGGTGGTGGTGGTGCTGGAGTCGCAAATATTAGCATCTGGGCTCTCTGATGTCAAGGAGCATAAAGTCCTCGGGGGCTAAGGAAAGACTCACGGCATGGTACCGACGATGGTGGCACCATTCGCCGTGACATTAGGACACCCAGAGTCACCGCAGGATACGAGTGTGCCCACAGCATCTTCGCTGTCGCAGTACGCAGACGCAGCATACTGCACGTAGTACTTCATGTTTTCGTAACTCGTCTCGTCCAGGACGGCGGAGTCTGTGTATAATCACAATTAGGTTCAAGATAGCCTTCAACGGAGAGGTTGAGTCCAAGCTCTACTTACCACGAGCCTGAAGAGGCGAGGCTGCCACCAGGCCAGAGGCCAGGGAAAGTGAGGAGGCGACCGACAGTCTCATCTTGTCTGTCTGGCTGGCTAGCAGGCTGGCAGGCTGGCTGGGCTAAAGACCGTGTGCAGAAAGGGAGCGGATGAAGGCCAAACACATCCGGACTCAACTGGCGCGAGACACCACCGTGAGGTGAGGCTTGATATACTAATGAACCTCGCGGGGAATGGGGACCAGGACAGCCTGTATTATACCGGGTGGATCACGAAGTTGTTGGGATGCCGTTACTACTACAAGGAATGTGTGACCACGATGATCCACCTTTGTAGCCATCGGCGCCCCCACACCCTCCCAACGTCGTTCTTCACTCCAACACGGATGAACTACGTCGGGTGTCAACCAGAAAGCAGGAAGACGGGTCCGAGAAGGAGGTCTCGTGGCAAGGGAGGGTAGCATAGGTAGGTCTTGACAGGGGCCAGCTGATGCGGTTCCATCCCGAAGTCGATCCCCGGTCGACTTTCCCCAGGATCTGCCATACAAATCGCCGTAGTGCAATAGTAGTAAGCATGACTTAGGCAGTACGCAGTACTAGTAGCCTCGCCTTACTAAGTCATGTGCTGAGTGGGAGGATCCTGCCTGGCATCCTGCCTGGCAGGATGCGGCTGATGGGAGGGCCGCACAGCGACTGCGCATCGCTCCGTCTCTGGGCTCTCTATTGATGAAGGAGAGCGCGGCCACAGCCTCACGAGGTGAATGCACCCCATCACCGGACTTTTTCGACACTGTAAAAAATTACCCGAGTCGGGACCTCATTTTAATGTGGTATTTGCTTGGGCACACATCATCGTGACCACCGATGTTCTCATGCTGGGGCCATAGCCCTGGAGCTTGTGGGCCGGGGTTGATACCCGGTTGTGGTATCCTATTCGGCAGCAACGTCCCCGGGCCCTCCCAGCAACACGGCCAGCGGTAAAGCAGCCTGAATCGGTGGTGATACAACATAGCCTGTCCAGCCAGTCATATGTTCGGGCGGAGAGCACATGCAGGATCCATGGGTTCGATGGCGGGCAGAAAATAAAAAGTTAACCAACCAGCCTGGCGATTCAGACGCGAGAAGAAAGGAGGGGGGACCGATTGGATGGGTGCCTTGGCAGCGGCAGGTCGGCAGTCCTGGCTGGCTGTAGCCAGGATTGTGATCGCGATCACGCTGGCGGTTCCCTCAGTTTCTCTGTAGAGGGGGAAGGGGAAAAGTACCATAGCTGCAACACCTCCAGTCAAGAAACCCCCACTTCGGACGCCGGACAATCATGCTCGGTCCATCTAGTCGCGGGCTGCTGTCTGTGCTGAGGGTGTCAATTGGGTTAATTGGAGTCAGGCTTGCTGTTCAGACAAGCGGCAGACCCACCGAGAACTCGTGGGCGCGTGGAGGCATTGATCGTCACCTCAAGAACTGGGGGAGCTGTGCGGGTGCAGATGCATAGCCTCGGGCCGTTATCCATATCCAGGGGGCCCTGCGGCATTTTTCCTGCAGGTCCCAAGAGACGCAACGGAAAAGCACCAATGCTACCTCCCCAGACCATGACCGAGACAGAGAGACGGCGGCACTCGTGTAGCCGTCGACGTCGACGCCCTTCTCCTCATCTTGATCCAAGCTGTCACGATGCTGCTGAAAACCAAGTTTTCCAACAAGTCCAAGGCCGGATTTGGATATGGTCTTTGTTAGATTGGGTTGGCCAGTGTATAGTCTCGGCTTGAGTCGAGGGATTGAGCCATGGTCCAAGGGACAGCCTGGTCAAGGGCGAGGATGAAGTCGTGCCTAGGTTGCACTGCAGCTTGGCAGGACGGAGCTGTATTGCAGATTGGGGAGAGGAACTGTCTAAACTTGGCAGGAGAATGGGGGGTGAGCAAGGCTGGTGCCATAGCTTTGTCCTCGTGGTGTTGTGGTGTTGTGGTTCTGAGGAAGAGAAAGGCCGCCATTGAGGAATCATAGCCAATTGAAAATTCCCCATCTTGTGGAGATTAGTGTGGCCTTTGGGTTTATGCCATTGGAAAGAGCACCACAATGTGGCAGGGGGCAGACGCAAGCCACCATAACCGTGGCCTTGTTCCTTCCGGCTTCAGCACCTTCCATGGCTTGATCTGGGCACACCTGGCCCCTCACCCCATGTTACTGCAGCCCATGATCTTGCCAATCTCGTCACTTTGGAAGTCGGTCTGCCCAACATTTTCGGCACCCCAGCTTCCACCTTGTCTGACATTGCCCTAATAGGACCAATAGTCATTTCTTCTCCCATGCTCATCCAATTTCGTCTGGTATTTTTATCCCTCTGTCTGCTGATATCAGCTTTTACAAAGGGAGAAGACTCGGCCGAACGGGATCTCTGATGAAAATTGATAGAGATCTCGAGGAAATTTTAGAACCCCTGCACGATAACGTCGCCCGGCAGTGGTCGTCCACGACGCCCCTCTGTTTTTGAAAACCCGAACCTACCACTCCGTACACGCAACACCCGACCGAACCAGCTGCTTCTGGAAGGCCACAGGATCTATCGGCAGGACCTTTGCTATATTTCAGTGTTCCTGCCCGCTCTTGCACACCTTTGTTGTCTACAAGGCTATCACGGCATTTCTCGGTCTCCCCCCCCCCCCACCCAACCCAAGGTTATCTCTCAATGAACCGAGATATTTATCCATGACATGCAAGAAAGGGGCCGTTGGAGGGAACAAGTGCTCCGTATCTGGGCCTGCTGGGTTTGCATCTTAAGTATGATGGCTGAGGGGGCGAAAGGGGTCGAGAAAGACAGACCCGAAAAGCACAGAGGCAGAGAGTTGGTTGCCTTCTTCCCGTGATCCTCTGGGGGCCTTTCATTTAACCCTGGTTAATTTCTATCTTCTCAACACCCGTGCGATCTCCATCAGCAATCTCCGGCCTGTTTGTGGGGCTTCTTCGACATCGTCATGGACAGACTCACCGTTGACTCTTGAGGTTGCCTGGCCAAGTGCATCACGAAATTGTCGATCGCATGAAAATTAAGCGTGCAAGAGGGTCTAATGAATCTTCATCCTGGATAGTTTTGCGATTTATTGAACCTTGGTGAGGTCTTATGGGACTATTCTGGCAAGGCCGTACCCTATGTTGTTATTTATTACTTAACATGGCGAGGGGGACGACCTGAGGATCGGCACCAGAATACTATGAAGTGATCTGCGTACGGGACCTCGAAAGGTAAGTGTCAGCTGCGTAGGCTGACAGCTTCTTTAAGATTCTCTTCATGCAGGCTGCGCAACATGGCGCTCAGGAACCGTGGTTCTCGACGCTCTAGCTGTGAAGGCCAGCAGCAGCACCTTGTTCAGAGTCGTATCGACCTCCCGGGTTCTCTTGGCGCCAGGCGTCCAGCTGCCCATCCTCTTCTGCTTTCGAAAGCGGCTATTCAGCAGCCCTTGGTTTGGTTGCATCCGCTACTCCAAAGCTGGTATGCTTTGCTTATCGCTCTTCCTCGCCGTTACGCCTACTATGGTGCGTGCGCATTCCACGTGTGGGTGAATCACGGCACTACTGTTGACTCCACTGGTGATGCGGGAGAGTGGGATATGCATTCCCACCTTACTATTTGGTTCCGAGGCCCCCAAGGCACGGTCACCTTGCTGAGCACAGCTCATATGACCTGCCAGTGTCAGTCAAGACGTTAACTAGAGCTACCTGGTTTGGCCTTTGGTCCGGCCGGCCTCCATCACGGGCTCACCCAGGTACTATAGTCAAGTATGTTACTATACAGACTTCACAGCACGGGATCTCCCCGGTATGTGGCGCCGCTAGAAGAAGGGGCGGGGCACAGTGAGAATGGAGCCCGGCGATCTCAGGATACACAGACCTCTCAAGGGGCCTGGCAAGCACATGTCATGGCAGCAAAGCGGGCCACCCTCGACTCCTCCTCGGAACCCGGGTGTCCATCGATCTCTCAGGTCTCTTATGTATAAGTACATTCGGCCGAGGAAATACTGCTGCCTCCGGGCCGCGTCTCGATGTCTCCTGAAATCCTGTTGACAGACATCAAAGGACCATCAAGTAAGTGGTGATCGAGTCGCGAGGTAATCGGGCAGGCAGTCCTCTCTTTACAATCCCCCTACCCCGTCTTCGTTGCCGATCACGATGGCACCATCCACGAGCGCTGGTCTACACGGCCTTCTAGCTGCGAGCCTGTTCACTGCGGCCTCGTCAGCCGACAGTGTCAGTCCTCGAGATGCCGTCCCATCGGGCTTCGTCGCTGCCCCTTACTACCCGGCACCCTATACGGGATGGATCGCAAATTGGACCGAGAGCGTGGAAAAGGCCAAGGCCTTGGTAGATACTATGACCTTGGCTGAGAAGGCAAACATCACGGCCGGTACTGGTATCTATATGGGTAAGCTCTATCCTCTATTTTCCCTATAAATCCTCGTACGGAGCGCCTGCTGACCAAGTTGCAGAGTAAGCACGTTCCATGACTGTACCTTATGATAGATTCCCGAGTACTAAATTATAGTTTCTAGTGTCTGCGTGGGCATGACCGGAAGTGCACCTCGAGTTGGCTTCCCGCAACTCTGCCTTCAAGACTCCGCCCTTGGCGTCCGCGATACCGATAACATCACAGCCTTTCCAGCAGGCGTCACGACAGGCGCGACCTGGGATAAGGACTTGATCTACCAACGAGGAGTGGCTATTGGCGAGGAATTTCGTGGCAAGGGTGCCAATGTCTATCTGGGCCCTGTTGTTGCTCCTCTGGGCCGGAAACCCCGTGATGGTCGTAGCTGGGAAGGCTTCGGAGCGGATCCCGTTCTATCAGGCAAAGGCGCCGCCCTAACGATCCAAGGGTGCGTCTCTCCAGTCGTCATAACACTATTTTTGACTTTGTGACTACACGTGCCCGACAGACGAGTTGGAAGCTGACCTCATCCACCTCACAGTGTCCAGGAACAGGGCGTGATGGCGACGATTAAACACCTGATTGGATATGAGCAGGAGATGTGGCGGGAGTACAACATCATCCAGCCGGGCTACTCGGCCAACATCGGTACGTTTCTGTTCTCACTGAGCAACTGCCTGTGTCTCTTTTTCAGGAGCTAATACAAGCTGTGGTATATAGACGACCGGACAATGCATGAGCTGTACCTGTGGCCCTTCGCGGAAGCAGTCCGCGCTGGCGTTGTCTCGGCCATGGCGGCCTACAACGCTGTGAATGGTTCCGCCTGCAGCCAGAACAGCTATCTGATCAACAACCTCTTCAAAGACGAACTTGGCTTTCAAGGGTTCATCATGTCTGACTGGCTGGCGCAGATGTCTGGGGTCGCCTCCGCCCTGGCAGGCCTGGACATGGGCATGCCTGGCGATACTATCATTCCTCTGCTCGGATACTCGTATTGGATGTACGAGATGACAACAGCTGTCTTGAACGGTTCCACACCCGTCGACCGTCTGGACGATGCAGCTGTCCGGATCGTCGCCGCTTGGTACCAAATGGGACAAGAGTCAGTTTTCACCTCTCAAGTTTTTTTTCCCCTTCCAAATCTCAGATCGATCTAATGGGTGTTGTTATAGCAATGATTATCCCGAGCCCAACTTCTCATCCTACTCAACAGATGCCGTTGGCCTTCTTCACCCTGGTGCGCTGAGTGGACCCACTGGGGTGATTAACCAGTTCGTGGACGTACGCGGAGACCATGCTGTCGTCGCTCGAGAGGTTGCCCGAGACGGTATTACCATGCTGAAGAACGATGACAATCTCCTCCCACTCTCGACCGATACTCCTCTGTTCCTCTTCGGTACGGATCAAGCGGTCAATCCAGACGGTCCCAATGCCTGCGTTGACAGGTCCTGCGACACTGGAACCCTCGGAATGGGCTGGGGCAGCGGCACTGCCCGTTATGAAACTTTCAACGACCCACTCACTGCAATCCAGGCCAACGCCACGAATGTTACCTCCTTCAACACTGACTCGTTCCCGAGCGACGTTGGGACCGTGACTGATGACGACGTTGCTATTGTCTTTATCACCTCCGACTCTGGTGAGAACTCATACACGGTGGAAGGAAACGCCGGCGACCGATCCAGCTCGGGTCTGGTCGCGTGGTACGACGGCGATGAGCTCGTCGAGGCTGCCGCGGCCAAATTTAGCAACGTTATCGTTGTGGTCCACACTGTCGCCCCCATCATTGTCGAGCCGTGGTATGACCTGGATTCCGTCAAGGCGATTCTCTTTGCGCACCTACCCGGTCAGGAGGCTGGGTACTCCCTGACAGATGTCCTGTTCGGCGCCGTGTCTCCCAGCGGCCACCTGCCCTATACTATTCCTGTTGCGGAGGATGACTATCCATCCTCTGTCAGCTTGACTGGCTTTGCGTTTGGACAGATCCAGGACACGTACACGGAAGGACTGTGAGTTTTTCTAAACAAGGATTGGCAAGGCCCATAACGAATCACTGACCGTTCTTGTTAGTTACATCGATTACCGCTATCTCAACAAGGTCGGCACCAAGCCTCGCTACGCCTTCGGCCACGGACTCTCTTACACCAACTTCACCTACACCAATGCCACTATCACAAAGGTAACCCAGCTCACCACCCTGCCGGCCAGCCGCACCGCCAAGTCCGGCCTGCCCTCCTATAATACCACCATCCCCCCGGCGTCCGAGGCATACAAGCCCGCAGACTATGACGAGATCTACGTCGACCGTTACCTGTACCCTTGGCTGTCCGACGACGATGCTGCAGCCGCCGCGGCGACCGGCGAAGCCGTTGCTGCTGGCACGAATTCCGGATATGACTATCCGGAGGGTTACAGCACCACCCAGACCGCCGGACCCGCCGCCGGAGGCGGTCTGGGTGGCAACCCAGCGCTGTTCGAGACGGCCTACACCATCAGCGTGGTCGTTACCAACGTCGGCTCCGGCTCGACCGTTGAATCGCCGCTCTCTAACTCGACCAAGCGGGCAACGACCGGCTACAGTGGCAAGGCTGTGGCGCAGGCCTACGTGCAGTATCCTGACAGCGACTACGACACACCCATTATCCAGCTGCGCGACTTCGAGAAGACCGACACCCTCGCCGTGGGCGAGAGCCAGACGGTGGAGCTGACCTTCACAAGGAAGGATGTCTCGGTGTGGGACGTTGTCGAGCAGAACTGGGTGGTTCCTGTCGTGGATGGCGCCTACAAGTTCTGGATTGGAGAGGCAAGCGATGCGCTTTATCTGGCGTGCGGTGCCGATACCCTCACTTGCGAGGAGGATCAGACGCCACCTGTGTAAACCAGGCAGAGTGGACTATGTTTCTCTACTTGTCGCTTTCAATATTTCATGTAGCATACTTTTTATTTCAAAGATAGGGTTTATTGTCTAATCTACTATTACAGCGACTCAGAATCCCAAGTCTTCGATGTAGTAGCCAACATTTCATGAAGTCGTACTGATCCTTTGCTCGTCCTAGTTGATGTTTTGGCGTGCTTAGTGTCGAATGGTTCAGAACCAGTAAAGTTAACGAAAGACGAAACGCAAATACAAGTGGACCATGGCTTGACCTTTTTGTACTGTAGAATTTTGTACATGAAGCAGAGTCCTTTGCCTGCTGCCGCCGTCTATGACCCTCCGGGACTTGACAGCCCTGTCCAACCCGTCTGCTCCCAATATCTCCCTTGGCGGGAGGGCAAAAATACCATCTCGCAGGCGTATGATTGCATGTCCGCACAATTCAGACGACCGGCTCCATGCCTCCCAAGCCTTCCCGTACTCTCGGCTTTTGATGCTCCAATGGTAATCTGGCATAAATTTCTGCTGTCCCAGCTCCGCCCTATAACCAGCCCCGCCAACAGGCTGTACATTTTGAACAGCAAGCAACATCCCCGTCACCAATCCAGCCCAAGCCAGGAAGCAAAGGAACCATCTTTTAGGCGCTCAACATCTTCCTCCGCTTGCTCAACCTCCTCTGCAGCATCTTCCGCCCATTCTTGGTCCGCACGCGGCTCAGGAACCCGTGCCGCCGCTGCCTGATGAGCCGCGACGGCCGGTTCATGTTCATGTACCGCCGCGGTCCGCACCGGATCTGGGTCTGCAGGAGGGCCGGGTGTGTCGTGATCGCCGACGTCGGCACGACGTCTGCCGCTATCGTCGTCGTCGTCGTCGCTGTAGGTGCGGCGGGTGTGAAGGCTCCCTGGAGGAGGGACGAGAGGACCGTTGGTCGCCTGCTGCCAAAGGCAGAAGCGGGCTGGGAGGTGGATGGGCGTAGAGCCGGGAGGGAGGAGAAGGTCCTGGAGGGGGGAAAGTAAAGCCTGTTAGTGCTGGCGCTTTTATAGAACAATTGGGTTGATACGAACCTTGTGGGGCCAGCGGGCTGCGTCGCGGCGTCGTGGAGGACTGCGCGGACGGCGGACCGCGCGAGCAGGAGGCGCGACATCGTCGCTGTGTGCGTGGACCCTGCTTGGGAGTCGAGTGGGGGGAAAGAGTGTATTTGGGTGAGAAGAGAGATTGTGTGCTTTCGACTGTCGTCTCGTGGGAGCACTTGGAAGTCTGCCTTTCTCGTCGTGGGGTTGGGGATCGGGCAATTCCGTCGTTGGAGCTTGGTGGTTTACGATGACCCGCGAAATTCTACAGCTCCAAGACCCTAACCCTTACAGTTCCTCCGGGAGTCTGTGTTGGGACCGCAATGGAAACACGAAACCATGGACCTCACCTAAATCAGAAGCATTCCTCTTTACGTTTAGTAGAGAATATAGGGAGAGACTCTAAGAAATCTTGTTTTCAAAATTTCTTTCTTCTATCAATAATCAGAGAAACAAGCGATCGTTTGCCAAGTGTTGAGCAACAGTGCAGGTAGCCTATGTATTACACTTGGCCCTGAAGCCGGAATGGAAAGTCGAATGAGCACCAGTTCACGCGGTGATGCATCTTGGTATATAAACAATTCCATAATTCAATCTTTCCAGTTGATTTGCGCTAGATGATCTCATAGTCCTCTTGCGAGTAGACCTAGACAGAGACTTACAACTCATCCCTCCCCGTTGCCTTCGCGACACCATCCTTCTCTTCCACAGCCACCTTCTCGGTGGGCTGCCAATCAAGAGCCTTGAGCCTCTCGGTCAAGATGGGGTGCGAAAAGTGGTAGCTAGCAAACATCCAGTCGGCATCCATAGTGCTGAGGTTCTGCACCTGCAGCTTGATGAGCGACTTGGCCAGATCCGCCGAGTATCCCAGGTTGCGTGCAAAGGCATCAGCCTGAAACTCGTAACGACGACTAAGAATATTCATGCCCAGCTTGATTAACACGTCCATAGGCGCGAGGACATCAGAGAACAAGATGAAGCCGATGATGATGGGCCGCGTGGCCGTGAAGCCGAAATCTGCATACAAAGACTGGTTGTTGATGAAGACGGAGAACAGAGAGAAGATATAGAAGAAGTGGAACTGAAATGTTGTTAGTTTTCCCACCGACAGTACGGAGATGAATGGGGCACAACAACACATACCTGAGAAATGCCAAAGAGTCTCGTGGTGTGACCCAAACTCCAGTGGCCCAATTCGTGGGCAAGCACAGCAGTAACCTCCTGAGTGTCGCTCTTCTCGATCAGGGTGTCATAGATGACAATATGCTTCTTCCAAGGCATGCCGAAAAAGTAGGCGTTGCTGTGTGCACTCCGCTTGCTGCCGTCAATGACATACAGCTCGGTCAGAGGGAACTTGAGCTTCGCCGAGAGAGCCTCGACATTGTCCTTCAGAGAACCGGGTTCCAGGGGCGTGAGTTTGTTGAACAGGGGTGTGATCACGATTGGCCAAATGGTAATCATAAAGACCTGGAGACCAGCACCGAACAGCCAGAGGTAGTAGAAGAACTGCTTGCCGGTCTTCTGGATGATCGCGAGGAAGGCGGCCAGGATCGGCGGAGTTAGGACAACAGTCAGACCCAGGGACTTGAGCTTGTCCGAGATGAAGAGCTGGGGCGTTTGCTTATTGAAGCCGAACTTCTCCTCGAGGACGAACGTGTGGTAGATAGAAGTCGGCAGGGACAGGATCTGCGAAACAAGTGTGAAGGCCAGGACAAAGACGATCGAGTGCGAGATTTCACCGGTAAAGCGGGCGGGCGCGAAGCGGAGGAGAAGGTGACCGCTCCATGACCACAGCTTGGGGAGGATATCGAAGTGAATGAAGGCAATGTTCTGTATTTGGCTGTAGAGACCGCTGACGAGTTCGTATTTCGCCTTGGCGCGACCGTACGCCTGGCTCTTGTCGTATACTTCTTGCGAGACTTGCTGTTCCAATACCTTTGGTGGTTTGTTCTTCTTCAAGACTTGGTACTGACGCAGGGACAGGAAACCTTCGAACAGATATTGCGCGACTGAGAAACCGATGATGAGCTTCTTCCACGGGAAGAGAGGCCGGTCGAGGAAATTGGCAAGGCGCTGTGGAATAGTCGCATTAGCAAGATGCAACGGATGTGGGGGGGGGGGGTCGAATCCGGGAGGCTCACCTGCAAGAAATCCATCGCGAACCACTGCGCATGTGTCGTGGCCGTCCGAGGAATGAAAGGGAGAAAGAATTTGTTACCACGCCCACATGGCAGGAGGAAAATGAAACGTGTGGAAAGAGAGCAAAAGTGCTCTGATGTTTGAAAGCGCGGACGGAGGACAAGGTGTCTGCTCCACAGCTTACTGTAACATACTATTATGGCATGTAGTACTGGTAGCTGACTGACGGCACAGCTCGGCAGCTGGCATGGACCCTGCCCTCCGTCAGCATTGTTGCTTGCCTGCTTGCCTACATGTGATTGGACCGCAACTGTATAAAGTGGGACCATGTCCTCACAAGAAAATAGCAATAACTGCTTGGTATTGTCCGCCTTGTGCTTTTTGCTATTTGATAATAGATGGACTTCCTCCTTGCAGGGGTTTGGACAATCTGAAGATACTGTCATGAATCGAATTGATCCGACTGCATGGCAAAGTTGTTGAAGCTACACCTATGTATGACACTTACTCCTCCATATTGTCACCTTCTCAATTCACCAACCAGAAAAGGGATAATCAGAACATGAGACCAGCATGCGCAGTCACTTCAGATCAACCACAGAGTCCAGTGAATCATTAACAAAGAAACAGAGGTATTCCTAGGGTATCATAGTCTGCAAAATGGTATTTATAGGAAGAAAATGGGTGAACCGCCCCCTCCTCCCACACCCTCTCCCTTTCCCCATGTCCCGTTCAGACTCTCAGCTTAGCCCCTCTGCTCTAGGGGCTAGTCTTCCGTGGAATTCGCAGATTGGCCTTGATTCGCTCGAGAAGTTGCTCCCTTGTATCACTGTCTTGTGGATGCAAGTTTCGCTAAGTTTGAGGTCAGGAACACCGTTTGTGATATTGACAAAGGAAAGAGGAGCAGAAGGAGAATTGAAATATATCACATACAGCAGCAAGCCATCTTCGCATATCCTCGCGTGTCCAAGAATCTGGTTCTCCAGTTGGGTCGTCTTGCGAGGGAAACAAGTCTCCGCCCCAGATGGACCAGACGCCGACGGCTGTGACCAGGCCCCCGAAGGCTAAAGTTTGACGTGTTAGATGAGCGCAGGTCATGGATTAGAAGGGCCCTGGGCAGACGTACCCAAGAAAAGGTTCTACGCCATCAGAACAAGTGTCAGCTACCGTTGGTTCGGTTTAGGGTTAGGAATGCATAGTAAATAAGCCTACCTTGGACTTCATCGCATTATCTAAGGGAGTTGGCATGTTGGTGATCTTAACGAGAGTACCCGCGCGGCTTGAACGTGGGAAGATAACGAAACGTGTTAGGCTCGGTGAGGGGGCAACTTGAGTTGTGATAACTGGGCTGGGATCCAAGGTTTTTTCACTTGGTAAAGTCGTCAAACAGAGCCCAAATATATGAGAAGATTGCAGTATGAAATAGCCACCTATCCTCAATGCTTGCGTATGAATCAGAGATAAGACGGATGAATTCTCTCGGGCAACAGACAACACGTCTCGCGTGGGCTTGATGGTGACGTCTCCTGAGGTTGATGCACCCATGGCCTGAGGCTTAGATAATTGTACACAGCCACAATTCATGTGGCACCAGCCACGCAGATCGTGGAGCTAGTACCCACGTACCGACAGGACCCCTGCACCTCAGTCAGTTTCTGCGGGGAATGGCAGGTAAGATTGACTCCCACACAAAAATCTCAACCTCCACCAAAATTCGAACCAATTCGGAGGACGACGACAAAGTACCAGCCATCACACACCCACCCTGTCCAAATAATCCACACAACCAATCCGTCAAAATGGCCAAGGAAGTCAGCGACATCAAGAAGGTAAGATTTGGAGCTATAGGATCTGTTTCTTTCCTCATTTCAAAAGTGCAATTGACTGACGAAAACAAACCAGTTCATCGAGATCTGCCGGCGCAAGGACGCTTCCTGTACGTTTCACCCAGCGAAGACGATTCGAATTACCACGAACCCTATTTAAAAGTCGCCCATCTAACTCTACACTTCTCTACAGCCGCCCGGATCAAGAAGAACAAGAAGGCCTCCCTGATCAAGTTCAAGGTCCGATGCTCGAAGCACCTCTACACCCTGGCCCTGAAGGACACCGAGAAGGCCGAGAAGCTCAAGCAGTCTCTTCCTCCCAGTAGGCCCCCCGACCACCTTCGAAATCCCTCTTGGATAGAATCCAGCTAAACAACCACAAAATAAACAGACCTGCAGATCAAGGAGGTGTCCAAGCGTGAGCGCAAGGCCAAGTCCGCTTAAGTCAGTTTCGCGCGGCTAGGTGTGGTTTCAACGGTTGATGACATTTTCTTGCGAGAGTTTTGAGCAAGCAATACACGATGGCAACACTGTCAAAAGGCAAGGGCCATCACGTCCACGTTTCGGACGGAGGGGACTCAGTATTGGGCGTCTAGGGAATACCTTGCAATTGAAGCTCACGGAAGCCAGAAACGGCTGTCTCAAGATTTTTTATGGACCCCTTTCTATGAGTGGCCTGTGACATGGTGCATATGCGAAAAGAGCAACAGGAATGGAGGTGGGGCCGAGCATGAGTTTAACGATCCAGCGACGATTGAATTCTAGCGACGGTGTCGCCTTTCAAAACCTACGATCAATGCTGTCAACCCTCCGGACTTGGTCAAGGTGTCACGCTTCTCATATTGCACCTCGGTCTAGACACCCAGCCACTCCAGTTTGAAAAGGACCGAATTCGAATGTCCGACCTGCTCAACCATCTTACACGACCTTCTGATAGCGAACGACTTCTCAAACATTTGCAGACACCCTCGCAGATTCCACTGAACAACCTTGGATGTTTCCAATTGTCTAGCATAAGATGGCATCTGACATTATGTCAGTGACTATTTGATCAATCGCTCACCCCTCGGCGATCTAGACACGCCAGCCTCCAGATACCACGTGATATTTAGCACTCTTGCGCATCAATAGCGGCGCGACTATATCAGTGCGAGTCCTGTCTACCTGTCTATATGGACCAGATCATTTCATTTGTACTGGGGATGGCCATTCCTGCAGTGCTCGTATAGGTTATGGGCCCTTCGTCTCTAATTCATTAAATATGTGTGAGCAGTTCACAACCGAAAGTCACAAAGTAGAGGACTAGCACCTCGTACCTTTCATATTCACCGGCCATGGTTCGAGACGGCACCACTACAACCAACCACGGTTTGCGGAACAGCATCTTCACCAGCCATAGTACAAAACAGCAACACATACAACCGGCTACAGCACGAAACGGCGTTGCATTGCGGTCACTACTAGCCTCGCATGAATTATCTCTACTGCTCCTATGGGGCAGGCTTGTAGAACTACGGACGGTGTGCGAGCTCTATCTACTTGTCTACTTTATATAGATTTCTAGCTTGCACTGGAGATAGCTATACTTTTAGTGCTCGTATACAATCTGACAGGGAGGAGCGTAACTCAGCGCCAGCTAGACGGCCGCGTGATCGACTAAGCTGGCAAGCATCTGAATCTACATGATCTTGCAATCATATTCTTGCGACGGAAAATCATTTCTTTATTCAGGCCTACAGCACGCCTCTTTTCCCACGTGTTTCTTCCGTGGCAGGCTACTGCCACAGCTTCATCTACACTAGTGGCAGAGTATAGTAGAGGCTGCTGGCATTTTCTTCTGGCAGCTTCATCAACTTGACCACGACGACGATCTAAAATCACGGTAAAGAAACATCTCTTTAGCTTCATCGATAGCTTTTTATGCCGTACATGCAACCATCGAATCTCGTCGACCGGTGATGTGGATACTAAAGTCTCAAACGGAATTGATCCTGTGGTCTCAATATTGGAACTGCACTCTCTACTATGAATCATCCAGACCGGTGTAGACGTAGCCGTTGTGTGACACAATCATTCTGAAATGTCCCTGCAAGAGATGACCACGTCGTTCGGACAGAAGTTTTATGTATCATATAGGCCACCGACCAACGGCCTAGTTCGAAACTCGGACTTGACACGCAAGTCTTTCTTGAAAAGTTTGGAAAGGTCAGCAGAAAGATTACTGAGGGATTGCAGATATCTATATACTGATCACCTAGCTATAAAGCTTTTTCTTGAAAGGAATAAATCAGAAGTTTAACGCAAACTTCCTGTGTCTAGGCGAAACGATCACAACATGCTATGATTAGCTATAATTGCTCTAAGAAATATACAAGATCTTCTGCTATGCTGCTTACCTTTCTATAGTACATATCACACCCGTCATCACAGATACAATTAGAGAGCCACAGCCATGACGAGGACTGCAGTGTCCGACGAGGAACTCTATCGTGATCCACTCCCGGGGCTCCTTCCTGGAGCCAGAGCAGACCTGAGTGATGAGCGCCAGGTCTTAAAGCAGTATGGTTGGCATTACCGTTGATCTTGTCTGTAAGTATTTTCTCTCGACTTGTACAAACATCATCTTCAATGTGGCTCTGTTGGAAACGACCCATCACGTATTGACATCTTGCTCGGTCAGTGCCCGCATACATCTGGGTTGTTCGTCTAGGGTGAATAGGTCACGATGCCCCCACGCCAAGCAAGTCGCCAAGATGCCACGCCTGCGGGAAGTTGAGCCGCAACCGTTATATACGACAGCAGGCTTTGTTTTGGGCACCATGGTGTGGTAAACACAGCCCATAGCATGATAAAGTTTTGACCGTGATGGTCAAATTCTGACCATGACAAAGGTTGACCGTGCGCCAACCTTGCGAGCTACTTAGTATTCATGGTAAATAACATAACAGAAAGAAACTGTCAAACAGATTCTCACGGAGCTCCCTCAGGTGCCGAAGTACAAGCCACCCGAGTGTATGCCCTTGGAACCTACTTCAACGTTTCAAGACTAAGACCGGATTGCATCTTTCACAATAGACGATCCAGGTCCATGGACATCTGTCCAGGCCTATGGTGGGTAGAGAAAGATCTCGGGACAGACTCTGCCGCGAGGGCGGCCTCTCATGCCATGCGTCGTGGTGGCTCACCTGATTTACCGACCTATCGTGGAAGAACGGTGCCGGAGACAATGCCTCGCGAAGTTGCTCATGAATGGCGCGAGGCGCGGCTGAGGGTGCGCCCACAACAATCTTCTGAAATGAGGGTGGAGTGTTGGGCCTGGAAACTGTGCCGGCCAACCGGTGCCAGCATAGCGTTCTGCCTGCTCCTTTGAGGAAAATTCAAGTCCCCATGGAAAGCGCATAATCTCAGTACTCCATCCTCTTCAAGGTGGGTGGATGCGTGCTTGCGCAAGCAGGCACTGTGACTCGCCAGGTCGCATCGGCTAAACCTTACGCCAGCGCGTCGATGCACCTCCAGGGCTCTCTAGGTTTGGGCCGTTCTGTATAACTTCCATATTTTCCTCGATTTGGACGGTCATGATACCAATCACCGCCCCCATGCAAACACCAAGGAGTCTCCAGCAAAGTGTAGTGAATGCCGCAGAGTTACCATCGCTTAGAGATATGCATTTTCTCTCCACTCCTAATCCTCAGTCCCCCCCAAGGTCTCTGGTGCTCGTCATTATCTAGATTATTTCCGGCCTTGAACATGGGGGAAATGGAAAAGCCACCAATCAAGCAGGCATCTTTCCCCCATAAACGGCTCCTCCGCACACTGCCGATGCACATGTGCCATTTTCTTCGGCACTGCTGCGGCCCCAGTCTATGTAGGTTACAGTCGCACCCCTGCTGTCAACACATGGCGACAGACCTGTCCGTCAGGAACTCAACGGCATGGCTCCCGCAGTTCGTCGAGGGAACCTGCCACAAGAGGACACGGGCGAAACGAAACTGCGCCGTCTTCCGATTGGGGGCTTATTTTTACGGTTTTTCCACTGCCACATTCGATGTGGTCTACTGAGCACCGCAAGGTGTCTTGCAAAAGCTTCAATTTCCCTCTGCCATTGGAGGACTTTGGCTCCAGCCACGGAGAATCAAGCCGGAAGAGGCAGCTTGGGCGTATCAGGAGCGATAATGGGACCCCCTCCCCTTCTTCCTCCCCACAGGTGGTGAGCTGGTTGTCAGACTCCGTGAGGGGCCATTGAGATGCGACGACGGATATAGCGACAGTGGAGTGTGGGTTAAAGATATAAAGATGACTTGGCAGTCCGACCGAAAAAGTCATCACCTAGCCGGGCGAGTAGGCCGCGCCTCTTTCTTCTTGAGACAACACGAAACTGTGCACTGCTCCCTGCCGCCGTCAACATGCTCTCTCTTGCTGTAGTCGCTCTCGCGGCTTCCGCCATGGCGGTGCCTATGCCCGCGCCCACGCCGGCGCCCGACCTGAATAAGGCCAAGGCTGCAAAGAGGGCAACTAGCTGTACCTTCTCAGGCTCCGACGGTTACTCTCTTGCCAGCGTGTCCCAGAAGGACTGCGCAACCATCGTCCTGTCTGCTTTGACGGTCCCGAGCGGGGTGACGTTGGATTTGTCGGACCTCGAGGACGACACCACGGTGCGCCAGCCTTTTTGGACCCTATCTTGTCTCCTTTGCGCCTTTGTTCTGTTGTACGAACTGACATCTTCAACAGGTCATCTTTGAGGGCGAGACGTCGTGGGAGTACGCTGAGTGGGACGGACCCTTGCTCCAGATTGAGGGTACGAGTATCACCATCGAGGGAGCCTCGGGGGCCTACCTGAACGGCAACGGTGCGGACTGGTGGGACGGCGAAGGCAGCGACGGCGGCGTCACCAAGCCCAAGTTCTTCTACGCACACGATCTTACCGACTCTACCATCACCAACCTGTACATCTATAATACGCCCGTCCAGGCTGTGAGCATCGACAACGCAGACGGTCTCACGATCACGGACATGACGATCAACAACGAGGCGGGTGCCAGCCTTGGCGCCAACACTGATGGCTTCGACATTGGCGACTCGACCAACGTTGTCATCACCGGCGCCGAAGTGTACAACCAGGACGACTGTGTTGCTATCAACTCCGGCACGGAAATCACGGTCGAGAACAGCATCTGCTCTGGTGGTCATGGCCTGTCGATCGGCTCTGTCGGCGGCAGAGATGACAACACTGTCGAGACTGTCACCTTCTACAACAACGAGGTGAAGAGCTCTGTGAACGGTAAGAGACCTTCTCTCCCTATTTCTTAGGCATGAGAAGACTCGCTGACATATTGCCACAGGCATCCGCATCAAGGCGACTGAGGGAGACACCGGCAGCATCAGCGGTGTCACCTACCAGGAGATCACCCTCACGGACATTTCCAAGTAGGTTCTCATTCAAATAGCAAAAGCCATGCAATGGAGAGAGAACATGGTTTACTGACCGGGTATAACGTAGGTACGGAATCCTGATCGAGCAGAACTACGACGGTGGCGACCTCGACGGCGGTACCCCCAGCAGTGGCATCCCGATCACCGACCTGACACTCGACAACATCTCGGGTACTGACGGCGTCGAGAGCGGCGGATACAACATTGTCATCGCCTGCGGTAGTGATGCCTGCTCAGACTGGACCTGGACCGACGTTGACGTGACGGGCGGATCAACGTACAGCGACTGCACGAATGTGCCAAGCGGTATCTCCTGCTAAAGGAGCTGCGGGGGCGGCGAAGACGGGAAGGGATACATGCTGTATCTGGGTAGCTCATGTTGGAGAGAGAGAGAGAGAGAGAGACTTTGTGTGTCTCTGTACATATGGGTGGTCAGCGTCTGATGTTCACTTCTTGTACAAACAAAAACCATTAGTTTGCCTTTCCCTCCCAAAGACCCTAAGCCATCAGAGCTACTGTCGTGTTTTCCAGTGGGTAAGATATGCAGTATGACTATAGGCGGCTTTGTAAGCAATAGTGAATGACTGCGGCCTGCATGCAACATAACAAATACGGTATGATGAGTTTTAGGGTAGTAGGAAGTAAAGTTGATAGGTCGAGGTGACGGTGGCCGCTCGTGGCTGCAGGTCTGGTCGCATCGACTTGTCAATCGGGACGATCCGCCAAAACCGTGTACCACCATACATCATAGTACCATAGTGTACGCCAGTGATTGATGGCATGCTTATTCGGTACAGGCACATACGCGCCCTAGTGGATAAGATGCATTCCCGCCCCCACGAACATGTACATGAGTACTGAGTCTCACCACATCTTATCTTACCGAGCCAAGCGAGAGAAAAAGGGAAAAAAGAGAAAGACAAAAAGAGAGGAAAAGAGGAAAACTACGCGAGGTTCAGGTCGCATCGGAGCTTTCTATGGTGCGGTCCCTGATTGAATCAATAGATGACAAGGCTGGGCCAGGAGGTCCAATGAGATGAATGGTGACCTCGATGACCAAAAGCCTTGTTTTGCAGAACACCCCCTGCAAGGGCCCTTTAGTGCGCTGTCATAGTTGGCCCCCCCTTGTGGTTAGTGGCTAGTCCCAGCCTGAGCTCTCAATCCCAGACCCCAACAAGAACGGTTCGGGCTAATCTTCCGTATTTCGTCTTCCCCATATAATCATACCAAAACGATACCCTGGGGATTGCCAGTTGGCGGTGCTTGCTCCTCCTCCCGTGCCATACGCCCTATGCAATGGGGCCAGGACGGCGTGGCATCTTTTCCTCTCCTCCTTCCCGTCCTTGGTGATACTCTCGACTAAATCGTGTCTGGCTGGTTTCGTCTGTTGTCCTACGCGCGCACCCTCTTACCGCTAGATCGTGTTTAATCTCTGCCGCTTTTTCCCTTCTTATTGTTCCTATCGATCCCTCCCGCAGCAACGACGCTTACTCTTTGCCGATTTGCCGTCTGACTAGATCTTTGACTGGACTCCTCAGTTGATCCGTCCGACCACTCCAGGTTGATTGAATTTCCAATTCAAACAAGAGTGGGGTGAGATTGAAGACAAGACAGCAGAGCTGAGCAGACATCGACTCCGGAGAGCAGACAGACAACCAAATCATGGCTACAGAGCTCAACGGTGCCAACGGCACCAACGGCACCAGCTCCAATGGCAGGAAGACTCACTCCAAGGCGCTCTCCCGAAAGTTGTCGAGCCCGATGATGCCAGCATTCATGGTGTCCGCGCCCGCCAAGGTCATCCTTTTCGGAGAGCACGCGGTCGTTCATGGCAAGGTGAGCTCGAACTTCCCCTCGTCCTCCGCAGCTCGCGAGCTCTCTCTAACTTAAACAAATCCCTATCAGCCTGCCATTGCCGCTGCGTTATCCCTCCGATCATATCTCCTCGTCACCACGCTGTCGAAATCGAAGCGCACAGTGTCCTTGATCTTCCCCGACGTCGACATGTCACACACGTGGAATATCGACGCCCTGCCGTGGGCGGCCTTCTCGCACCCGTCCAAGAAAAAGTATTACTACGATCTTGTCACCACCCTCGACCCGGAGCTCCTTGATGCTATCCAGCCTCACCTGGTCGATATCTCCACGGACAAGCCAGAAGCCGTCCAGAAAATTCACAGAAATTCTGCGCTGTCATTTCTGTACATCTTTCTGTCGCTGGGGAACCAGACATTTCCTGGTTGTTCATACACTCTACGATCCACAATACCGATCGGACAAGGGTTGGGGAGTAGTGCGTCCATTGCGGTCTGTCTCGCGGGGGCCTTACTACTGCAGCTGCGGGCGCTGTCTGGGCCACATCCTGACCAGCCAGAGGAGGAGGCGAGGCTACAACTGGAGCGGATCAACAGATGGGCATTTGTGGGCGAGATGGCCATGCACGGGAACCCGTCTGGCGTCGACAACACGGTAGCTACACAGGGCAAGGCTGTTGTTTTCCAGCGGACCGACTACGGCAAGCCGCCATCCGTCCGCCCGCTCTGGGACTTCCCGGAGCTGCCCCTGTTGCTGGTGGACACGAAGCAGCCCAAGTCTACGGCATTCGAAGTGGCCAAGGTTGGCGCACTGAAGGAGAAGCATCCCAAGCTCGTGGGCAGCATCCTTGATACGATTGACAAGATCACGAGGACAGCAGAGTCTCTGATGGACGAAGAAGATTTCGACAGTGAGGAGCTGGAGAGCCTGCAGAAGGTAGGCGAGCTGATGACCCTAAACCACGGGCAGCTCATGTCCCTGGGCGTCTCACACCCACGGCTGGAGAGGATACGAGCGCTGGTGGATCATGAGGGCATCGGGTGGACGAAACTCACAGGTGCCGGAGGCGGCGGCTGCTCCATCACACTGTTACGGCCGGATGCAAAAGAAAAGTTGCACCGGCTTGATGAGCAGTTATGCGAAGAGGGCTACGAGAAATTCGAGACGACACTTGGTGGTGACGGTGTCGGCGTCCTTTACCCCGCCGTGATCAAGAATGGTCTAGACGAGGACGAGGAGGGCGGGATGGAGATCGACCTAGAGCGTTTCCTCGACGCCGAGGATAATGAAGCCGTGGAAAGACTGGTAGGAGTTCACGGGGGCGGTGGTGAAAGAGAGGGCTGGAAGTTCTGGAGGGTTGAGTCACACTAGAGGCGCTGCATCTTCTGGTGTGCTCCAAAAAGAACCTAGCTGCTAGGAAGGCTGGCCTGGTACTTTTTTTTTTTTTTTTGGCTGTAACTGGAAGATGATGGGCGGCGTTCAGAAAAGTACAGTATTCAATGTGCTTCGTGATCTGCTTCACTTGTACAATTTTGGAGCGGCTGCATTCTTGGTACACAGCCTTACCATTTCGTATGCAATAATATGATAATAATGACAAAAAGCCCCTATTGAACTAGGAGGACGTTCTGCCTCGAATAATTTCCTTTCAGTATACCTGCGCTTGAAGGTTTGTAGTAGGCCTTGCAAAAGGGACTGATTGTTCACTGCTATTGTTCTCCAAAGTGCCCCGCGTTGTGACAGGGGTGAGCTTTCACAAGCGTCAGGCGTATGTGGGGGAGCTCCAGAGATCCTGCAGATCACGGCACTTAAACAAGGCCATCATCTGCTGTTGACTTCAGAGGCGAAACGACGACAATCTCGACTACTTTCCAAAAGCAGCCATGCCACCCAAGACAAAGGCAGTGTCCAAACAAAGAGACCTGGAAAGTAAGTAGACATGATGTAAACCTTCCCCCACTGACAAATACCCGTTCACCCTCCACCAAAGAGCAAACTTTCATTCGTCACACGCAAACTGACCAAAGCGCCCGTGTCTCTCGTAGCCAAACATCAAGACGAGACTCCTCCAAAGACAGTCAACGAGCGCTCTGCTCGCATCTACGCCCAAGGCCACCCATACTCCGTCACCCTCGCCGCCAGCGGACCGAGCGGCCTATCCCCAGCAGAGCGCAGCGTCTGGGCCAACGCGCACTACGCTCGATCGCCTGCCCTCCTCAAGCAGCTGGGCAACAAGTCCCAGCGTGACGTCTGGAAGGTCGTCAACGAGACAGGCGGTCTCCCCCTGAGAGCCCCCCGGACCACCCACAGCTGGGGCAGGGATCGCTTCGGCGCGGACCTGGGCGAGTACCCGCCCGAGCAGTTTGCCAAGAGGAGCGAGAGGACCCTGCAGCTGGCCGCGCTCGAGGTGCAGCGGCGCGCATTCCTGGCAAAGCGGGAGCGCGAGCGTGCGAGGTGGGTCGATCCGGACACGAAGGAGGTTGTCGCTGTGAGCCACGAGGAGATCGAGGAGGAGAGGCTGCGGCGCAGCGAGATTGCCACGCTGCGGATGGAGCTCTATGGCGAGAGATCGGGTGCGTACGGCACGGACCCGGACTGGGATGATGTGGTTCCTATGCCGGTAGAGGATGGCGAGGGGACACTAGCTGCTATTGCGTATCCGGACGACTATGCTGAGGGTATGTCTTCCTTCCTGCTCCTCCTTCTTCCCACCCAATACTGCTACCTTTCCAAGCACCCATATTCTCTTTCTTTTTTTTTGGGGGGGGGGGGGGGTGACAGAAACCACTAGGACGTGTGTAAATTTATTGACATTGTAATGTACAGCCATTTCTTACCTCCGTGCCGTCATGGCCAAGAAGGAGTATTCGCCCCGCTGCCTCCGCCTCACTGAACACATCATCTCCTTAAATCCTGCGCACTACACGGTATGGCTGTACCGCTTCTCCATCGTGGAGGCCCTCCACCTCCCGCTCTCAGAGGAGATCGAGTGGCTCAACAAGGTCTCTCTCGATAATCTCAAGAATTACCAGATCTGGCACCACCGCCGTCTCCTCCTGGACCACTACTTTCCGACCATCCAGTCGTCCCCGGAGAAGACTGCCGAGCTGGCACGCTCCGAGCAGGACTTCCTTACGCAGATCTTGGCAGAGGATACCAAGAACTACCACGTCTGGTCGTACAGGCAGTACATGGTGCCGAAGCTGGGCATCTTCGGCGCGAGCGAGATCAAGGCCGCCGAGGACCTGATCGACGACGATGTCCGCAACAACTCTGCCTGGTCGCACCGCTTCTTCGTAGTTTTCTCGGATCCAGAGCACACCACGCCAGGAAGCCTACCGACGGACCACGACCTGGCGGTGCCGGCTGATATCATCGACCGGGAGATCCAGTACGCACAGGACAAGATCCTGCTGGCGCCCCAGAATCAGAGCCCCTGGAACTACCTGCGCGGCGTGCTGGTCAAGGGCGGGAGGAAGATGAGCAGCGTGGAGGCGTTTGTGGGCCAATTTGTGAGCGGTGCAGGCGCAGATAACGACGAGGAGGAGAAGGTCACGAGCACGCACGGCCTGGAGATGCTGGCGGAGATCTACGCGGAGAAGGGTGAGGTGGACAAGGCGGACTGGTGTCTGCGACGTCTCGGAGAGAAATGGGATCGTATAAGGCTTGGTTACTGGCAGTGGAAGAGGCAGATGCTTAAGGATGAGAATGTGAGCGCTTAGATGAGAGCGATTCGGGCTATGGGTGATGGAATCACGGTGTCCAAACGGTGATTTTCACTGGTGTGGGTGGACGATATGGAAACATGGGTTCAGCATGGAAAATGCGTTTTCCTCAAAAGATGCTGCCTTCAATATGTATGTAGGGCGCAATAAGTCCACAAAACTATTGTCTTCTCTACCTCCCCCCCCCCCTCTCTCTCCCTACCCGCGTATGGTCATACAGTCCTACGACATTTCATCATCCATCATTAAACAGGATTCCGTGTTATTTATCCGTCGAGCAATGTGTCTTGTCTTGATGAGTTCATTGCATGTATTAAATGCTATCTCGTGTCAAAAGCTCGGGCTCAACAACTAATGTGGTTCTCTAACTCAAGCCCATGGCTTCGATGAGTTTGCGAACGTCGGTGGTGATACGAAGCCCTCTGTCGTCTCGACCCCGTCGTAGTGACTTATCCGCCGTCAGAACTGACTGGACCTGGACCCTTAGCACTGCCGCATTGGCGCTCTGCCAGATAATGTTCATGGCCGCCCTGAGTATGTACAGCACTTTGGGCACCTTGGCCCTGCCCAATCGACCTTGGCATGTTCCAAATCCTCCTCCGTCTAATCCAGATTTTCCCTCCTGCGAGAACGATCCGAGGCGACTCTTGGTGCCGAGCGAGACAGACGGCCGGACTGCATCGCCTCCTAAAACAGCTGCCAGCGCATAGCCCTGCTCAGGTTCCGACGAGGCTGCAGAGGAAAGACATCTTCGGACGACGTAACCTGCAGTCGACCCAGCCTGTCGTATCGGGTTCCCCGCCTCGTTCGACGTGCAACCGTCGTCCAGCCCCTGTCCCAGTCGCTGCCGCTCGTATCCATGGTGTCGTTGATGGTGGGAACGAGAGTATGATCTTTGTTCAGCATGCCGTAACCGTAATCGTGACTGTAGTAGCCGCCGCCGCCGCCGCCGCTGCCGACGCCAGCAGTAGACAGAGCGCGATCCTAGAGCGTCCTGTAGTTCTGCGAGGCGATCAGGAACCTCTTTGCGTTCCGGGGCGCGTTGCGGCCCCGTGAGTCCCAGTTGGGCACGAGCACGAAGACGTCGCTGAACGTCTTGCGCGTCGGCTCGGGCTCGGTGTCGAGGTGCAGGGTGCCCATGACGCTGACCACCATGCTGATGCGCCCGCCGCTCTTGTCTGGGCCCTTGGAGCGGACGTGCTCGGGGGCTGCCACCAGGTAGTCGTCGTTGATGACCTGGGCGTCGAAGCTGTCGACCTCGTAGCGCACGCGCTGCTTGCCCGTCCGTGGCTGCCGGTGGGTGTCGGTGGCGGCGGCTCCGTTGGCAGTGGTGGTGGCGTTGGTACCGCGCTGCTCTTCGAGGAGGGCCTCGTACTGGCTTGGTGTGGTCAGGTTCGCGCCGTTGATGGTAATGTCGGCTGTGACGCCTGCGTTGGTGTACTTGGTGTTCGAGTTGATGTAGTAGGAAGAGAGGGGGCGGGCCTCGTTCAGGTCGCGGTAGTACCAGTCGACAAACAGCTGGGCACCGTCACTGGACACCTTTACTTCAGTGTCTTCGTTCGGATAAGACATCTTGTGGGTTGTTGGTTGGCTGGTGTTGTTGTTGTTGTTGTTGATGATGATTTGATGGTGATCTTGTCGGTGCAGATTAAACGAGTCTCGGAGCAATGCTCTGTCTGGAGCGTGGCTGATCGTTCGCGAGCTTGAGAGGATGGTAGCAAGAGACTAGTCACTGCTAGTTGTCTGAGGAATTTCCTCTCAAGTGGAGAGAGTTTGTGCAAGTCACGCAGTGAGACATGGACGGTGAAGAGAGGGGGAGAGAGAAGAGAAAAGGGTACGGATTGTTTTGGGTGTGAGAAGGGGACAGTGCGGCGCATTGGGCAAGGCTGCCTATTTGTATTATGGTAGTGGGGTGGATGGCGGTACCACAGTTATCCAAGCTAGATGCCCGCACAGTCCTTGCCGATAAGAGCTCTCCCGTAACTTTTCTGATGCAAGAAAGTCAGGCGAGACGCGCATCGCGACGGGACGAGAGAGAGCTCGTTCATAATTGGTCTAAGCACCTGTAGGGCATACCTTTTGTTCGCCGGATGCCGCCGCCGCCACCAGATGGACCGACTTCTTCTGCGGCCAAGTAGGCTAAGGAGCCTTCGATTGACTGCATCCTCAAGGCCTGGCTGGAAGTGTGCCGTGTGCTGTCGTCACGATGTGATCACCAGACCCTTCAGCAGTGCTCGCTCATATGCGCAGAAAGCGGCCCCGGCCACTCCGTCCAAGCCCTACTATGTGACGACGCCAATCTTTTACGTCAATGCAGGTGAGTGCTGCCTGCTCCCTACACTGGCGCCGCATGGCGCACCTGCTCTCAGGAGGGCTGACCCACCGTCCTGGCAGCACCTCATGTTGGTCACATGTATAGCATGATCCTTGCCGACGTTCTGAAAAGATGGCACGCCCTCAACGGACAGCGGTCTCTCCTCCTCACCGGTACCGACGAGCACGGCCTGAAGATCCAACAAGCCGCTGCTGCCAATGACACCCTTCCCAAGCAGTGGTGCGATGCGCAGGCCAACAAGTTCCGCGCGCTGGCGGCGTCGGCGAACCTCGCCAACGACTTCTTCATCCGGACCACAGACGAAGATCACAAGGATGCGGTCAGGCATTTCTGGTTCCTGCTCAAGGAGAAGGGCCTGGTGTACGAGTCAAAACATGAGGGATGGTACTGCGTCAGCGATGAGGCTTTCTACCCTGAATCCATGCTCACGAGGAAGGTCGACCCGCTTACGGGTCAGGTGTCAATGGCGTCTATCGAGACTGGCAACACGGTGGAGTGGACAGAGGAGAAGAACTACCACTTTCGGATGACTGCCTTGAAGGACCAGCTGCTGGCTTTCTACGAGGAGAATCCCGACTGGATCGTCCCCCGACAGAGGATGCGAGAGGTGGTGGACTGGGTCACGAACAACCTCGAGGACCTCTCCATCTCCCGGCCGTCAAATCGCCTGGACTGGGGTATTCGTGTTCCCGACGACGATAGCCAGACCATCTATGTCTGGGTGGATGCCCTCATCAACTACCTGACCAAGGCTGGCTTCCCGAATTGGGCGCCAGGCAAGCAGCTGGAAGGCGGGTGGCCTGCAGACGTGCATGTCATCGGTAAAGACATTCTCCGCTTCCATGGCGTATACTGGCCTGCCCTCTTGCTGGCCGTCGACATCCCGCCTCCGAAGAAGCTCCTCAGCCACGCGCACTGGACAATGAGCGGCAAGAAGATGTCCAAATCTCTGGGAAATGTCGTCAACCCGTTTCATGCTCTGGATCGATTTGGGGTGGATGCTATGCGGTTCTTTATGATTCATGACGGTGGCATCGAGAACGACGCCGACTACAGTAACGACTTGATCGTGGAGAGATACAAGAAAATGCTGCAGGGCACGATCGGGAACCTGCTGAGCAGAGTCACGCGGGCCAAGGCCTGGAATGTGAGGGAGAGCATCCTGGCGGGACCCATTCTCACTGCTGATATACACATGTCTCGGTTCAATGCTCGTCATGCGGAGCTGTTCAGGGCGCAAGAGGCAATGCTCTCTGAGCTCCACGAGCGGATGCAGACCCTTATGGAGAAGCCGAACCCCCGGCTGGCACTCATGCACCTCATGCAGGTAGCTATGGAGGTAAGTCGTACTTGTAGTCCACATGACATATGCGCGCGTGTGCGGTGTGATGGTTTTGCTCACACAAACACAGGCCAATAGATTCATCACCGAGATGGCGCCCTGGGACATGACGAAACGGTTCCGTGAGATACTGGCCAGCACAGGCAGGGCACAGCATTCTGGGGAGGCACTAGACATCAAGACATTGCGTGCCAAGACCATCTTCATCCTGGCCGATACTCTGCGTAATGTGGGCATTCTTCTGCAGCCCTTTATGCCAGGGAAGGCCAAGGAGATGTTGGACGTTCTGGGTGTCTCTAAAGACAAAAGGCAACTAAAATATGTTGGCCTGGGCAAGGATTTTAGCTATGGAGAGCCCGAGGCGCCCGTAGGGACCGGCGGGCACCAGAGCCTATTCCCTCCGCTCGAGTCCGAGCTATGAAATTGCAGTCATCATGATACTCAAGTAGAGAGGGAGAGAGCGCTATCATGATTTGACTAGACGTGACGGCACTCGCCAGATTGGTCGCCAGATTTGTATAATAAATCAATACCCTAAATGCCACATCAATCCATATTCCTCGAATCAGTTTGCTTGAGATAATTTGGTCGCACATGAAGGAGGGGGTGGTGTCCCACATTACCTGCTTCTTGAAAGGGCCCCGGCAAAGATTTACTCAAAACACTACTTAGACGCAAGCCCGCTCTCAAAATGCGATTTTCCTCGCCCACTCACATTCCTTTGCCATTCTGCCCTTTGCGACCACCATTTTTCCAGCCATGATACTCAACAAAAACACTGGTGAGAGTTCTCTTTCTTTTTTCCATTCTTCTGAATTCTGGCGATATATTGACTTGAGTCTCTGCCCCACACACAGCATTAACAACCCCAGCGGTGCTCCTGGTGCCCTACGACCGTCGCCACGTCCCGCGTTACCACGAGTGGATGAGTGACCCAGTGAGTTTAGCCCTCGAAACAAAATCACTTCACGACATCATCATCACCGCGAGAGAAGAGACTGAGTCTGACCTCTCCCAAGGACATTCAAGAAGCCACCGCCTCCGAGCCGCTGACTCTCGAGGAGGAGTATGAGAACCAAGAGTCATGGCGCGCCTCGCATGACAAGCTCACCTTCATCCTCTGCCAGCCCCTCGTTGCTGACGGGCCTGAGCCTCTTGCGTCTGTCAATACTGGTGATTTCGATAGCTCGGACAAGATGCTAGGTGATATCAACTTCTTTCTGTACCCAGACGACGAGGAGGACGAAGGAGAAGCAGCAATAGCAAGCCAGGCCGCTGGGACCACCTCCTGCATCGGTGAGGTGGATATCATGATCGCTGGCCAAGGCGACAGAGGCAAAGGCCTGGGAAAGGCGGCCGTATCTGCGTTGCTTCACTACATCTGGACGAACCTGGATGAGATTCTGGGAGAGTATAGGGAAGCCATGGGAGAGGGCGAGTCGAGGCCGATGAGGCTCAAATTGCTCATGGCAAAAATCAAGGCAACAAATGAGGGGAGCATCGCGCTCTTTAGGCGTCTGGGATTTGAGCAGGAGGGCGAGGTTAATTATTTCGGGGAAGTCAAGATGGTGCTGAAGAATTTTGACGGCATCGCGAGGGCGATTGAGGGATACAAGGTGCTGGCGTATAGCAGACCGGTGGATTGAATCGTGTCAAATGTCAGCACAGCCACCAGGGGACGTATTGTCTTCAAGTCCTTCTTTGAAGTGTGATTATTCCTACGGTATCATGCTTCGACACCAAACTGCGCCTTGTACTTCTCAAGCATCTCCAGACTGATGTTGGAGCCACCACAGACAATCACAACCACATTCTTCGCAGCCCACTCATCATCCAACAGTTCCTTGCCGAGATATCTCCTCAGATCTCCATTATACACAGTCGCGATGGTCGCACCACATGCACTCTCCACCAAGATGCGCGCATCATCAAGAAATCTCGCCATGGCCTCCACAGACGCCTTGTCCGTCACCACCGCACTAATGAGATCATCTCCCGCCCGCTTCGTCCAAGCAAATGCCTCTTCTGCAACCCTCGTGGCTCCCAGCGACGTGGCAATCGTCGTGATCCCCGGAAGCGTCACCAGCTGGCCCGCCTTGACGCTCGCGTGGAGGCTGTCCCCGCCGTGCGTCTCGACAGCAAGCACCTTGGGCGTGCCCTGCCCCAATTCGGCCAGCTTCCGCACGCCCTGCATCGTCCCGCACAGCAGCCCGCCTCCGCCGACATTGCAGACGATGCCATCGATCGTCGTCCTGCCCAAGCCCTCCTCCCCCTCGCCTATTATCTGTACCCGCAGCTCGTCCACCATGGTCTCCACCCCGTCCCAGATATCCTGGTGGTCAAACGGCGGAACATACACCGCCCTCGCCCCAGGGTGGTCTCTCTCGAACGCGGGGATGACGACCTCGCGCAGGTGCCTGTCGGCCGCGGCCCAGGTCGCCCCCGTCTGCACGACGTCGGCGCCCAGGTCGCGCAGCTTGGTGATCATGTGCGGGAGCGTGGTCAGAGGCACGACGACGGTGGCCGGGCGGCCGAGCGTGTTGGCGGCTGTGATGCACGCCAGGCCTGCGTTGCCGCCCGAGGAGGAGTAGAAGTGGATTGCGTTGTCGTCATCATCATCATCATCCTGTAAGGAGGAAGAGGAGGAGGATGTGGTGGACTTGACGGCTCGGAACATGAGGTTGCCTATACCGCGGGACTTGAAGGAGCCTGAGGGCTGGAGATTCTCGAGCTTGAGATAAATGTTGCTGGGCCCCTTCCTCGTCAGCTTAATTCAGGCACTGAGCATGCAGTGTGGTTTTGGGTTATATTTACCATCCTGCTGCCCTCGACAGGGGCGCCGAGAAGATGCATGGCGTCTCGATCCACGGCTTGGGCGGTCTTTTCGGTGCAGATCCCATACTTGTGAGTGACGAGCCCAAGTGAGCCTGTACAATATCTGGGCAGGCTTCTAAAAAGAAAAAAGAAAAAAGGGTTCTTGCTTCCTTGGCCTCTCCTATGTTCCCGTCGGAGAATACTGGTGAGATTTTGTGGTGAGGATTCTTTTTGGTCCTTCTTTTTGTCCTTCTTTTGCCTTTCTCTTTCCTCTGTTCTATTGTCTGTCTAGCAAATTTTCTGAAGAGCCAGACTCTGGAACGAAGACGAGGCGTGAGACACTGGGCGACTGGACGATGTCCAAATATATAGGTAAAATAAATAAATAAAAACCCAAGTCTTCAATCACGTTCTGCCAATATGCGTGCTGAGTTCAACTCGCAAGTTCGAGTGTAAGTTAAAGGATGAGGCTTGGCGGGTGCGCATTTGAGCGGTGCGCATCGTTGTCACTGGCCCCAAAACAGAAGCACTGACTGAGCCCACAGCAGGTTGGTACCCGCTCCGAGATCGCTCCACTTGGAAACCAATTACTACATTGTAGAATTAGGGACAAAATGTTTTTGATCTTTAATCAATTGTGTGAAATTGGGATAGATCTGATGCTATATCTAGTAGTCTCTCTCCCTGACCAAAAAAAAAAGTTACAAATGACATCAAGTCAATGCACTGGGCTCCTAGGAACATTCGTTAAAAGACTAAGACATGAGATGGTAGAGACAATGAGCAGAATGCTGTCGAAGGGAAGAAGGGGGAATCATGTACGAGAAAATAATGTCTTCAAAAAATCTGTTGAGAGCTTTGAATTGTGTCCTCTAATTGCATTCTGAAAAGTCTGCTGATTATGCTTATTGCAACTGGGCGGCGAACACATAGCATTTTAAAATATTTCCTATAGTTTCAACTAGAATATTAAGCACTGATCAGAACAAATTTCGGAAGCCTTGCAGCAAATAATGATGCAGTTAACATCATGTACCCTTATAATTCTTTGTAGTTCTCATGACTATGAGATCACACGCAGGAAGACAAGGTGAGAATGTTGGATTGTAACATAACAATGATTAGATTGAAAAACTGAGCACTTGTCAACTTCATGGTCCGATGTTCTCCCTAGCTTATGTCTATGAATATGTAGCTGACAGGTAACAACTTCTTGCAGACTTTTTGTTGTTTATCATTTGCTGTGATCTTTTTCATTTCGCCTTTAGTATATTGATGAACATGAGAGCCATGAAATTGTCACCTCTAGCAGAAACATGGTTTCTGTCTTGGATTGCTAGTCTGCTCATTGTCAAACTTATGTCACTTGCCTGATCATCAGAAACCAATGCAGTAAGAAACCCTTTTCCACAACATGTTTTTGGGAGATCCCCTATGCTCTAATTAATACACTTCCATTGCCTCTACATGATTCTTCCTTGTCAGCATAACATCAATATTGAGAGGATGACTGTATCAGGAGTGAAAGGCATTCACCAACTTTCGCGAAACATTTTGAACCACAAGATAACAACTTTATTATTCACTCTACTAGGTGTTTCCAGGTAAACTCTCACCTAAAATTTTGGACTTTCACTGGCACTCTTCACTGGGTAGACTCAACTTCTTTTACTGTGAATTTCACACGCCTAAGCTTTTTGCATGCTTCTGTTCAAGAACATGTATTATATACCTCTGAACATTTTATGGCTATTCGTGCTGCTGAAACATCCATACTTGGGAACTTTCCGGTCACAGACTTGGCTGACCTCTATGCCCATCGAATCCTGGATTCTGTTGCAATACTCGACCTCTCGAGGTTCTTCATGCACCACAAGGGCCTCATAATCAGGCTTCTTCCATTTTTGTTTCAGAAGAAGTGTTGTAGCAAGTCTTGATAGGAAATCACTTCTTGAGTTTTGGTAAGTGATTGACTGCATCAAACTTGGGCAATGATCAGTTAACCACTATTGAACCATTCTCGTCACTAACCTCACCCCAGCATCATTACAGTTCCGCAGCAACCAGCTGAACATGTCGATACCTGCCAGAGCTCCTCTTGTCGACTAAGCACATCACGATCAAGCACATCCACGACTAAGCGAAAGGCCACAAAAAGGATTTTCCCCTCCAAAACCTTTGCTGTTAGGAGCCCCCCCCCTCCCAATCTTTACCAAATGCCACCCCGCAGATCTGGAAGGAATCACCCTTCCTCGTCCCTTTCTTCTGCATGCAATACAGGCTCTTCGAGGACCTCGAAACCCCGCCAAGCCACAAGTTCGTCCAAGATGGTCACCAATGTCTCCTTTTCCCGGATTGTGCCAATCGACCCGGCCACCAGCAGGGCTGCTCAAGCCAGGGCCAGAGAGGGAACCCTCACGGTCCGTTTTGCGCCCTTCTCGCTGGACAACCCCCCCGTCGACGACGAGTACGACGACGTCTCGGTCGACAGCGGCGACGAGAAAGAAGACGAGGGAGAAGACGAGGGCGTCCAGCCTCAAAACATTTCCAGCATGCCCTCAAGCGCCAACGAGCACAACGACAACCTTGTCGTCCCAGAGTGGGAGGCCAGCCCCTCGAAGCCCAGCAGGGGCTTCGAGCCGAGCAGCGACGATGATGACGGCGAGAAAGCCGCCCAGGCAGCTCCAGCCTCTTTCGGCATGAGCACTCAACCTCGCCTCTCGCTGCTGGCCACGCCTGCTTACCAGCCCTTTCCCCCTTACTACTTTTCACAGTCTCGACCCCTGACATACCTTGAGCGGTTTCTCGGGCCTACAGCAGAGGTACACCCGCCTCAGACTGCATCCCTTCAGACTCGTGAGCCTGAGCATCAACCCAACCAGGCTCAAATGTCCCAACGTCCATCCACTCTGGGCCAAATGGCCCAGCCCCAGGCCTCCCAGGGATCTGTTGCGCGGTCTCTCGCACCCGCAGCAGATGCTGACCGCAGTCCGACTCCCGAGTTTGGGCGTCGTCCCAGCCAGGCTCGAGCCCGGCGACCTCGACCCTCTCAGGTGTTTGCTCACCACAATCGCATGCCTACAGGAGGCACCAGCTCTTCTCAGAGTGTGGCCGCTCAGACCAAGGGATCTGAGGGTCAACCCGCCCAGATCCACCATATTCAGGCTCAGACACAGCCTGCTCATACCCAGCCTACTCCAGCACAGACACGTCGCGACAATACAACCGGCCCATTGCAGCAGCACCCGACGCGTATGGCCGAGACTCAGCAGATTCATGTCGACCGACGTCCACCTGGACCTCGAGTTCATGCGGGATCCCGACTCTCTCAGGAAGACATGGCTCAGCTCCAAGACGACATGCGTGCCGTCGATGTCAGCAGCTTGCCGCCTCCTCCTACTCGACCCCCTTTTTACTCCTCCTACCAAGCCACGGATGATGATTTTGAGCTTTACTTCGTCTCTATGGACGCCCGTAGTCGTGCTGCTCGGATCCTCGCACCTCCTCCCCGGCCTGGTCGTGGTGGCTTTGGCATTGTTCGTCGTGATGACGACTTGACCCTCCCTGGAACGGACAGCGGTGGCTCGACCAATGTCTTAACAAGGGACAGCAACAACGGCGGTGCGACTGCTCGTAATGATAACGTCTCAACCCAACGCCCATCTACTACTGCCTCTGACGGTATGCCGGCCGTGTCTCGTATTGATACATCGGACAAGTCTCGGGCGAACACCGACGTCAAGGGCAGACCACCCCTGAAGCGCCGTTTTGGAGCCTGTAGAGACGAGACAGATGAGAAGAAAAACGGCGATGACGACGATGACTCTTCTTCCTCATCCGATATCGATTTCATGACCTACATCAAGACCGCCAGAAAGCGGAAGAGGACTCAAACCATGCAGATGACAGGCAAGAACAACGGAAAGAACGACAGCCATACCACCGGTGCTTCGAATGCAAGCAATGAAGCTGATCAGACCCAGGGCAGCGCCCCCGACAGCGGTGCCACCAACTGCACTGATGGCGTTCACGTTGTTCGACAGGGCGTCAGTGCTCTGCTCAGCACCACCATAAAGGTTGACCAACAGAACGAGGCAAAGAAGATTGATGAGCGCGTCAAGGATGTCTCAGCCCCATTGGGAGCCGCACAGAAAGACGCCGACGAGATGAAGATCCTGGGGAACGCCGATGTGGATGTGATGATGCAGACTATCGAGTTCCGCAAGGGAGGAGGGGTTGCTGAGGAGAACCAGAGCCCGGCCAGTACGTATCAGGAGCGGCTGCGCAAGCGTAGCAACCAGAATTACAACGAGGAGATCCTTGGTATGGATACTTCGTCGGATGGCGAGCAGCTGAACACCAGCGTTGCCGATATGATGGACTGGGTTGCGACAGATGACAACGGCACATACGACGTCACTCCTCGGGCAGGTTCCTCTGTGAAGTCCTCGATCAAAGGCTCCAAGCGCCCCAACAAGGCCCACAGCCCCAAGCCTACCAAGATTGTCAATCTGCGCATTCCATCCAAGGCTATGCGCTTCTTTGCGCAACCTGGCGACCCCTCGATTCCCATCGCCGACAAGAACTTTTTCTGTGGAAAGGCCGAGCGCAAGGATTGGACTGGCGTCGACCAGTCGCAGCGGTATATCATTGTGCCCCTCGAGGTGCGAGAGCGCATCTATCGCGAGCTTCTGGTTGCGGACGGGCCCATCAGAGTCAAGTCAGGCTGGTCGCAGGTCTTCCCGCTTCAGCCACTGAAGCTGAACATCTATCCGAAGATCCTGCAGGCTAACCGTCAGATCTATCAAGAGGCAGTCAAGCTCTTGTACGGCTGGAACACCTACCGGTACATCCTTCGCGACAATGGCAAGAGGGTCAAATTTGCAGACCACCAGCACTACCAGCCGACCTTGAATCTGGACAAGCACTTCACCGACTTGCAGTGCTTGCAGCTGGTTCTCGAGGGCAACCGGATGGGTGGGCTGTACGCCCTCGACATGAACAGGGCCATCTGCGAGGTGATCTGGTCCGGCGTCAGCCTGCACAAGCTCACGATCGACGTCTCGCCCCGCAAGATCGAAGACGAAGTGGCCGAAGTCGAGTCTTTCTCCTCGAGATACAGCGCCCTGGGCGTGCTGAAGCGCGTGAATACAAAGTATGTCCAAATCAACGTCTTCCTCCTACAGACCAACGCAGAGGCCACCAAGAGTCTTCGCACGATTATTGACAAGCGCCCCGACATTGACGACCAGGACGTCTTCAATCAGATGTGCCGTCAGGACGAGGTGACGCAGAAGACGCTAAGCCCTCAGGAACGTCGTCGCCGCGCCGAGCAGGAGCTGCGTGAGAAGGCCGAGGCTGAAGTCAACCGGCAGCTGGACAGGCTGCCCTGGCGTCTGGAGCACGCCGTCAACAAGGGAGCTGCCTGGGTTGTGCATCGTGGTTGGTTCGAGGAGTTTGATGCTGGTGTCAGACCTCGCAAGACGTCTTTGGCTGGAATGTGCGGCGCCGACAACGAGGGCGACAGTGACTATGGCAAGTGAGGTGATTCGGTGGACTGGGGAGGGAAGGTCGGGGAGCGAGACACGGCTTCGTGGCAAATCGACAATGGACGATCGAAATCGAGGCGGTCTTACGCGTGTTGGTGGGGTTCATTTTCGGGGGTGGTTTCATGTAGGATATTTGCACTTGATTTCTTCAGCCTTGATTAAAAGGCATTAACTAGGTGGCATTCAAGCAAACCCCTCGCCCACCAACCAATTCGTCAATATTTTTACTCTTACGCAAAACTTCCCGAAATTTGCATGCTGGCAAAACGTTGCTTTGGACCTAGTGAGGTTTAGTATCTGAGAGAAACTGCTTGTCGTCTGAGACGTCGAACAAGAGATACCCGAGCGCTCAGTTACAGGCAATACCAATATTGGATCAGATGTGAAACGAAGAGGAACGCCTTCAAAATGGACAGTAAGTAGGTGTGTTTTTAGCAAAGATGGCTTTTGCGCAAATATTGCATTAAAAAGTGGTATGCTGTCCTGTACTGGACGGTAGGTTGCCTTTTTGTGGCGGCAGTGATGAATATGAGAAAAGAGTCGTACCTCAGATTGTCCGTATTTCCCATTGCGTGGCATCATATCTCTGAAGAGTACTACCAAAGTTTATGACCATCTCATGCAATGCGCTCTCGAGATCTCCCTGACAGTGATGCCCTCTTCATGAGGCCGAAATCTTTACTCGTGTTACGTCCAATGTTTCTGAGTCGAGGAGAACAATCTCCTTGGACGCCGAGAAGGATGGCACCGCAATCAGTCGAACCATCTGACCATCGGGTCCTGATATGACCCTGGACCCAAATTCGGGCTGACAGCCAACGAAGTAGACATGAGGGCACTCTTTCATGACAAAAGGGTCGTCATCCTGAAAAGGATAACTCCATAATGTGTCTGGTGCAGTTGGCGCACTGCATCGCCACCGGCACATCGCTTCCATCATGCCCAGTCGATCCTCGCTGTCCACATACTTGAAGACATCGTCCACGTTCTGACCTCCCGTCCCGAGCAGTCGCCAGCCATCCACCTCGCCTTCCCACGGGTTGGTCACAGCGTCGAGCCAGCCCTTCTCATCAGAATCCGGCACCGCAGCAAAGGCTCGTGACTTTGGAAACACAGCCATATGAACGGGTTGCTGGGGGTAACTTGCGTTGGCTGGATCATGCTCGCCTGGTAGGAGAGTGACGGGTAGGCTGGGGAGGAGCTCGGAGAGAAAGTCGTCGAATATCTGCGAGGGGAGTGCGTTGTATGCACTTGAGTCGTAGCCGTACTTTTTTGACGTAGCTACCTTGTCTGCAGTAGCAGAGACATCAGCGTGCGAGTTGGCAGCAATTATAGAGTTGCCGGCGATGATGAGCCTGCTGATCTTGGAGAGTTCTGCCTGGGCGCTGGGATCTAGAGCATCCCCAAGTAGATATTCCAGCAGCAGGTTCAGCTCCATAGTGTATGATGTGTCGTCGCCAGAGAAGTTGAGGCCCGAGACAATGGCAATCTTGCCGCCTGTCCCTGTTGAAGGGGCATCTGTCATGTCAACATCCCCTCCCTTCGTAGCTGTCTTGCCCTTTGCCGAGCCATTGGTGCCGGTCGGGTTTGTGACGGCCCATCGGTCCGGCTGAGGAGGCAAGTCGGCGAACTTGACATCGATGACCTCGAAATCTCCACTTTCGTTCTCGGTTCCCATGACGGCAACGATACAGCCTGTCACCAGCACGTGAGACTTGAGAAAATCGCCAGTCAGCCGGAGCCGACCCGAGTCGTCTTCAAGCATAACGGCGTCACGCCCGTCATCGGAGAAGTACTTCACTACGGAACTCGGCGCAGAGATCCAGCGCTGTCGGTCGCGTCAGCTCAGATGTATATCGCAATGGTTCCTAGCTCTCGGAGCGCAAGGGTGTGACCCACATCTTTGGAGACGTCGTCTAGAATGTTTGGCTTCATGGGCATGTCCACATAGACCGTGCCGGCGACCCAGCACAGTTCACCCTGCCTCACGTCCAGCACTCGACTGACTTTCTTTGCCGTCTCGCCTCCGATGACAGTGCCCTCCCATGCAGCCTCGGCCACCTCCTCAACTGCTGGCTTGATCTGCGTGAGTCGTAGAAAGTATGTATCTGCATACTGTTGCTGGTAGCTCCGCCCCTTCTCCAGCTTGAAGGTATCAAGAGACTTGTACTTTGACTGTAGTCGCTCGAGAGACTCCTCGGGCGCATCCCCGCTAAGTAAAGATCTAGTTAACAAAAGCACAAGGAGAGTGATAATTTTGGACATACGAGGGCTTTTGGAGAAGCATTGCTTCTATCTCGTCAAGGTTGACCATCTTCACTTGTGTTGTTCCAGATTGAAGCTTGAGGGGTGAATATTATCTGGTTCTCAAGCTTGGTTTGATGTCGCTTGACGCGTCGTGGAGAATCCTGGACGCGTATAGATTTAAATGGGCTACTTTCCGTGCCGTTCAAGTCAGTCGCCCCACTGTATTTTTGCACCTCCCGATTTCCCCACCCAAAACGCGTGAGAAAGATGGTCGCGTAAAAACCGTTTTTTTGACCCTCAACTTTTCGAACATTTCGCTGCTTTGGCCACCCCTCACCGCTTGAAGCTATTCCCAACCTTGTGTTTTCGATCGTATACGTGTTGCACTATATGGATATACCACCAAATCCATCATTTCCAGCATCTGACAGTGCTGCCGGCGCTCAAGCGTTGCTTGCCCTTAGCACTGGTAAGTCCCACGCATTCCGGAGCAATAGCTATAGCTGTATAGCAGTCGACGACGAGGTGTATGAGCAGGAAATAGCTAGTTTGATATCTGATATGCATTTCCTCTAGAAGACCATCTGCCCAAGCCACAGCCTGCCCTCCGAAGAGCATCCCAAGAGCGCGAGGCATCCCCTCGCCGGCTTCGGTCGAACCCTAAGGCACGCCTGCAATTCGAGCCAGCACCATTGAGGCCTGCCAAAATGCCTGCTAAACGCAAGGCTAAGACCCCTCCGAAAGCTCCAGCTGCGAAGCGTACAGCTGTACAAGACGTACGGAAAAGATCTAGTGCTAAGCCTGGGATGTTGTCCAAAAGTGCTCAGGCAAGGCTGGATGCTAAAGCAGCTGCTGAGAAGGCAGCGATCCAACGAAGAGCGGCTGAAAGAGCGGCTATCGCTGAGAAGAAAAGAGCTCGAGAGGAGGAGCGGATAGCAGCTCGAGAGGCCAGAAAAGCTGCCTCTGAGCGCGCTGCTGCTGAGAAAGCCGCTGCCAAAGCACGAGTGCCTGCCAGTTCTATCGTGATAGAGAGCGAGGATGAGGGCGACGACGCTGAGCAGCCTGAAGACCTTGATCTTGTCGAAATTGTTACTCCAGCAGAGATCCGCATCAAGTGGCATTACCCTGCTCATCGAGGCTCACAGTTTCGAGGGATCGCACCGCCAGGAATGCTCACGAAAAAGCTTGCTGGCATGCCTTGCTTCCTCGACATCGTTATCAAGAATGCTCTGATTGCCTGGCTGAACGATCAAACCACACGTATTGCTCGAGTAACAGAAGGACGAACTGTTCGTGCTCAATACAGCTTTGCAAGGATTATCGTGGGCAAAGGCAATGCTGTTCATAAAGGCGAGAAGATCTATTGCGACGAGGTGATGAGCGACGATTTCCACGATGCTGCGCACCAAATCAGCAATATTCTGCTCGATAGAAAGAATCCCCATTGGCTCAGCATCACATATACCTTCAATCTCGAGATTAGCAGCAGCAGATATGTTCCTCATGCTGTATCGCGAGGAATCCCTCCAGCTGTAGCTAGCCAGCTGGCAGCAGATACCCAGACTGCTATCGAAGCAGAGGCCAGCGAGTTCAACGATCTCTTCACGCCTGCCAGCACAGCAACACGAGCGCTCCAGACGCCAGGAACTGCTCGCTCGCGCTCAAAAGCCTCGAGTATGCATGAGCAGATCAATGCTCTTCACAGACAGCTCAATATCCATTGGCAATGCTGTGATCCTATGCGCTGTACCAACAACAGAAACAGTACAAAGTTTGCTGTACACTGCTGGGTTGAGCCTGATGGGCATCATCTAAAGCTTAACCAGCAAGATCTGATGCAATGGGCAGAGAAGATCGCAAACAAGGCTGAAAAGGCTGATATTGACCATATTCCACATACCATATATTGCCAGGTCCTCGGTCGTGCTCTCAGCAATGCACAGGCAACCTCGAGCACTGGAGATAGCTTCGCATCCAGCTCAACAACTGAAGCAGCGCCAGCATTAGCCATATGGGATAACCTCCTTGGCAGGAAAGGGAAGGCATGCGCTGGGAAAAGCAGCAGCTCTGTTGGCGGCAACATCATCAATATCAACGGAGGAGGAGATCCTGCGATGCTGGCACAGTTGCTTCAGGGGCAGCTCAACAGACCTGAGTCGACGACGCCCTCATTCCTGCCATCATCAGCCCCTCCGACGATGCCTTCCTCCGTATACGCATTCCACCAGATGTCTGGGGGGTTGCCCCCCTCGAGATATGCGCCTTCTCAGGCGCCAACCACGCCACCACAGCAGCCAGTTGTGATCCTCTCTTCGAGCCCTGTTATGCCAGAAGGGCTTGATGTAGATGGCTTTATGGATGAGTTCTTCAAAGTGCTTCGGCGGCGGAAAGCTCGAGATCTGATGGAGGCTGAGGCTGTTCGTCGTATGGAAGAGAAGCTAGCTCTCGAGAATATTGCCCTCAGCAAGCTCAGCAACGTGCCGTATAGCTGGTATGATACACATAGCATCGAAGCACGCACTATCAGCTTGATGCATCAGTTCCTGAAGGAATTCCTCGTCGAGAAAGGTGGAAATAGCATCAACTTAGCTGGTCAACAGCCTGTAACTCCTCCTGTCTCGCAACAGCCTGATCAACAGCCTGTGCCGCCTTCGCAAGCAACAACAGCATCAGCAGCTTCGCCTGGATGGCATCAACTATCTGGATAGCAGGAGGATTCGTTGCTTCGCGATACTCAGATGCCATTGCCACCTCGGCATTGATGGCGATAGTTGAAGTAGATTGACGAGAGAGGTAGTAGGAAAGGTGGCAATAGATACAAGATAAAAGGAAACCAAGGGTCTGTAAAATCTATGTATAGCAGGAAACAAGGATACAAGCGATTTCAGTGTAATTTGTATAGCAATAGTTTTCGTTTTTCTACTTTTAAGCTTCCCTCTAGACCGAGCATCCACGCATCCTCAGTTACACCTCATCTCCTGGCTTCAGCACTGTTGTTTACTATCTTTCTCTACCAACTACCTCTCTCCTAGCCCTGGCACCTGAGCAGCTAGAAAATGCCCTCTGATATTCTCTCTCTTCTCGCCTATTGTATATACTGATTCAATCAAGAACTGGCGCCAATCATCCTCGCTTTCCCACTGATCCTGGACGTACGCCGCATGCCGTCGAATATATGCCTTGAGCTCGCCAAAAAAGGCCTCAATAGGGTTGAGATGCGGGCTATATGGAGGGAGGTATTTCAAAACAATACCAGCATCCTCGCACAGCAGCTTGAGACCATCGTGATAGTGGAAAGGCGCATTATCCATCACCAGCACGCTCCGAGAGCCAGGAAAAGGAGTGCATCGTGGCAGGACCAGCTCTCGGATATATAGCAGGAAGCCCTCAGCATCAGTGGCACCCTCATATACCGACAGAGCTACAATGCCTTCAAGAGACAGCGCTGGCAATATCTGATACCACATGCCACGATCAGTTCCTCCGCCAGGCACTCGCTTTCGAGCTTTCAATCCTCTAGGTGTCCGGGCAGTTCGTCGGTTCGTCCCTCTCTTATCAATGCCAGATTCGTTGATGAAGACGAACTGGTCTGGCTGCCACTCTCTAATCGTCCAGATATAGTCGGCACAAAGAGCTTCGTTGCGCTCAAGAGCGATAAGGGCTTGCTTCTTCTTGGTTCAATTCTCAAGGCGGAGGCGGCAGCTCAGCGTGGTTTTCGAGATCTCAAGGTCGAATCGTTCGAACAGCTATAGCTGCATCTCATCGAGGTACATATCACCCTTTCCAGCTAGAAGATCGAGCAGTTCCTATTATTCGAAGTATCAGCATTGCTAAAAGGCTGAAGAGCATAGATTTGGGCATACTGCTAGGTGGAATGGCATCAGCTTGGTCCGGCCAGTGTGGTCCTGGCTGACGACGATGCTTCCTGTGATATTCCAGCGCCTTTTCAATGCTCGAGCATATGATTCATGGATATTGACGCTGATGGCGATATCTTTAGCACTGAATCCGCCTTCAAGAAGACCTGTGATGATGGAGCGGTCTCCATCGCTCAGCCGTGGGCCAGGCATTGGTGCTGAAAAGGCGTAACCACCATCATTCGATTCGCGATGCTCGGTTTCGGTGTGCTGAAAGGCTTCAAGGTCTTGACGAGAGGTGAGAAATGTTCGAAAAGTTGAGGGTCAAAAAAACGGTTTTTACGCGACCATCTTTCTCACGCGTTTTGGGTGGGGAAATCGGGAGGTGCAAAAATACAGTGGGGCGACTGACTTGAACGGCATTACAGTGGTCTCAGGCCCCTGTGGCGCCTAGGCAGGCACCCCCCACCAAAAGAGTTGCAGGGATTGCAGTGTGGGGGCAAGGCTACCCGGGGTCCCGCAAGGCTCAGTACGAAAAAAAGTTTCTGTGCCATAGTACCGAATTGGCTTGTAAACTTCTCTTGCGGCAGAACGGGGACGATTTTTGTTGCAACAACACCACCACATCTGCACAAAATGGACTCAAATATGGTGGGCGCGACGAGCTTTGAGCCAGAAATGGCCCAGATTAAGGTCACATTCACCACGACCGAAGATGGCTTCGAATTGCCTGAGAGCAGGAGACAACTGCTTGTCCCAGCCGGTATGCTTTTCCCCTTCGCTCTGTCTTGATGCGCATCTTTTCTCTGGTTGGAAGAATGATTGTGCCTGGCGCATATGGAAGCTTCTTTATTGACAATAGCACATTAGACATAAAACGCCTCGGCCTCTCCCGCATCCTCAACTCCGAATCCATGCTCGACACGCCCCAGCCCGTTCCCTTCGACTTCCTCATCAACGGAACCTTCCTGACCTCCACGCTCGAAGAGTACCTCGAGAGGGAAGGCCTGTCCTTTGAGACCAACATCACCCTCCAGTACGTCCGCAGCTTGATCCCTCCGCAGTACGAGGCTTCCTTCGAGCACGACGACTGGGTCAGTGCCGTTGACGTCCTGTCCAGCTCCTCGCCCGCGGGTGTGTGGTCCGTCGACAGCTTCACGGCGGGCCACGACAGAATCCTGTCCGCCTCGTACGACGGCCTATTAAGAATATGGAACGGCTCGGGAGACGTCATCGCCACCTCGCCAGCGGGCAGTCACGGCGGGCACAGCGCGAGCGTCAAGGCAGCCCGGTTCCTCTCCAACAGCCAGATCGCCTCCGCAGGCCTCGACCGCACGGTGAGGGTATGGAAGTACACCGAAGCCGGCGACCAGTCTTCCGGCGAGCTCAAGCCCACCCTCGAGCTCTATGGGCACAGGTCGACCATCGACTCGCTCGAGGTTGACGGCACCTCGCGGCGCATCCTGACCGCGTCCGCGGACGGTTCCATCGGCCTGTGGTCCACCTCCAAGGCTTCCGCGCCCCAGGCGCCGGTCGAGCTGCTGCCGGGCAGCACACATGCGAGCAAGCGGCGGAAGCTGGCGAGCAGTGTGTCCGCACCACAGCGAGGAGCGCTGCACCTCGCGGCGTTCCACAAGGCGCCGGCCACGGCGGCTGTGTTCGACCCGCGGGACTTGACTGTCGCGTACAGCGCGGGTCAGGATCACGACCTGCACACTATTGACCTGACGACCATGGTTAAGGTAAACACGATACCGGCGTCCAGCGCGCTGCTGTCGCTGTGCGCCGTGCCTGGCCCGAGCGGGAGCCCATTGCTGGCCGCCGGCACGTCCTCGAGGAACGTGGTGCTCGTAGACCCGAGGGAGTCCCAGGCCAGGACATCGGTTATGACGTTGCGAGGCCACGTGAACAAGGTTGTCTCGCTGGCCAGGTGTCCAGAGAACGAGCACTCTCTCGTCTCGGGCTCCCACGACGGGACTTGTCGCATTTGGGATTTGAGGAGTGTTAGGCCTGCCACGAAGAACGAGGATGGCGCCGCTGGCGGCGGTGTCAGCGAGGCCGTGTACGTGATTGAGCGAGAGACCAAGGGAGGCAGGAAACGGCCGCTGGCGGGAGAGGGCTGCAAGGTCTTCAGTGTCGTGTGGGATCAGACGTGGGGCATCGTGAGCGGTGGCGAGGACAAAAGAGTGCAGATCAACAGAGGAAGGGACATTATTGCGTCATGAGGCAGAACCAGAAAGAAAGGGAAAAAGGCAGCGTTGTCTGGAAGCTATGTGCAGAGATTATACCCCAATAGAGATAATATCTGAACGTGCGATCTGGGAGGGAAATGGAGTGTTGTAATATACATACTGCCTATCAATGGTATCGTGAAATCATCAGCACCCCGTCTATGCAAAATGCTCGCGTAGTACGAGTCTTTTTATCTCGTCAGAACGTCTTGTGCTTGTTTATCACCTTGTGCTTCTCTGCTTCATTCCTTTGAGGACGCAACGCCGTAATGGATCGCTTTCCATATGCCAAAGAACCTGCTCCTGATCACACTGTCGTGCATATGGCCAGCCACTTCAGTCTTCATTCGCTCGTTGTCGTATGGTAGCTTCTCGGACTGGACACTTGACAAGATGTAGCTAGCCACAGTTGAAGTCTGCAACGGAGGATCCCTGAGCATGCGCGCAACGTCTTCACAATTCAAGCCCTTGTTGGCATGCCAGATAAAATAGGCCTTCAAGGCGGCGGGGGTAACCCTGATCTTTCCGCCTCGAGCCTCTTTGTGCTCTGCAACACAAATCTCTGCGGCCTCAACTTTGGGGTCTTTCGGTAGCTCGGGTGCTGGCATAGCTTTCGTTGCTGTTGTGGCTCTGCTCTTCGTAGCGGCCTTCTTGGTGTTTGTGTTGCTGGTGACCGAGTCTCCGAGGTCCGGTTCGACCTCGTCCAGACATTGGACAGTCCCTTGGATGTCCTCAATTGCTTGTAAGAGCTCCAAGCGCAATGCGCCCCGCGCATCGCTCTCACCTTCTGCTTCAAGAAGCGCCTCATCCGTGATTCCTTCGTCGAGATCGGACTCCTCCGAGCTTGACATTTCCACACCAGGCGGAAGAGGAATCGGTTTGTCTAGTTCTAAGTGGAATGGAAGAGCAGGCACTGGGTCTAGTTTCTCGCGCTGGTGATTCAGCATCGCGAACAAGTGAATGGCCGCATACGCATCAGACGCCGAATACCCGATCTGTCCCATGTCTAGAGGCTGCGACCAGTCGCTCGTCCTGACATTTTGGTCCTTCCGCATGGGCAGGCCAAAGACCTCCTTGCACTGGGTAGCGAGGGAGACCAACTTCTTGTTGACCAGCGCGGGTCGGCTGGTTGAATATTTGACTTGCTTGAACAAGTGGCTCAGCTCGAATATGCCGCGAGCGTTGATGCTGAGGTACTTCTTCAGTCTCGTGCAGTCGCCCTTGATCCAGACACCAAGTTTGGTGACGTTAGGATCCTCGATGATCTTCCGTAGTGTCGGCGTGGCAAGCTCATCCTTTGCAGGGTATACAGCCAGATGCAGGAGAACAACCCGGCTCTGGCTTGCAAGTTGTACCAACGAGACGTTCCTCCGGGCGCCTGAAGACTTGCTCGCGAGAGCGACCCATTCTAGATCCAAGCCAACGAACTTCTCGCCCACGAGATACTGCAACGCCCGTTCGGCGACATGAGCATTCTTGCAATAATGGACGCGCACTTTACCCTTGACACCGTCCTCCCGATTAGGACCCCGGTAGAAAGAGTACGACCAGAAAGACTCATCAGTCCCCTCGGCCGCCTGCCTGGCAGCTTGGAAGACCTCATCAGACATTTTGTAATCCAAAGGTGTAAATGGGGTAGGCATGCTCTCTGGTGGCCGCTCTCCGGGTGCAGGCTGTGCTGTTGGTGTCGTCGACGGCGCATTGTCTCCCGTCTCATTCCGATCTGCTCCTGCTGGAGCTAGGACTTGTATTGATTGATCATCGCGCTCCGATTGCTCCGATACGACCTCCTCTTTTTCCTCGCGGAGAACCGTCTCCTGCTCGAGAACCACATTATGTAACCCTTGTCTGCGCGCTATTATAGTTGTCTCTACACCGACCTTCGATTCGTGCACTCGCACAGGCGGCGCATCTGCAGACTCGCCTGGTCTTGTATCTGCATCCCTCGTAACTGAGGCCTCCGTGAAGAATCTCGAGGCATCGAGGGTAGGATACAAAGGCTGCTGGAAGACAATTCCCTGGTTCGGGTGCCAGAGCCTCCAATTAGGAGGATGTTTCGAAGAGCCGGTCATTCTAGAAGTTGTACGCCTGTTTACGTGGTCAAAGGAGCGTTAGCGAAGCACAATGGTCTTGCCTCCTGTATGAAGAGTATTATACTTGTAGAATGGATATAGTTGGACGCACAAGAGACGCCGAATCACGGCCCGTCGAGGAGAGGTAGGAAAAGCAAGGAGACCCGGTGGGCGATACGTGGGAATCATGACACGCGTTCTGCCACTACCAGACGACAAGACCGAAGCGCCATGTTGCCCAGCGATCATAATAATCGCAGCATTGATGTTCAGGCTGCTCGAATTATGGTGGGGGGGGGAGGGGGGCGAGAGGACGGCCGCAGGCAGAAACGCAGGGGTTCGTTTGTTCAGTGGTTGAGCCGCAAGAGACGCGCTGCTGTTGGACGCGCTTGGGGTGGGCGATTGGTGGAGCTGCTTGGCGCTAGAGGTTAGTTAGCCTTGTGTTGTCAGGGTGCCTTAGCTCACCCAGTTAACTCGATAAACCCGCTAGAGCGATTCCTCACAGTCGTGTTTGCAATAACTCAAACATCAACTACGAGGGGGCCGCACCAAGCCCAGCACAACGAAAGACCTTGAATTTCGAAAGCAACACCTTCGCCTTTATCCACTCCATCCGTTACCTATCACAAATTTGACGAAGATGGCGTCTCAGGTGCAGCCGCTCGGTAAGAAAACTATGCCCCTCTAAGGGAGAATCCTCGCACTGACCTAAGGTTGACAGAGCTTGTCGACAAGTGCGTCGGATCCAGGATATGGGTGATCATGAAGGGTGACAGGGGTGAGTATCCTACTTCTCTCTCTGCCGACATGGAGTCATCTGTTAACCTTGCATGAACAGAGTTCAGCGGCACGCTGCTCGGCTTTGACGACTACGTCAGTAAGTCTCACAGCCTTCCTTCCTTTCTGAAAGAACGGCGCCTCGGGTTCGGAAGCTGACTGCCACTACAGACATTGTACTAGAGGATGTGACTGAGTTGTAAGGCATCACTGCAGAGAGAGTCTTGGTGTTGACAGGAGTTGTGAGAATGCTGACTGTTGGCTCTGGTTCCAGTGACTATGCCGGAAACGCAACAAAGCTGAACAAGATCTTGCTGAATGGCAACAATATATGCATGGTATGACTACTCCGGGCGTCAAGGCACCATGGCCTGCTTTCTTACTGACTGATCTTGTTCTAGCTCATCCCGGGAGGCGAGGGACCCGTGGCGCCGTCATGAATCCTGATATCGTGAAGGGAAGATTCTCCTGAGCAATATATTGCATTGGCTCAAATATCTGGGGAATACGGCAGGCCTGATGTTTACGTGGAAGAGATTCGAGCTAGATGGCAGAGGACTTCTCGATGATAAGAAGCCAGAAGATGCAGCAGCACACGCTGAACGCACAAGGCCTTTATGAAGCTATCATAGGAGAACTTGTGCTACGAGATAGCCCCTTCAGATATGCCAGATTTCATCAGCTGGGAATCAAGCATATCGTTGATGTTTTTGGACCCATTATGACTGCCTGTGTATCCATCCTCTATAGTCTTGGTTACACTGAGGAGCTTTCTCACCTTCTCAAAGGTGTGCCGTTTGCATAACTTAGATCCTCACGTGGGATATTGATACTTTTCATTCATGAACCATGGCCTGACCACCAACGCCGTAAACACCGAGCAGATGATCACTGCTTTGACCATCGGGAAGCAAACCGAACCACCGACCCAGGCGAGCCCAAGGCCCATTCCCATGAAGACCCCCTTCCTAATCAAGAGACCCCAGGAGCAGGTGATGCTGACGCCATAGATGCTACAATAGTCATCCTAAAAGCCGCCGTTGGCATTGCCGTCGCCGTCGGTGGGACCTGTGGTGGCCATGCGACGCAGCTCGTACTCGCGGGTGAACTCGCGGCCCAGCTGAGCGAACTTGGCGATCAGGTTGCGGGCGACCTCGACGAAGGCATCCTTGGGCGTGATGGTGCCGTCAGTCTGGACACGGATGAATAGCTCAGGCACGTTAGGGTGAGCGACTGGGCGGTGTCGTTGTCAGCTGCTGAGCCCTCCTGTACTGACAAAATTCTAGCAGGATGAATCTTACTCTTGTATCCAGCCATCAGGACGTGGGGGTGCTGCTTGAGGTGCTCGGACATGAGGTTGCCGATGGTGTGGTCCTCCTTCTTGATCAAGAAGTCAGAGCAGTTGGACATGCCTGATCACAACATCGTCAGTCCCTCTCTGCCGTTCTCGAAGTGTAGTTCTGAACCGTTGCATGGCGCGTCGGATAGTAAGCTTACGAGGGAAGGGCGTCTCGGAAATCTTCTTCTCGCCATCACTGAGCAAGAAGAGCTCAAACCTGTGTGTAAGGGTCAGCAAAGCCGTACCTATATCGGACCTGAGTGAAGCGCGTGAACGGCCGGAGGGGTAAGAGGTACCACTCGGCGACGTTGTCGTGTTTGGGGTTCCTCATCTTGACAACGATTGTGGGAGTTCCTTGCTGACACAAGTTTGATTTGATACAGTGAAGCAGAGAACGGTCGGAGACGATGCAGAGTCAAAGTTGCGCGGACGAGAATTTCTGATGAGCGCAGCAGCGGCTGTACGAGGCCCGTTATGCAGTTGCACCTTGCAGGCAGCTCTTGCTATCCCACTGGGGATAAGGAGGCCATGTGCTCCCGCGGCTGCCACATGAATGCTCGGGCAGTGGAAGCAACATGCGACACACACACACACACACACACACACACACACACAAAGAGCCCACCCACGGCTACCGCGATCCTGACTTGTGACCTGTCTAGCCCATGTCGCGGGACCCTTCGACCGCCTCTCGACCCAAGCACATTTTACGTCCATTCCCTTCTCTCTAGCATGCCCGATTGACTTGAAGCCATGCATTCATTTTCCACTTGAAACAAGATGATGCTCCCCCACCATAATCAACTCAGGATGTCTTTGAAAGAAGTAAAAAGTACTCAGACTCACCTGTCAGGGGCGTTCATCTTCACACAAGAAGAGCAGAGTCCCAGGCAAAAAAACAAAAAACAAAAAACCAGCAACTATGAGGGAATATATGGACGAGATGGTAGGAATATAATTAGATTATGTGTCGGAGAAATGTAGAGCTGGTAAGAATAGAGCAATGGTAGGCGTTGTGATGAGCAGTCGTGGTTTGTCAGGAAGCCAAAGAGAAAGGAAAAGATGGGTTTGGACTGAGGCTGGGAGGAAAGGATTGAGGCTCTTCAGGTGCACGCTAGTGTTGGTTTGCCGCTGTCAGTTGGCTAAGGGGCCACTAACATTTGGTGGGGGTTGGGTTCACTGAACCCCCCGGCAATCACCCGCATCTCTGATTCATCACCATTTCAACCATTGTAATTTTGCATGTGATTGAAATAGTGTTCTATCACAATAGTTGCAGGCTATATCTCAATTCTTTTTAACAATTGCCTTGATATAATGCTTCAGCTATATCTTGTCAATCTATTCTATCTCAATCTCTGAATAATCACAGCGGCCTTGAACTCCCTTGATGATGATGCTATGCTATGATTCTTGCACACACAAAGAAGATCCAGCCATTAACACTTTGCTTTCCACCTCATCTCCAAACAGTCCTCCCCCGTCCCCCCCCCTCAACCCCACAATCCACAGTTTGATTTACAGACCCTTCTTGTCACAGTATCCTGGGAGAGAAGGGCCACTCTCACCTCCGGCCCAGCTGGTAACAGTCAGGATCGTGGTATATGCCATGGCAACAAAGCCAAAAATGCAGAGGATGACGTCAGAAATCTTCCAAAGAGTGGTCCTTGCCACAGCACGGTAGTGCAGCATGGGCTAGAGATAGTGTTAGCATATACATCTTTGAATTGAGCAGAAAGGAAAACAAGGGAGGCAAGGGGAGACACTCACAGGATAGATATAGACAAGGGGAATGCAGGCAAAATTGCCCACCAATGCAACAAACTTGTCTAGATCATCTGCACCACCCCAGGCAATGATGGCACATAAAATTACAAACAAGAATCGGAAGATGTTCTTTTGCCACTTGATATACGGGTTGTACTTCCCACTTCGCGCAAAGAGCCCATTCTCCAGGATCTTGATCGCAGGGAAGATCTGTAGCGGTGTCGAGAGCATGATGGCCATCGAGTACAGAAACTGCACGCCATTGACCAGCTTGTTGTCCTGCGGCAGGTTGAGCAGGACCACCGTCTCGGTCTTGGAGCCGTAGGCCGCGTAAGAGACGGCACCCATGACGGTGAATAGTGCCGTGATGATGATCATGACCACGAACAAGACCTTGGGGAATTTCTTGGGGTTGGCCATGGACTCCTGGATGGGAATAATGAGGCCAATGCCCTCGAAGGTGAAGATGGCGGTGCCGATGAACAGCGTCCAGTCCTTTTGGTTAAACAGGATGATATCTGCCAGGCCGAACTTGTCGAGCGTCAACACGTCGTAGTAGAAGAGGTAGCCCAGGCCCAGAATGATGAAGGCATCCGCGACAAAGGCCGTGAAGCTGAGTTTGTTGATGTCGCGGAAGAGCGAGAACGGCAGGAAGATGACCATCTGCATCAGGATCAACCACTTGACCTGTATGTGCGTCTGGCAGTCGGATACCGCGAGAATGAAGGCCTGGAGATTTTCCGACACGAATACAATATAGGCCGCCACGAATCCGATCTGACTAATGACGATGGAGCCCAGGATGAGAGACCGGAGCCACTTGCCGTATAGTATGCCACCCATGTCGCCGAACGAGCCCTCCACCTTGAGGCGCGATGTGACGAGGAGCACGAAGCAGTAGTAGCTGAGCGCCGCGACGAAGAGCAAGACCAGGTTGCTGAAGACCATGCCACCGTTCAGATAAGCACGGGGGAGGAACAAGACGCCAGTCCCGACGAACGATTTCAGCAGCACCAGAGCGGCACCCGTCGGGCTGGCCTTTCCACTGGTCCGATGCTTTCTTCTCCGTTTTCGACGCGAAGGCGTGAGCAGGGCACTATCCTCCATCGGCTCGCGGTCCTCGTCCGAATCCTCGTCGCTGTCCCATTCTTCCTCTCCCGAGGAGAAGTACTCGCCGGGCTTCAGCGCCTCATCGTCCTCTTCGAGCTCCTCACCAGCAAAGTGGCCGTAGATGCTCAAGAACTCGAGGAAGCTGGACGTGAACACTTGGGGCTGCCGACTCGACGGTTCCCCGTACTCGATATCCCCACCACGTCCTCCGGGTCCCGGCGCAGGGCTTCCGGCGCTGCGGCGAAGGAAATTCCGGCGGAACCCGCCAGGCACCTTGATGGTGGTGATATCCAAGACCTCCTCCTCTGGCTCGGGGCGTGGCATGCTGAAGCTCTTGCTGCGCTGGATCTTGTTTGTAGCCTCCTCGGTCCACTTGTAGATTGGCCGCGTAATGTCGCCGCCTTGCAGCCGCAGACTCGAAAACTCCTCGTCGTCCGTCCCTGTGTCCGGCTGCTTCCCCTTGCCGCTGGTCTCGCCCGGTCTGCGGCTGCTCGAGTCGTCGGACTGGTAGGCGGCATCGGACGGCTGCACAAGATGGCGTCGTACAATCTCGGGATCCTCGTATGCGCCACTGATGGCTCGTTCTTGCGGGTGAAAAGAGCCATAGTTTGTCGGCGTGGCAGAGTGCAGGTTCTGGGCACTAGACGCGCTGGGCGACTGAGCTCGTACGGGAGGCGTGCCAAAGCGTGGAGGAGAGGCACCGTAAGAGTTGGACAGGGCCGCCGCGAGAGCCGAGATGCCAGGTCCGGGTGCTGCTGAGGAGCCGGTCGCGCCGGGAAGAGGTGCTATCGAGCCTGTTATGCTGCTGGCATCTGTCTCGGCACTGCGCTGCGCATCTCGGACGCGGGAGCTGGGAGATGTGCCGGGCTGTGGGATGGGAGATGCAAGGCGGGCGGTCGCGCCTGCTCGTGGAACTGAGGTGCCATAGGACCGGCTGCGAAACGAGCCTGGCGAGGCAGAGCGTGGGATCTCTACAGGCGGCTGGCCCGCTGAATCCTTTCCGATACTCGACATTGTGTAGAGAGTCTGATCTGTTGCGGAATCGAACAGTAGGTCAGCACAACATAAGTAGCTGGGCCCAGCGGCTGGGTTCGAGGTGCTATGCGGTGGCAGCGGCGTTGCTGCTGCTGCTGCTGCTGAGCGCTTTGCTTATCAAGGACTGCTGCGAGGAGGCTGGCGGCTGTTTTAACAGAAACGGACCACTGTTGTGGATCGCGGGCGTTCTGACTGACGACAGCCAAGACGGCAATGGGTATTGTACAAGGGGTCTCTCAGAGCTCACCAGCGCCCTGAAGCATTTTTCAGGGCTGGAAAGGAAGAACAGCTCACGAGAAAATGACTCGGTATATTACCTTTGAGTCCGGCTGTGAGGAGCCTGCCATAACAGCCATAGTAAGAAAGATCACGGCTCGTGATAGGACCTGCCTCAGCCGGCAAGGTCCAGCTGACCCTATCATCTTCGTGGGGGCCTAAGTATTGCTAACAGTATTCCGCGCAGCCTCTGGAGAAAACTGCTAGAGTCATGTACTGTTCAGCTACGATAGCTTATCGTGCATCCAGACACGGGACCCCTTGACATCACCCAGCACGAGACGGACAATGCCTCGTCCATCCGTCTCCATCCGCCCTAGACAACGACATGTCGCCCATTCCCAGGCAGAAAGATGTCTGCCCACCAAAGGTCCTGACCCCTTGAAGGATTTCAACCCCATCTATTGACTTATTGCAAAGCTACGTATTTCAATGGCTGAAGGAGGAAGGGTTGGATAAGTATATTTTACCCTCAGATTCATGAACCATCTTTCAAGGCCGCTGGAACACAAAAGATTGAGACATCTTGAGAATACCAATTTAAGGTTCGGGGTCTCGAGTCCAGGACCGGATTTCATGGCTCTTCCAAGAATACTCGGACCTCCGAAAGATGTTAGTTACTTCGGGAGCCTTCAGGATTTGCCATCGCGGCTGGAGCGCTTAACAATTATAGAGGCTATTATACTGTCGATCCATCAGCGTCCGAGGCACCTTACGAAGCACAACTGATTGGAATAAATCCCAAAATTTAAAGACGACGTCCAAGTCCTCGCACAAAAGATCATACAACGATCAACAGATGTAACGATAGACAAGAAAAGATAATGGAGACTGATACTCGAGCTCACCGCGGCAAGCGGGCGTGGGGCATGCTGTCGTGCAGGGGTGCAGTGGTGCCTGTATTTTGGGAACGAGCAGGGCAGCCACAAGACGGAAATGACGTTCACTCAACTCGTGTTGCCGATCTGGTATGCAACCTCCACAAGAAACCCCTCCTCCCTTCTGGTTTTGTGATGCAGTGACACCGATGGTCCTCTTGATACACAACGAGTATACGACTTGGGGATTATTCCTGGTGCTGTGAAACCACACCGCTCGTCCTCACTCACCCATGTTTATTCGTCTTAGTGTGGGCTTCAGTCAACATTGGGGCTGGGATTTGGGACGTGTTTCTCGCGTGCTGCAGGGACTGAGTTCTCTACCTCGCCACCAAAAAGAATCTCTTCTACACCTGTGTGGAGGTCACCAGGGGCTTTCGTGGACATCTCCCATGTCTCTCAGCCGTGAAACCTCTTCGTCATGGACAATATGGATCATCCAAATGGCGGCAAAAAGCATAACAAACTAGGGCTTATCTCTGGCGTCTACATACCAGTATGCCTGAATATCTTGAGCATCCTTCTCTTCCTGCGCTTTGGCCTGATTCTCGGTCAAGTTGGCCTCATGGGCATGCTGGGTAAGAAACGACATCCCTGTCCACCACCGCCCGCCCAACCCCTCCTCAACCACCACCACAATGTACATATAAAAATTATCCGTAGATCTTGGTCATGGCTAAAACCTTTTTCACTAGGTCTTTTGGTGGCTTCTTACTTGATAGATGTCATCACGACGCTCTCGTTGTCTGCCGTCAGCTCAAATGGAGAGGTCAAATCCGGCGGCACCTACTACCTAATATCCCGCTCATTGGGTCCGGAGTTTGGTGGTTCAATCGGGCTTCTCTTCTATCTGGCGCAGGCACTGAATACGGCTATGAACATTGTCGGTCTGATCGCAGTCCTCAAGTCCAACTTCGAGCAGACTTTGCCGCAGGGGTACTGGTGGACCTATCTCCTCCAGACGATTGCTTTGGTCGTGGTCACTGCCTTGTCTCTCGCAGGGAGTGGAATGTTCTCAAAGGCCAGCAACGCATTGCTCATCATCCTGGGGGCTGCTATTCTGAGCATACCCATCACAGCCATCTTTAGGAAGCCCTTTGAGGATCCAAGCCTTGACGTCGAATTCACGGGGCTGAGCTTGACTACGCTCAGGTCTAACCTCTGGCCGCACACCGAAGGCAAGCACTATGATGGGATTAAGGTCTTTCGGGACCTCTTTGGGATTTTATTCCCTGCGACATCAGGTTTGTGTCTTCTGGCTGTGGACATAGATAACAAGTTCTAATCGTCCACTAGGTATCTTTGCCGGGGCCTCGATGTCAGGAGACCTAAAATCTCCAAGCAGATCCATTCCTGCAGGCACCCTCTGGGCTATCCTGACCACCTTTACCGCCTACCTGATAGTCATTCTATCAATGGCAGCGAGCACCTCACATGGCTCTCTCCTTCGAAATCCCCATATCCTTCAGGACACTAGCCTCTATGCACCCACTATCCTCGCCGGCGAATTGGCCGTCACCTTCTTTTCGGCGTTGATGGGCATCCTAGGTGCGGCGAAGTTGATGCAAGCACTGGCGCGAGACAAGTTGTTTCCTGGATCCTCACTCTTTGGCAAAGGTCTGAAGAAGACCGATGAGCCCTTCGTAGCAGTGCTGTTGACGTACGCGATTGCTCAGCTGGCTCTTCTCGCGTATCTTGACCAGCTTGCCTCACTGATAGCCATCTTCTACATGGTAGGTTGAACATGCCCGTGGAGGGCTATCTCCTTGAGCTTCTCCGTTATCTCTCTCTCTACCCGATGATTTTTGAACAAAAGAGAAAAAATCTTCTATCATCCAATTGTTCAGTGCTTCCTGTCTCTGCGAAGCACTTCCTGAGGAGAAGAGGTAGATAGGGCAGTACTGGGGGTTCACGCTCCGAAGTACTTTGGGGCCAGTCGCTACCTCAACCAAGTCCTACTGCTGAAATCAGGCCGGGACACCGTCTTCTTTGATATCTCAAGGCTAACACTCCACAGCTGACATTCTTTACCATGAACGTGGCGTGTTTTCTTCTCAGGATCGGCTCTGCACCAAACTTCAGACCCGGCTTCAAGTTTTTCAGCTGGCAGAGCGCCTTTGCCGGCGCTATCATGTCAGCTGCCGCCATGTTCTTCATCGACGAGACTTCTGCTGCCACGGCCGTTTGTCTCCTGATCTTTCTCTTTCTGCTCCTTCACTACCTGTCTCCTCCAAAACACTGGGGAGATATCAGTCAGAGCTTGATCTATCATCAGGTTCGAAAGTACCTCTTAAGGATGAAGCCGGAACACATCAAGTTCTGGAGACCGCAGATTATCTTGCTCGTGAACGACCCGCGCCATCAAACACGCCTCATCCAGTTCTGTAACTCGATGAAGAAAGGGGCGCTGTACATCCTGGGCCACGTCATTGTCACCTCGGACTTCACCTCTGGGGTGCAAGAGGCCAAATCTCAACAGCAGGCGTGGACCAAATACATCTCCGACGCATCCAGAATCAAAGCATTTGTGCAGTTGAACATGAGTCCCTCCATCACGTGGGGTGTTCGCAACCTCATCTTGTCTGCAGGGCTGGGCGGCATGCGCCCCAACATCGCCGTCATTGGTTTCTACAATTTGTCTGAGCTGCGTCAAGCGAATCCGCGCCTATCAGTCCCGACATCTCTCGTCTCACCCAGACTCAGTCGTGCCTCTTCTATCAAGGAGGGAAAATTTCCGAGGCGGCGGCGCGGCGACACATCCGCACGTATTTTGGAGGGTCATCTTCCCACGGACATCATTCGTACGGAAGGACTCATGAGCGCAAGTGACTACCTCACTATTCTTGAGGATCTGGCCCTGAGGTTCCGAATGAATGTTGCGATTGGCAAGGATTTTCATAAACTCGAAACTCCTCGGCATGACGGCACGAACCGAAAGAAGTATATCGATTTATGGCCAGTACAGATGTCTGCTGAATTACAGTCAGAAGGGAAAAGCGTTCTCACAACAAACTTTGACACTTGTAAGTCAAACAAACATCTGCAGACCCGCCCCCCCACCCTTCTTGTTTTGGTGTGCGCTAATTTCGTACAACAGACACACTCATCCTGCAATTGGGCTGTATCCTGCACTCCGTACAGGCTTGGAACAAAGTCTACCAGCTCCGCGTGCTTGTCTTTGTCGAGTACGAGGAAGAAGTCAACTCCGAGAGGGGAAGAGTCAAAGCCCTGCTCGAGAAGCTGAGAATTGAGGCAGATGTACTCGTGTTTCATCTAGCAAGCGGCGACCTTGCGACCTATGAGACAATTGTCTCTGGCCAGACTGTTGATCCGATTACAGATGCTATGGTCAACGACAGCCTAAAGGATGAGCAGTGGTGGGATGAGCTGCAGACCTTGAGAGGCCGGCGGAATCATATGAGCGCGTCACAGGAGCTCGACTCCTTAGCAAACATAGTAGAGTCAACTGCTGGGAGGCCGGGAGTTTTCAACCCACACAACGATCTAGAGTCTTATGGTGAGCGCAGACGTCACAGTATAGCAAGAATGGCGGAGCTCCCGAAGAAGCCTACTGTCTCTACCCTGGCCAGGCTCGGGGTCAACATGGGCATTCACACGGCGAATCTTCAGCCGAACGTGTTCGACAGCAGCTCCGAAAGCCACAGTGGCTCGACGAGCGAAAATGACACCGACACGTCTGATGACGAGGGCAATGTTGACTTTAACGATGATGCCAGCGCAGCGAGCGAGGGAGACCTGGGACACATCGAGCCTGTTCGCCGGCCACTGCTCTCCTCGCCAAGTCGGAGGAGGAGCTACAACGATTTCCCACCCGTTCAGATCAGGGAGCCTTTAGTGCGCGGGAGACAGGTTCAGGTCGATAGGATCTCGAGGTCGCCAGGGGCCACGGCGACAGCGACAACGTCATACGGCACAATGTCGAGTGACGAGGCGGGGGCATCAGGCACTGCTTCTTCAGAAGCTCCGTACCGCCCGAACTTGGCAGCAGTTTCCAGTGCCCTGCTCGAGATTGACCGACCGGAGAGCCCACGGAGAGGGCTGAGTCGGAACGAGTCGCGGGACCAGGTGCACACGAGGATTCACACACCCAAGCCGGTGAGACCAGCCTTCTCGAGACAGGGCAGCCAGGCGGTGAGGTTCTCCAGCCAAGTCCTACCACAGACCGAAATCACAGAGTCAGAGGGCGGGCTGGGCCCAGTGCTCCGATTTGCAGAATCAGAAACTCCTCAAGAGCGTCCAGGGATCTCCAGGACAGCTTCGCAAGTCAAATTTTCAGGCCAAGCTGCTCCCCCGGAAACAAGATATCATGACCAAGGAGAGGTCGGGCCGATGGTTTCATTTGCGCTGGAACCAGAGAGCAAACCGCGGACGGAGCCTCCGTCCCCTGGAGAGAGCCAGAAGGACGTTGCGATCCATATTCCGGACCTGCTCGCTTCCTACCAGTTGAACAGCGTGGAAGAAGAGGCAGACAACGGCCCTGGTGGTCACAACCCTAGCCTACAGCTCTCTTTTAATGACCTGCCCAGCCGGGCCCAGTACTTAATCCTCAACGAGCTGCTGCGTCAGAACTCGAGCGACTCTGCAGTCTTGTACACGACGCTGCCTATACCGGCCGAGGGAACCTGCAGGAGCGAAGAGGCGAGTGTGCAGTACCTTTCGGATATCGAGGTTCTCTGCAGTGATTTGCCTCCTGTGTTGCTGGTGTTGAGCAACAACATGACGTACGTATTTAGAGTTTGCCCATCTATTACTCCCTCTAAAAAGGCTTGGTGCTAATTTCTTTGTTATGCAGGGTGACCGTCAGTTTGTGAGCTGGAAGAAGAGTGTATCTAGTATCGTCTATTAGCTCCGACATATCGCCTTCGACCTCGACGGGCTGGAAACGTTCATTTCCCTTCCCGTGCAGTTTTTCCAAGTCAGTCGAAAGGGATTTTTTCAGGGAAAGATTTTCCATCTCAAGCAATCTATTTGTTGCATTTCAATCACCTTCACAACTTTGCATAGTCGCGGATTTCATCTGGTTGATCAAAGAAAGGGAAGTTGAGCATAGCACTCAGGCGTCGTGGCATTCTAGAAACGGCATAGAAGAGGGAAGACAATGACAACATAGTATTTACTAAATAAACCTATTTCACCCTTGCAGGCTTCATGTATCCCTCGTCACGAATCGTGTGATGTGTGTGGTGTGCTGTGTGTGTTGTCTCACGCCAAGTCAAGGGAGCGAGTCTGTACTAGCAATTGATCGGTCCGTTGTCCGGTCCCTTTTCGACCTCCCAACACAACGACCGTCGAAAACCGGTTGCTCAAAAGGACTCTGCATATTCCATGACAAGAACAAAGCAATCCTGACGCAAGCTTCTAAGTTGACTAGGACTCGGAGGGGGGAAGCACAGGCTCACACTCACAAAGTTGACTCTTTGTTACTCACTCTTTCTTTCCCCTTCCGCACGGAGTTTTCTACGAACCAGCTGCGCCGGGCACAGATTGGGCCTCAGCCTCGTCCGTCTGGAATTTTTTGTTTCCATTTAAAAAGAAAAAAGGGACGTCATGCTAGAACCGCGCATTTTCGTGTGAACATTCCAGTCGAGACGCGCGCTGCTCGCGCCGCCTACTACGTAATTTGTGCCCTCTTGTTGCCCAACATGAACCGGCACCACCACGATGTCCACCAGAATCCCTCCACTTCCACCCTCAGCAGTCCAAGCAGCAGCAGTAACAGCAACAATAACAGCACAAAGGCGAAGCTCCTGCTGTCCAAAATCAACAAGCTCGTACGGCCGTCGGAAAACAACAACAACGGTATCTTCGGCCTCAGGTCGCCCAGGAGCACGACGACGACGACTCCCACGTCGGGCAGCACGGTGACAGATCTGTTCAGGGTCGTGCATGAACCCGACAGGATGCCGCTGTACTCACCGCCGATGCCTATGAACCCACGCACGGAGCGTGAGTGCGAGGAGGCGCTTAAAGAGATGTTTGCGCAGGCGAGGGTGGGGAAGATGGCGGAGAGGCAGGGGTCGAGCCAGGAGGAGCAGGCGAGGACGATGAGTCTGACTATCCCTGATTCGAGGTATGATGAGTTTGTCGGCCGTCAAGAATCTCGAAGCGATCCACCACAAGACCGTGGAGGTGCTTCCATGAGCAAGAACCACCGACGACTGCCGTTCATTGTTGTTCCCCAAGACGGCATGGCCACCTCCTCTCACTCCGAACAACCAAGCGTACAGACCCCTCCTGTTTACAGAAGACCAGAAGTGGTGCGGCTGGAGTCCATCCCAGGCAGTCCCATGACGCCCGTGACCGCCGTCTTCACGCCGACAATGACAACGACGCCCTTAGCTGTCGGGCTTTCTCAGCGCCCCATGACGCCCAGCACACCACGGTCGACCGACAGCCGCGGCGTGCAGAGTGTCATCAGCGGGGAATCGGCACGAGCCCCACGTCTTCTGTCGCAGAGGGCGCTGATAGCGCTGGACCCTAAGGACAGAGGCAAGCAGGGTACGAACATGCACAGCACGCTGAGTCCACTGTCGTGGTCGCCTGTTTCGATGGAAGCTCCAACCAGCAGGCCGCCAGGGTGGAAGAATACCGCTGTGGCGGAGGAGTTGTTAAAGACGCCGCCTCGGCCGCGGCAGGATGATGCCGATGCGTGGGCTACGAAGACGAGGAGTAGCGTAACGGCCGACGATTGGGCGAGTACCGACAGTGACGACGATGTAGCCGGAACATCGACTCTGTTGCTGAGAGAGATTGGCCAGGCTCACAAGACGAAGAGTGTCGAAAACACAACCGCTCAGGCGCCGAGAACGCCACCGAACAAGAGATGTCTGATGTGCCCAGAGCCCTGTAGGCCAAATGCCAGACTGTGCGACAAATGTCGGGAGGAATATGAGCAAAGGGACTCCGACATGGAGGACTCAGACTCAGCTTATGAAGACATCGTAGTCAGAACGCCGAGTCTCTCCCCGCCGACCATTTCACCACGGAAGGCCAAGCGCTTTGCCATGAACAACAACACCCCGACGAGGTTGTCTCCGCACGATCCTGTCATGTCCTTTCCTCGAACCATCTCATGGCTAAAGGCACCTCCCTTCCCGAGAGACAGCTCGACCCCGCAGACGCCCGTCCAGGGACCATATAGATTCAGCTCGCGGTCGCTCAGCATCTCACCCACGCCATACATCGCACAACAGCTCGAGGTGTTCCCGTCACCACCCCTACGCAGGGTGTCCATCTCGTCGCCGGCTTCGCAGGTCGAGGCGTCCGAGTCTGCTCTGTACCATCTTGGCCGGCGTATGCTCAGCGATGGGGGCAACGAGGTCATTCGTGTTGGCAGGGTGCGTTCTGGCGAGGGGCAGATGGTCCTCTGTCCGAATGATGACGATGATGAAAATGGCGACACGATGAAGATGTTGGCCGACGAGGGTGAGGGGTCCGAGAAGCGGGCTGGGTGGAGGAAGCACGAGGCTGGCGGAAGCTATGGAGATTGGTTCAGCTATTATGCCGAGAAGGAGGGGAAGGGCGTTGCCAGGTAAGTCGTTCGATGTATTGGACCTTGGTCTGTTGTCCTGTAGCAGCGTGAACCGACCGACTAACCGACTGACCCTGCAGCCTTGAACAAAGGACGTCGATGGGCTCGAGTGTCTATGACCGAATTGTATCGATATATGACTTGTACGCCGAGTTGTCTGAGGAGTACGATCATGTCGACATGTTTTGATACGCTCAATGTTGAAAGTGAGTTGATTGATGCCAAATTGAGAAGTTGTGCGAAAGGGAGCATCTTCTTTTTTCAGCCAAGATTGGCGGCGAGTCTCTGTCTTGTGTCTGTGTATATACCGTCTATTATAAATGGACGACAATATAGCCATCTCTTTCTTGCCTTGTCTATGTGCATGATTGACCGTTCGAATGCAAACTTGTATCAATCTTTATCTTTAGGAGATCTTTGTGACGACCAACTCACCTTTATCTCCGCCATCCAGCTCAATTAGGCCGCCGCCCTCGAGCTTCTTCTTCCACTTGGTGCTCTCATACCGCGCCAGGATTATGGTCATCCTCAGTATCTTGTGATTGCTCGAGTCGTGCTCAGTGATGTCGTCTGGTACTGGTGTGAAGGTCCACCGGCCAAAGGCCCAATTCAGGATAAACCTGCTGTGAGGATGTGGTGGTGTGGGAATGGACATGTCCTCATCCGAGCCCCTGACTGTTGTTGATGTCGACAACACGGCCTTGATGCGGTAGACTTCATCCTTTGGTGCCGCCTTTAGGAGTTTTTGGAGGTTTTCTGCGTTGACTGTTGAGCCTTTGGGTCCACTGAGCTCGATGGACAGGACTTCCACCTCCGACTGGTGGCCCTTCTCATGGTCGTGGCCGTGTTCGTGGTCATGAGCATGCCCGCTCGGTCCTTCTGCCAGTGTCTGTGCGAGACCGCCATCGATGCCGAAGACGACGCCCATGGGCACCCTGCCCTTATCACTTTTGACCCAGGCTGTGTCGACTTCCAGATCGCCTACGCGGTCTAGGCACTCATCGAATCTGCGCTCATCACAATTCTCCCACCTACACGCAAGGTCAGGCATTTCTCTCTCTCTTTTTCTCTTCCCAACCTGACAGAGCGAGGAGAGTCTGGGGCCGATAATAAAGAACAGAAGTAGCAATAAGTCTCGACACTTACTTGTTGAAGACAATCAAATCTGTATATTTCGCCTGTAGCCTGGCCGTGACGCTCGTATCCTCATAGCCTTGCCAGTTCTCGACGTCAATGACGCTCACCACGCCGTCAAGCACGTAGGCACCCGTCCGTCTTGCGAGACGGTTGATCTCCATGGCCAGGGTAGCGGGAAACGCGGACCCAGACGTCTCGACGACGACACGATCCGGGGTCACGTCGGCACGCAGCTCCTCTAGGGCTTCGCCCAGCTGGCCGACCAGGTTGCAGCAGATGCACCCGTTGAGCATCTCGCGCACGCCCGAAATGGCGCTGGACGAGGCGAGCTGCGAGTCAACGGCCAGGTCGCCGAACTCATTCTTGAGGAGGGCGAGCCGGTAGTTCGGGCTGGCGGCGCGCAGCTGTGGGATCAGATTGAGGATGAGCGTCGTCTTGCCGGAGCCGAGGAAGCCCGTGATGATCGTGATCGGTATCGGCGCCGCCATCTTTGGGATAGGTGGTTCCTTCTGGTGCGACGAGAAGGCGAAGGCGGCGTGGAAGCTGCGCAGGAGAGGATAGAGGGTGGTCGGAAGTGGGACGTTGGGAAGAAAACGTCGTCCGATGCTCAGCTCATCAGTCTTTCTGAAAATACCTCCATGACCTCAGACGAGACCCGTTCTCGCGCGTCCGGATCGGCTATGAAATTTAAGGTTATCACTTATCGATTTTGCAGGGGCTATCCCTTGCAGATAAAGTAGCTATAGTACATGGGTACACTCGGAATTTATTTGTTTTTGCAGGGACCATTCCAAGTCTTACTCTCTTTCGAATAAAGCTGGGGGAGTGCAGGGTAGAGAAGGGACATCAACGGGAGCTTCAATTGATCTTCCTCAGCAGCATACCTCAAGCTGATGTGTAGGGCAGTCGACAGCAGGTGATCAGTAGACCAACGAGGCTCAATCTCACCCTTGAGAACGAGGCTGGCTGAGATGACGGTCGAGTGACGTCACGTTCTTGTACCATCGTAGGCCATAAAGCAGGAAGCTTGCATGCCTTCAGGCAAACAACTTCATTTTACACCTCCTGAGCCTTTCCTGCCATCAAATTTCCACATACGAAGTCCTCCACTTACTTCGGTAGACAACAACGACGCCCAGGACGAAACTCTCTCGAAATGTCTTCAGCCAAGCCAGCAAGCGACGTCCAGAACGAGGACAACGCCACCCCGACCTACAAGGACCAGCTAGACGGGGCCGCCCACAAGGTCAAGTTCCCCGACCAGGGAAACAGCAGTGAAGGCGGGGGCGTGGTGGACCAGGTTGTCGAGAAAGGTGAGCAGCTTCTCCTTAGCAAACGCTCCATTCTAAAAGAGATGCCCACCCAAGGCCCGGTTCAGGGAGACTTACATTGGATCTTGTAAACAAGTTTCGCAATACGTTCCAGCAGCCGCCAAGGTTCTGGGCAAACAAGAGGGTGAATCTGCCACGTCGGAGGCTGAGGCCAAAGTCCCCGGCCCACCAGAGCGGCCTGTTCATGATGTGCAGATCGAGGAATTTGTGAGAGATCAGCACCGCAGCCAGAACGGAGATGGGATGTACGTGGACTAGCGAACCGACAACAAGGGATCATAAGAGCGTGGCTTTATATTTTGGAGCTTTCTTTCCATGAACATTACATTCGGCGTATGGCAAAAGAATACACGTCAGACACAAACCACTTGACAGCAGCAAAAAGAAAAGCGTACTTGGATATTCTGGTTATCAGGTTGATCGTTAGGAGAATGCACTCATTGTGTATGACAGGAACAAACCAAACTTCTCGATCGCGGGCAATAAAAGAAAGGTGGCAAAAGGGAAACCAAAGGAAACTCATGATAAACATCTCAAGATCAGTACTCTCTTGGCAGAAAAAAAAAATCATTGCCACACCAGCCATCCCATCGCAAGTATAAGCATCCCCGATATCAACCCCAAATTTCCCCAGTCAACCACCGCAGCTGCAGCACCGGTAACATACCCCGACGGCGGTGACAGAGTATATCGACCCGTTGGCAACCCGCTCTGTGTCAGCAGCACGCCCGCCCACCATGCAGTCCTCGTGCCGGCGCCCTCGGAGGCGTTCAGTACTGGCGTGGCCGTGGCCGTGGCGGCGGTGGCGGTGACGCCGTTGCCCCAGATGCTCACGGCGCCCCTACGGCCCGCCGTGTTTAGCGGGCAGGTGATGGTCTGCGTGGGCGTCTCACAGGCGTTACAGGTGACGATGGTGGTGACAAAGTTGGGTGGTGGCGCTGGAGCTGTCCAAGTCGACTGGTCGCCGGTACAGACTTCCTGCACCGTGTAGGTCGCGGGCCATTGCGAGGCAGAGTTGGCGGCTTGAGCGGTGAAGCAGTACTCTGTGGTGAAGACCGATATGGTGGAACCCGTTGTCGCGGGGGCAAATTGGGGACCAGTGAGGATTGTGCCTGCAAGTTGTTGTTGTGCTGTAGACTCGTACCTGATGACGGGGAGGATTAACGTTGGAGGGGAAGAGGCCCAACCTGTTGTTGACGTGCGAGGGAAGGTACTCACAACATCGTGTCCATAATTGTATGAGGTGTGAAGATAACCAAAGGGTATCGTATGAGCAAGAATAAGACGACCGGCGGGTCGAAGCGCCACGAGTGCTATCAAAAGATTGAGGACATGACGATACTGACTGAACAGATGGCCACGTAGAAGACGATGAAGAAGTGGATAGAGAACAGGAGCACAATGGAGGTTAAAAATGAAAGAAAAGAAGGAAAAGGTCACAGATGTTCCTTCCTACCAATGCTTAATGTCCCCCGACTAGACGACGCCCATATGTGTGGGATAAGTGAGGAATGCGGTAGGCATGCACACGCGTCCCGCTTCAAGGTCACGAGGCTGCCATCGCCTCCCTCCCTGCCTCCATGACAGCAGGTAAAAGTGCAACACAAAAATGGTCCAGAGCCCTTCGCGCCCTGTGTCTTTTTTTCCCTGCCTTTTTTCTTTTATCTTTTCTTTTTTAGACCGGTTGTGGCGTTCAGAGTGTCCACTGCGGAACGTAGGTCAATAGCCAGCCTCAAGGGAGCAAATCACCAAAGACAGATGGGTGTTTTATTGGGTGTCAATATTGGCGTCAGGGCCCCCGCGCGGCAGTCATTGGTGTGCACGCATGCAGCGCCTGACACCTGTCGCAGGGTCCCTCCGTGAGACACCCTCCTCGACCTGAAAGGCCAGAGCACTGGAATGCAGCGGAGCAAAAGGTTCGGCATCAGGAGTTCTACGAAGGAAGCGTGTCAGATCTAGATGGAATTAAGGCATCCAAAAGGGCAGCCACGCATAATGGAGGCATCTCGAAAGGTTACTCCTGGCAAGCAGACGAGCGCACCAGGCACAGTCCAATGATGCGCGCCTTGTCCCCCTCCCTCCAGCGTCGAGCCGTGGGATCCCTTCGGATCCCTTTCTGAGCCCTTCAAGGTACGTTTATGTATTGTATGAATGTCTCCCGTCATTGGCATCTCACACCCACAGAGTGCAGAGTGCGAGACTTCCTAATCGAGGAGTTTGAAATTTTATCTTCGGAGGGTTTCCCGAAGAAAACATGGCAACACGGCACTGTAGATATCGAGGTGACGGTCGTGGCTTCTCCGTGAATACTTTTTGATCTGAAGAAGAGAAGAAGGAGAAAAGAGAAAGAAAATTTTCAGGCGCGCGCAGTTTTGAAGTAGGAGGTTGAGTGGAGACCGGGAGCCTGTGTGGGGTCTGTATTACATAAGCTACGCTGGGGTCGGGCGACCCAGATGCCTGCGTGCCTGGCTATCGATACAAGGCTGTTGGAGCCTCTCTCTTCGTCGACGCTCCCCTTAACAGCCAACTACGATATTCCATACTCTCCGTCTTCTATCCACACTTTTCCCACCAAACAACCTTCCTCATCAGGAGAGACTCAGCGACCCCGTCCTTCCTTGGTGCCACGACACCGCTCAAGTCATCCACGAGTACCTGCGCCGCCCCTTTCCCAAAATGCCCTCCGACGACTACACCTCCGCGGCTGCAGGCGGCGCCCTCCGTATAAAAGGCGCCAAGGTGAAGAAGCACAAGAAGAAGAAGGCTGGCAAGAGCGATCTCGAGAAGAATCTGTCGACCGGCGACGAGCCTTCGTCCTCCCACCCCTCTTCTTCCAAACGCAGAGAGCCAGAACGTCCAAGTGGCGATGGAGAGGAGGGGGATGTGGAGGAGGAGGTGGAGGAGCAGGTGGCCACCGATAAAGGCCCATTTCGGAGGCAGCTGACGGAGACAGAGCGGAGATTTGAGGAGGCCAAGAGGAAGAAGATGTTGGACTTAGCCGAGAAGTCGAAAACGAGACCCGAGCTGCTGAAGACCCATAAAGAGCGGGTTGACGAGCTGAACACGTACCTGGCCAGGCTGAGCGAGCATCATGACATGCCCAAGATCGGACCTGGTTAAAGCGGTCCACCTCCCTGAGAATGTCAGTTCCGAGGAGGGCGAGGCAGAGGCAAACATATCGGCGGCAAACTGGACCCCCATTGAACGGACAGCCTTCTGAGCATGGACATGGCATCAGCGCATCCTACACAACAAGAGGCGGAATCCCGTTTTGAGTGTTATACTTCTATTCAGGCTCTGAGGATTTGATTCGCCAGTTCCGCCCTCTAGGTTTCTCGGAGCGCTTCCCCAGCAGCTCACGAAGATAACTTTGCGATCCATCACAGGAGACGACGATTTATCCGCGCGATCGAGACCCCATAGGAAATTCCTCTTGCGTGATTTTCTTAGCAAATATACCCAGTCTATCTTTCACATGCTTCTCTTATCATGCTTACCTGTCTAAGCATGCCCTGGTACCTGCTCTTCGTTTTTGTGATTTCCAAAAGGGTGGTGTCGCCCTACCATGGCGAAGAGGGCCAAAGCTAGGCTGCATCACTGGTCAAAGAGTGTGATGCGACTCAGCACGGGGCCCGATATCAAATACTGGAACACGTTCTCTGGTTCATTAGGGAGTTTCATGCTTGTCAAGACTACTTCCTGAGTTTCTTCCTCAGGCCAGAACGACAGATCATAATGCACACAAACAAAAGCAGCTGCCACATGGACAGAAAGAAGTATGTATGAAACGCAAGTTGCTCAATGGTGCCCTATTTGATTCGATTACGGTCTAAGTGTTAGACATGTGTCCTGTTTCTCTACCACGTGTTGCTTTTTGGCTCCATTGTCCGTGTTCTATCTTGGGGTATCATAAGGAGTGGTCCGATACTGTTTGCCGCCGTATCCCGCTGTTCCAAAATCGCTATGCAAAAGTAAATGCCGAGTATATGCAGAAATTCCCTCTATGCTGATAACCATTAAGTAAATCCAGAGATAACCGTCCTGCCCATGTGCGCCATGCCGAGGAAAAGGTGATTTTAGTTCTGCTGCAAAGGAGTGCGTGAAAGGAAAAATGCCAGAGTTGAGAGGGATTGGTGGGCTTGACGTGTGTTGTGTGCCGTGGTGCTACAGCCGCCGTTATCACAGGTACTGCAGCAGCCAGAAACCAGCGCCTGCCATGGCCATGCCTGGCGTGAGCAGCCTGTCCTGGGCGGCACCATCGGTCTGCAGGCTGGCCCCTGGCGTGGTCGTCGTGCCTGTGACCCCCGCAGCACCGACGTAGGAATATGAAGTCCTGGTGACGACGGAGAGGCTGCCGTTCGGGAGAGTCGAGGTGAAAGTGGCAGTTACCAGAGTTGAGGAGAGTGACGTGCTTGTGGCTGAGGTCTCGCTACTGGCGCCAGCGGTCGTCGGCACCGAGGTCTGCGTCGCGAGAGTTGTTCCTTGGCTGCTGGTTGGTAGAGCTGTGAGAAACGGTCAGCATTGCCCGGCAATATCCTACTTATTCAGAACCAGTCTTGGGGGGGGGGGGGGGGAGGTATTCTCGAGCAAAGAGGTTAGAATGTATTGCCTCCAGCCCGAGACCGTGGCTGCTCACACAGGAGGGCCACACCAGAGTCTCTGGTGCAGTTCCCCAATGCAAACTCCGATGAGCCAGTTCACGAGATGGTAACAACACCCAGAGTAAGCTAGCTCAAAACAAAAGAAAATGTGCACCGAAAGAGAAACATCAATATTGCAAGAAGTCCACCGACATACCAGTGGTAGTCGATGTTGCGACAGTGATGGTCGTCCCAGCACTGGACGAAGAGGAAGCGGTGGAGGAGGCGGAGGAGGTGGTGGTGGTAGAGGAAGTGAGGGAGGCAATCAAAGAAGATGAAGATACTGAAGACTGACTTTCAGAAGAAGCAGGAGTAGAGGAAGTTGTGCTACCGGGCACGACGACTGAAGAGGTCTCGGTCGTTGTGACAGGGGCAGCAGTAGTGGATGTAGTAGGGGTAGATTCAGTGGATATAGACGTACCAGAAGAAGCAGCAGTTGTTGGTTCTGAGGGAGTAGGGATAGCTGTGGTGGTGGTCGCCTGGGCCGTCTCGGTCTGCGTGGTTGTCTGCACTGTCGTCTCCACAGCCGTGCTCGTCGGCGTGGTCTGCACCGCAGCAGAGGTTGTAGTTTCGGGCGCGGTGCTCGACGTAGCCGGCTCAGAGGAGCTGCTAACAGTCACCGTGGCCGCTGTGGACGACGACAGGAGTGTAGTGGCGGATGTGGTGATGCTTGTTGTCGTGGCGGTGGCATTTCCGCCTTGACGCTTACCAAGATAGCCCTTGGCGCCGGGAGTGAATCTCTCAAAGAGCTCGCGGATCTCGCCGGCGCTAAGCAGCGACGACAGTCTCGAGGGCTGCGCATCGACGACGACGTGCTGGGCATCGCCGGCTTCCTCGTGACAGGAGCCTCGAGAGTGGCGGAATCCAGCCGAGGCGAGGCCCAAAGTCATGAAGCAGCACACGAGCACTGCCAGCAGGAGTTTCCGTCCGGAAGCCATGGCTCGTCTGTGTCGTTGCCTCGTCCGGTCGGTGCGGTGTACAGCTTGGTCCTGGTCCTGGTTCTGGTCTTGGTCCTGGTCCCTCTCCCTCAAGAGCTGCTTCTCCTGGTCGACTGCTGAAGGTATTTCTGCCCCGAGAGCCTCGACATCTTTGGTGAGGAAAAGAGTCGAGGGAGCCATCATGATGGCTGGCGTGGGGGAAGGTGGGGGAGAAGTGGCGCTTTGTATGTGAAGAGAAAGAGAAGGGGAGAGAGAGAAAGAGAAAGACGAGACAAGGGAGTCTGAGTCCGTGTGTCCGGATCGACAGGACAGCAGAGCAAGCGCCGGTGTGCACACGCGCGGAAGCGTGAATGCCGTGGAGTGGGACCGGAGCAGCCTCTGCCACACCAGCAATGGGGCGAGCTTCGCAAGCCTTCGACGGGGATCCGGTCTACGATCAGCAAATCCGCTTATCTTGGGCGTCTAGAGCTGCATGATGCTGGGTCCGTCCCCTCGTAGCGTGCTGTAAGTTGCGATGGATATGGATGATCTTTCGTGTGCTGCGACGACGGCAGTGCGACGACAGGTGAAACCTGGTAAGACTGTCTTTGCAGAGTCACAGCAGTGGACTGTGGTGAGTGATGGGGCCTGGGTCCGGTTCCAAAGCGCAGGGGTGTTGATCAAGAAAGTTGGCAGACCCAAGAGAGAGAGCCAGAGCAAGTAATGGGTGAGAGGGGGCGGAGAGGGGTTTCTCTTCCTGTTTCTGGCCGTGGCAGGTTGCGATGTGTAAGAGCCAGGGCAGGACTGGTAGACAGATCGAGTTGGGATGCCCCTCACTCACGCTAGAATCCCAAAACCCTGTTCTTGGAATATATCAAAGGCTGGTTTATGAGGAAAATGGGTCGGAAGAGCACGGCCGGTGCTAAACCTGCATCAGGTAGTAGACACGCGGCGTTCTAGGTTTTGTAAAAATACAAATGCAACGGAGAAGTGGCAACAAGAAAAGGTAGATGGGAACAGCACATGAGAGAGGGCGAGAGAAGGGTTTCCTTTGGAAGGAAGAAGGCCCTCAGGAGGATCTACTTGCATATAAACTAAGACGGCGTGAACCACACAGGAGGGACCCAATTGGAAGTGGTGAGAGAGAAGGAGGGGGGCCCTTGGTCAATACGAACCACGACTTGCCAAAGAGTACCTGCCCAGGCTGCCGTACTGTACGCTTGTACCATAGCAAGGAAAGAGGGAAGGAGGGCTTTGGCCCTGACGCCACAGTACACGGGTGCCAAGCTTTGCCAAAATGCTTGTCCTCCTCCCCTTCGCCGCTTTTCATTCAGCTATGAACTAGGATCTTGACTCTCTTGCCGATGAATATCCATAGTACCTTGTAGTAGTTCTATAAACTTTGCACCAGGGCTCTTAAGTAGTCGGTAAATTCCCGAGACAAGTGTACCTACCTACTATGATAAGGTTTAAGTGCGCAGGATATAGACGAGATTACTTGTGTTCAATCAGTTGTATGGAGTCATGGGGGGAAAGAGGGGGGAGGGGGGACAAAAAACAATTGAGTCTCGCAGGTCAGTCAACACCAAAATCTCTCTGACACATGCAAAAATGGTCCACAGTAATCCATAACATGGCGAGGGTGGAGAGAGGGGGGATCGCTTCGTTTTCGCATGCGCTGTACTGTACTTTCCCATGCAGGTTTCTGCAAAATACTAATATAGTAGTCTGCGTAACACCCCTGCCCTGTTGCCCTGCAAACAAGGTGATAGTGCAGCTTGCAGGGTGCATTGCACCCTGGACGGATCTCTATCCCAGCTCTTTCTCCTCCTCCTCCCCCTCCTCCTCCTTCTCCTCTCCTGAGCCTTCAATCTTGCCACATACTCTCCCGCCCTTGCTCCCTCTCTCGTCCAGGCAGGTATCTGTGCAGCAAATTCTACTGCTGATGTGGCTCGTATCTCAGCTATATGCAGTACCATAGTACATCCTGACGCGTGTGGAGACCACCAGGGGCGGGTCGATCGACGCGATGTCCTTCTCTCAGCCAGACGACGATCTTTGTGGAATACTTCCTGGAAGAAGCCGAGGCCGAGCAAGACAGGCCGTCATTTGCTGCTGTTTATCGCAGTTACAACAATACGGAGCTGCACTAGCCTCGCTGGCCGTTTCAAAAAGGGTGGCTCGTATTCACAAACCCCGCCATCGACCTCAGCCTATCCTGATTGCAGGCTGGCGGCCGGGGGTGATCTGGTACTTCACCCTTCTGCACGACCTAAAAACAATCCGATCCATCCGCATCCGCATGTGCCGGACTTCTCTCTGCACCAAACTCCATCCAGTGTAAATGGCGAACAAGAAATTGATTGCCTAATTGAGGTGCGTCGAAAGTGGTTGTTCATCAGCACAAGTGGCTTAGGCAACCAGGGATTTTCAACTTATCGAGATCGCTGATGGGAGGAGACTGGTCATGTCTGAATGGGGAAGGAAGAGAGAAGTGAAGGAGAAAGGTGAAGAGAAAAAACCAAGGTTACTACTGCCACGTCATGCAGATGGAACTCACCAGAAGGAATTCGTGGATGGTATGACAAGACAGTCGAGTATCCGGTGCCACGGCTTACGGCAAGCCCAATCGAGATTCTTTACAGGGCTCAATCACAAAATCAAAATCCCCCAAGCTTCCACTGGAACCACTGCCTAGAAGTTTCATCCCTGTCGGCGTTCGTCACAGCGTGGTGGATCCATCACCTGCTGAACGGCTGGTCGACGTCACAGCCTCGCTACCGTCGTCAGTTGGTGGCTCGTATTCCCATGGAACCACATCGCTGCTGCATAGTGGATTCGCCGTGGATCCGTCGTCGACAGCCAATGCGTTCCTCTCTCCAAGCCTTTATCACTCCGTCGCGCCAAAACTGGTGCGTCCAAAGGCCATACTGTACATAATTTGGAGTCCACAAGCGTGAGGCTCTGCTGGCCCATGGTGGCGGTCAGGCGGGCAGCCGATCATAGCGGCTATTTTTGGTAATAAGATCTACTACGGTACAGCCTCAAGAGTACCGGTATGTATGTTCTTCATTGGGTTTGCACGTGGCTCTGCTGGCATGTTGGTTCATCCTTTCTAAAAGAAGCATTTTCTTCTCAAATACTGCTTCAGAGTCTGTAACTCGTGGGGGACGTATACCATAGTACATACTATGGTACAACTAATGATGCGGCCAAACACAGGATGGACTGCGAAGAACTTGGTGTGTCTTCAATGTCTGACACTTGAGATAACAGCCAACTGGCAGGAAACAAGATCAAAAACAAAAGGGAGGTATTGAAAGAGCTGTAGTTGAGAGCACAATGATTGACTTTGAAAAATGAATGAAGCATATCCTAAGCAAAATAATTCCTATTCACCTCATGAGGAGCATGTCCCCCTGGTCCAGCCCTCATGTCTTATCGATACGCCTCAGAGCGCGCTAAGCCAGGGCTTATGGACAAGGATAGCTTGTGGCTTCCAGCGCAACGTAAACTCGAACAGGCATTTTGTTGAATCCCTTCGTGCCAGATTGCATGTGAAAAAGGGTTCCACCTCTTGGGAATTGTCCAGGGGCTCAACACTACCACCACAGCATCCTGTGCCGTCGAACAGTCCAGCTTCGAATCATGGGAACACCTGCTATCCTCGACTACCCATCTTGAGAGCGACAATACTCCCCTTGAGACGACGCTCCCATCACCTCGACCCCCTTGCCGCAGCTCTTAGCTCTCAGCTCTGGGCCTCATGGGCTTCGCGGCCCGCACTCGTGAATCACACCATGCCCGACACCCTCCGACCTCCCGGCCCTACCGAGGCCGATGAGACCCGGCAGGAGGAGCAAAAGGACGAAGAGAACCTGCGTGAGCTGTCACGGTCGCCGCACCCGTACCACAGACAAAAGTGGGAACTGCTGGAACCCTCGGATCGCGTCGTAGCCAGGGCGAGCACGATCCCCACCCACGGGCCTGTTGAAGACATTCGCGACCAGCTTCTGCCTGCGCCGAGCTTCACAAAGGATTCGACGCCCGCCACCGACAGCGGCACCGAGGCTGACGACGAGATTTTTGTCAAGAAGCTGCCTGCGCCCAAGGCAAAACTCCACAAGGGTCTTCGTGGCCGACATGAGGCGCTGTCCGGCTCCGGAACACCACTGCTGACCCCGACGGTCGGTGATGGTGATCGCGACGGAATCTTGTCGTCGAGCCCCAGGTGGAAGAAAGAAGAAAGCGAAAAGAGGCGACAGGCGAAGAGATTGAGACGAAACAGGGAGCTAGTAAGGAGAGGCACGGAGGTTGCAATCCTGGGGGTTCTGGCGCGGACTGTCATTCGTAACCCGGTCGTGCAGCCTTTCGTCGCGGCGTGGAAGGATGGTGAGTTTTTGCGCAGAACAATCTGATCTGTTGTGGATAAATGCTGAGACTTGGCCCTAGAGTTGATACTACAGAGCACGATTTTCGCGGCGCTGCTACTGCTCTACCCGCTGCGAGTCGCAGCATGGGCCTACAAAAAGGGTGAACCCCTAAAGAGCAAGATACCACTCTCGATCCCTCTGTCCTTCGACCCGGCGCCTGCGCTATACCCTCAGCTACTACCATTACTTGTCGCCTTCCTCACAGCCGCGAATTTGAAGGACGTCATCCTACCGAATCTCGTGCTCGGCATCGCATCCATTCCCCGAAGTCTTGTCCCCACCAGCAATACTTTCGAAGTCATCAACCCTATCCACTGGCTGTTGACCTGCTTGCCTCTGGCATTGAACCGTGAAAAATTCCCGGCGAGCCCTTCAGAGCACAAGAACTGGTCGGATATTTCGCCAACCTCCCCTCAAGACCTTGTCTTTCTTTACCCTCTCCATCAGAGCCTCTCTTTGGTTCTTTACCATCTAACAACCAGCAGCCTCCTCACGGCCGAACTCGAACTGCTCTCGATATCCCTCATTAATCTTCTCATACTCTCCAGGTCCCCACAAGCTGTAGTTCTACAGTCCGTTCTTTGGCTAGGCGGACTTGGCGTGCTCATCTTTTGCGCACCTGTGATTGAATGGAGCATCAGCCTGGCAAGGGTTCCGAAATGGCGACTCAGGCGAAACACAGTTTCAACCCGGACCTCCCTTTTTGGAGCTTCGATAGACCGCCTTTCTGCTGGTTTGAGGCTCATTCCGTGGGGGCCGTGGATACTCGACACTGCCCTCGGCTGGCTCTTTGCCGGTCTCAAAGTGTTCCCATGGAGACCGTGGGAGAGGGCGAAAGAAGGTCTTGATTCCGAGACAGAGGACTCCGCTGTGGTTTCTGGCCTTTCTACCGACGAAGAGGGCACGCAGGGGACCGATTTAGCACATCGAAGATCAATTGCCTCCCAGATGGATGGCTTGTACGAGAGCATTCCTTTGCGAAAAACGCAGACGAGCTCTGACAAGCCTGTAGGCGACTTGCACGCTGGTCTGGACGAGCCAGAAAGCTTTTCCCTACATCCTCGACGGCGTACCTTGCCTTTCGCGGAGACTATGATGAAGTCATCCAAGACGCATACCTCCTCAGGACGACAAAAGAGGCGTGCATCGTCCTCCGTGCGGTTCTTTTACGGTCTGACCCCGGGAGAAGCCAACAGAAGAAAGCTGCTCTATGCGGCATGGGCGTACGCGAGCATCGTCGCTGTGGTTCTCCTTCCCATTGGGTTCTACGTGCGACAATATGCCACAGCTGGTCATTATCCTATCGGTTGGGCTGTGGGCTACGTCCTTGGCGACATACATTGGTTCAGAATGCAGGTTATCATGTCGACATGGCTGGACTGGGCCTTCGTGCTCCCAGACCTTCCGGGCGAGGGCTCCGAGTCCTGCCATCTAGGCTGGGTTGAGCACCTTCGTCATGCCTCGATCGGCGAGGCCAACACGAGGTTGTGTCTAGCTGCTTGGTGGGTTGCAGTCATCATCCTTGGTCTAGCGGTGGTGTTTCGGCTCTCGCCATACTATGAAGTCGACACTCGCCGCAAGATCTTCCATTTCATGATGGTATCCATGTTTCTACCAGCAACGTTTATTGATCCGACCTGGTGCGCCCTCGCTCTCGCCATCGTCCTGGCCATCTTTCTCCTGCTGGATCTCCTCCGTGCAAGCCAACTTCCACCACTCTCCAAACCCATACGAGACTTTCTACAGCCGTACACGGACGGCCGCGATCATCAGGGGCCCGTGGTCATCTCACACATCTTCCTGCTCATCGGCTGCGCCATTCCGCTCTGGCTCAGCCTGGCGTCCCTCCCTCGGACTGGGACCGGAAATATGATGGGCTGGGAGACGCCGGCCCGCGAGCTGAGCATGGTCGCAGGAGTTGTCTGTGTTGGCCTGGGCGATGCTGCCGCCTCGCTGATCGGGCGCCGTTGGGGGAAGCACAAGTGGTTCTGGAAGGGTGGCAAGAGTCTGGAGGGCAGCGTGGCGTTCGCGATGGCCGTGTTTGCAGGCCTTGTGGCTGCTAATCTCTGGCTCAGGGTTGGCGGCTGGCCCGTCTCCAGCTTTGATCGCTCGCTTTCCCGAGCCGAGACGGTCGTCTCACAACACAACTTTGATGGAATACTGGCTGGCCTCAAGGATTCAGAATGGTCGTCAATCTTCCGCAAGACGGGCTTCTGCGCATCCTTATCTAGCCTGACAGAGGCAGTCCTCACGGGCGGAAATGACAATGTTGTGGTGCCAGTGGTATTGTGGACATGTGTGAAGGCCACGGGATTGTGAAGACAAGAAGCCCGCTCAGCGCACGGGCATCCTTCTTTGTTTCTATAGATTACATCTGAGAGGTCGATTTGTGTTTTCAAAAAGAAGGGCGTGCTGGGCAAAATGCGTCACGATCCGCCATGACCGAACAAGGGATATTATAGACTGGGAGATACCTTAGAATTAAAGGACTGGGCCGGGGGGGGGGGGGGCGTTATCGGCTTGCTGCTTTTGCGAACCATCTATGTATTTAATTAGCAACATCCAGACTCTCAACGGGTTGGAGTTAACTTCTGTGCAAATATTATGAGTAGCTTGTCTGTACCTTATTTCGTCGCATCTCGCTCGTTATCCACATTATGCAAACAATAATGACAACACGGTGTGGATTTGACTCAGCAAGAGAGGGAAAAGGTATTCGTCACTCAACCCTCATCTCAAATTTTCACGAGGCAAATTAGCCTGTTGAATCCCTCGTGATGAGTACATAACATCGCGCAACTGAATTCCCTCTGAAGGCGGCGCAGAGGGACAGCTGATGCCGATTGTATGAAGCACCGACAGGCTGCACATAGTTAGCGATACTGAGGGTTCTATTGTAGCACATGATTACTACCTTGGGGGCCTGTACAAACAAGACAAGCATAAATCTCTCTCAGTATGCATATAAATCATTGAGTAGGTGTCTAATCATTACTATTCCTCTATCATCATGAAAGCGTTGCATGTACGGTATTAAGAATTGATTAATTGAATATTAGGCCCATTTGCTCTGCATGAGTGTCCTTTTTCCCTCCACATAAGCAGGTGCCCTGTCTGTCGCCAAAGTCTTTCCTTTGGCATACTTTATAACGAAGCCTGGAAGTTTCCACCCAAACATCTGACCGACACCGCCTCCCGGACCGAGAGAGGCGCCAAAACCTACTTCTTTGCTGAACGTATATTCCGGCACCTGCTCTCCCTTCAGTTGCGCCGCAAGGCTTTTGACAACGTGCACGGTCTGGTTCTCGGTGTGCATACTCTGCGGGGTCTCGAGGTTGCCGACATCCCCGACGACAAAGATGTCATCATGGCCTTCGGCGCGGAGAAACTTTGTCTGTTTTACAAAACCGCGATGGTCCAGCATCGACCCCGGGACGAACGACGTGTTGGGCTGCAGCCCGTACGTGGGGATCAAGACATTGGTCTCCAAAGTGTCCTTCTTGCCGCCGGGCAGAGACAAGGTCAGAGTCTTGCCCGACGACGCATTGTCCTCGACCTCTGTGACCTTGGCATTCAGGACGACATGTACACCCATCTTCTCCAGGCTCTTCTTGGCGGCCTGCCTAACGCTGGTGGTCATCTCGTCGTGCAGCGGCAGGACGTCCGCCCCGACGAGTGTGATCTTCTTCTTGCCACCTGCTTTCTTCCCATACACCTCGGCCAGCTCCCCGGCGACCTCGATCCCCGTGATGCCCGCGCCTGCCACGACGATGGATTTTGCGGCCTCGATCCTGTGCTGCCAGTCGCGCAGCACGTCCCTCGTGTGCTCCGTCGTCGAGATGGTCTTGAACGGCATGTCTTCCTTCGCGCTCGTCCCCGTTGCGATGACCAGCGTGTGATACGGGATCTCCCTCGCGGCCCCCTCTGTCGTGCGGACGGCCACGATCTTGCTTGTAGTATCCAAAGCCTCAGCCGTGCCGAGGACGAACTCGAATTTTCCAGAAGGGTACTTTGCAAAACCCGGGGCGATGGGGTAGAAGAGCTTGTCGTCGAAGCCTGTGCCTGGTACGATGCCGCGCACCGCGGCAGGGGCCCAGTAGAGATGTGTGTTGGGGGAGACGAGGATGATTTTGAGGTCTGGTATGAGCGGCACCTGGTGTGCGAGGAGATGGTGTGCTATCGGGACACCTGCGAAGGACGCACCGAGGATCACGACTGTTTTTGTCATGGCTGCGTACGAGACTTATGTACGTAAGAAGGAAGAATTGAAATGGTTATGAGAATGGAAATGGTCGTCTGAAATCGAGTGAGTGAGGTGTGGTGGGTTGTAGGGAAAGGTAGAATCGTTGATAATCATTACGGAAGCCATTTTGTGAACGTGAAAGCAGCATGATCATATATATATATTATTTGTCGTCGGGGATGGCGTCTCGAGTTCCATGAGAAAAGGGGAATCTGCTTGGCCAAATTATTAGGCACGTCGACGATGATGCAAGACGATGAGTTCCTTAGTTGATACTTTCATCGAGCGCTGTGCACAAAAGTGGCATAGTCGCATTGGGGTTCAGCTTTGTGTTACTGAGCATTGCTCAGCAAGGCGGCCAAGGCTGGTGAGGGTGATTGAATATTGGAAATCAACAACCAATCATGACTTGTATAAACTCCGTAAAACCCGTGCTTGACTTACAAGGCTGCAAGGGTTATGACTAATTATTTGAAATTCATATTCAACCGCCATTTCCCCGGGTCAAAAGTGGGGACTGATTAAAGGCCGAAAGTCCGTATTTACTAAGTAAGCACCCCAGTAAAGTAGGCAGAGTTGACCTTTCAGAGTTGGCTGTTTGATAAACTAATATTATACCAATCCAATCACATTGCGTTTCGCTTGCTATAAGATTTGCCTAGAATATTGGTGTTACCTGCAAAGTTGCTCACCAGCGAAGGACAAATATCGTGGAAGCAAAACACACCAGAAGAAGGGGTCTCAGCGACGACTTTGCTTGTTCTGTAGGGCCGGACTTGTCCCAATGTCTTGAATACAAGGAAGACAGTGCCGTTCATAGCTACTGTTCTCAGGTTAGCGAGAGCTGCCCTAGTCATACTTGATTGCTAAATTATTGGAACATGAGCTTACTTACTAAGTAGATTTGTTTGAATTAGTTCTGTCAGAATCTGGCTCTGGGGTTTGGAGGTAGGTGATCACGATTGTGGCATAAATAATTATCCACAGACTCAGGGACAACATGCACATATGTTTTTCAAACGCCTGCTACTGGCGTTACTGAGCAGAACTCCTGCCACCCCCCCTTTCTTCCCCTCCCGACAAGAAAAAGGTCAAACATTCATCGTCAACTTGTGAGCCTCTACTTGTCACAAAAATGTACAAATCTTTATTCGTTCAATCCACTGGCTGGCTGCCCAATGAAGACGGATTCGTTGAAGTAAAACATCTACTAAATTCGTAGGTATTCAGCGTCTATTCTGCGTTGTCAAGTTCTAATGCCTCAAAATTGAGCCCATAGCCTGGGAGGACGAGTAATCCTTCTGATGGAAACCAAACTTGCACTAATTACATAAATGTAATGAGTGACGACATTGCCGCTCAAAGCTTCACATTGAAGCTCTCACGCGCAGCGCCAGGTGGCCCGGGCCAACATAATTGTGTCTTATTGATTGATCACAACCCCAAAATGGATAAAATTGTAAACTCAGCGGCGTTAAAAGAAAAAAAATTTCTTATGCGGGTCAGTGGCTGGATTGTACATGGAATATCACATATAGGAGTTAGATTGGCGTGTATAAGTACTTGGGCAAAGATACATGTCGGCTCCCGGTCGGCAGCCGCCTAAGTTGTCTCGGTATCCGCAATGAGTTCGCCAGCGGTCTTGGGTGCTGTAGGACACCAAGGCCGGAGATACTAATGCTCAGGGAAGATCTTTCGTCATCTTTAAAACTTCTTGCATCTTTTCCTTCTGACCACCTATCAACTGACAATTCACCCAATTACATGTATCGTTGTAGGATCAATTCGTGCAAGCCTGTTCCGTTGAAGCTATCGTCACTGTATTCACTGCGGCGTCATGTCCGCCAAGAAGAACATCCTGCTGCTCATTGCCGACGACCTCGGTCGTGACTTTCTGAGCTGCTATGGCTGTCAGACAAACCTGACGCCGAACCTCGACGCCCTGGCGGCTTCTGGGGTCCGATTCGACAAGGCCTTCACAAGCACGGCATCGTGTAGTGGCAGCCGGACCGTCATCTACACAGGCCTCCATACCCACGAGACAGGCAGTTACGGCTTGAACCAGGCGCGAGATGGCTTCCAGACCTTTGACAGTGTCGAGACGGCACCTTTTCTCTTCAAGGAAAAGCTTGGCTACAAGACTGGCATCTTGGGAAAAATCCACGTTGGTCCAGACCACCTATACCCCTGGCAGGTCCGAGAAGAAAGCGAGTCGAGGAATGTGGCCTGGATAGCGGACCGGGCAGAAGCCTTCTTCAAGGCCTCCAAGGAGGAGCAAAAGGCCTTCTTCCTGACCATCGGCTTCGTGGATCCGCATCGGAAGCTACAGACCCGCGGCGGGTTTGGAAATGTTGACGGCAACCATGACAGCCGCCTCCAAGATCGCATCTTCCACCCCAGCGAGACTACGGTCCCGCCTTTCCTGAGCGACGTGCCTGAGGTCCGCCAGGAGCTGGCTGAGTACTACCGCTCCATCTTCCGCATGGACCAGGGCGTGGGCATGATCCTCGCAGCGCTGGATCGGGAGCAGCTGTCAGACGATACCTTGGTCCTATTCCTGAGCGACAATGGACCCCCCTTTGTCAATTCCAAGACGACGCTGTTTGAGGCCGGCGTACGGCTGCCATTCTTGCTGCGCGCGCCCGGTGCTGCTCCCAGCGGCACTGTCAACCCGAACCTGATCTCCTACGTCGACATACTGCCTACCTTTCTCGACTGGGCCGGTCACCCACGGCTCGAGGCGGGAGAAGGCAAGGTGCAGCGGCGTGGGCGATCTGTGCTGCCTATCCTGGCGAGTACGACCACCTCTGCCGTGCCGGGCTGGGACCATGTCTTCGGATCGCACACGTTCCACGAGATCACTAACTACTGGCCGACGAGATACATGCGCAACCACCGGTTCAAGTACCACCGCAACGTGTGCTGGAAGCTCGACTTCCCGTTCGCCATGGACCTGTACGGATCTTTGTCGTTCGAAGGCATGCGCAATTCGGCGACGCCGTCTGCACCGGCTATGATTGGGCCGAGAAAGCTCAAGGACTACATCCAGCGGCCGCCGCAGGAGCTGTTCGACCTGGAGAACGACCCTCTGGAGATCAACAATCTTGCGGGTGATCCTGACTATGCAGAGACGCTGAAGGAGATGAATGAGGCGCTCGAGCAGTGGCAGGTTGAGACCAGCGACCTTTGGCTGTGGCGCGATGGAATGGCGGTGGTCAGGTACATCTCCTCGGGCTATGCTCGTGAAGGACTGCGTATACCTGATCGTTTCGACTTTGAAGCAGAACGTCCAGAAAACAAGGAGCCCGTGGCTGCTTATGATCTCTTGACAGACCAAAAATATTCGGGGGCGTAATGAATTACTTCTCTATGGAGGCTCATCTGTATTTGTAAGAAAAGAAAGGAAACATTACAAATTGCTACCTGAAAAAATTTGCTGCTATGACCTAGAATTGGTAAACATACAAGGAGGCCTTTGTGGACTCTTCGAATTCACCGGCCCTCAACGTGCCATAAGCACTCACTGTAGCATTATCATTCGACGGTTGCGCCAACGTCCCATAACAGCCATTCGTCGCATTTGTGCTCAGCGTGATGCTCAAGACCGTCTTCCCCCCAACAGGCAGCGATATCTTACCTGGAGCCCACGAGATATTGCTGGACGGCCAGGAGAAGACTTCACTCTCGCCGTCGGAGAAGCCAACGGACACATGCAGGTATCCATCCAGAACCGGGCCGGCATTCGTGGTAGGGCCCAGGTTCCATGTCCGCTGCCACACGGGAAACTCAATGTTGGAGGAGGTGGTCCTCCCAGAGCTGTAGGTCTGCACCAGGTCCTGCCCGTTGCGGACGCGACAGTCCAGCTGGTAGGGAACTGGTGCGCTGGGAGATACTGTTGCCGCTGCCGCCGTGTCAACCATAAGAGGAACTGTTGCTGTGGCTGGACAGGTGAAATTCTTGATGGTGTGATCGTCGTTGAACTCGAGGGGGAAGAAGAAGGTGCTTGAGGCAGCCTGGTGGTTATCGCTGTGCCACATGAGACCATCGTGATAGATGTCGCTCGGGCTGGTCCTGTACCCAAGGTTGCCCGCAAGGATAACCTGCCCCCCATCTGGCGTGGGAAGCACGTTGGCGCCCTTGTTCTGACCACCACAGCCGTCCTGGCTCAGAAAGCCGCCGTCTGTATAAGGGCCAAGGGGGTCGGTTGCATAGTAGTAATAAATATAGCCAGCGCAGTTCTGACATGTGTATCCAAAGGTCAAATACCAGTAGCCGTCATGGTAGAAAAAACCTGAGGCCTCGAGCGTGAGACCCTTGGCGTTAAGCTCCTGGGCCGAGCGCACCAGGACGGAGGTGGCAGCCGTGCCAACCGTCGAGGTCAGGTTGGGCGTGAGCTGGTGAATGTATATATCCCAGACATATACATCCCATTCGGATGAGCCAGACTTCAGGCCCGAGAGAACATCGCTGACCATGTAGTGGGTTCCGTCCGGGCCCACGGCCACGTCAAAGTCATGAGAGATATTCATGCCGCCCAGGAGACGGGGTGGATCGCTCCAGGGGCCACCAGGAGAATCAGACGTGGCGTAGTAGAAGTTTGCCGTTAGTGCGCCGCCTCCCATGAACATGACATATTGCCCAGTCGCGTTGCTGTAGCGGACCACTGGTTTTGTCACGTTGGCCACCTCGATGGAGGGCTGGTAGAAGGTTGCCAGCTCCCAGTTGGTAAAATCGGAAGACGAATACGACTTGATACCGCAGTTGCCGTCCTCCCCATAGTCACCAGGCGGATAGACAGGACTGACAGGCCAATCCACGTTCGCGATCTGGCCGTAGACGAAGATGGAACCACCACAGCCCCAGGTTGCCGCGTGCATGTAGTACTTGTTCTCGTAATATGTCACATGGGCCTCGACCTGCTCTCGTCCGTTGCCGTCGGTGGTGATGGGGTATGTCCATTTTCCGTATTTTTGTGGTTGGAAAGGATGAGTGGGGAGACCGTCGTCGCCGTCTAGGATATCAACAGCGGCAAAATTGATGTAGGTGGCGGTTGGGTTTGGAGAAGAAGACGAAGTTGTTGAAGAAGCGGCCGAGATCAGCCCAGGCAAAAGGCTTGAGCCTACTAACGCCAGCTGCTGGACGTTCAGCATTGTGACGCTACCAATTGATGATATAGGCAGCCGGGCCACGAGTCGTTCTAGTATAGTTAATGAATAGATCAATATATTTTTCTCTATTCAACGAGCCCGAGGTGGCAGGCCGAAGTGGCTCATTTTAAATACTTACCCAGAAGCCAGCAGGCCCACGACCAGGCCCGCTGAACAACAGAAGTATCTGTATCCATTGTAATTATTACCGTTGCGTTCTAAAGAGATTTCAACTGCTCTTAATGTCGTCGATTCTGAATGGCCAGGATTTACATGTACAAGAAGCAGCAGCAGCAACAACAACAGGTGGCGGCTGTCGGAGCTCGGAAGCCGCAGGCCTATGGCGTGTAAAATTCAGTAACCCATGTTCCAATGCCAAATCCCTATTTCCTCCGCCTTTTCGGCGAAATAAGGGGAGGGAGGAAAAAAAGAAAAAGAAAAAAAAAGAAAAAAAAAGAAACAAAAACTAAGGTACGATGTGATGTAATATGAGGGGCATATAACATGAATGTTCAGGGTTATTTACTTGGCCTTGGAGCGGTGTATGCCAACCTCACGCCTCAGTGTGTAAGTCCACAGTACTGCGATTAATACCCCGCAAAACTAAGTGCTAAAATATGTATACATCATTCTGCTCGGCAATTGCGCGATTGTCTAGGGCTTCATTTGTTTCCCCTGGTCACCTTTAGGCTTTGAGAACTGGTCGGGGGTCGTGCTCGGCTTCCGCCATGTCAATATTGACTGTCCTTTTCTGCTGCATGGTACAATAAGTGACCATGCTTGCGGGTCGGATGCCGACATGACTTCCACCACTGAAGAGCGGCCACAACAAGAACGACCCCAGCAACCCAAGCACTCACGACAGTCGCCCCATACGTGCTCAGCCTGCAGAAGCCGTAAGGTTCGATGCGACGGCCGAAGAGACATTTGCAGGAATTGTGAGAGGTTGGACCTCGAGTGCTCTTTTCAAGGTCAGGAACTCTCTATCAGAGGCCCAGACAGGCGCCGCACGAGACGAGCATGTCTACCATGCCGGAACAGAAAGGCACGGTGCAGTGGACTTACGCCAGCCTGTCAGAGATGTCTCGACCTCGGGTTCAAATGCATCTACGAGTCCCCTGCCGCTGCTGCTGCTGTGACGAGCAGACGCGTTGTAGTACCCTCTCGTGTGCATAACTCGTCACCCCCCACCAGCACTCCTCCATCAAACGTGCTGCTCCCGCAGTCGCCACGGGCCAACAGCAGTGAACCCAGGACCTCGGAGAACAACCCAGAGGATATGTAAGACAGGAAAACCCTCCCTAACAGCTGAAGTTTCTCTCTCCATTGTTGTAATTACGGAGTGTTCTTTTGTTAACCACACGTACACATATTATCACTCTCCAGCTCCAGCTTTCCATCAGACTCGCAGTCATTGCAAGCGCTAGACGCATTCTTCCAGCACCTTCATCATGTCCCAGTATTTGCCTTTTTGCACAAAGCCACGGTCATGGAGGACTACCGTGCTCGCGTCCTCGACAGGGCACTTCTTCTCGCACTGGCTGGCATCACTACTGCTCTCATGGACGGTGGACCCGACGGGAGAGAACGAGGGTCTACCTATGTGGATCTCGCCGAGTCTATCGTCGTCAGCGGGCGAGAAGAGCCAGGCCTTGCTCGGGTGCAGGCTCTGATCCTGATCATCAAGTTCCGCGAGTACCAGGCCCGCTTCTCCAGCGTCTTCATCCTGACCGCCATCGCCATGAGGTTTGCAATGGCCCTGCGGCTCAACTACGAGGACCACAGCATGCACCCGCTCACCCGTGAGGTCCGCAGGAGGGCGTGGTGGTCCCTGTTCATGATCGACACGCAGGTCGCCAGCGGATACGATGACTTTTCTCTGTCCACCGTCGGCCGCGCCTATATTCAACTGCCCTGCTCCGAGCAAGATTTCAGCCTGGGCCTCGCTCGGCCTGTCGATAAGCTCGAGATCAACATAGCTGCCGCTCGCGCTCCTATCGAGAGTAGTGAGCTCAACCCACTTGCACAGGTCGTGCGCGTAAAGTGGTTGCGGTACAAGACCCTGCAGTCCACCATACGCATTGTGGCGACCACGCAAGTGGACCTGGGCGACGAGGTGAAATCGCTCCAAGAAGACCTGGACGCCTTTTCTGCCCAGCTGCCTGCTGGCCTGCAGCTCTCAGAGCAGAATGCACGACTGCACGCCTACTGGACTAGCTTCTCTGCATATGCCACCATCCACATCATCTGGTTTGCAGTCCGCATGATTGTCTATCGTCTGGCTCTGCCGGGCGTCAAGGAGGCCCTCCCTGGCCATGTCCTGCGCCGTCTGGATCCGAGTATTGCCATGCACTGCCACACCCGCTGTCTCGAGGCCGCGAATCTCATGGCTGACGCCTTGAAACTTTTGCTTGCCTGCAGGGCGAAAACCTCCGTGGTCGACCTGGACCTGGCTAGCTGCACATATCAATGTGCCCGGATCCTGTTCCACCTACACCGCAGGCTTCCTACCCGGATTCCGCGCGACGAGCTGACCGCCAAGATAGCATGCTGTCAGGAATTCTTGAATGAGATGTTCTTCGAGTGCGAGATGATACGCAATATAGTTGAGTGGCCCCCCACCTTGGTACAGATATGCTCTAGGAAGAATACTCATGCTAACCTTGGGCACGCAGCGGAGCGATATGGAGCATCTTGTTGCCTGGGGGTTTTCGGCCTCACCAACGCTGAATCGTACTGTCGCGAGTCCAGACCCGGCGACGTTGACAGGCTCGACGAGACTGCCAGAGACACCTCACAATATCGCTCGACACAGCTTGGTCAGCCATATGAACACCCCAACCAACCGGCCCACCAGCCCGCCAGCTCTGCGTCAGACTGCGGACGGAGGGGATCCTGCCCGAGAGAGTGAGGACGCTGTCGAGAACATAGCATTGGATCCGACTCAGCAGACCCTTGACTTGGCACCCAATCACCACTCGCACTTCCAGGAACTGGATTTTGGACAAGTCCCGCAGGGCGGTTGCTTTCCAGACATTGACCATACTATACAGGACCTCGATGCCCTGGTCTACCAGATTGACTCATCCATATGGACAGCTATGAACGACGGTGAAGCCTTGCAGGCGATGCATCCATGATAGAGAATCTACAGACGTGGAGTAACTGAGAGGGGTTTCGGGAAGGTCTGTTCAAGGAAATCAGTGTACATCGAGCCGAGCGCAAACAACGTTGAATCCACCTCCTAGAGCCTTCACAATACCGGCCCTGTATTCGGAACTCGTCCGCAGCCAGAACATTCCGTTGGATTCCGGCGAGATGCTAGCCGCAAATCGTTCTTTATGGCCACGGCTTACATGTACTTTCCGTTCATTGCCTATGAAATAAAGTGTGAGACTGGAGCACTGGGCATTGCACTTCGCCCAAATGCCCACCGCATGACCCTGGCAGCCTATTCGATTGTCGAGCTCGTCCGGCTCGTGAACCGCGAAGAGGAGGTCGACAGGCAGATCCTCGCTTTCTCTAATTCACACGACGACCAGAATGCACGGATCCACGGTTACTGCCAAGTGTTCAAAGGGGAAGCTACCGAGTACTACCGTCTTACGATCCGCAACTTCACTTTTATCGAGCTGGACGGTAGAGACAGATGGGTAGCATATTGGTTCACCAAGAACATCTACGACACTTGAGTGCCAGATCACTTCAAGAAGATCTGCTCGGCCATCAACCAGTTGCCGTTCGCGAACCCGGCACCTCCTGGACCACCCTTCCCAATGGCCTGAAGCGCTTGGAGCTGTTGTTGGCAAGCTCCGATACTTCATGATCAAGACCAAGACCTGCCCAGAGGAGAAATAGGCGATCAATTCTCAAGAACCGAGATGCTACTGTAAATCACTTGGTGGATGCGCTGGCTGACCATCACCATGGAAGGCCTGGGATCCAATTTCAATATATTGTCGAGACGTAAATGCGCAACCTAAGAGCTATGCATGTGTGGCTATATGTAATTCTGCTGGTGGTAGGGGTGGCACTAAATGAGGTTCGGGCCGAACAGTGCTTTCTGTATAGTCAGCCTACGGCGCTCCATACTGTAGGAGGCCATCACAGGCCGAGCGGGTCTGCTGCAGCGATAAGATCTCGATAAGAAACTTTTCGCGTCATGGTTTGATCGAGTAACAGAGCTGCCTTTCGACCACTTCATTCTACCCGCTGCGAAATAGTCGACAAAAACCCAATGGACTTGTCGAAACTTTCTCTCCTCTGAGATTTGACTAGTATTCAAGAGACCACATCTTCAGAAGCACAAAAGGACGAGAAACACCAGCTCACCAAAGATGACGACACCACAAGCCCAACCTCCTCCGAGCGAACCATGCCCACCACCACAACAACAACCCCCCAATCCTGTAGCCCCTGGAAGCGGCACCAAGTTTAGAAATCCAGACTGGGTGCACTACAGCGCCTGGGCGGGTGTGATCCTCGGCCCCATCGCCCTGTTCATGCCCCCGCGGCGGGTCGGCCTCCAGTCGCTCTTCCTCGCCTCGGGCACCTCGTACGCGACCAACATCCTGGCGTACGACTACACGGGCGAGTCCATCTACCAGCGCTTCGTGCGGCGGTGGAGCAACATGGTCGACGGCGGCCTGCCCGAGAAGGCGAGGCGGACACAGGAGCTGCTGCGGATCGAGCGCGAGCGGAAGGAGGCAGCGCTCTCCGAGGCGCAGAGGAAGGCGCTGCAGGAGGAGAGGGAAAAGAAGGAGATGGCGCAGCGCGGCCCGCTGGCGAGGCTGTGGATGGGGAGTGAGAAGGAAAACTGGAAGGAGGAGAGGGCTAAGAAGGAGAAGGAGGCGCTGGAGGAAGGAAAGGGATATGGAGATTTGATCATGGAACAAGTCAAGGAGGCATTTGGCATGGGCGAAAAGGACGACAGCGGCGAAGACAAGAAAAGTGGGAAGCCTGAGGATGACAGGAAACCATGAGCACAGGAGATGCTACTGCTGCTGCCGCGTGCAGTTGTTTCAAAAGTTCAACAATCCTGATATTATACCGCATATGGTCGGCGTTGGGTGGATGACACATGATACTGTAATATTATTACACTGCGCATCTCAATGAAGATTGGCAATATTGGCCTCATCATCTATGTCCCCTCTCTCACCATTGCGAGAGGTCGGTGTGCGCTGCGGACTGACCATTTGTTGAAATGGCCGGTCACTTCATACATTTATGCCGACGAGGCCTTTGCTGGTCTCTGTCCAGCTTGAAAGGCGGAGACAGAAGGATAGCGCTGCCTTAAGGCCGGCGGTGGAATGATGTGACCAATAAGGCGTGGTCATTCGGATTCATGAGATGCCTGCGACGAGGACCCCCACCACACCCTCTCTGCCTTGCAGCACCGGAGAGCTTCGTGCTCTTCTTGCAGTACCTCACCTTGCCAGGAGCCAACTTCTAGCTGCTTCGCGAGATCTGGGTCTGACGTGTATGGCCCTTGTCTTTCTCCTTGCGCTGCCCGCCCGCCAGTGCTCTCCCTCTCTTATGATGGGTACGAGCAACCTGCTTGGTTCGACGATCTTTCTTCTTTGAGTCTCTTAACTCCGTCTTCTCGTCAAAATTCTTGGTCCACTGATCCAACAGCTCCTGTACTTCGGGCGCCTTCTTGTCCGATCCCTCCGGAACACCAAGCTTCTTCTGAATCTTGATCTTTTCCTTCTCGATCAGCTTGAGACGGCGGCGGACCGTGCGGTTCATACCCGAAGGCGGCGCAGTGTAGCCAGCAATCTTTTGCTTGAGGGGAGCACCTCCATCTTCCATGTCCACATCCTCATCGTCAGACAGCGGCTTCAGCTTGTCCGGGTGGACCGGGATGGGGTTGACGTCAATCATAAAGATATCGCCCGCCTCATCCGCCCCGGAGGCCGCTGTGCTCGTTAGGTCTGTGGCCTCCAGTTTCTTTGCCCGCTTCTCAGCTCTCTTTTCCCTCCTCCGCTCAGCCTTGACCTGCCTCTTGCGCCCCTGCTCAGGCTCGGTATGAAGGTTGGAGGCCGTGAGGGAGGGGTCGAGCTCCTTTTCCATCAAGATCTTGAGGGCCTCCTCGCGGAGTCGTTCCTCCCGCTGTTCTTCTCTCTTCTGCTGCTTTTTGGACCTGGTCAAGTTGCCCTCTAGATTCTCCATTGGGGTCCTGCCCAGTGCGGAATCTTCAAGAGCGGCGCCTCCCTCATCAGCAGAACCCTTGACAACAACGTTAGTGAACCACACCACACCACGACACACGACACCCAAAACCCTCTAGTCATGGCCATGACGATCCATCCACTAGAATGGAAAATCATGCTTTCATTCCCAGAACATACTGGGTACGGGCGGAGAGCCAGCGCAATTTCTTGCGCCTGTTTTAGGGCTTGTGAGGCCAACCTTTGAACTCTCGTCCTCGCTCGCGTCAGACCCGGTCTGATGGCTCAGCTTTTCAGCCTTCTTGGACTTCTTGTCCCTGCGGTCATGCTTGGTGACCTTGCCGTCGAGGTTCTTCTTCTCCTTCCTGTCTTTCTTGGTCGCCTCGTCCACTTCCATCGGATCTGGGCGTGTCTTGCCCATTGTGACTCGGATGGTGGCAGGCGAGCCTGATCCAGGTGAAGGCAGAGAGGGATGACGCTCGGTGGAAGGGAGTTTTGTATGGTAAATAAACCAATCAATGCGTTCAAAGGCTGAAAAGTATGGGTAGGGAGGGCCGGTGGCGTCCTCTCCAGAAAAGTCTCGAAGGAGAGGGCAGGTTACGGAGATTTTGGTTGAAACGATGGGTTTTATCGATAAGCCCCCCTTGCATGTATTAAATGGTAGTACCACCCCTTGCACCATTACCCGCAGCACCGTATGTCGTAGCTCCACTCAAACTTTCCACGCCGTCGCGTCTGCGCGACGCGATCCTCAATTTACGACGGAACCTCTTTCAGCAGTCTTGAGCAACAAACTCACCCCCACGCGCCATCACAATCAGAAAAGATGCCCGCAGCAAAGGTTGACGAGGCGGGTGATTCTTCGACCTCAGCAGCCAAAAAGATCCTGACCGCCAACACAAATGGCAACCCAACTTATGAGCTACCATGGTAAGCACCACCTTGTCGCCTGCCTGCCATCTGAGCTGACCAGTGTTCCTCAGGGTCGAGAAATACCGCCCCGTCTTCCTCGACGACATAGTCGGCAACGTCGAGACCATCGAGCGGCTCAAGATCATCGCCAAGGACGGCAATATGCCCCATGTCATTATTTCCGGCTCGCCAGGTATCGGCAAGACGACCTCGGTGCTCTGCCTGGCGCGCCAGCTGCTCGGCGATGCGTACAAGGAGGCGGTCCTCGAGCTCAACGCCTCGGACGAGCGCGGCATCGACGTCGTGCGCAACCGCATCAAGGGCTTCGCGCAGAAGAAGGTCACCCTGCCGGCGGGCCGCCACAAGATTGTCATTCTCGACGAGGCCGACAGCATGACGAGCGGCGCGCAGCAGGCACTGCGGCGGACGATGGAGATCTACTCCAACACCACGCGCTTCGCCTTTGCATGCAACCAGTCCAATAAGATCATCGAGCCGCTGCAGTCCCGATGCGCGATCCTGCGGTACGCGAGGTTGACGGACGCGCAGGTCGTCAAGAGGCTGCTGCAGATTATCGAGCTGGAAAAGGTCGAGTATAACGATGAGGGGCTGGCGGCGCTCGTATTCAGCGCCGAGGGCGATATGCGGCAGGCGATCAACAACCTGCAGTCAACGTATGCGGGCTTCGAGATGGTGACGGGCGACAACGTGTTCAAGGTGGTGGACTCGCCTCACCCGATCAAGGTCCAGGCCATGCTGAAGGCGTGCTTCGAGGGCAACGTAGACTCTGCGCTCGACACGCTGCGGGAGCTGTGGACGCTGGGCTACTCGAGCCACGACATCATCAGCACTATGTTCAAGGTCACCAAGACGATACCGACGCTGAGCGAACATGCCAAGTTGGAGTTCATCAAGGAGATTGGCTTCACGCACATGAAGATTCTCGAGGGCGTCCAGACGCTACTGCAGCTCAGCGGTTGTGTGGTCCGGCTGTGCAAGTTGAACATGGACCCGAAGAAGTTTCAGGTCAAGACTAAGGCGCGATGAGTGAAATCCCTCGTGGCGGGTGAGGGAGGTTCTGAATTTTCGGCATGGCATGGCATGGTTCGGCGTTGGCTCTGACTCAATTACAGGTTCGGGATGTTCAGAGTGGGGGGGTGGACAAAATTGGTCGATGCTTGCTTGATTTTACATCTGATAATGTACATGAAAGGGTCCTTACAAGGCGTCTATAATGAGACATTGTGGCTTCCTTCCTGGAAACCCATTCATCCAATCCGTGCTCTTCTCAATCGTCATCATCCTTTCCATACTCCTCCTCAAACCGCTGCCACGCTGCCCTGTCCCTATCAAGCCGTCGCTGCATCCTGACACGAGCCTCGTACTGCCGCATCCAGTAGTCTGCTTCGATCATAGACCCGACGACCATGCCAGACATCTGAAGGTACCTGGCGAGACGTCAATTGGGTGTCTGTCATGTACCCCATGAGGCCGAGCTCCAAACCTCTTAGTAGTGTCTTACACTTTGAACTGAATGGTCAGGCCTCTGTAGATGGGGGACGTGAGATACCCGATTCCACCAAGGATTCCCGTGAAGGCGCCCCATTTCACGGCGCCATAGACGGCACCCCATGTCGCCTCCCAGGCTGCACCGGACACCTCATCATCTCGCATAGCACCGTGAGATCGCATCTTGGCTCATGGCTGGGGGGGCTGGGAGTCGGAAGCGCCTGACCTGAGTGGCTGGCTGGTGGGCTGGCTGGTGTTGGCTGGTATGACGAGATGCTGGAATCGTGTGCTGGTCGCGGAGACCTGTATGATGTGTCGATTCTCTTGTTTAATCGATATTATTTCCTTGTCTTTTTTCTTCTCTTTTTCTTGTTCCTCCCTCTTTCCTCAATTCTGAGCCCTTCCTTCTCGTTGACAGCCGCGCTTTGCCTGTGGGGCGCGCGGCCGAAGACGGCTAAATCGTCACGAAGCTCTACTTAAGTGCATACAGTGCTCAAGTAATTACTCCTAACCCTCGGGCTTCAGATCCACCTCTTCGGCTGCCTTCTTCACCAGCTTCTTCGATTCACTTCCTAGTTCTGCTACTACAACTTTTTATTACTTATCGATTTTTTCATAAATGTGATCTATCCAGCCTTCTCTACTTCAGTTCAGTGTCTACAGATTAAGCACTGGCCTGCGTCAAACTATTAACAGTGCGTTCTGCAGACGATGCACACACAATGGACACGCGAACGCTGGACGTTACCATTCCTCGCCATTGACCAGCAGTCATCCGTGGAGCACCATTTGTACAATTCTATACTTTCTCTTTCTTTTAAAATACCTATGCTGCTGCACACTGCCAGTAGGTACAGCGCGGTATTGCCGATGGCGCCTCGGCCTCCCGTGTAGGAGCAAGCTTCCGTTGGCCAAGAACCCTTTAAGACGGTCGCATCCAAAGTGACGGCTCGCCAACCTGAAGAGGATGACTCGTTCGGCTCAGCACTCTCACGTTACGCTTATAGGCCCGCGATGTCACCACCAATAACATTTATCATGCTCGGCGATCCAGGCACTTAGCCCAGCGCACTCAGTGTTCCCTTGGTGCTCGGCACCTCTCCCTCCTTGCCTGGCACCTTGCTCGTGGCCATACGTATCGCCACCGCCAGGGCCTTGAACGCTGACTCGGCGCGATGGTGGTCGTTCTCGCCCCGGATGCAGTCGACGTGGAGCGTCACGCGCGCCCCCTGCGCGAAGCTCTGCAGGCAGTGGGGGATCATCTCGCAGCTCAGGTCGCCGATCTTCTCGCGCCGCAGGCCCAGGTCGACCACGCTGTACGGCCTGTTGGAGAGGTCGACGACCGCGCGGCTGAGAGCCTCGTCCAGCGGGGCGTATGCGTAGCCAAAGCGGGCGAGCCCGGCCATGGAGTTGAGGGCCTTGGCGAAGGCGCTGCCGAGGGCTATGCAGACGTCTTCAGCGGTGTGGTGGTCGTCGACTACGCACGGAGGGGAGGGAAATCGTTAGCATTCACGAATGGCCTTGTTTTGATCAAGAAGGAGGGGGGTGGGAGAGGGGGCAATTAGCCTGTGCAGGCTCTGCAAAAGAGGGCATGGGCGACTTACTGTGCAGGTCGCCCTTGCATGCTATCGCCAGACTCCAGCCGGCGTGCTTCGCGAGGGCGTGCAGCATGTGGTCTAGAAATCCAATTCCTGTGTGCACACTTATTGTCTGCGACTTGCTAGACTGTGATGCATGTCCGTCGGCGCCAGTCGCAAGCAATCTCTCGTCCGTCTCGGGCGGGAATGCACCACCGTCGAGGTTCAGCGCAAGCTGGATGCTCGTCTCGTTGGTGTCACGGGCGAGCGCCGTCCACCGGGGGGGTGTTGATGAGCTCATAGTTTGACTTGAGTATGATCTGAGTGGATACGGCGCGGTGTATCCCGTGGAACTAGGAGAATTGTGGTCTTGAATTGCTCAAGAGGTTGTGATGACTTGTCGAGTCGAATCGTGAAGAATATTTTGGAGTGACGTATTTCGTTGCGCCGGAATCGCAGTGCTGAACTTCTCAATACGGCCTTTCTGATAGGCGCATGGCGCGCGGTACAGTGGTGTCTGCCGTGGGGGATCAGCAGGGGTCTGCTGTCTGTATCCCTGCTGTACGCCCCCACTACTGGTACTTAGCACATGCCAGGCTCGAAGGCGCTGTAGACAACAGGTCATTTCTGATTCTGATCCTTTTTTCCCCTCTTCCCACCCACGTTTACCGGAGGCATAAGGACATCTCGAGATGGCAAAGGCAGTTACCACGGGTCTGACTCGCGAACACAGCATATGATACTAAGTCTTTATACATTATCTATACAGTGTTTCATACAAGATACAACACCAGGATATTATCTCTGCGGCGGCCCAGGAAACCACGTCTGGATCTGCTTACTCTCCACTGGACTGCCGCTCTCCCTCTTCCCTTTCCTTACCGTTCCTGGGCTTACCTTGCGCCCAAACTTTGTGGTCGACGGAGGAGGACCCGGCGGTGGCGGCGGAGGGAACCACGGCTCTTGGATCTCCCTCGCGCTTGGCCAACCGTGCTGCTGCTGGTGCTTCAGCAAGGGTGATGATGAATTCGCAGTCCTCATGCCGGGGTAGCCGCTGCCCTGGCTGCTCATAGTGGTGGTGTTTTTGGGTTTCACACCCCGACTTGATTCTTGAGAGGGAGACGAGCTGTGCTCGGCTGGAGAGTAATACCGTGTGCTATGCTGCGTTGACGATGGCGAAATATCAAAGGTATTCTCCTTAGGCGAAGGATGGGCCGCTGGAGGGGGTGCCAGCTTGGCCTCGTTGGTGTCAATTGTCATAACCCCCTTTTTGGATGCAGTCCTTTTCAATCCGCGATGGAAATTGTTCCATTGATCGGCGATCGGAAAGCCCTGGTCCGGAGTATCATTCATCTGGGCTGGCGCCACGTCCTGGGCCTTCCATCCGTCTATGGCGGTCTCGTACGGGTGTCGTTCCAATCTTGGTTTCGTTTCGATGAAGTATCGGCCCTCAGTGACAGGCCTATCCACAACTGTCCCGGACATCTGCGCATCGAGCGAACTATACGCCTGCTGCTGCTGCTGCCCCTGCTCCTGCACAGGTGGCAGATCGCTGAAAAACTTGGGCGACAGGGGCGACGCCAGGATATTACGACACTTGAAGGAGAATGACGACCGTCGTTTATCCCGCGCCCAACGAGGCGTCCGTCTACTGCTTATGCCGTTTTTGCGCTTTCGGCAACGGAAGAAGATGACCACAGCGACCAGGATCAAGACCGCAACGCCACCGGCTACGATTCCTCCGATAGCTGCCGTGCTCAGTGAGAATCCGCTGGTAGACTTGTTCACCGTGGATGGATCGACGGCCTGGATGACGCTGCTGGAGAAGACTGAGGCGCTCAGGCCTAAGGGGTCTGTTGCGTTGGGCTTCTGGGTACAACCTGCGTTTAGGGCCACGAGAGCTACCCAATGTGTCAGTACACAAGGGGCTTGAGTATCAAAGGAAAGGAGAGTCGCCATATCAAACGTACCATTCGCGATGTAGTTGGTATCACCACTGTCGCTAACACAGTCCATACACGGCTGGAAGTACTGGCCTGTCAACGCCCCACCATCCGCATCGCAATAGCCGAACTCGTTGGATTGAGCATCGGTGGCGTTCAGCTGGTCGTACTCCAGTGCCGTCTTCAAGGCGCCGCACGAAGTGGAGGTTTCGCACGGGTTCGACCCAGAGCTGGTGTCGTTGGGATACGCGAAGACGCAGGAGTCGAAACTGTATCGCAGGTTGTCTTAAAGGGGACAATGTTAGGTTGAGGATGCCAAATTGCACGGTGTGCTTGTCGTTTTCATCATTGTCCACTCACACAGGAACCAAGCTTGGTCGCTCTCACCCCCCTGGGAATAGGTGCTGTTTTGCAGGCAGCTCATGCACTCCTTCCATGTCGATCCGGTGGTAGTACTTGTGATCTCTGCGTCCTCGCATGCGATGTCTGCTGACACGGTGTCCGAGGAGCCTAGGCATTTTGAGAAGCAAGGAGAATTTGGGGTCACTTGGATGGCCACGAGATGGCGTGCAAGTGAGAGTAAGAGGAGGTAAGACAAGGAACGGATAGCCATATCAAATGGTCTTTTGTGGCTCAAAACGAATGGAGCGAAAGAGGAGAAAGGAAAAATGCTCGTGAAGGAGTGGTGATGGGCGAAGCAAAAATGATCGGATCGTTTTTCAGAAGCGAATTATCAACTAAAGTCCTCAACCAGGAGGCTCTTCAGATGGTCTCGATTAAACAAGTAATAGAGGGCGGAATGTAAAACCCAAAAGGGAAATGAAAGATGACACAGGTTTGACCACTCTTCTCGACAACTCTCAAAAAAGACAAAGACAAAACAATCAGAACAGAGACGGAATGAATTCCAGGGAAGGGAGGGGGCCAAAGGAAGCAATATGAGGTCGCACAACTACCGATCACAGGCACCGCCCACGCCTTTCGAATGGTGCCGCTCATGCCGGCAAACATCACTATCACACATCACACGAGGTCTCCAGCCGCGCACCGATGCGAAGATCTCGTGTGCGGGCCACTCATGGGCTCACACAGTCCCCCGATGGCTGCCAGTGAACCCCCGAAGAACCCAGACCGACAATTCGGGTCTCATTCCGGATCGGACGAGTCGGCGGCTTTCGGTCAGGTAGTACCATAGTAGCATCGAGCGGTGTCCTGCAGGCACCTTGCAGGAGGGGGGGAGAGGGGGGCCCCCAGATGCGGGTGGTTGATAGGCGTCGTGATTGGACTGTCTTGTTTTCTTTTCGCGCCGGCGCTTAGGCAATGTTTCCCTATCTGCATTGGCAGCACACGCCGTCCGAGGCCAATGACAAGAGCGCAACCGGGCAAGGCGACCAGTGGCCCCATGGGTCCGTTTTTTTTTTGTTTTTTTTTTTATCTATATTTATTCATTTATTTATTCTTTTGGGAATGCTGAAGCATCACAGTGGTCGGTCTTCCGCGGCAGCGTGGCCTGCCCAGAGGAGATGGGGTCGTGAGTGATGTCACAATGGGGCCCTGGTTCACACGCGAGAAACATGTGCGCGCAGCGTGCTTTGGTACCGCCGGTAGCGATGAGACTATGCTGGGGCAACCGCCATGTACCAACCGCTCTCCCCCCCCCCCTCTCTCTCTCTATCATACATACACGCGCACACACACACACACACACACACACATCTCTTTCAATATGTCTTTGATCGAAGAGAGATAGTGCAACCAGAAAGTTGTCCTCGGTAATCCCCAATATTAGTACACAGTCTAAGTACCCAGTCAGCCAATCCCCAGGCCGGGCGCTTATGCAATGCTGAGGACACCCACATTCCCCAGTCTCCTCCACCCACTGCACCAAACAATACACTACGGCACTTTATCTACGATCTATTGTATTATCCGAGACCCTAGCGTAACAGCGGCAAGCGATACACCTCCTCTTCCCTTTTACACCGTTCTGCAATCCTATCTCTCTCTCTCTCTCTCTCACTCACTGGCTTCACAGAGACCCTGCCCTGGAAGCCGGTGCCGAGGGGTACGACGCCGTGCGCCGGGAAGAAACGTCGAACCGGGAACAGACTTCCCAATGATACTGTCGCACGATGATTCTGACGACATCACCTCGATGACAATTCGCAACACCCAGTGCCAAGCCAGTGTAGTTCTGAAGAGGGTACTATTGTCCACCCACCGAATTTGTGGATACGAGAGAGCAACCACAGTTAGCTACTACATAATACTGTAGCAATCTTAAAAAATTGGTCGGTGTGGTCGGTTGTCGATCCTTCTAATTGACTTACAGATCATGTGCGCAAAATGCTTGGACGACCGCTCAAGCTGGTTGGCGCCCGTCACCATTCTCAGGCTCAGCCTCAAATATTGAAGGACTCTAGTCGGGCCTAGGTTCATACTTCCCAGACCCCTACTTCTTCCTACGCGCCGTCTGGTCTGCTTTTCCCTGCTACCTACCATTTAGGCAATTCATCAACTGGAAAGCTGCCACTATGTAACCTTGCATCGAATTCATGGTTCCATGATCGAATTTTAGCTTTCTAGTTCAGATGAATAACACTAATACTAGACAAACATCGATGGTACGACTTGATACTTCACAATCTAGGTTGACTATTTCTGAAGTACAAAGGCCGACCATGTAAGTGGGCGAACGGCTCTTGCTTCCAGCATGGCGAGAATGTCCACGCCTTGCCATTGATATTCGCGCAGAAAATGGCTCTGCTAAGTTAACCCGTTAAATCATACATTCATACTCCATTGGAAGCTGTTGGGCAATCTCTTGGATCCAGCTTCACGGTTTCGGAGACACTGCTAATTCCTCGGGGCAGTCTTCTTTTGATATAGAACCAGATGAGGTAGGTTTCTCTCGCGGCACCGAGTCTTTCAAGAAGTTGATAATGATATACACATCAAGAGTAATCTTCCTTGATAACCTCAATAGGTGACTGGTTGGTGTAAAAGCACCCGTGAGAGCTGGTTGTGGGTGTTCACAGTGACCACTCCAGCAATCAACTTCCTAGCTAGAGGAAGAAATGGTCCTGGATAACCCATTCAAACTACTTACTTAAGTGCATATGTACTTGTTAACGTACTCATCGATAGGTACCGTCTTTGTAGCCGGTTGTTTCACTCGACCAACGTGATCAGCACGTGGTAAGGATTCCAGGTTTCACTTGTGGTAACCGATGCTACAGCATATACTCTCGAGAAGAGATTTGTATAATATACCCACCTACAACAGTCCAGACCACATCAGCCGTCATAGACTGGAGGAGGTCCAATAACTAGTAATTATTACACAAGACATGGTTCCAAGCATACAGTCAACTCCACTGATAAAAGTTCACTACTAAGTTCTTTTTCTTCTTAAGTCTCCATTTCTCAAAACTGATTGTGAAAAGTGAATTTTGAATAATCATATCGATGAGGCGAAACCCGAGGTTTTCCAGGGAGGCCCACAGCTCTCTTCGATTACCTAGAATGAGAGCTTCTAGTTCCAAGCGAGAATGAATTACCCTTCCGACTCCAATGACGTGGTATCTTCGTCCCAACATTAAACAACAGACTATTAGGGTTTCGTCCGATGATATCTTTCCGAGGCAAAACATCCGACTCCTGGCTCGCTTAACCGAGTGTACCACCGCGGAACAACCTTGGCCGGGCCATGCTCCATAATATCTTGTAATGCCCTGGTACAGCCGGCCGATCGAACAAGACGGATCCCGATACTTCCAAACAACGCCGTCGTCACTCATTGTCAGAACGCCCATGTATTTTCTGAAAATCATACCCCCCTTCCTTTTGTCTGAAAACGTTCATGCTTCTCTATGCTCATCCAAACATTCTAGGAGAGACTCAAGTGGCAATGGTCACGTCACCGGCGGTTAGCCAGGACAGTCATCCCGACCTCGGTGAAGCTAGACACGAACATGCATCGGTTCGACCCTCCCACGTACGTCGGACAGTTTGCGTGGAACAACATGGTCGTGCTGTCCTCGCCCACGGTGCTGGTTCCACCGCCTGGCGAGGTCAAGTTAAACATGCTAGTCTGGAGAAAAGGCTGCGAGGACCGCGTGTATGGGCCGGTGACGGCATCGGCCGTTGCGTACAAGACGTTGTACTGTGTCGAGGTGAAGCAGTGACTGCTGTAGAAGAGGACGTATTTGCCGCTGCTGGACAGGACAATGTTTGGCGCCTCCACCAGGGGACCGTCGCTAGCAACCCGGTCCAGAATCTGCACCGGGTCGCCAACCTTGGTCGTCCCGTCGCCTTCGACTTGCTGGAGCATGATCGGTGTGTCTTTGATGGGCGCCACGGTATTATCGCAGGATCCTCCATTTCCATCAGAGTTGCCGTCGATTTTCCACGTCACGTACCGGGTGCCGTCCGAGTCCACGAAGCCGGACGAGTCGATGGAGCCGCCTTGGTCTTCATCGCAGTGCCAGTACTCGTCGTTAACAGAGTAGGGCCCGTCGATATTATCTGATGTCGCAACTCCAAGACAGTGTATCGCCGTGTTGTTAGCCAGCGCTGCCGTGTAGTACATCACGTACGTCCCGTCGTCCACCATCCTGACGTCTGGGGCCCAGATATCCACGCCATCTGTCCAGGACCCAGGGTCTGGGAGGAGGTCCTCGTCCACGTAGGTCCAGGGGCCAGATGGATCTGGTGCTGTGGCGTATTGCACCCGTTTGTCCCCGCTTGCGGTTGCGAATGCGTACCACTTGTCGGGCCCCTCGAGGATGGACGGGTCTGGGAAGTCTTGGTACAGCGCTGGTGTCTTGGGCTGGTCGACATGGTCGTGCCAAACAAAGGCGCCGCGGATGTCATATGCGCTCATGCTTGGTGCAGCCTGTCCGCTCCTGAGCAGTAACAGGTTGACCAAATTGATGTTGATAAGGGTTTGAGAAAGGGGCCTCATGGTAGCTAATTATGTCTTGAAGTTGATGAGAAGAGACGTTGTCATATAATAATAAGAGACCGTATCGTCATATTCTAGGTATTCTGAATGAGAGAGAGAGAGCGAGAGAGAGCGTGGTTCAAGACATCAAAATCAGAGAAAACCAATAAAAGTTATGATTAAGAAGGTGAAAATGAGTGCGCCGTAAGTTTAAGTGGGCAATAGGGAGTGTCGGGACCAGGTTTTGGTCAAAATAATAATGATTGACGCCTTTGTGGCTTCCTCCTTCCAAAGTACTTACTTAGGGATGGATCTTGTTCTTCTATCTGTCTCGACCACAAACAATGTCGGCTGGTGCATTCCATGAGGAGCACTTACCCTCCGAGTTATATACAATATAGCATAGTAGTGGAGAGTAGTTCTCAAGGAGCACAACTCCTTGAGTAAGACTAAGCGCCATCATAACAACCACCACCTCCCCTGCCCTTGAGATAAGGCTGCTTTAAAACCTAAATAAGACAGTTACTCATTCAAGGAGAACCGGGAACCAGGGCACGGTCCGTATCCAGTCCACCCTAGGACTTCTATGAGCTGCCTACCAGATTTGACGTACTACTGTCTTACGCGGCATGTGTTTCTCGAATTTCAGTCCTGTTGTTCATCCCGTCCCAGATCTTGTGGTTGCGGGCCCCACGGGTGGGGGTTTCACACCACCCACGGAACAAGGGAACGGCGCCGGGATCCCCAGTTCGAGAATTTTGGTGTATCGGAATCTTACTTGGTCTGAAGTTCCTGGCCCAGGTCTCGATCGGATTGGGCCTTGGACGCATATCACATGCTGGGGCCTCATCTCCGCCGGCCCGTTCAACTTCCCTGCCAACTGTGGATGTCGGCGGATCGGTCACTGTGGCGGTGCTCTGCCATAGTAATGAAGTCCTCATGCCTTGGAATTCATGTTTCCTTTTTTAGCATTGCCAATCTGGAATCTCAATGTAGACTCTTATTCTTCACGGGAAAGAAGGCAATGAAGTAGATCTTTCGATCTTCAGAGTGCCTGCTCCGGAGGCCGGCTCTCCATCCCATCAACTATTACTGCTTACCGTCAAGGCCGACAACCTGGCCCTCAATAATGGAGTCGGAGAGTCTCAGGGCGAGACCTCTGGGCATGCATGCAGGAACTGAGGGGTGACAAAATGCCGTGCTGAAGAGCAGGTGGATTTCTTGCAAGACAACTTCTAAGACAGTCGGTTCTGAATACGAAAGCCGTGCCCACTCCTTGAAGAGATGCACGAACTGGGCGCTTGACCTCCAGCCGCCGAAATTGTCAATCGGGGCTGAGAGACTTCATAATAGCTATCAATAAGTCTCCAAGCCTTTGATTCGATTCTCCCTCGGCCCCCTTCTGTTTTGTCCTGATTTCACTATAACAGTCAGATTGTTGGCCCAAGAATTTCTACGCAGATGAGTAGACTGAATTGCTACGATTACATTTATCACTTTGGTTCTCTTCCTTGATACACAACAACGCGCGGTATAGATCCATATATTACTATATGGAACGGAGTAAAGGTATGATATCTCCTGCGGCACGCGGTCTCTCATATCGAATTTCTAAGCTTTGCAATACCATGGTAGATTGAGAGGTTGCTTCCATAGGAATGAAGTCATGTGCGAGAGCCAGCGGTTTTCACTGTTCTGCATATCACAGGCCCGTACGTTGACGTGCCTGGCACTCAGTAGCTTCCCCTAGATAGCTTCTACCGGCTTTTATATATTATAGCTGGCTGATCTCTCTTCTCTTCTTTGTGTAAAGTCTCTCGAGCACTTTGTCTTTCTTCGAAAATTCGTCAATGTCATTTCTTACAACTTTACCTTATGAACCAGCGAAAAAGAAAAAAAAAAACAATGATTTGGGCCTCGAAAGGCACTTGCTGCAGTTAAGATTATTATACGACGTACGAAAATGGCTTTAAACATGTTCTCTCACAGCTTTGCATTCTTTTTTTGTTGCATTTAAACAAAAACCAAACATTAAAGTTGGAAATCATTTATATTGTCAAAACATTGATTTAAAAAATATCAATATGGAGAGAATGCTTCCCTAATCAGGGCAATTTTTATCTCTTGCATCGAAAACGATTTCCCCTGAGACACGAAATACTTACAGATTCACAATCTTGGGAAGTCATATTACTTGGTTCAACTATTCTTTTAAAAGTTTCTAAAAAAAATTTAAAAAATAAAATAAAAGAAGACTGAGGCTATGCCTTCACTATTCAATCGCCGACCACCTGGGCAGTGCGACGGAGAATTCATCAAGCTGTTCAAGACAACTACCAGCATACAGCCCGAGATCGAACAGTATTATATGGAAATGGGAGACACATGTGTCGATGTTGAAGGAGAATGTGCTGGACAATACCGCGTGGGATGATCTGAAGTATGGTGTTGTTATGTTCACACAAGCCAATGACGTTCGGGAAGAGCAATGGGCGAACTATCAAAAAAGAAAAGGTTTTTGTGTTGGGACTGTCAGCATTGGTTTTGTTTGATTCGGCTAGCGCTATCGCCATTTTCGGGGGGTCTCGACAGTTACTGTAGGGGGCGATACTGTATCACTGCTAAGCAAGTACTTTGTACCATGCACACCTGCTCTAAGTCTGGTTCTGGATAGCCGACATACTCGCAGTTTTTTCGCACTTGCTCTTTTCATTCTTCTCAGCTTGCTATCTCTTCTTGCTTAATATTTAAAGGCCTTTTGATCCAGTCAATCTCCGGTAATCCTCTCAGCCCTAGTCCATCAGCCCCAGCTCCCTCTTCCTGTGGTCCGGCATCGGCAGCTTCCTGTCCTTCTTCATCTCCTTCTCCCACGCCCTGGCCAGCTTGGCGCTGGCCCTGTCGGCCTCGATCTCGCGTCTCGACTTGGTCGGGTTGAACGTCTCGGCGGCCTCGCAGGCCAGCTCGCCGAGCTGGATGCCCGAGGTGATGAGCCAGGCGAACTCGGGAAAGATGGCGTCGAAGATGGCGCTGAGGACATCGCCGACCAGGTCGACGGTGCTGGAGCAGTCGAAGTTGCCCATCTCGCCGAGCTCGAAGCCGAACTCGGCCTCGAACCACATCTTGGCAGTCTCCTGGACGCCATCATAGAACTGGGTGTCGAAGAAGCTGTTGATATTACAGAAGGTGCCGTTCCCCTTATGCTGGCTGGGCACGGACAAGGGAACGTCCACCCGGCCGGCGATATCCCGCCTGGCGATGCTCTCCGTCGTGTAGTCCCAGGTCTGAAGATCGCAGTTGGATCCCGAGGCGCTTGCATTAGCACCGCGAGCTAGCATGTTCACAAAGAGATTAAGGAAATCGGACGAGTTATACTGCGTATCTGTTAGGTGCAGTGTAACATCGCCTTCCTGCGGCTCGCCCTTCTCCAGGAAGTCGGCCTTGCCCACGGTAACAGTGCCCGTCTCGCAGCTCGTCCAGGCACCCTCGGAGGTCGGGGTTGGGCACAGGCTCATAACAGCATTGGAAACGCTAGTGTAGAGCGTCTCCCCTGTCATGGAGGCGACGTTGACCTTGGAGGACCCGAGCTCCATGCTGGCCACGGGGGGCTCGTAGAGGACCGCCGAGGAGCCGGCGCCTAGGGCTGCGCGTCAGCAGTCGGCATCACAGGGACCAGATCGCTCTGGCCGGCAGCCACAAGGAGAGGAGGCCGGGGGGGGGGGGGGCGGCTTACAGAAGGAGGCCGGGTAGCCTGCATAGTCTTGTGTGGAGAAGGTCTCGCACTCGATCACCTTGGACGACAGGTCGGTGTAGGTGAACTGGTACTGCAGGGTGTTCTTGGTAGGCTTCGCCGTCGTCAGGGCCTGGGGAGGGAGAGTCGTCCAGGGACACAGGTCCTCCGCGCCGGAGCTGGTGGCGGTGACCGCCGAGACCATGACCCCGTTGGTGCACATGCAGCTGTCCTGGACGCCGTTGTCAGGGTCTGCGTACGGGTAGCAGGGTGGCTGGCTCGCGGTGGCCGCCGCCGACGTCAAGGAGGAGGAGGAGGAGGAGGAGGAGGACAGCGCACACGCCGCGTCCCGCTTGCTCGACCCTCCCACGCTGGCGGGCCAGGACCTGTCGACGGCCGGGCTGGTGTTGATCTCCTCCCAGACCCTCGCCCGCGCCTCAGGGCAGCCCTTGCTGCTGGTCCCGGCATAAGGGCTGTACTGGAGAATGGAGACGCCGTTGAGCCAGTCCGGCACCCCGGCGGGCGAGCGCTTCTCACCGCTGCCGTTGTCGGTGAAGGCGTCTTCGGCGCCGATGTATGGGCGGATCGTGACCGTGTTGCGCCGCACATACTTCTGCATGGCCAGCTGGAGCTGCTGGATCTGGTCCGTGTACATGAGCTTCTTCTGCTGTGCTGCCGATGAACTGATCACACACAGATGGTCAGGGCTGGGCAGGTGATCCAAGGACCCGGTGTGACGAGGTGACTTACCCTGCAGCCTTGGACAGGATGTAGATGTCGCCGCCGCCGTTGCTCGCCCCAAAAGGATCGCCATACTTGTCATCGGTTTGCAAGTCAGCCAGACTTACAAACGAGTCGGCCCCGGCCGGCGCAGGGGCCTTGAGGATGTCGGCCGCAATCTTCTTGAAGTCCGCAAGAGGCCTCGTCACGACATCATTGTCGCCAGAGCCGTAGCGGTAGTTGAAGGAGCTGCCTCCATTGATGTTGGTCGGCAGAGCCGACTCCCACCAGTGGCCGGCCCAGAAGCCCGAGTTGCCCTGTCCCGGCTCAGCAAAGACTCTTGGGAGGCTTGGGGGGGGGGTGAGGGGGAGGGAAGATTGGAACCATACCACGATGAGGACACCCGTGCAGCCATGCATACCAACCATCTTGAAGTTTGTCGGCTCCTTGGGCCATGGAGTCCAGACACCAGTTACGCCGATGGGTGTCTGCACATTCTTGCCGTCTATCTGGAGGGTGATGCTCCAGTTCTTGAGCTGGTCTTTGGATGGCACGATGCCGATGGCCTGGGTGCTGTCGCTCGACCTGATGGTCTCCATGAAGTCTTCCTGCCCGCCTGGGTTCGGCTCGGCGAGGGGCTGGGCTTCTGGCGCACGGCTCAGGAGCGTCGCGCGCGGCACGTGTGCCAGCTCTGCCCTCTTGTCGACCGCACTGCCGGTCCCAGCGGCAGAACCACTTGCTGCAGAGCCACTTGCTGCAGCACCACTTGCGGTCGAGTCGTCTGGGACGAGCGTTGTGGGGACAGAGGTGCCGATGATGACACCAGACGCCGTGATGCAGTCGGAGCATCCCGACGCCGTCGGGCCAGAAACCTCGCTGACACCTGTCTCAAGATATACATATAAGTCTCATCTCTCTGCCGCAAGCTCACGGAACGGGGCACTGCCATCTTACTGTCACTACCGGGGGGGCCCAGGGCGCAGAGGTTTGGAATATCGGCAGGTACTGTTCCATTCACGGTCGTGCTGGAGTTGGTAGCAGTGGACGCATCGTCCTGGGCAGAATCCGAAGTGTCCGCTACAGCCCCCGTGGTGACATTGTTTCTAGCCAGCAGCAGCGAGTATGGGATCTCAAAGCGCAGGGCCGAGGCCGAGACGCTCAGGAGACAGACGCCCCATAGACTGTTTCTGAAAAGCATGGTATCACGAGAGCGAGAGAGCCGGGTTCGAGACGCTGGCTGGCTGGCTAGCTGGCTGGCTGGTGGTGGCGGTGTCGGTGGCGATGCCGGCACGAGCAAGCAGTGGGCTCTAGAGTCGGAATGGAGGCTGGTGCGACAAGATGGGCCGGAACCAGTGAGGTGCTCCGGTAGGAGAGGAGAGGACAAGTCCTCAGAAGCTTTATACATGTCCCGTCTCAAAGATGCTCCGGCGCGAGGCTTAAAGGCCTCATCACCACACCGTGGCCCCGCGCCGGCCAGGACTGCAACACCCAGTGTATACTGGCCTGGCGGTCCAAAAACCTCTATAATTATCCCACCAAGGCCACCCCGCAGCAATACAGACGAGGCTCCCCGCGGAAGAGGGCCTGGGACAGGATCTCTCTGTGCTTAAAAATACCCCATGGCGGCCGCAACAAGTCTTCCTACCGTTCTTGTCCCTCAGACTCTGGCAACTGCTGACTACAAACGCATGCGCACATGTCCTTCGCTTCAAGTCGTCAGAAACAAGTAGGGAGTTCCCAGCTCCGCGTCCCCAACGCTGCTCCCAGCGGCCGACGTGGAATGTTATTAAAAGGGCTCAGCTTGCTTGAGCTGCGGCCCGGCCCACCACCCTGTCTGGAGCTGATCTCACCATCAACCTCTCTATTTAGAAGAAGATTCAGATTCCGCCCCCCAAGGAATATATGCATATCGGCAGAGATAGAGAGGAGGAAGGGAGAGTCCCTGGCCAACTAGCCTACTCCTCTGTAGGTAGTGAACTGGCCCCAGGGGATCGTGCCGGGACTGAAGTTGGGAGAGGGCGACCCTGCTAGAAAATGCAGCCTTGGTGCCCAAGCCAGACGGCCCAGATTGTGAATCTCGCAAAAGTACTTGATGGTATGTTTTCCCCGGTGCGAATACACAGGCTGGCCCTTTCTGCCCTCGGTCGTAGCCCAGCAGAGCATTTGCTCTTTCAGGAAGATGGGCCCCCGGAGAATTGTTCGTAATCTCGGGAAAGCTCTCACGTAATATCAAGCGACGAACGGCGGGTATCGAGATACTGCGCGGTATGTAGAGGCCATCACTAGTGAAAGATGACGCCCGAACAAGCCTTGAGCCCCGGGGTCGAAGGAAGCTGACATACATAATTACAGCTGCGTCTGTCTGTAGTGAACACACCACCGCCTCCCGAAACAAAAAGTTGCTACACCTCGACTCTGACCAGTGAGGAAGAAGGGGTTCTGAGGACCGTGCCGCGTGGCTCTTGTATAATTAGGGATCCTCCAGGTCTCATATTTTCATCTGAACAGCAAGGTGTTCTTGTGGCTAACGTGAGATGCACCCAGCGAGCCCTTGTTTCAAAGTGTTCAGCCAAGTACTATGTTTATGTTATACTGTGATTGTCGACATCTCAGCCCTAGCGGCAGATCGGCACATGACTTGCTTATTATGCGTGGGGGGGGGGGGGGGCTGAATTGATGTTCCTCTGCCCCAGAACATTGTGCCGCTATTAATTCCGCGCACGTCGCACTCTCCAAGCTGCACGCACGCGACCCTCTCTGCCCTTGCATTGGCCAAGCTGTGTGTGTGTGTGTGTGTGTGTGTCTGTGTGGCTCGTACGGAAACCTGGCCGGTACGTGACGGCCTCCAGCCTTGTTATTAGACATGTGACATTTGCGAGTCGACTTGGTCTGATTTGCCTCTAGGAAATTACTGTCACGCTGTGGCAGAGGCCCTAACCCGCCTGCGATAGCTTTTGCCGCGGAAGCGATGGACCAGGACGCCTCCAGGGCGGCTGCGTTTCAGGACTGCTGGACAGCCCTCGAGACGAAAGATGTCGACGCTTTCGGCGCCGAGATGGAGAGGTCGTCGGGCTGCCTGAGCACAGAGAACATGAGAGGCTTCCTGACGCAGACAATCAAGGAGGATTGGGTAGACGGCGCCCGATATCTCCTCGGGCACGGCGCCAAGACGGACATGATAGGCCCAGTCATGCTCGCCAGGCACTGCAGGTCTGTCGCCATGCTCGAGCTCCTGTCCGAGCACGGGACGGAGTTTAGCCATCCTACAGAAAATATCCTCCCGTAAGTAACACCTGACGTTTCGTTTGTGACTTGCTGCTGCTCCCCTCTTTTCCTGCTTCCCTCAAGACCTGACAGACAGAGCCAGGATGGTCCTCTTCCGCCGCGAGATCCTCGACTGGCTCCTGGACTATGGCCTCGACATCAACGGCCCCAGCAACAACATGTTGTATGGCGCCAACAACAGGGTCATACGCGACAAGACGGTCGAGGTGCTCAACAGGGCCGCGGCCGCCGGGGATATCGAGCTTTTCGACCACCTCGCCGCGCGCGGCGCAGACCCCGGACGAAGCAACGCCCTGCACAACGCCGCCGGCTCTTCACGCGGAGACGCCGCCGCCGCCGCCATGATCAACCACCTGGTCGACAGATACCACCTGGACGTCAACGCCGGAGACGACTGCCACGGCCTGAACGAGATGGTCACATGGCAAACCCCCCCTGGGACGAGCCCGCACTACACCACGCCCCTGGTATACGCCGCTCGGGCCTCCAACGTCGCGGCGGCCGAGGCCTTGCTGCACCGCGGGGCAAGGGTTGCCGAGGCCCTCAGCGCGGCTGTCGTCAAGAGGAACGCGCAGCTCGTGGGCCTTCTCCTCGACCACGGGGCGGACCCGTCGCGGGGCCTGGCGGCGGCTGTCGTGCAGGGTTTTGTCGAGGGCGCCCGGCTGTGCCTGGAGCACGGCGCTGATGTTGCCAGAGGCCGAGAAGAGGACAGGTTTGTTGCAGCACTCGGTGGTGCGTATGCGGGCATGAGCAGCGAGATGAGAGCTCTGCTGGATGACCACAAATCATCGAGCGGTTGAGTGGTTTTATGGTTGTATTTCTATTAGGTTAGATCCAAGGCATCCGAATCGCAGAGAGAGATCACGCACATTCTTCCTTTTCCTGTCTTGCAGGCCAGTGGCAGCAGCCTCAATAAATTGACCAGTTGTGTTGTGATTCAGGAGAAAATACTCGCTGTGGTAATTAAGCCAAACGACAAGCCTTTACTCATTTCTGCAGCTATCAATACTATTAGTTTGTTGTACAATTATTATAAGAAGGCCCCTCCTTGTTCAGGTCTTCCTTCAAACAGTAAAATTGCCTCCTTTGGTTTCCATTATTATCTGCTTCTCTGAGCAGGTTTGAAACAGACTATTGATCTTCCCATGCAAACGCTCTCAAATCTACATTAATTATGCTTGTCTAGCTCATTATACCAAAGGGAAACTGGAGCGCATTGAGGCCATGGCGTATCTGCTAGACGAGGCTAACGTACCCATCAATATGTTGCAATGGGAGTGGGATGACGAGTTTTTTTTCCAAGCAAATCGCCCCATGGGATTCGGGGCAGCCTTGCATGCTGCAGTAAATGAGAAGAGGAAGGACCATATAGTATTTCCTCTTGGAAAAGGGCGCCGATCCCCTTGTGAAGGACACAAAAGGGCGAGGTGTTATTGACTTGGCACGAGACAGCGGCTTTGAAGAAGGGCTGTACTTATTGAACCAAGGAAACTCAGACAGAGGCTTGTGTTTACGTTAAGTGTGTAGTAAAATATTGTATCTATAAGGTAGCACAGCTAGGCGAGACCTCAGAGTAGAGATTTAAATAAGAAGTTCAGAAGTGGCAAAACTAATCAAGAGAAATTTGTAGCATGGAGAAAGGCGGGGGGTGATGCCAGACTCTTCACTTTATAATGAACACTGTAGAATTACAAAACTCACGAAATGCCTTTGTCGACGGCGAGCATGTCGATTTCTGAATTCATTAAAGCAGTCATATTCAGCCCGTACGCAAAACCCACGCCTCGCCCTCTCTCCCTTTCCGGATCATTCTTTGAATACGAGTTTTGAAGGACATTCTTCACTTGATTTGCTCTTTTCTCTCCTTCTACCTCTTTATCTTTTCTCTGCCCTCCCTAGAACCGTCGTCATATCTTAAGCAAGAACTAAATCCACAGGCTCTCTTTGCAAACTCACCCATATAGCCTTATCGACACGGCCAAGGCCTCTCCTGCGAGCAATACCGCCTTCTCGCACCACCCACATAACATAGTACACCTCAGCACCTGGTGTCTCCTCATCAATGGTGGTTTTCCCCCAGAAGCTGAGCGAATGCATAGCATCCATGTCCCTCTTGTCCCAATCAGATATGAAGCCCCGTGCAACTTCCACCAATTCATACCGTTGACCGAGCAAACTACGAATGTCATCGTGCAGCTGATGTGTCTCAAGGTGGCTAATATCCGTGATGGAGCTGCCTGTGGAGAGGTTCTGTCTTTCTCCCTCGGCCACGTTGATCTCCATGACCTCTAGAGCCCCAGCCCAGAGACCACCCTCGGTTTGTAGAGATATGATCACCGTAGCTGCCGCATCATTTCGCCGCATCGCATTCCCTGAGCTCAGCCAAGCCCTGCGTGTCTTGCAGGTGATGAACTGGATATTCCGTTGCGATTCCCGGGGTGCGCCTCGGTCTGGTAAAGGAATAGGCCACCAGTACTCGTAAAAGGAGCTACTCTCGTCTTGAGTAAAATAGCACCTTGGAAGAGGGAGTGCCGTGGCGGTGCTGCTTGGCGCTGCCATAGCTTTAGGTGACTGTGAGCTATCTTGTGTTAATGGATGTCGCGACCATCCAGTGGGACAAACGAGGCCACCACTATCAGAGAAACATTGGTCTCTCCATTTGGACCAGACGTGGTGAATCGGCTTGTCTGGGCCTTGAACACTCGACCGGTAATTCCACTGCACAAGTGTGGTCACGTATTCGCCATCTCCCATCTGCTTCAACCCATTACGCCGCACGCGTACGAAGCGGCGGCCCCCAGAGCTGTTCCACTGACGGAGCTTTCCCCGAAAACTCGCCCAGCTCCAGGTGGGTAGGCAGATCGCAGCACCACCCGGGTTCTTGGCGACACGTCTTTCGACATACAGGTCTGGCTGCCAGAGAAGCGAGAGGTCAAAAAATACCTCAGGCAGACCAGAGACGAACCCACCCATAAAACTGTGGCTCAGGACCGAAGCGCAGCCGGCGAATGCGGAGAGGGCATCCTCTGGAAAGGTAAGGTGTCTCAGGTTGTAGTGATAAAGCATGACATCCTGAAAAGATCCGAGGACTGGGACCCTGTTGCCCATTGTGCTCTGCGCGATAGAAGTGTACGAGGTGAACTCCTCTGACTGCAGTTGGCTCTCGACGCGGTCCTCGTGCCACTTGGCGGCGCTGCAGTCCCACTCCACGCTGTTCTCGGTGAACACCAGCCTCCTTCGCGAGAGCATCTCCTCTTGATAAGTCCAGGCTCGTCCACCCCACATGTCGGCGCGTCTGTACGCCGGATCAGTCTGGTCCACCTGTGCCCTGGCCAGGCAGAGATCCACATCCCACCGCAGCCAGTCTTCCGCGGCGTGTCGAGGCTGCGTGTGCCCTTTGATCCCGCGCATTCCGGTCATTGCGCCCGCACCCTGAGCGGCGACGATGGTGAGAGTAGCGTCGGAGTAGATATCTGCCATGTTATTGATCTCGGCCTCCTTTTGGTCCCAGTCATCCTGCACGATACAAAGTGCATCCACCCAGATGTAGCGCTCGTCCAGGAGCTGAACGATCTTCATTGCGTCCAGCACCGTGGGGGATATGGCAGGTTTGATATCAGGATTGCCCTTCACAAATGCCCCTGGTCTTTGGTTTAGGGTGATGTTTTCCTTGAGCGATGTGTAGAATGGCTCCGTGCCCCAAACATAGCTCAATGCAACGTATGTCTCGCCGCCGCGTGGCCGCACAAGACATGCTTTGCGTACGTCGATCAGCCACGAAGCTTGGACTCTTCTCTCCTCCGTCGGACTCTGCCAAGGAAGCTTGTAACACACCATGCCGTGTTCTTCCTCGCATTTAAATTTCCAGTATGCAAAGATCTCAGGATCGATCCACGACTTGTCGATGGGCCGAATCGAGCATGGTCGGTCACGGTCTGCAGGGCGGCATATACCAAAGTCACAAGAAGTGAGATTCGGCCCGTAGAATCTAAATGAGTCCCTATAAATTTCACATTCCAGCAGAAGCTGCGTCGAGGCTGGCCATGTCGAAACGTCCTGTTCTCCTGCAAAAGCCCACTCGAGAAGCTCAACGTGCTTGCGACATGCGGAGTTGAGCGGTTCCTGAACACCTCCCAGCTCTATATCACCAGGGTCCATGGCTAGGAAGTATTTTCGAAGCCTCTCACAAACTGGACACTCTCGTTCCTTGTATGGATGTAACTTGTCAGTCTCTTCGATGACAAGTACCACCGGTTGTACACTATATCAGTGCGTCAACGACAAAATAAGCAGACCATACGTACACCAGACTCATTGCTAATACTTCTAAGGTCCGTTTTGGTTGCGTCTGAACAGACCTTGGTTACCTGCAGGTGCAGGTTTTGCGCTGTTTTCTCCATAATGTGGCGAGCTCTGAAATGGCAGACAAAAACTTGAAATTGATTCATGTGAGTTCAGTCGGTTGCTGAGTGGCGTCAAGTGACTATGTGCTTTGTAAAACTACTGCAGGACCATGTTTGAGGAGCTCATCCCAGCCCCTCTCTTTTGCGCACAGGTGCTGAGCAATATTTAGCTTGGCAAACTCACTATTGGGAGTGGCAAGATCGAGTTGCAGATTTCGTTAAGGATCTAAATCCTTTGTATTTGGGAGTGTAGATATTTGCGTCTTTCGAATTGGCTTCTTTATATTCCTTTACCTAGGAACCTTGCGTAATGTCTCCCCCTTATTATTTTCTTCTTCTTCTTCTTCTTCTTTTTCTTCCATTTTCCTTCGAAGAGCGCGAATGGATCAATTTGACCTACAAGAAAGTAAATTATGCATAAGCTTCTTCGAGGATAAGGGAGGTACAGAAATAGAAATTTTTTTTTTTCTTCGGAAGGGGGGCAGAACTTCGCAATCGAACGTTCTGCAACTGTCTGTTGGAATCAAGTGCCATCTACCAAAATTAATTTTAACACTGACCAGATGCCACAATTTCATTTGAGGCTGTTGACGTCGTTGAATCGTACCAGTATGTAGTGACATTCTGTGTGCCTGCCCGCGACCAGTATCCCCCCAACTGGAAGCGGACTAGCGTTAAATCACTTTGGCAATTCCCCACACCAAAAAATTTGGGAAGCTTCATCAACCTGGACTGCGCGACTCCAACCAACATCTTCACCAACCGCAACAATCCCCCCCGACACCACACCACCAGCCAAGATGGCGGACGAGAAGCATATCATCGTGCCACAGGCTTCAACGCCAGCTGCTGACACAAGCGATTGGCCACTGCTGCTGAAGAACTATGACAAACGCAAGTACCCAAATTCTGTGTCGATGCAGCGTCAAATGGCCCTCACCTTTTTACTGACGGGAGACCTATTACAGTGCTCGTGAGAACAGGTCATTTCACACCAATCCCCCATGGCTGCAAACCTCACATGCGAGACATCAAGAGTTATGTCTCTTCTGGAGTCATTAACCTCGACAAGCCCTCGAACCCCTCCTCCCACGAAGTTGTCGCCTGGGTGAAGCGCATGCTCCGTGTCGAGAAGACTGGCCACAGCGGTACCCTCGATCCCAAAGTCACGGGCTGTCTGATTGTCTGCATTGACCGCGCTACCCGCCTCGTCAAGTCTCAACAAGGTGCCGGAAAGGAGTACGTGGCCGTCGTGCGGTTCCACGACAAGGTCCCTGGCGGTGAGGCAGAGTTTGCCCGTGTCCTCGAGCAGCTCACCGGTTCACTCTTCCAGCGGCCCCCCCTGATCTCTGCCGTCAAGCGACAGCTGCGTATTCGTACCATCTACGAGTCCAAGCTTATCGAGTTCGACAATGACCGCCACCTCGGTGTCTTCTGGGTCAGCTGCGAGGCCGGCACCTACATTCGGACACTCTGCGTGCACATGGGACTTCTTCTTGGTGTGGGTGCGCACATGCAGGAGCTGCGGCGTGTGCGCTCTGGTGCCATGGACGAGACCAAGGATTTGGTCACGTTGCATGATGTTCTGGATGCCCAGTGGCAATATGGTGAGTCCCACTTTTGCTGTGGTCCGAGCGGCATTGAATTTATTGACTAATTGGGCCCGGTTCCGCAGACAACAACCGTGACGAGACCTACCTTCGACAGGTGATCCAGCCTCTCGAGACCCTCCTCGTTGGCTACAAGCGGCTCGTCGTCAAGGACAGCGCGGTGAACGCCATTACCTATGGTGCGAAGCTGATGTTGCCGGGCCTGCTGCGATACGAGTCCAACATTGAACAGCACGAGGAGTGCGTCCTGATCACCACCAAGGGCGAGGCCATCGCCATCGGTATTGCCATGATGTCCGCTGTCGAGATGACCACTTGCGACCACGGCGTCGTCGCCAAGGTTAAGCGGTGTATCATGGAGCGCGATCTGTACCCTCGACGCTGGGGTCTTGGCCCAACTGCCGCAGAGAAGAAGAAGCTGAAGGCCGATGGTAAGCTTGACAAGTACGGCAGGCCCAACGAGGCCACACCCGCAAAGTGGACCGAGTCGTACACAGACTACAGCGCCGCCGAAGCCCAGGGCACACCTGCGAAGCCCACCGAGGCTGCGTCCTCAGATCTCCCCAAGGCCGTCGCGCCGCCTGTCGTTGTAGCCAACCCCGAGACGCCCAGCAAGGATGGCGAGGCCAAGAAGCGGAAGAAGCACGAAGGCGAGACTCCCGAGGAGAAGGCAGAGCGCAAGCGGAGGAAGGCGGAGAAGAAGGCCAAGAAGGCTTCCAAGGGCGAGGATGACAGTGACTAGATTATATTGTCTGCTTGGACGGCGTTGGGGGCAATCACCAAAAAAAGGCGTTCAGGGCGGGAGGATCCAGTTGCTTGCCACGGGGTTTTTGGGTATTCCATAGTCGGTAATACTCCAAGAACGATTCTTCTCAAAGGATACTATCCCACGGGAGGACATGGACTGTTGTGCTGCGTTGTGTTCGAGGCAATGATAATAAAAGGTCAAAAGACAAGAAAATGTGCTAACTAAGTACCGAAGATCTCTGGTATATGCTGAGTTGATGTATCTGGGGCTGATCAAGTAGGTATGCCTCAAGGAGATTTTCAGCTCACCAAAAAGTGACTAATGATGAATGCTGCACTCATCGGACAGGAGATCACTTGAGACCTATTCCTAGGCCTCTTATTGATCTTCAGAAGTCATTTCAGGTGAAGAAATTGGCTTGATAGTCCACTTGTAGCTGTAGCGTGTTGTTTCCGCTTCTGAACTGCTCATAAATAATTCAAGCATGTCATGAAACAAGTGGTTGACATATAATGGAAGATATTTTGCTTGCTGTCAAGTTTGAGCCTCGATGGTCTAGTGGTATGATTCCTGCTTTGGGTTGATAACTGATTGCAGGAGGTCTCCGGTTCAATCCCGGATCGAGGCCATTTTTTGCGCATATATACATTACCAATCTTGCTTATTAGTATATATTTTTACTCTTTGCCATTTATATATTTTGGTTGGCTATATTCTAGATTTAAGTGTTGAGAAATACAAAAGGCGAGGCATTTTGATTGCTACCTAAGTATTGCAGTATGGACCAAGGCTAGCTCAAGATACTCTTCAAGTTCATGTGGTTTCTTGCTAATCTATTCTCTTAGAACATATACTATACTCAGAGAATGTCGAAAGTACTTATAACAATTATATTTATGAGACCATGCTTAGCACTCGAGTAATAGTAGATTGGGCTTGTGACAAAGGGCTTGTCTGAGCTTTATGAGAGTCTGATGGTTGCTGGACTATTTCAAATCCAGCTGACACATCAGCCCTTTCAAGCATGAGACAGATGAAGTAAAACATATTACTGAAGAGAATTCAAATGAGGTCAACTATCTCCAAACATACTTAAGTACTTATATAATAAGTATCAAAACTCGCTCAGCTGAAACCACACTACTTATAGTTAAAGAGGACATGACTGTGACACTGGCATGGAGCTCAAAGCAAGATGAATGATGTCATGACATCTGTCTATCAAGTTCCTGTGCTTTGAAATTGTGTGAGGACACTTTTGTAATACATCAACAGCGGAAATTATGGTGAAGAAGCATCTTACCACATATCATTGACCCCTGTCTGACAGGTGTGGTGACTGGGAAGCTGATGAAGTCGAGCGAGGCAAATTCCTCCTGGACATCTAAGCCTTGCATATGACTCATGATACAGTTGAATATTAGTTTCCTGCTCAGCTGTAACGAGACTTACCTACATATATCATACATACATGAACGGGCACCCATAAGGCTTCCAAGACAAACAGGTCAACATGTGGACTGACACAACAAGAATGATGAGGAAGACATTAATAAGCAAGGAATCCTCAAGCCTCAGACATGATTGTGCCTGTCAGTCTGGAATAGATTGCAGTGATTGACAGCTGGGGACATCGAGTCGTTTTCTGGCCTAGCCACAGGCTCTCAGAGGTTCAGCCCCCACCCAACTTTTAGTCAAAGACTTTTATATCAAGATTCATTTGACTCAAGTACCATTACTTTCATTGGCTTGAATACAACAACTAGCACGAAACATCCTAGATGCATTGCAGGCTTTAAGTAGCCACGAGTGGGCGGCTCTTTTGTGTTGTCTAGACCCCCGAGACTCATGGCTCTCTTGCTTATGTTGGTCAGTTGACAATACACACACATCTTATGAAAACCAAGTATGCCCAGTATGGCAGAAACAATATGTGAAAGTGTTGTAATCTCCGGACTCCTTGCAAATAGGCTGATTCGCAGCTCAACATACGGAGAATTTCTCATGGCAAGATCCTACCTTGATTTGGCAAGTCTTTTGGTCTTTCTTCAATGACAGATCCAATACTAGTCCCGGTATGAAATTTGGAAACAAGGAAAGGCATGCTCAAGTACTCAAGACGCTGTCCGTTGTGAGCAAATTTATGGAAAAGTACTGAAAGTATTTAATTGCCCAACTAGGCTTCCTCACCACTTGAGTGATTGTAATTATAGTGCGCCTTTTCTCCTTTCTTTCCATTTTTTCTCACAGTGGCTGAAATCAAGCAAATGTGAGCGGTACTTCTATTTCTATTGAACAAAAATAAATCCAAGAAGAAAAAGATGCGTGTAGAAGATTTCTATGTCTTCCATATGAGCAAAAAAGGCCTCGATCCGGGATTGAACCGGAGACCTCCTGCAATCAGTTATCAACCCAAAGCAGGAATCATACCACTAGACCATCGAGGCATGAATTTCGGCAAACGATAAGACTACTTATCCTTACGGTCATTCTACGCTCCAACTGAGAAACGCAGCATCAGCTTCAAATTTATCATCTGGGATTGTTTGGTTTCATGTCACGGTATCCGGGCCAATAATTCATATTCTCCTAAATCAAATTAACTGCTTCCGAATGTCGTTGTCGGATGCATCCTCGCTACATCACAAGAGGGTGGCCCTCAAACAGAACAGGCTACAGGGAGCGACAACATTGGTTCGGGGTTTTATCAGAATGCTTGATATGTTTCTGTATCATTATTAAGTAATATGAGGCGTGTATGTACACCCTGTGATCTGTCCTAGCCACCACCTCAGCACAGAGAAACCCTTACGAAAGGGCCAGAGCAGGGCCATGAAAAGACGCCAAACTCCCTGCTCAACTCAGACCCCGACACGGTATCATCACGAACGTAAACGAGAGAACGAAGAAAACAAAGTCTTTCTCTTTCCCCTCTCCCCGGGATCATGTGTGGTTCCGGCCCCCACTCAGATCATCCCTCAGCCCGCCGCTCATGGCATGCGTAGGTGGCGGCGGCGGCGGCGGGAACATCTTTTCAGGGCTATACCGTCCGTACCCCGGGTGCTGCAGCACCGGCGCGCGGTTTTCCCTCGCCATCCTGTTCCTGAAGCTGTCGTTGTTACCACCGCCTGCGCTGCTGCCCCCAGCGCTGCTGCTGCTGACCTCGTGCAGCTCGTACGACTCGACGTTGTCGATGTCGGTGGTGTTGTTGTTGTTGTTGTTGTTGTTGTTGTTGTTCTCCGCAGGGCCTGTGCCGTTGCTCGGGACGCTCTGGTCCGACACCTTGGACCGCAGGCTGGGCTCGTCGCCGCCGAGTGCAAGCCCTATGCGAGTGGGCGGGGTCGACGTGCCGACGGCCTCCTCATGCTGGTCCTGCATGGCCTTCTCCTGCGCGGCGGTGGGGAAGGGCTCGCCAAAGGAGGCGGGCGGTTGGTGGTGGTCGTGGTGGTAACTATCGTCGTGAAAAGCCTGCGGCCACTGTTGGGCCATGACGGCCGACGACTCGGCACCGTTGACGGGGCTGGTGTGGTGCGACGAGTAGGGCGAGAAGTAGCGCGCGTAGGCGGGCTCAGAGGCCGTGGCCGACAGGGGCGAGTCGTCCCACCCGCGGAGCGGTTTCTGCGACAGCGGCGTCTCGTTCATGTCAGGGCCCCGGTGTACAATCCCGCCGGCGAAGGGGTGTGGCCAACCTGACTCCTTGTGCTGCATCTCGAGCTTGCGCAGGAACGCGCGGCGGCGGCGGCGGCCGTTGCAAACGATGCAGAAGCCGGTGATGGCGAGCACGACGCAAACGCCACCTATGGCGATGCCGACCTTGGCGCCGAGTGAGATGGGCCCCGATTCGTTAATGTTCGTCCAGGTGCTGGTCGGGGTCGGCGTGGTCTCGTTCATACGCGTCGTCGAGAAGATACTTCCCTGGACGGAGATGGTCGAGCCCGGCGCGGGCTTCTGGTCGCAGCCCACCTGGAGCATCACCACCATGTTGGCAAGATATTGTTGCTGGCTCGTCCGCAGGCATTCCACGCACCCATCCGAGAAGGTGCTGTCACCCCACTGGGTGCAGTAGTCGTATGCACCGATGCTGGAGCTGGTGCTGAAGTTGCCATACTGAATGGCAGTCTGAAGGTCTCCGCAGGCGAGTCTGGGTGGTACACGTCAGCTCGGCTGGGTTTTCTTGATTGAGATTCCTTCTCATTGTCTTGAAGAAAGGGGGTGTGGGATTGTATGTCACTCACGATGTGATGCAAGGACTATCGCCAACGTCGACATTCCCTGGCTCACCCCATAGACACTCAGATACTGTATATCTGGAATTGTACAGCAGCCATTGCTGATCTGTTGAGTTTGGATCGGTTGTGTAGTAGTTGCTGGTCAGTTCACAGTTCATGCAGTTCTCGAGCACGACACCCGTTGAGCTGCTGAAGTCGCTGTTGGAGCACACGATATCGGCCGGTGTCGTCGCGGTCAGGACATTGCCACACTGCTGGTCACACGTGGACCCTGAGGTAACAAGAATGGCAGCTGCGGGGCCTGTAAGGACAGCGCCCACAGCCAGCAGCCTCGCTGTCCAGGGCTTCATTTTCTGCTCGAGTGACTGAACCCTATGCTGAGCAACAAGGCTGTCAGGCAAGGACGACGGCAAGATCAAAACCAAGATCCAAAATGTGCGGGGTCGAGAAGGTAGCGTGTCGGACAGCGCAGGCGTTAGTTTTCGCTGTGTGTAGTCACTGCTGTGCGACCGAACCCATGACGCTCTTTCGAGGTTGTTTCTGCTGGGCCGACATGTGGGCCGCAGCGGCCGACCCGATGGATGATATATGAGCCTCTCTGTCTGCCCCTTGAGACGGAGGAAAAAGAAAATGTGATGTTTGTGATGTGAAAAGGAGAATACTTTAGCGCCCAGTCATGCAGTTGCAGCACACGTATCAACCTCTGACCCAAAGAGCCGGAACGTTGAAGCTCTTTTGTAGGGTGTGATCAGAGACACAGTCGAACGGGGAGGGGTGAAAGGCGGAGATGGAGAACAAATGTGGTAGAGTCTGCTTGCAGAACTTGCTGTGATACAAGGTCTCCCAGCCTAGAAGTACCGCAAGGTTGTGGAAGGTGGGCAGACCACCATAGTAAAAGAATTATTCGCCTGTTCAAGATGCGAGAACCATGGGCCTCCCAATGCAACCCAAGCCCACGAATGAAGAGTCAGCCTTTGCCGTTCATGACCTCCGAAGTGGCCACCCAACATCTCCGAAAAAGACCCCTTCCCTCTCGAGCATGGCTAGTGTTCTGGGACCATGAGGGTGGCACACTGGATTGACCAGTCAGAGGAGGGGGCGTCTTCGATATCACCTGCAGTGATGAGCATTGCACGCAGCGGCCCCTGCAAGTCTTCACACCTTGAAGATGAACACTGTCCAGTGATTGGCCGTTTCCCAGCCCCTCGCCCTGTCCCGCAAGCGCCCGCAGTAACCTTGCCGTCCCTGAAGAGGACAAGCTCGACGGACGTTCCCACATTTCCTGCATATCCCGCCCCCAATGGGCGCCCACCCATGTTGGCTCATCACACATCCCATCTCGCCCATGCACCCATGCACCTTGACAGTACAGTACGATGTTAGCCTTTTTGCAATCACCCACATGCTGCAGATGTCGTGACTCTAGTTGTTGGAAGGGGCGGTATCGTCCGGATATGGCTCGATTTTCCATCAAGGCGTCTTGGAAATCGTTTTGTCGAGCATGAGGTACCGAGCGGCCGAGATGAGATTCCCTTTTCACGCGGCGCTTATGATGCAGAGTATCCATCCAAGTGTGTGGTCCGGCGTGCCGAGCGATTCGGGTGTACTGCAGGATTTGAAAGAGCCTGTCCACCGTGCCTTAGACTGAATAACGGGAGAGTTGCTTGCCTGTCTTTTTTTTTTGTCTTCTTTCCATCCAGAGTCTAGCTCCTCTACCAAGAAATCGATGGCTGTTGCTGACACACAAGGTCGCCCAAATTCTTACAATGGCTATGAACGCGCATTCGGCTGGCGCAGGATTGGAGGCAAGATTTCGGACATGAGCTGTAGATTCGCCGATTCGCTTTGCAGAGGTTCAGACCAGGTCAGATTGGCCTCATTTTGAAGCTGATACTCTTCATGGCATCTCTTCACTCGAGTTCGCCACAAGGTCCTCCACCCCCCACCCAAAAACAAAAGTCCCCAAGAAGGCCAAGCCTGTTGCGATAACGAGAGCGGACCTGAAGTCCATTACAGGCCTTACGAACGCTCTAAAAGCTGTCTGCGGACTAATGTTCGATAGTCAAAGCCGTGAATATCTCGCGAAACGCCAGACCAGGTTCAGAGCATCTCGTCCCCTGGTGGTCGAGAAGACCGCAGGGAGCAACACTGGTGCGCCGCTCGAGTGACAGGTGGTTTTCTGTGCTCCTTGGACATCAGATCTTTCCCAGAAAGGCCCATTAAAGGCCAATTGTTCCAGTCGGTCTGGTCGTCGTAGACTGCTGCTCCTGCGTCCCGCCCGTTGGACCAAGCTCCTTCGTACCTCTCAACCTACTGAGACGTGAAAAGGACCACGTGCCGATTGTCCGTCAAGGGTACTACAACTTACCGTTGGTCTCAAGTGTGAGCTGCTTGTCTGCGCATCGACGTAGTAAGCGCGCTAGATTCTGCTTTCGGAGGCCTGGCTTCGTTGCTTGACACCAGCGTCACATCAACGTCCTTGACATCTTTTGCCCAAACAGACTCTCATGAGGAAATCTCCACGTCCTCATCGTCTTCCAGCTCGAGCTCATCCTCGGGCAATATACCATTGACAGGAGCCGCTGGCACAGGCTCGCCGGCAGGCGGCTCGATATTGTCCTGGGGACGAAGAACAAGCTTGCCGAGGGGCGGGTTGTCTGTATCCACAACCAGGAGATTCTTCTCACAGCGGCCCAGGAGGCCATAGACGCTGACCTCTCCGTGCCTGATTCCAAGCACCGTTGATGTCCCTGCGTAAACAGTCTCGCCCTCGATGCCGCACCGATTACTCAACACCCTAGAGGACTGTGTGTCAACGACCGCATGGAAAACAGCCTCACAATGTCGTGTTCTCCCCTACGAACATATGCCAAGGTCCAGTATGATGACAAGAAGGGCGGGGGAGCACATCTGGAAGGACTTACACGATGATCTCATCCTCAGTTTCGGCGCGAATGATTGGTTCCATGCGTTGCACCCAGTATGTCAAGGTCTCCCTTCCAATGCGAGCGTCAGCCATACAGTCAATCATTGCCACGAGGGTTGCGCCCCGCCTAGGCCTGGAGGGATACAAACATGTCAGGCTCATCGGGTCTGCTGGTAAACGTTGCAGCCTCCTCGCGCGTAAGCCACGCCATAGATATGATAACCAGGTTGGCCCTGACCTCCAAGACGTGAAAGGCGAACTCAAATGCGTGCCAGGGGGCCTCGAACTTGTACGGGTTGATATCCATGCAGATGCCCATGGCCGTCTGGCCCAGCCCGGGTATGAACTCCCTGCCGAAGTCGCGCCCCTCGAGCGCCCAGGTCTCGTCGATCATGTACAGGAAGTGTTTCCTGTAGTTGACGATGGTCTCGCCCTCGTTATTGATGACGATGGCGGAGTTGTAGTACTCGGGCGAGGTGGGCCACTTGTGCGAGACGTCCACCTGTTCGGGGTACCCAACCACGACGTGGCAGTTGTGCTTCAGGGCCATCGTGCGCGCCCATAACGAGCTCACCCCGTTCCCCTCGTACTCGAGAAATGGCATGACATGTTGGAGCGACTTGAAGTTGTAGCCTGGCCTATTTGTGAGCTGATGCTGGCCTCAGGGTCCAAGCCCGTACGGGTGTGTAGTCACTGCGCGCTCGCTCACCTGAGAAGGCCATCTCTGGTAGGACCAAGAGATCTAGGCTGTCCAAGTCATCCTGGCTGGCTCGAGAGAGTGCTGAATCTGCACGGTTGAGATTGTTGTCCACGTCCCCGACGTGGGGCGCGAACTGCAGGCAGCCGATCCTCATCTTGACCGACGCGTTGCAGCCGAGGAGGAAATAACAATTCTGACCTTCCAGTCCTCAGATTCTGGGGAGCCGAGCTCTATGTAATGAGATCAAGATTACTCTCAGGAGAACGGGCTGGTGTTCTCAGCGACCAGCGTCAAACAGAATCACCAAACGGTGGCTTGACCTCCTGAAGGTGGCCCGTACGAGTGCAGTGCAACCAACGATCGGAAGCTGGTCTCGAGACCCTCTGAGTGGTTTGTGAATTTTGACCTCACAAAGACCGGATATTGCGCCCTCCTGGAATGTTCAGACGTGCATCTTGAAGTTACCGAGAGGTGCGCTAGAGGAGGGGTTGGGTGTCGATGCTAGAGGAGGGGCTGGAGGCCTTTGATGGGAGCTCCTTGGGCGCAGCGGGCAGGACAGGGGGATCTATCACCCCACCACTGCCCACGTACCATCTGCACAGTGGTCTAGTACATAGCACTAGCAGCACGGCATAGTACGATGCTTGGATGCACGCAGTGGTACTCGACGGCAGCCCCGGGCTGGTACCCACTGGGTCCCGCTAAGCGTCCTGCCGGCAGTGGGAGAAATCCTTCTGATCTCGAAATGCAGGTCTGGCAGGGTCCACAGTGCCCTCTAACGTGCCCCAGCCTTCAGCTGTGAGTTGAGTGAGAGACGTCTTCGTATTTCCTGACCAACCATCTACCCTCACTACGCGCCCAAGCTGGCTAGCAAACGAGAACTCGTAAGCTATGGCACTGGGCTGATGCCAAGACTAGCTGGATTCTCCGAAGGTTTGCTTCTGTTTCTTCTTTCCTTTTCTTTCAGCCCTTGATTGTTTTCTGAGCGGTCTCTAGTCCTTGACAGTGCGGGTACTGTGCAGCCTTAGAACATGCATCTCGAGATCTGGGGAAGATATCACTCGTCTCTCCACAACTCTTGCTTGGACAATCCTCCTTAACAATCGAGTACATTCAACGTCACAATCCAAGGAACACTCTAAGAACACTTGAATGGGTTGAAGAGGTCCCATGGTCCGAAAAGAAGACGAAAGTCAGTATTTTGCTTCAAGCATCCTTCCGGCCCAGGCCCGGCTCCAATCGCCATGAGAGGAGAACCAGAACCACATCTGGTATGCTGAGGAGCTCGTGTACCAACCCGCTCTTTCCTTGGCTGGCGACCCGGAAGCATTCGAGATGGTCCTAACCTTGGAATACAAAATACTGTGGAGGTCATTGTCAATCGCAAGTGACAGCTAAATGGAGAACGAGATCTAGGATCTGAAGTACAGATGCTGCGGCCTCTGTTCTTGCTCACAGGTCCATCCGATCGAGCCTTTCCTGAGATAGGGTGACTGCGTCCAGCAGTCACTTAAATCTGTAGTTATGGAAGACCACCAGCATGCGGCACGCGCTATCAGGGTCGGCTCTCCTGTAGATACTGGGGCTATCATCAGCGAGTTCGTGTCTGTTCTGCGGTGAGGCTCACGCAAATAGCGTTGTTTGACAAGTCGGAGTCATATTCAAAATTAGTAGGTTGTCGCCGTACCCGTGTGACTGGTTAGGACAGTCTGCCATGTCCAATGTAGTGGTCTCATCCATAACTACGTTTGCAACCCAGTAACTAACTAGAAGGAAGCTTCATCAGATCTGCGCACCATGTAAGGATGATTTGGGCGCCCATGTTTCTTCTCCCCCCTCTGTTCGCCTGTTCCGCGATGGGGAACGTAGAGCACCGGCCCATACAATCTTCTTGGAGAGATTGTCAAGTGCTGCAATCACATCTCCACATTGATCGTCCTACTATTTCCTATCATAGATTTCACCTTGTCTCCTTCAATCACCTCCTTTTTCCACTCGTACTCCCACGCCTCCCTTTACGTCTATTCATCCGAAGTGTACTCATCCGAATCTGTCTCAGACCATACAATCTCAGATTCGTACTCATCCGAGTCTCTCTCAAACCATACAAACTCAGAATCGTAGTCTGCTCTAAATACTGATTTCTGTATCCGTCGTTGCCCCTTCATCTCCTCAAGCACGTCGTCCCACCCTCGATTCTCCGGCCGACTCACGTCCGCGCCTCTTTTAATCAAGAAATTCACTTTGTCTCTACTACCTGACCACGCGGCGGCCATCAGAGCACTGAGATGATCACCATGCTCCACACGGAGATTGACATTTGCCCCATTGTCACAAAGAATTTCCATCATCTTCAACCTATCCATTCTGCTGCTGCTGCTGCTGCTGCTGCTGCTGATGATGCGGATGCTGCTGGCGATCATGAGAGCGGTCCCGAATCGACCATGTCTTAGAACAAGATTGACGTCTGCGCCGTGATGCAAAAGAAGACGCACCGCATTCTCTTGGTCTCTTGCGACTGCCCCCGCAAGCGCGCTACCATACATGCCTTGGCCCAAGGCAAGGTCAACGTCTGCCCCATGATTAATCAAGCATTCCATTGGTCTGATCGCCCCGCTAGCAGCTGCAACCGCGAGAGCGCTGCCATATATGCCATGATCCAAGAGAAGATTCACATCTGCCCCCTTCTTCAATAAATAGTCCAACACGGGGAGATACCTATCATCAGCTGCCGGAACTGCTGCTAGAGCACCAGCCCCTCCGCGAGACACAAAATTCACGTCTGTCCTAACTTCGTCCAGTAGGACCTCAAGAGCCTCCAGATCTCCGGCTCTGGCGGCCCTCTCTAATGCGTCATCCCTAAGATCCCTAGCCTGCAAGCCCCTCAAACCGCCAATCTCTCGAAGGCTGGTGAAATCCACCCCGCACTCTTTGAGACAACGAAACATACCGCATTGCCAATTCCAAGGGGCGGCGGCGGCGGCGGCAATGGCGATAGTTTCGTAAGCCGAGTTCGGGATGTGCGCGTTGGGGTCGACATGTGCATCCAGGATCAGATACCTCAGCGCGTCAAGTTTGTGGTAGCAAGCCGCCCAGAGCGCAGCTGTGCGCAGCTTGTACTTATCGGGAAGGAGCATATTTGGGTCGGCCTTGCCATCCTCGATCAGCGTACGCAACATGGGAACATTGTTTCTGGCTGCTGCGAATGCAAGCGGACTGCCGAGCTGCCACGGATCGTTGGAGTAATCCAGATTGAGCGCACGGTCCGGGTCCGCACCGAGTGAAATAAGGCAGCGGACCACGTCGGGACGATCGTAGCGTGCTGCCCAATACAGCGGGTTGCGATAGTCAGCGGGAGAGTTCGGGTCGCACCCGGCCTTTTCGATGAGTATCCGGCAAACCTTGGTATGACCGTTCTCACAAGCCAGCTGCAGTGGTGAATCTTCATAGGGTCCAACTGCTTCATTTGCATCAATGCCGGCGGCGAGTAGAGCGCTGACAGTGGAATAGTGACCGCGATAGCAAGCAACGTGGAGGATGTTCCAACCCTGTTCAGTACGGGCCGCCGTGTCTATCAGCAATCTTGGATACTCATCATCCGAGGTCGCCGACACCTGCCACCAATCTCGTATCAGGTTGGCAAAACCAAAACGCGCCATTGAGAAGGCAGCGTATTTTTCCATGGCGGAAGAATCCCAATCATCATATTTGCCCACCGTGTGCCCATATCTCACTTCTCTGAGTGTAGCAAGCCACCGTCGGTACTCGAAACTGCTGTCGTTGGGGTGACCAAGGAAACGTTTCAGGAGGACTACCAATCCATCTAGAGACTCCTGCACGCGTTCATCCCGTACGTTGATGCTGATTTCGCCAGTCTCTCTGCGACCACTGAGTTGTTCATCCACGATTCCCACGTGTTCCGCCCAGAATCTCTCAGTGTACCAGACGAAGCGATGCTTCCCGTATGTCGTCTTCCTGGAGATAAGGTCGTGTGTTTCAACAGTTCCAGCCCTCTTTGACTCTGACACCGAGCCAAACTTTTCGATGTCTAACGAGAGCCAATTGTGCGGGCCTACCCGGGGGGTGCTCCTGGCTCCAGGCGGTTGCCATGCTGCGACCGATCGGGCAACGTCGACAACCAACGCCAGACTAGTCAAGCCGGTGTGCAAATGTACTTGTAGGAAGCTGAAATGCTTTTCCTCAAAGTACTCCGCGACGGAAGCATGAGCGAAACCCCACTTTCTCGTTCTCGGGTCCAATACTAGAAGATTGGCGCAGAAGTCAAGGAGCATTTCTGCAGTAACTGGGCTGGTGATGTACTTCGTATCTTCGGCCACTGCACGTAATTCCGGAGGTTTGCATAAAGTATCGGCGTAGAGGGCGGGGTCGATGCGGACAGCTGACAATAGCTCTTCAGAGCCAAGTGGCTGTCTGGCGGCCATCACCCACATGATCGCTCGATCGACAATTTTGGACTCCCAGGTGGCACGAATCTCATCTTGCTTCAAGTAGATCTCATCGTATGCTTCCTTGAGGCCCTTGGGTAGCTTTCCCAGACGGTTTTCCACATCCTCCGGAAGCGAGAGCTTGAGCAGCTCGTCCACTTGGAGCGCGGTCCATCGGAACCTGCAAGGCTCATGTGGCATGTCAGCAGAGGTTCCTATTGTTTCAATCGAGAGTGGTAATCAAATGAAACATTGACTAACATTCCCCGACTCTTTTCGAGCAGAGTATCCACAACTTTTGCTTTCAATTGTTCTGTGATTGCTGGGAATCTTCCCCACCTGCCACCAGGCTTGTATATCTCTCTCTTGACGAACGCAGCAATGTCGTCCTGATTGTCTTCCGCGCCCACCTCCACGCTGACTCGGTCCCGGAAAGCAGTCCTGATATCGCTTTCCGGGCGGCTGGAGATGAAAAGGAGGAGTGGACGCCCGCTAGACCCCATCAGTTCATTGAGGATTCCAACCAGGCTCTCGCGATCATCTTGGTTGCACTCATCGAAGGCGTCGAGGATGATCGTGACTCTGGGGAATAGGTTCAAGGACTCGGCAAGCTGTTTTTTGCAGAGCTCGTAAGTCAGACTTCGCCCTTCGCGGTTACAGTCTCTGTAGAGCGTCCGCAGGGACGGCTGCATTTGACCTGGATGGCTGCAAGCTGTTGATAATTGTCGGACCAAGCTTTGGAGGCAAGCTATCGCAGTGTTCCTTGACGAGTCACCGCGGTTGAAGTAGAAGAACGCAAGAGCCTCGTCATTAGAGCAGCTGCCCAAAAGGTCCTTTTTCCGGTCGATCACCTTGGAGGTCAGGAATGTTTTCCCCATGCCGGCTGCTTGATGGTCAGTCTCACGCGCCCCACATAAAGGTGAAGATGAAGAACGCTGCTCTCACAATTGCCTTTCAACCACAACAGTGTGCACCCGCTCGATGTCTCCCATGCTTGGAAATTTGGGTGACGGAGCAGCCAGCCACATGTATCAGCCATCCGACTGTCATGTATCAAGTCGTGGTGACTGCCGTACTGTACACTGCTGATCCAATCAAGGATGCTCATTTCTTCCCGTGCATCCATTGTCTCCAAGATTTTCATGACCCTTTCGTCGGTCCGGACAACTGGTGCATCGAGGCTCTGGACACGGAGGAGAAGGTTGTGATCGATCGCAACAGAGGCTGTTTGGACACTCAAAGCCAGTTGCCTATCCAGCTCGACGAATTTGCTCCCGACTCCCTCTTCCATAGCATCGGGGTACAGAATCGAGTGCGTGATTCGTTGCAATAAGTTGTTGCTTAGCAAGCCAGCTGCTTTAGACACGAGTTCTAGACAGGACTTGTATAAGGCAACGAGGGATTCGTGCAGGTGCTCTAGAATTTCCGGGGAGGTATTCTCGGTGGTGAAGCATGCCTCGTATATCCTCCCTCGCGTAGCTACGCGCGTTACCTTATCAGCCACTTGGAGAACTGCGGCCATTTGTTTGGCCTCTTGGACCGGAATTTGAAGGACAGCCTTCACACAGGGCCAAATGTGAGCGACCAGAGAGGGTGCGAATGACACCCCGAGATCCCCAGCTTTGGTCAGCCACGCAATGATTAGAGCAGCCTGATCACGGAGTATTATCTCGTCCCCGGGGTCGCTTCCAAGCTTGACACGCCATGACTCCTTCTCGCATTTTTCTTGTTTGGCTCGTGTCTCGGCTATCAAGTCGGGAATGATAGACGCCGTCGTTGTGTGTAGAGGCTGCTCGGCGGCTTTGCCTTTGCTGGCTAGCTTCAAAAGGCTCTGCTTCTGCTTGTCCGAGAGCTTGTCGAGAGCCTTTCGCCAAAGATCGACTTCCGCTTCAGCCTCTGCCGGGACAGAGTTGCTGTCAGGGCTCTCATTTTGGGTATCACTGGTCTGTTGAACAGAGGGTGAACTGGCTTCATCGCCAACTCTGCCACGCGAGGCCGGTGTAGAGTCATGTTGGATCGTCCGTTCGTTGTGATCTGTCGGCTGCGAGGGCACAAACTCTCGACTGTGTTCTTTGAGGCTAGCGAGCCCATCTCTCGTGGCGCCCGAGGATTGACTGGCTGCTTCACTGGCACCAGTCACCAGAACTGGTGATTTACCTCGAAAGAAGCTCTTGGCCCTTTCCTTTAGGCGTTGGCGGAGACCGGGACTCATTGCTGTGATCTCTTCACGACTGGAGGACGATAGGAGACGTTGTGTATTGCAGCAAGATGGTCAGGAGTTCAAAGGGGATGGGCTGATGCAGCGTAACTCGTTTAGCCAGCAAGAAGGCTGCCTGCAATGTAACTGCTCGCATTGTCCTAATGAAAAGGCTGTTTTGCCCATACTTTGCCCGCACCTCCACCCCGCTCCCACCCGCCGAGTACGTCGTCCGTAATCGAGCCAACAGCCACGCGTTGTCGAGCCCTCCCCTACCTTGATATATGATTGGCAGCATACACTCGTACGCATGCGCTAAGCCCCAAGCTCCTGCACAGCAGAAGAGCTCCTGAGCCCAAGTCTTTACTCTAGAAGCTTGAAATGGCGGTCAAAGCGATGCTTTCTGGCAAATTTGTGAGTAGTCGCAGGTCAACTTCATGCTGGATGCCACAAGACACTGGTCTCGAGACGAAAGCACGAACTGAGCTGCAGATGCTGAATCTGCCACACAGGTTGAATGAGCAGCGTCTTCTCAAGGAACAGCCTTTTTAAATTAATAAATAACATGCGGCAGACAGAACCTGAATATGAATAAAAGTATATCACAGAGCCGAAGATACTGTGCTCAGATGTCGTCTAGCGACCCGGCATATGCACTGGCTGTATGGGTCATCTCCAGCTGGCAAGCGACAGTACAATGGCCTGATGTTGAGTTCTGATGGCTTCCTATGCGGTGGGTCGACCGCCAGCATGACTTGAGAGAAGCCTCTGCACAGCCCTCCATCTCAGGACGCGGTCCTGGATTGCAAGTCTGATTTTTTCTCGCAGTGGCGGATGGTAGGACAGCAAGAGGGCAACACTTGTAAGATCACAGCTGCAGGAAAGGTTCTCCTTGGCCGGCAAGCTCGGAGGTAGCAGCTGGCTGTGGTGTGGCTCAGCAGTCGCCCTTTCAGCTGGAGACTACCGGTCACATCCCTGTCGCCATGACGCAATTCGCTCTCGGTCCTCAAGGCACTCCCTTCCAGGGGTCCAAAGCCTTACTCAAACGCGGGGTCCATGGTTGCTTAGGGTGCTGGTAGCAAAGTTGGAAATTACAGGGGGTCGAACACCGCAAATCACTATAAGCTTAACTGGTGGTGGCCACGACCATCGTCATTAGAGCCCGCGATAGTAACGCAAACAGTTGAAACGACCAGGGCAGGCCACCACCCGAAGGAAAACTTGGAGATGCCTAACCTAGAGTTGGGCTAGTCGGTCAGTCACTCGGTAGGGCCTGCTGCCATAGCACTTCTGGTACTACTCCCATAATACTATAAGTATGGATGGTACATGGTAGAGAGAAAAATGTACGTTTGCGATCGGCGCCAAGTCGCAGCTAGATTATTTGCAAGATCTTCGAAGGTCAGAGTGGACCGTCATGACTTGGTTGGTGGCACACACGAATGGTTGGCCTCCCGACCTTCTTGGGTAAGGACCTTTTTTTTTCTTTTCTTTAGAGACGAGCACCTAGAATAGTGGGGGCATGGGCGAGCGGATGTGAAGTCATCTGGGCAGTTTAGTAACATCCATCCATCCCAGCGGCATCCCAACCCTATTGTGGCCGTGCACCTTGACAGTGTGAACCGGAAGCAGATCGCTGGGTCACCTCACGTTATGCATCTTCGGAACATAAATTTATGACGATAGCCATTTGGTCGTTTTAAAACCTTGTTTTCGTCCCTATTCAAGTCTCAAAAACAAGAGGAACACCCCTCATCTTCTTACCACGCCTTTCACCTTTTACCCTCCCCATCCAGTCATCCTTCTCGAGGCTCCAGATCCACCTCGACACCTCGACAAACACACCAACCACGACAGCATAAACAAAATCCCCACCTTTCTCTCCTATTTGGAACTTGTAGACAGAAGACGACGGCCACGATGGGTTCTGGTTCGGGATTCGCCCTCAAGTTCCTACAATGGTTCAACCGTGGGGTTCAGTTCGCCTGCTGCGGCCTGATCCTCGCGCTGACCTCGTACTTCCTCGCCGCCATGTCGGACCACAAGATCGACATCCCCACCAACCTGCGCGCCGTTGAGGGCATCTCTGGCGCGGGCGTCCTCTACACCGCCCTGGGCATACTACTGGTCTGCTGTCTCGCCGGCTTTGTCCTCACCTCGTTCATCGCCATCGTCCTCGACATCGCCTTCATCGGCGCCTTCATCTACGTCGCCACCGTCTACAAGCATGGCGCCAGCTCCTGCAGCGGTGACGGCGTCAACACCGTCTTCGGCTCCGGCAATGCCGACTCCAAGGTCAGCTCGACCGACAGCGGCAGCGTGCCTCTGCCCACGTACAGGACCGCTTGCAAGATGGAGTCCGCCAATCTGGCCGTAGCCATCGTTGCCATGTAAGCGTCTTTCTCTACCCCATCAATATTATTTTGTTACACCTCTACAATTTCGTCACAAACGATGGGGATCTGGACTGACACTAATCCCCTCTCAAGCTTCTTCTTCATCATCTCCGCTCTTACCGAATTCGGCCTCGGCCGTCACCGCAAGAAGGAGCAGCGTTTCGGTCCTAGCCCCGCAAACAACTACACCTCGGGCTACGGCTCCAAGCGGGCCGGCAAGACCGGGCTCCTCGGCTCGCTGTTCCGCCGCCGCACGACTAGGACCGCCGGCGATGAGAACGAGCTCCCCGCCCACCCGGAGCCCGATCAGCTGCGCCAGTCCTACAACACGGACGCAACCCACGTCGACAATAACAACGGCGTGGCCACCTCCACGTACCCCAAGTACGGCGAGACGGGCGTCACTGGAACTGGGTACAACGACCACGGCGTGCCTACTGCCAACGGTGCGACAAACAACGGGTACGGTAACATGGGCGGGTATGGGAACCAGCACCGGTATGAGGACGGGACGTACAATGTCTAGTAGAGCTCCTTTTGCGACATGCGAGGGGAGAATTGAGCCCCGGGTCGACTTTATCGGCTCCTGGTTGCGGGTCTCAAGTCTTCTAGGGGGCAAGTTTGTACGTCGGGCCTCGTTCGCCCTCCAGCGATGGATTTCACGCTGAATTTGGGCCATGGCCCAAATCGTTGCCAGACTTCCGTTCCACTGCCCAGGGTTGAGGTGCAAAGACACAACTTCGGTGATGACCGCCTACGCAGTGACGATTCTCACAACTCGGAGTATTTGAAAAATAAGGATGGAAGAGTCGGATATACCCATGAGTCCTTAACATTGGGCTGCCCATCGCCCATCACAGGCACACAGAAATTTCGAGACTGGGGACCTCGTCCTTTCGCTGGATTACAGGATAATCATTCTGCGTTATCGTTTGGTTTTCTCTTTTAAAGCAGTATTGTCCTTTTTAATCAATAATATTGAGGTGCAATGATTATCATGTGTCACTGCCGATGGAACTATGTGCCACCTCGAGTTTAGGCTACAAACTGAGACAGACGTCTATAACGAGCGCTCAAATAGGGTATCGATTGACCAAGTCTACAGTGAGTGAATCGCTCACAACATCCACAATCCACCTCTCTTCCATTCTTTCACCATCATGCCCAAGACGACATCTCCTCCCACTCCGCTCCGCCACCCTCACTCGCACCGACTTCATCCCAGCTTACCTCCATCCGCTCCAGCTCCCGCACAAAGAAGTCCTGCTCCTCCCTCAGTGCCTCTCTGACCTCAGGTGCCATCTTCTTCGGGTACCTGCGCGCGTTGAACCAATGCGTTAGGCTCCTCAGCGCCTGTTCCAGGGGCAGCGCCTCCTCCATCTCCGCGTCGACATCACAGCCCGCGAGCCACTCGTCGCGGAGCTCCGGTCTGCAGTGCAGGTAGACAGCGGTGATGACGCGCATGTTGGACTGGCGCCACTTGCGGGAGCAGTAGGGCACCTGGTTCTTGAAGAGCTTGAGCGTGTACAGGCGCAGTTCGTTCTGCGGGACCTTGAGGTTCTTGCGCAGGACGTTGGAGGATTTGTACTGCACCATGAGGAGGTTTCGGTGGCCCTTGTTCTTGCAGATCTTCTGCAGGATGCGAAGGTAGTTGATGAGTGTGAAGAAATTCCGCCGTGAAAAATCCGTGATGGGTTCCGAGGGCAGTGGATTTACAGGATAGCCCAGTTCATCGACTTCAGGCCGAGGGGGCTTGCTGTGCTCATCCTTAGCGTGTGCGGCATCCGTCGCAGTATCTGTCTGCGGTGCTGGTGGAGGTGAGCGGCGCCGCTTGATGGGTGGAGGGGCGGCGTCATCCTCGCTCTCTTCCCCGTCCCTTGGCTCTTCGGGCCTCTCCGGTGCACCGGCACGCACGTTACAAAAATAAAAGAAGCTACATTACATATTTAATATCAGCCTCAGGAGGCCACCCCAGCTGCGGCGGGCGGGCAACTTACCTGTTCTCAATTCGATCCGTCTTGTTCTCCACAACCTGTTGGACATCTTGGTGGAGAAACAACTTCAGCATCAATGGCATGTAGTTACAGTCCAGAAGAAGCTGCGTTAGAAATTCAAATTTGAGAACATCTGGTTTGGGTCGGGGCAGTGTCAGCTGAGTAATATCATGCACAACTGGATAACTGTCGAGTAAAACTTACGAGATAACTTCAGCCACTTGAGAAGCAGAAGCATAATGCCGCTCACGGCCTTTGCAGTGATCTCACGCGTCCTTGCAGCGTCTAGTTCCTCGGCGGATGGCTCAGAGGGATCTGCGCTCGCCGTGCCGTTGTTGTTGGCACCATTGACTCTACCATTGGCGCCTGGGATTGCACTGTATGGAGGCGCCGGTTGTTGTTGCGACAACAGGACTGTATAATGTGCCAATATTCCCTTAATCAAGCACATACAAACAGATTGGAGCTGCGGGATAGAGCTAGCCTATAGTGGTGTCAGCTCAGGACCAAGCACCCAGGATAGAGAGTAGGTCGGCACTTACGTAGAACTTTTCGACAGCATCGAGTCGTTGTTTGACTCTCTTGCTCATGGTTTCAGGGTGGGGACCGTAATCGACCCCGGCTTCTGCTTCCTGAGCTTCACGCTCTGCTTTGGGCTTCACTAGACCAAGCTCCTCCTTTTCCTCTAGAGTTAGAGAAGAAAGATCGAGTTCGTCCAATAGATCGTCGTCGGCAGCGTCCCATCCCCGCTCAAATTTCATGAACTTTTCTCGCTCATCCCATAGCTGCCGAAGGGCCCGGGTCATCCGTACCCTCCCAGAGAACAGTTCTCCAGCCTCGAGGATCGATGCCGGCACGTCACTACCTTCCCACTTTCTGCCGACGAGCAGGGCCTGCAGAGCAGCATTGCCTTTGCCGCCGGCACTGTTGCTAGTAGCATCGAGTGGCGGATACATGAATGGAAAGTTCTGGTTAGTCTGGTAGTTTTGTTTCTTAACGCCTTTTCCACCAACGCCAGGTGAAGGTGGCGGGGATGGAGCCGGTGTCGCGATGTGGACAGGTTGGTGAAGGATAGAGGCCCCTCCAGTCTGTGTGCCAGGTTGAGGGGGAAGAATGCCGCTGGAACCATTATTACGTGCGGTCTGATTCGGAAGGGGAGGAAGAAAAGATGTGTTGTCGGCCTCCAAAGGGATGACTTCCTTTGGTGGTATGTATGCCGGATATTTGGAGGTAATTTCTTGCCGGAAGAAGTGGTAATCCAAGGGTGAGGCTGTGATTATGTCCTTGTCCTTGCCATCGTCCAGGTCCTCGGCCGCGGCCTTCTTCGTCTCGGCCAGCTCTTGCGAGCCACCAAACACGAGTAATACCGACTTCCACAAGAGCAGAAAGACCTGGGCCTGCGGAACCACTTGTGCTTCATCCCATCGCATTTTGGCCGTCACGTCGACGAAGAAGTCGACCAAGCAGGGCCCCAGCTCCACTGCCAATAACCTGTTAATTTTCCTGAAAATTCTCTGAATTTGGGAGAGTGGCTTACCTAGCTGTGTATACAGCGCATCCAACTCCTGAGGATAAACAATCGCATGTTGTATCAACATATACATAACAGTCATTAGGTTCGTCAACTCATCTTGTGCTTCTTGTGCACTGACGCCCTGCATCTGAGGGGCCTCGTCGGTCCTATAGTTTCTCGTCAGCGCCTCTGGACTCCTGCACGCTGAGGTTCAAGGTTTTGCCATACCAGTAAGGATCGAATGCACGCCTCAACGCATCCCATATTACCACAGCGCCTCCAGCCTCGCCGATGAGCCTGGCCCCAGCTTTCATCGCCAAGAGGTGCTCGGGTGTCGATGCCGACCTAGCCTTGCTGTCCTTAGGTCCAGCTGCACCAGCCCCTCCGGCCGTCTGCGCCCATCTTCCGAGCACCACATACACCAGCCTGCCCAGGGCAGCCAACCGATCCTTGGCTTCACCTAATGACAGCCCGGCCAGGGCCTCTGTGACAAACTTCTTCCTCGCGTCCCCGTCCAAGCCGTCCCACGTGGTGTCTGGGCCAAAGTCATGTTCCCACTGCGCTTCGAAAGCCCTCTGGGCAGAACTGAGCCGCACCCACTGCCAGAACTGGTAGACGAACCACTCGTCTATCTCCTCATCGATCGGCCCCATGTCCTCGTATGTGAAATCGTACGCTACAGTCTCGGCTTTGGGAAAGTCGACCAGGATTCGGCGGAGCTGTGCCAGCGAGAGAGAGTCTGTGGGGTTCGGCGGCGCATTGCCGCCTGGAGGAGGAGGAGGCTGGTTCGGCGGAGGTGGGACGGCCGGGCTGGGTGGGTTCGAGGCATTGCGCACAAGGAGGGGCCGGACAGGTTGGGGAGGGTCGGCTTGTTGCGCGTGCTCGAGGCCGATCGGGGCCGCGGGGGCGTCCCCCATTTTTTCGTCTGCCTTGCTCGATGAAGGCTCCGCCTCGTTCGAGCTTTTAGAAGGCCACAAGGAGTTCATGGTGGCTCTGGGTGATCAAGACGTCAGGAGTTGGTGGTGATCAGGAAGGACGACGGATCAGACACCACTGGCGGACTGTCATAGTCACTCTCGACTTGTCTTTCTGGTTAGGCAATACATTCGATGACAAAGTGTTGTTTCTAGGATCGACTGGTCGAATTCATGGGTGCACACTAGAGCTTGATGTGAGGTTGGGGGTCGAGATGCTTACACTAGGGCAAAGAAGGTAGACCGCGTAAAGCTTTCAATTGAAGCTGGGCTAGTACGCGTTCCCTAGCAGCTCAGGCCTGTGTCAACGTGGGGTAGCACCTAGAACGGCAGGCGGTCATGGTCTACAGTGACCTTGCCACTAGGCACTACATGTACCTGAATCAGCCTATTGATTGGCATTTTGAACCTTAAGTACATCAATCACTCACAGACCTCAGACACTCAAGTTGCACAAAAAGACTACACTCTAGTTTTCCCCTCTCATGAAACAAACTCCCCAAGGAAATGCTTAGAATTAGCCTATACAGGAATTTCCAGGGGAAAAGGCAAAGAATGAAGAAGAATGGAGAAGAAAGAGGGGGAGAAAAGAAGAAAGGTTGCATGGTCCTGCCACACCTGAGAAGCTGACAAAGCTTTGTAGCCAGAGTCACCACTTTTGCCTCTTGTGACAGCGAAGGAGCCGGACCCACTGCGTGCATTCATCACCAGCACCAACCAGCACTGCTTGTCAGTAAAGATGTTTAGCATTCACCAGCAACCTGCCTGACTTGCTTCGAGATTGCATCAATGGGCATGCCTGCAAAAAGAAACGCAGGCGGAGGATCGTCCTCATGACATCTTTTGCTTCTCTTATCCTTCTAGCTACAGTACACTTTACTTGCTTTCGCTACCTCCTCTCATCCGTTGGCTCAACTCGCTCTCGCCACACATGATAACTACAATTTGGCTACAATTTTTGACAACAATTCTCTTGACTCTTGTCCTCGCTAGGACCTTGGACTGCTCCAAGCCTTGCCATGGATAACGAGGATCAGAGGGTCGTCGAACTCTCGGCCCTGTCTGCCATCTTTCCAGAGATACAGAGGCTCACTGAGGATGATCCGTATATATTCACACTCGACATCCCCGTGAATGCAACAAAGACAGTCACCGTCTATTTCCCCGCGGCAGGGACTGGGCAGCTACCCAATCCAGTCGTTCCCCAGGCCACGCTCGAGCGGGCAGACGATCCACCCCAGATCGACTCCCATGAGCTGTCATATCTGCCTGCAGTCCACCTCCAAATCTCTTTGCCGCCAGCTTATCCGACCGAGCAGCCCCCGAGCGTCCATGTGTCGACGACACCATCATGGCTGCCACCTGAAACGGCGAAGAAGCTGGAGAACGACTGTGCCCGGCTGTGGGAGGAGCTCGGCCGAGACCTTGTGGTTTTCACCTATGTCGACCATGTTCAGCAGTTGGCAGAAGATGTATTTGGGCTGGTTGATGATAGCGGCACTCTGGAGATCAGCCCTGAACACAAGATTGCTATCCTGGATTTTGATATCGGGGCAAAGCGGGCAGCATTTGAGAAGCAGACCTTTGATTGTGGCGTCTGTCTAGGTACGTTGATTTTAAACTTACTGCATTTTCCCGAAAGAGCTTTCCATCATATGCAGCGAGGCCACCCCAGCGATGACGACCGAATGCGCTGGGCTAGAGACAGTCTCACAGTCCCAACAGCTGGAACGCTTGACTCCGCTCAGGCTAGAATGGATACATGCAATTACGAGCCCTGTGGCAGACATTCTCTTCCCAGACAAATGTTCAACATCAACAAGTGTCCGCATTTCTGATGGGAGATTCAGTAGACAGTTTGTCACAAACTTTTGCTTCAAGAGCGTCATTTGCGTGCCTGACATGGAACTTTCTTTTGCTTCGTTGAAGACCGTGATTTACTCTCCCATACGGAGGACTAATATTTCTCTAGACCCCAAAAAAGGCGCAAAATGCCATCGAATGCTCGACTGCGGCCATGTGTTCTGTGTCGAGTGTTTGCAGGACTTCTACAACAACGCCATCACCGAAGGTGACATCGCAACGGTTCGCTGTCTGCAGCCGAACTGCGCCAAAGAGCGAGAAACTGTCAGGACTACGGGTAGTAAGAGGCCGAAGAAGTCGAAGACTTCTATCAGCCCAAGTGAGCTCCTTCAAATCCCACTCGAACCTGAGATGGTGAAGCGTTACGTGGCCCTGAAGTACAAGACAGAGCTCGAGAGTGACAAGAACACCATCTACTGCCCTCGTTCATGGTGTCAGGGCGCAGCTAGGTCCAAGAAACGCAAAAAGCCGCAAGGGTTTGAGCTTCATGAGACAGATAATGACTCTGACGAAGAGGCTAAGGAGGCCACCGAAGACCCTACTGAGACATCCAAGCAAGGCCTTGAGCCTTACCAACCCGAGGACAGACTCGCTGTGTGTGAAGACTGCCATTTCGCATTCTGTAGCAGGTGTCGTCAAAGCTGGCACGGCGAGTTCGTCGTGTGCGCCCCACCACGAGACTCTCAGGAGCTCAGTCAAGAGGAAAAGGCCTCTCTCGAGTTTATTGATTTGCACACGACACCCTGTCCAACATGTGGCTGCCCGGCCCAGAAGACACATGGATGCAACCACATGTAAGTCTTCTCCTCCAAAGTAGTCATGACAATGCCGCTCACAGCTGACGCCTACCTAGGACCTGCTTCAAATGTCAAACGCATTTTTGCTACCTCTGCTCTGCCTGGTTGAATCCCAGCAACCCATACCAGCACTACAACCGTTTACCAAATGGTGGCGTGACCTCCTGTTACATGCGCTTGTGGGAGTTGGAAGAAGGAGACGAAGACGGGGGGAATGATTTCGCTGGACGTCGCAATAATGCAGGAGTCAATCCAGCTCAAGCACCGGAAGCTGGGGAAGTTTTCCAGGCGGTCTTGGAAGCCGAGGCCGTACACATACAGCGTCCACGGCGCCCCGAAGCTGATGTCAACCGGGTGGTGCTGAACGGACCAGTGAATCTCGTACCCGAGGGGCCACGAGTATTCCGACTCGATGTAGCTGCACCACAGGGAGCTCCCAATGATCAACAGCAGGCCGCCGCAGAACCCTTGGCACTCCGACCACCACAACAAGCCAGAGGCCAGGATCGCGATCGAGGCAATGCCAGGGCAGCACGTCAACAACAGCCGCGGCCACAGGCGCAGCGGCAACAGCAACCGGGGCTGAGAGGGCGAGACGGCCGAGGCAGAGGTTTGGGGAATCGTCAGAACCATGAACAGAGAGGCGGCCTGCAAGTAATTGCTCGACGAGATAGACATTTTCATGAGCGAGATCAAGGCGTCGCTGGCAGGCAAGATCAGCTTGAGGACATGGATGCTGCCTGGATTCGGCAGTTCGTGCATCTTGCACTGGAGGACAACGAGCATCTCCTCGATGAGGACGACTAGATACAGCCAAGCTTCTTGAATTGGGGGCTCATAGCAGCATGTTGGGCATGACAGGGACGAGTCGACACATCCACACCCTCTAGACAGTGCGGTCTCTTTGAGAATGCTTAAGCACTATCATCATCATTAGAAACTCGACTCGTTTTGCGCCCTGCCGAGCGTTTGTCCGCGGAGGGCGACTTGACGCCCATGTACCTTCACACACAAGACCAGCATGTTATTTTTGCTCCCCCCCCCCCCCCTTCAAGACTGATCTTCATCATCACACTATTGCCATTACGGACGTCAATCCCCTCGGCACTGGCTTAACCAAGCACAACACCTTGACCTTGCCATTGCCACAGAGGGGTTATGCTCGCCGGCCGCTCCAGGGTTCTTCTTCTGGTGACTCTCCAGCTTCTTGCGACGTCAGAAAGCTAGGATGGCTCGAAATGCCGGAACGTGATGGCGCTCTATCCGAGATCAGATAGCAAGGATGGCAATCCTACGGCCAAAAAGGGGGGCGCCTTTTCTCCTTCCGGGCAGAACAGCCGTGGACAGAGAGCCTTATGGAGTCTAGGCGGCGTGCTAGTCATGCGATGTTTGGCGGCTGTGGACAAATGTGAAGTCAAACCTAGTCTCCGGTCGAGTTCTCGGAGTGACGAAGGTATACGATTTCTTTTTGGTTTTATTTGAATTTTTAACCCTTCAAGGGTGTAATGCAGGCAGGCGAAGTACCTCATGAAAATGATGTCAAGGCTCGATGAAGCAACGTTGCTTGGAAGTATGTAGTTAGCATTACACTTTTTTCTTCTTTGGGTAGGGAGCGCAATCCAGCATCATTCCCAGCCATTGGTTCGAACAGCATAAAAGTATATACTCTATTCACCGGCAGTCCATCTCCTAGCAGCAAAGAAAATTACTTTTTCTTCTTCTCCTTGTTGTCATTATGCCAACACCACACCTGACGTCTCTACATTCTCCTTCACCGAGTATCCAATCCTTGCTCGCTGCCCACCCACATCGTGTCCACGATGTGTACTTCCTCCACCTCTTCCTGCCCAGCTGTAATCTAGCTCCCATTGACTAATATCAGCAGAAATGGCCAGAGTATTCTTTCTCCTGATACCAGGAGGTGGCAACTTCTGTTTCTGGAAACAGCTGAATGCCTATTGTTCGTGAAACGGGGCTTGATATGTGCTTATTGGACCGAACAGACCCCACGAATGATGTGTCACATCCTACAGCAGGCGAAACATTGCAAGGACCCCAAACAGAGATGAGAGGCCAGCATGTATTCCTAGGATACGATCACTACATAATCATAGCCCCGTGGGGGAAACGACATGTTGTTGCACAATAGCATAGCGCAACCTACCTTAAGCCCCCGTCATCGGTGTGAACCCTCCCCGGAGCCTCACTAGCTTACAGTATCGTCACATGTGATATCTGCTCAGTGACCCTGCTAGATTGTTCTTCTTGTGTGATATCTCACCTAGTCACACTCCTTGACAGTGTAAGTCGGGCTGATTGGACGGACGCAGTTCGCGTCTCCTCTGGAGCCTGGGGCTGATGTCTTTGATAAACGGTGTGCCTTCCCGCCACTTGACCAAGTACACTTCCAAAGGCTATCATGTGTTCCAGTCACTCAAGATACCAGGTTGAGTCCACTTTGAAAATAAAATGTATCATCCCGCAAGGGTACTGATACGGGGTGTCTCGTAAAGAACTCCGAGACTGTTGAATATCAATAGACAGGCATGTATGTGGCTTTGTTTTCATGCCATATCTTTGCATTGCATACCAAGCCACCTATTGTTATATTGTATCATAGTTAATTTAGGAATAGGAAACAATAAAACTGCCTCCAGGTCCACATCTGTCCTTCCTAATATGTCTAGTACTGGAGACATACAGCCCGTACAGATGTACAAGCAAGTGGACCAAGGACATGGCCCAGCCTCCGTCCCAAAGCTGCGACAGCACCATGACAGCGACAGCGCTTCGTCCACGCAATCCCACAAAAAATTTTGAGCATCACAAAAGGCCATCCGAATACGCGTTGCGCACTTTAGTGAACCAAGATTCTAGACCACCACAGTCACCATCAAAAGGGCCACGCACGGATTGACGTCTGCCCAAAGCGGCGCTATCGGCGCTCGCTTCGGCGAAAATCAATGAGTAAGTCATTATTCACCTTCCTTCCTGTGCACACACCCTACTACCTATCCTTCTCTCGCCTTCTCCGCCTTCTTGTTAGATAGACCTGGGGGCGGGGGGGGGTTTTGGGTTGTTTGATGGTCTGTGGCGTCGGAGGGCCCCGCCGTCCTCCCCTGTGGCGGGTGTTTGGGCCCTGTGCACGTTCTACATAGTACTAAATGTATGCACATTACTATGGGAGGGAGGTGAGGCTTGAATTTGGCCGGTAGTAATAAGATTGGTAGTACTCATCTTTTTTTTTGATTGACAGCCCGTGCATTCTTGGGTTCCGACGGGATGTACACCGGGTCCGCTCCCATTACGACGCCGATCCGTGCGGCGCGGGTGGCTCCTTTGACGGCAAGGGAGGTCGGTCCTTTTTCACTTCTCTTTTTACTTTTTTGGTATTGAATTTTTTTTTTATCAAAAAGAATCATTGCACGGGGTTCCTGGCCGTTCCTTTGGTGGGTTCACGTCAAGCCTGTTCACTGCTGTCAGCCAGGTATATCCTGCCACCCTGTGCAGCGCACATGGGGTGAACGAAACGTACCTTGCAGCCATCAGGGTAGGATGGTGTTCTCTATTCTGTTTGCCAGAAAGGGAATAAGGCTGACTGGAAGGAAAAAAAAGACCGAGATCAAGACTGTGATGGGCTGGCACGGACGGTACATGTTGCCCACCAGCCCAAGTACACCCGTGGTCCCTGTGCTGTGGAGACCTTTGACGTTCGACCTGCTCCATCACTATAGTGCTTAAACCATAGCAATAAGAGGAGACTTTGCTCACAGGCAAGAACCCTGGCGCACGTCACCGCAGCTCACTGCCCGTCTGTTTCCTCCCCCCCTTATGGGCAGGGCGGGTGTAGCCATGCTCCTGGGAGAAGTGCCGTCTTGTTCAGGGCAGGTCGGGGGTATCCCCAGTCTGTGCAGGGGGTTTAGACGAGCCAGTCGCGATTGTGCTCTGCTTACAGCTCGCCCGCTTTTATGACCGCACGTGATCTGGCAGACAGCAGAGTTAATTGTAAGAGGAGGGGGTTGCCTGTGGATCTGTCCTCTTTCTCTTTGAAAAAGGTTGGCTCGGCGGCTGGCTGGCTGGTTGGCTATGCCGTTAGGTCGTGATGAGAATGACCTTTTGCTGTTGCTGTCACCTGAGCATGACTCTTGGATTCAATTCAATCCTCATCGCCAGCCGTGAGGTGGTTGTGGGGGGTAAAATGAATGCCAGCACGGCACACAAGCGGCAACGTGTCAAGGCTTGCATGATGGCCTGTTGATATAGATACTATAGTTCTACTTAGCGCTATAATACTATGTATGTAATGCCCATGGAGCGGCCGTGTATCAGCGCGCCTGTTGAAGCTTCTTTTTCCCTCGGGAGGTCAGTCTAGGGTAATCGATGCGGAGTCTGCCAGGTCCCCTGGTGGTCCAGACACACGCCCATATACCCACCCACACCCACACGGAGCATAGCTTTGCACAGCACCATAATAACTGACAAGAGAGTACTGGATGCTACGTAGTACTAATTGCTGTAGTAGTACACGGGTTCAGCTTTTGGGAGAAGGGGGGGGGGGCTAATTTGGAGCTCCCGCCCTTCTAGCTCCGACCTGTCTCGTGTCTAGACAAATCAGGTTGACGTTGGCACGGTTGGGGATTTTCTGCTGTGGAAAAAGCAAACTAACCTCCAGACCACCCCCCCCCCCGGCTTCCTTGGCGATCTGCGAGATGCACAGCGCAAGAATGCGGGAGTCTACTGCTGTAGATCTGTTCTAGCTCACCGTCCAGCTCAACGGCCCCTAAAAAATCATGTGGCCAGCGCGCCTGCCCAGCTTTGTGTCAGGCTAGGCACTTGCCATGCCGGCCTCGAAGGGGGATGACCCCAGTTTGATGGCTTGTGCGTCCTAGCTTGGTCGTTGGTGCGCTAAAGAACGAGATTCACTGACTAGCAAGAAGCACATAGCGCGCCTGCCAAGGACTACAACAGGTGCTATTCGACATGTTGTTGTGGACCGACCCAGGTCTCTCTCTCTCCCTCTTTCTTCCCCACACTCCTTCTTCCCTCCTTTGCCGCTCGGTTCAGATAGGTCGGGCTTTGCATATGTCGTAAGGAGGCAGTGACTTCAGCTCGCGGGCCGATTTGACAGTTGGTGGAGGGAGGGGGACACAAAATAGGAAAGAGACAAGAGGCGCAGGGAGATGAGAAACAATAAGGCTACAGCCCACATTAGGCGTGGGCATGTCGTT